TGATATTTTGGCCCTCAAACTATTTTCCCAGTAGTGTCAACTCAGAAGAAGCATACCGCATCATCGTTCATATTTAAGTGAGGATTATGATATAACTGGTGGAGCTTTGATATAAACTCAAAATTAATGTAACAATGTTGCCTTGGTATTAAAAAAAAATATTCAATTTTGAGTATTGAAGAAACGTTATATCGAGATAGGTATAGGCCCTTTATACCAGATTGTTTTCACATTGTATGTTATCATGGGAAGGAGTGTAAAAATGGTAAACACGGGTTATATTTTGAGCAATGGCATCAGTGACACCACACGGCTTCTGTACACAAGGGATACCCCTATTACGGACTTAAAGACCGAGACGAGACGAAGCCAGCGTAATCCCACCAACACATGGGCCGTGGTGTACGGCCGATTCTCGGGCGAGTGTGTGTCAGACGGACGGCCCACTCATGGGGCCCGCGTCAAATCGCACTCCGATGCAGGCCTTAAAAAAAACTTGGAAGGCTCGGTCGAACTGAACCTTTTGGGGAGCTCGAGTTGCTATGTACACTGCCAAATAAACCTGTGGGTTAATCCTCGATGACAGACGATTGGGAACAAATCCTACCAGGCATCTGTCTTGTGGTTAATCTCGAGGCAAGGGAGAAAAATATGGTTGGAAACGAAAGTGAATTTTTGAGGGGGTGAAAAATGAAATCGGTCAGAGTCGTGCCTGGGGCGAAATTAGCCGGGGTGCGCCGAAAAATGACACCGCTAGTTTTTTATCCGCATGTGTTTAGGCTAGGATCACTATTTCCTACGCGGGCAAGAAGTACACATATAAACGCTGATATTTTTCTGACATACAATGTACATTATTGCATTGGTATATTACACATTTTGAATCCGCATAAGAAGGTATTTAGAGTTTATATTATAGAGAAATGTTTACAGTGTCTTGACATCCCAAGAAAGCACAAAACATGCGCTAGTTCCGTCCTCTGTTGTTTACCATTCAAAATCTCGCGAGAATTGCCGTGAGACCAGCAATCATACGCAAATTACAAGGAGCAGCGAAATCGCTTGACTCCAATTCAGAGTCAATGATAAAAACAGTTCTTATAACTCTGTGCATTGCACGATAAAGTATGGTATAGACACTCTACGCTATATGCGATCCAGGGGTTTTGAGAAAATGTTAATACATGCAACAATCGTCGGGTGGTTGTAGTTTTCCCAGTGGTATAAAAAAGCAGCCCAAAAACCACGTATACGGGGAAATATGGGCATTTGCTGCCACCATCTAAACCCACAGATGTTCGCTTCACCGAAAATGTCGACGTTGTGTCTCTGCCAATTTGAGAGTTCCTCGGTTTTGGAGATAACCTCGCTGACCTTCTGTCAAATCGTAATGAAATTGCGCGGAGAGCAAGTTGTTGTCAACACCGTCAGATGTTGGGGGGAAAAGCTTTACCGTAAAAAAGGGGACGAGGTTCTTTGCAATAGAAAGGCGACTGGAGCCAGAGACTAGTCCGGTAAATCTCCAGAATTTCTCTAGCTTAGGAAAAGGAGATTTCTGTACACGTTTTGCTAATGTTATAGGAAAACAAATGAAAAGTGTGATTTGCGTCAGCAATAGACGTTTCAGTCATGTTCTCTGTAAGCTGTATCCAATAACAGTACTGAATGATGGTATTTTTTGTGCAATGGAAAGGAACTAGAAGTATTTTTTTCCCATCTATTGCAAGGCCATCACTTTTCCGACGATGCTTTGTTTGTGCCCTGTTTGTGCTTTGTTGATCTTTTACTGACAGAGGTTTCCCCAAAACAAAGAAATCAGCTGGATTGGTCAGAACAAAATGATATCTTTCAGGGTCAGAGAGTCCCTCCCCTATTTCATCGCCACCAGGTGTGTGCGTCCCCTTCGATATCTTTCATAGGAAATTGATAATATTAATAACATCCGCCCAAATCTCCCGAGTCTGGGAGACAGAGAGCCGTATGGGCTCGCAGCCCCACGCTGGACCTGCAGATAAATCATAATACCCAGAAAGTGAATTTATTGTTTCACGATATTTCGTATCGTGACCTCTCGTTAGCTCTGGTAGTATGTGCGTATCATGTACCACCCCACCGCGTATGGGGGATTTATCTCGCAAAGTACATCCGACCATTATAGCCTTTGTACGTTGCAAGCCACTGTTCCTCTTCCGTTAACATCGAAGAACGCCCGAATAATTATCTTTTGAAATAAGAATTTGTTTTAACTACAATTATTCGAAGGTACTGATTTTTTAAGAAGAGCTATTGTTCATTATAATTCCCGTGAACTGAAGACGTATAGTTGATGTACATGTACATGGTTGACTTCTTGATTTGAAAAGCCGATAAATACTGGTACGTGTCTGCGAAATATTCTGTGTGTGGTAAATTTCAAGCTTTTGAAGCGACTTTTAAACATAAAAAAGCAAACCGTATTGCTATTATATGCACTCATCAGCTTGTTTAACTTTATACAGTTTTGTCATTTTTTTTAAGGTAGATATATATATTTTATTTCTATTCTAAACGAAAATGCAAGCGTTTTGACTGTTAATATCTTTTTCTATAATGTTTATTCTAAATAAAGATGAAAGACACAAGAATACGTTTTGGATCATGTCCTTAAAAAAGAAGCAAAAATGTCGCCTACCCGTCAGTTCTCAATGCAGCCCCTCGCATTGTACTGAAATGCCTCAAAACTCACTGCAACATGTACCTCAATCGTTTTATAATATGTCAGAGGCTTTCTGTATCAAATCTAGCTGGTAAGAGTCACAGAAATGGTCATGGGTGAGTGGCGGCGTTTCAGCACCCCGCAATAAACGTCTAGGCAGGCCATGTGTGTGTGTGTTTTGTACCACGTTTCTCCACTGGATCATATCTGTAAATAGTGCACACACACATGGCGGACGAGCATTTTGCCAGCGCGTCGTGTTTGGTAATTATCATGGGGGCCCTGGGTCGAGGTCGCCCACGCGTGGATGGCTGTGGGGCCGCTGCCGATCTCTCTGCCGCAACGAATTCTTAAATTTATTTAAAACTGTACTGTTAACCCGTTCCATTGTTTACCTCAGATTTTGAGCGAACAGAAAAGTAGAATCTCGGGTCGAATTTCTAACGCTTGTAAAAATAGGCAGCAAAATACTCAACTGAGAATTTGTCAGTGCATTAAAGAGCTGCTATTTATCCAAGGGTGATTTCAGAGCCAAATTTTCGGTGCCAACCGGCCTTACCCCTTCTACTTATTTAATTTGATTGGAGGCGTTTCCCCTTTGGGCCCCTCCCCCAGAGCTGCCCTTGAATTTGTCTAGGCTCCCCTCAACACGAAAGTGAGAATCTGATTGCTCCCCTTATTTTTAGTTCTAAGTTGATTTTTTCCATCAATTTTAAATTTTATTAACCGTCAATTTTTTTTTAAATACAAACCCAAATCGACGCGTAATACAGCCATTTTTCACAGGACCGTACGCCAAAACATTCCAACTACTGCATGAGATAATTACATTAAAAACGACGATCATGTGAAAAGACCCAAATGCGTGGAGTAAAATAGATTTCTTTGTGAATTTGATTTCAAACACCGTTAAAGGATTTTGAGGGCGGTGTTGACCTACAACCGGATCTCCCTTAGCGGAAAATTTCTCACAGAACCAGTGCCGAAACGTCCGGCCGTGTAGGTGACACGATCTTGGGGGAAAGACATAAGAGTGTGTGCCCGCGAGCGACTTGCGAAAGCTATACCCGCAGAAACCTAATCGGCACATTCAACACAACCGAAACTTGTCGCACCAACAAGTTAATGATGTAATGAGGTAACGTCATATCATTTGGCTTCTCAGTATCCAAAATAATTGGGACAAATTATAACCCAAACAAACACTCGGCAAAACACACCGCGGCCGACACTGAGTAATTTCAGTGTGGCACGCGTCACGAGACCGCACGACCGGCCCACTGCCAACACCCCGCGTACATATTTTTCACCTTCCCATTTTCTCTGTCCTCGTTCGTTTTTTTTTTAACTCCCACAACTCGCTACTCAGTGCCCTTAAATTTTTACACCGCCGTTTATGACGCTGTGAAAACAATAAAAGGTATTTAGCCGATTAATAGTCAGAAAGTGGCCTGGGCTGAGTTGAAACACACACAGATGTAACAGCATTAGGCATGTTGTATCAGCTGTTAGTTAGTGACGGGGCACGGCCGTGTCGGGCCCCGTAGTCGGCCGGTGCACCTGTGCCGTGTTGCCTGACTGACGGCGGGTTACTGCTCCCTTCAGAGTTTCACGGCGTCCCGCCGATTTCTCTCATTTTGTCCCCGGAATAATTCTTTGGGGAATGGGACTAAAATTATATTTCACAAGTTGAACATTCTTGGGATGCGTGTTGCGAGTTGTCGAGCCGCGACGCTGCAAGCCGCATGAGGGACGAACACTTTCACCGGAGTAATTTTGTTCTACTTGTCAAAGGCTTGTTAAAAATGCGGTAACTACTTTTTAACATGGAACTGGGAAAATCCCACAAGGGTTTTAAATGTTGCCTGAACGCTCTCTGAAAATTTACGAGAGCTTCAAATAGCTGTATCATTTTTAAAGTACATTGAGCAGATCCCATGAAAGAGCGTCAAATGCGAACAGAAAATGTGGAAATTAATGTCAAAATAATCATGATGATATGTATTTTTCCGGGGAAATTGGGTTTTCCAGTTGTCATGTTTGTGTAGCCAAATCCTCTTTTGCAAAACTATTGCAATTTATATAAAGGGAACGACAGCTCTTGTATTAAGATAAAGAAATGCGCACGCAAAATGTTTCAAAATCACGAAAAATACAGAGATCTGCGTAAAAGGGAAGATTTTTGGTTTTGCAGTTTGAACATCATTGACAGTAATTGGTCGAACACCCTTTTCTACAGGTGTAAGATTATCTCCAAACCAATGAAATTTATTTTATTCGTTTGTTTGTTGTTTGTTTGCTCCAGGCAATAATAGCGACCAGTGCTACAAACTCGACCTCAACTCGAAGCCGCGCAAGGAACGAACGGCGTTCACCAAAGACCAAATACGGGAGCTTGAGAACGAGTTCAACCACCACAACTACCTGACGCGCTTGCGCAGATACGAGATAGCGGTCACGCTCAACTTAACAGAACGACAGGTAAATACCCTTTGGAAATTGCAAGATTACACATCAAAAAGTTTGTTCAAAGTTTGGTGGCAATTTTTATCGTCATCTTTCATGAAGTTCCCTTTGGATTTTGCTCAATGCTTTTTGATACCAATATTGTATCAACTACAATGTATAAGGTACCAACTAAAATAATTTATTTTGTTGAAACGAAAATACGATTATGCTATTTGTTTACGATCACAGTCACAATACTGACAAGTTTGCATAATAGAGCAATAGTCGGGCAGTCTGGATTGAATTGAAGGTGTTAAAAGTTTTGGCTTATTGGTGAAATTTTTGGGAGGAAAATAGAAGAAAAGAATCCCTTAAGTTTTTACACATGCTTAAACCTCCCCCTGAACTACCCTTCGACTGCTCGTCATTCATTTCACTGTAGTAGGCCTAAATTGAATTTGACGAATATATTTCAATTTGAATTCAATTTGTTCGCGACGTATAGGCCTAAGACCTAAGTAATTACTGATGTGTGGTCAGGTAAGCGTCATGGTATTTCCCATAGCCCTTCACCTCCGATGGACCCCGGTTCGATTCCCGGCCGGTGCCCTATGTTGAAGATCGCTTGACGTTTTTAATTAATCCATGCCGTTGATAACCAGAGGTGCCCAGCCGTCTCTGCAATATCGCCGGACCCCACTTAGGCCTAATGCTATTGCCATTTGTCTGAAGTCATGATCCCCAGATCATCGGGATCCTACTTTTACAGATCCAATCAGCGGAAAAAAGAGAGGAAAAAATGAACATGGATAGCCAAAAGAAGGAATGGCCACACTTCACCTAACGCTCTGGCTCAGTTACATGCTCGATCCCCATCAGTCAGTGAGAACATTCGCGGCAAATTTCCCCGGGTTTTTCCCGCCTTTCACCAGCTCATTCATAATCCCTTTTCGGCTGTGACGCGATAATATAGCTCGGCCAACCGTCTGCTGAGGTTTTTTTTTATTACTCGAGCGTCGTTGATTAGCAAAAAAGTGCAATTCCGGTGGAGGGGTGAAGGGGGATCGGGAGGGGGATAGGCCGACCGGCTCTGGCCATGGCAAAGTTTAAGAGCTTTACCGTGTGAACTTTGCCTGATGTTGCCCGGTTCTCATGACTGCGTTTTAAACAAATTACTTTTTGAAGTGCTGTTAAGACGCACTGTACACTTGAGAATGATACGCTGGTTCCATGATGATACAAACAGTGCATTGATATTATTGCATCCCTTGCACTATGAAGCATTTTAATTATTGACGCCTAAAAATGAGCGCAAAAATGATCGTTCACCGAAATGTCACCAGTGATTTAAATGCCGCAAGGTCCGTTCGTATACCAATCAGGCCTAATCTAGGAACGAGGTGATTTCGCCGTTCAGCGACAACTTTGATTCGTGTTTCGTTTTCCGCTGGGCCACTCACTGTGTTTTTTTTTGTTTTGTTAGTTCTAAAATATCTGCAGTTTTCAAGTGAAAGTGTATTTTCATGTTTACCTACATTCACGTTTGTGAAAGAACCGGAATGATTTTTTTCTACAATAATGTGGCGTGGCTGCTCGTAGTATCAGTGACATGCAGTCCCCTATTGGAACGACATCAGAGGGTGCATGACTTTGAATCGTGAAGACACCTGGCGTAGTCAGTCCATGTCTCCCAATCCCCCCCCCCCCCCCCCCCTTCGGTTGTCTCCCTAACAGTAACAAGAAGCAGGGCTCAACACCCGCTACCACATCCGCTCTAGGGTCGTCGGGATCAACGAGAAAAACATCGCACCGCGACCTCCACGCGGCGGTTCCAATTTGAGAAACTGTTGCGTTGGCCATCAAGTGGTACTTGTCTAATCACGTCGAATTATTGAATCAAGCTGGCTTAGGTGAACCCGTAAATAACTACCCCTCGTTGGCCCTGTTTAACTTCCTATATTCTGACCCCTTTTTCCACCAACGAAATGAGGATATTGGATCAGATGGTTTTTTATTTGGAAAGGGGGATTGGCCGCAAATTTGCCAAAGGCGTTGCAAGATGGCGAGAATGAGTGAGCCCCGGTCCGACTTTTGCCCTAATTGTGATTCGTGTTATCATATCAGGGGTCATTTCAAAAGATCAGAAAGGGAAGTTGTCGGACACTTTTAAAAAATAATTTGATTTCTTTGATTTCCTGTCTGTGGCTTTTGCATCACGTACCAATCTGATTGCCAAAGAATAAGATGTTTAAAAGACTTATAGAGCAGTTGAACAATGCAAATGAATTGACACCCGGACGGTTTAACACTAAGATTTTGATATAATGTTTCATCTTTGCTGTTCAAAATAGCGGGTTATGTCTGTTTAAGATATTACGGGTAAAATTACGTGTTTTATTACTTAAGTACTTTGCTGTATGTGTTGTTTATTTTATTCCAAAGAAGTAAAAACAAAAATCTCAACGTTTGTCTCGAGCATGCGAGACGCAGTCGAAATACGACAGGACTTGTTACTCGCATAATATTCCCAAACTTATGACCCACCAATTTCTTTTGGAAGAAAAATGCAGCTTTTTGAGCCAGACATTCTTGGACCTTTTTGTCATTGCTAAAACAAGCAGTGATGTATGAAAGTTGCAATAATGTCGGCGGCGTTTTCACTCTGGACGATTAGGCAACTGTTCCGGCATTTCACTGTGTCTAATGCGACCCAGCTTTTCGTTTCTGTCTAGCAATGTTGGTAATATCAGTCGGGTGCACGTGGCTTCCATAATGTCAAGTTCATGGTATATAATATGGCAAGGATGCAAGTGTTGTTATCCTTTGGAGAATTCTGTCTTAAGATGGTGCTGGTGTAATCTGTGGATCTGGTGACTCACGGCATATCCATGCCCGCTGGCGCCCACCACTCCTCAGTGTGTCATTCGTCATGCAAGACGCCCAGGCACAAGACTTGAGCTCAAAAAGTTCGCTCTGCAAGCCAGCTAGCTAAACGCTGACATAACCGATCGCGCACGGCCGTTTGGGACACGAGGCCCCCGCCATATGTTGTTATGTCGTTCATTAACAACGGCAGGCAGACCGTGCAAGGGCGACTTGCGTCCCCGGGGAAACGCTCTTGGTCAACGGCGTGTTTCCTTGCCTTTACGGGGCCCGTGCCGCCGGCGCCATTACCGATACACTTAATTGGTCAAATTATAGTCTGTATTAACGGGGCGAGACGATCTGTATCGGGTTGACTCTCCGAAGAGACGAAAACAAGCGTGGATGAAATTTCATTTCGATTCGTGTTTGGCAACTTGGGCGACAATTTCAACTAATTGCAGTCGTCTCGTACTTGTCGTACTTTGTTCAGTTATTGGTCCGAAGAGACAAATGCGAGGACAAAAATATTGACGTCATTTTCAGAGACGGTCATGCTTTGTAGGTTTCGCTTAACGAAGTTTAGTGGACGGTGTCATGGTTTCGGTCTTCCATTCCAAATGTGTCTTCTTTGAGGACTTTTCGCAACACCCTATTGTTCTTTATTGAAGAAAAGGCCTCCTTGTTAACGTCGTGAAGGTTATGGGTCGGAGAACTTATTTTGCTGTGTTTGTAGTCAATATAATGATGTAATTTTAGAGGTTTCATTTCGATGAATGTCAGTAACGTGTTATTCAAATGTGCTTGGATAGCGCATTATTTTTAAGCCGCCTGCGTTTCGTCTTCGATTTGGAGGGAATTTTGAAAACGAAGATTTTTGGTTGTATTCTTTTCATCTGAAAATTAGATTTATTATTTACCAACAAGTAGAGATTTGAAGCAATCAATGGTCTCACAGACATGCAACTTTTTATCAGATGAGCTTTCTATGCCATTATATATTGAATAATAATGAAGAAAATCTTAGTAATTCATTCGTTTATTATGACTTCCTATTGCATGCTTGAAGTCAGTGGGACTTAGCTGTGCCTTCTTTTTCTAGACTGGCGCGTTCAGTCATTGCGGTATATGAAAACATGGTTTAGTCGGAGGAGCAAAATAGCCAAAATACTTTAGCTATCTGAAGTTAACACTAAGGAAAGAGTTGGAATTATGTAACAGAATCTAAGACTTATTTGTCCTTTGAGGAGCCAATAACTTCATTCGCACCTCGCCAGTCGGCGCTGGCTCGGCAACATTACGTGCCGTCGCTGCGTTAGCTGCCCGTCGAAATGACCGAATCCCCGGCCCATCAATCTTACTTGCACCGAATTAGTGTCACATCGCCTGCATTTATAGCATTCTCCTCTGATACGGCTGACATGGCGTGCTTAACCTCCGTCAATTTTGAGGGGACGAGTTGGGTTTTTTTCCTTGCGAGCCGTTGTTCTTCCTTCACCACTTGCAATTCTTTGAGTCCGGTGCGGGCGGCGTGGAAGGCAGTTTGAAGCCCCGAAATTAGGCCCCAAACGTGACTCCCCGTGCCCTTTGCCACATGTTTTACAAATTTTCCGCGGGTGACGGTTTTCGCCTGAAACATTTATGGCACCAAGGAAGAGAAACTTTGATTTATTCACACCATTAAGTTCTCGCAAACTGGGCAGCCGTAATCAGGTGAGCGCTGCACGTCTGATAGTAACCGAATACGCGCATTTGCAGGCGATACTTTTCGCGCCTCGCCCGTGAAATTTCCCAGGCGAGACATTTCTTTCCGTCAGAGGGAAAAAAAGATGATTCATCGCTGATTAGCTTAGGAAACTTTAAGAGAGACGACCGTCAGCTTTTTGCTGAAAGGTACCTGGAACCAGATCAGAAAATCTGATTGTGAACACCTTTTCGGCTATTAGTCTGCCAACCCTCTTTAAGCAAAGGGAGCCCTCAAGAGATATAAGGCAAATCATTAATTCATAGGTGGGGCCTATACGTACGAAAGAAAAGAACTTCAGTGTAAACACTGTGAACGGTTTTAAAAATTCAATTAATTGTCATATAAGAAGTCATAATTGTTAATGCCCTTGCAATGTCATTGTTCTGTGACGTACTGTTCCCTTGCATTTTTACCATTTCAGGTGATTTGAAAATGGTCCTTTCAGGGCCTACTGACACCTTTTGAAAACTGTAACGTTATTCTCTGCTTTGCACCTTTCTTAAGGTCAAGGTGTGGTTCCAGAATAGGCGCATGAAATGGAAGAGGTGCAAGGGAGCCCGCGAAAAGGACCTCGCCGAGAAACGCCTGCAAGCCATGGAGGCCAAACTGGGCCTACCGCCAGGCAGCTCTAGCGCCCTCACCGCCGGCGGAGCCACCATGCCCGGCCACGTCATCACGTCTAGGAACGGACTCAGCAGCCCGCCCGAGATGAACGGATACGAGGACAGTGGAGGGCTGAGCCCGCCCGACAGCTACGGCAATCCCGAGACGGACTTCAAGTGATGTGCTGGGACCGCGGGCCAGACTCATGTCGGAAACATGTGCCGCTTTCCTATATCACCTGTATCGCCAACCCTGCGAAGCTGCAGGACTGTAAATAAACTAGATTGTCGCCGTCGGAGAAATTCTTCAACTGCTTTATCATTTTGCAGATGGAAAAAAACTAGAGCCATTGGCTTTGAAAAGTGTTTCGCTTATAGCAGGTAGGGCCTATTGCTATAAGCGGTGATCGTGCCGAGCAGCAACCCACTCAAACATGGCCAAACCAGTTATGGTTTTGCACATTCTATCGACGACAGATTTAACATGAAATTTGTGAAAACACCGGTGAAAGTATAAACCCTGTGCAGTACCAATATGTAAACTTGTGTCCACGAAACTGCATCGTCTGACAATATTACGCGAGGCAGGGCCTACCGCCGGGTACCATACCATTGCACCCAGATTTGAGGAAAAGTGGACGCACCCATGCCCTGCTGGTACCCACGTTGCGAGTTATGTGACCAATCAGAGAAGCAACAAACTTATGTGGTGTTTCGTTACTTATCGGAGCATTAATGTTCTACCACAAACTCGTTGGGGATGATTATTGGAAATGGATGGTTCCTGTGCATGTGGCAACAGCCGCCATAAGTTTTGTGTCGCAATTAGGCCTAAAGAAAACGTGGTAAAGCTCATCACTTCCACGCAGTCCGTTTGGGAGTTCAATATTCTCACCAGACTACATTGTGTCTACATTTTGGCACCACTAAGGAAAGTGTACATACGTCTTGAGAAAAACAAATAACTGCAAGAGGGCACTTCGACCTCAACGAAACAAAGGCGTTTAGGGTAGGCCTGTAAGTTTATACTATGTGCGGCTATATAGGTTGCGCCTTTTGCCGACACTAAGTGATCGTATATTCTAAAGGATAAGTGTTGTTGGATGTACAAATTATCAAAGATTCGTCTTATGTAGAGTCATTAATTTAATTTTATCAGTACCATGTGTTTAAGGAGGTTGTGCAGCACTTGATTCATGACAATCAGTATTTTCAAATGCATTGTGCCATAAGTACATGTGTAAACGGAGTTAAAAAGTCACGCCTGTTTCGGGTTTAAACACGTGTGCTATTTCCGAATTTCACCTCGATTTTTTTTTCCAATTGCGATTTTCCCAGAAATATAACCCATTATATAACCCAAATATAACTTTTGAATGAGACATCGAAGGAAAAAAATAACTTTTAGTTATGAAATTATTTCTTTACCAAAATCGAATTCTTGGCTGCCAGACAATAATTCGGCAGGTCCATATTTGTGCGCAAAATGAAATTCCTTTTCAGAGGGTTGCAGACGTCCAAAATTGGTATTAAGTAGTTTTTTTCGTTAAAACAAAACATACAAATTGAAATTCGTTAGGAGGAAAAGATCCATTTTTTGAAGAGCACGGGACATCTTTAACTTAAAAGGCACCAAAAGTACAAGACAGTCGGGTATGAGCAAGTAGGCCTATGGGTCAAGTTGCAAGTGAAAGGGCGGGGGGGTTCCCAATTTCCAAAACTAAGAAAAGTAATACTTCGAAATTCACTATAAAGCAAACAGCAGCGCCGCTCTCCACTGTGTACTAACTTACGAGCAACCATATTTGGTTCCCAAGTCATGGGTTACCGATAACCTTTTGCACGGGACTTTGACCATGCAGGTTGCCTATGGGACGCCCTCCAGTGTTGGCCAATTTAAACAATTTAACACATTCTACAATTTATTCAGTTAGTACAGAAATTGCCTTTTGGATACACTACTAAGCATAGAAAATACAAATGTGTAACATACGATCCCAAGCGTAATACTTCATTGAATTATTTTTATTTACCTCAATTCACCTTATTATGTTTATATAAGTTATATTTTTTTTGGGGGGGGCACATCATTCATAATGACATGAATATCCTACTCCGGAATTTTAGTCAAAACAAATATATTCGTAAGTGGAATAACGAGTATCACAAGTTGAGGCTGGAGACAATATTGTGTTGACAGCGCCCCCAGCGTCGTAAACTTATCGACAAACGTTTTAAAGTGCTCGGAACGAACGAAACACTTTTAATTTTTTTTCAAGTTCCCCTCAAATAAGTTATCATGCTAATTCATATTCATTAGTATACAAAGTTCGTTGGCAGATAGGTTGGCACTGGCGAGTTTGGGAGAGATTTTGTTCCACAATACAAGCCTGTATTTTGTATACCAAAACCTGGAAAAGGGCTTATTATGGCTCACTGTATCCTGATCCTCCTAGTATTGTACATTTTTGTATTATTTTCCCGTGTCGTTTTCCTCGGCTTCTGTTCAGTGGTGATCCTAATTCGTTTGCACGATGCACGAGGACTGTGTGCATTTTGCAAGTTTTACTAAATTAATAAAAACAGTAACTTTTTGTACAACACTATATTATTATTTATTGTAATATAAAAGTACTATGTCTTGTACCTTATGACTTATCTGGAAACACGTTTTGTAAAATCTTCTCGTACTGAAGGCATTTTAATAGTTACCATGCATTCTTAATTTGATAACTAAATTCAAACAACGCTGAAGCCCGTTCACGTGGCCGCTTTTATTTTGTTCAAGAGAATGAGTGCGACAGAATGTTTTAAGACGACCACAACGTGTAATGTATTGTTACTTCTGGCTTGTTTTTATTGAAATATTCAATAAATTCTGCACTAAGAGTTTGAGAAGTGTCTGTTCTTGCGTGTCAATTTTGACTTGTTGAGTAAATAGTTTTATGTCCATGTTGCTCTACCCTTAGGGGGGGGGGGGGGACACCAAAATCCAAAAATTGTCCTGCCAGGCAAATTCGAAGGGGGGGGGGGGGGGGGGGATGGGGGGATCGGGAGGGGGGACACACCACATTACACTTCGGGGTGCAGTTCGCGATACTGATGTACTTTATGTATACATGTACATGTATGGGTGCGCTTACGCGCCTATATCCTTGCATCAAAACGGATCGGAGCATTCTAAGTTTTTTTAAAGCATTTTAGGTGCTATTGAATACAAAGTAGTTTTGGTTGTTGGGAAATTCGTAAAACATCTCAAAATCTGCATTTTTTTGTTTCTAATCATAAGTAGGGGTGGGTGGGTCCAATAGCCCACCCCTCTCCCCCTGCTCAAAAAGTGTGTGGGAGGAGAGATATATACCCCCATCCCCCCCCCCCCTCCGCATTTACGCCCCTGGATCGATGGCAAGGGGATGAAATATAGTACATTAATCTTCTGTGTTTTTTTGGCCATCCTGTTACCCCTGGCCCTGCTTGATATACGCAAATAATTTAAATAAGATAATGTTTTATTGTGCAATGCTCCAATAACATAAAAAAATTCCTTCGAAAACAAATCTTTCAAAGTTTCCATTTACATTTTCGCTCAAGCTCCCAGGGGAACTTCGTTTGTAAAACTTACACAATTAATTGTCGCAGTTGTTTAGGAAAAAGACGCCCCCAGCGAGGGCAAAATGTCCAGCGTGTTTGAAAAAGTTTTCCTTGACAGACCAAAGAGGGCGCTATAACGGCTTTCCAGAGGCCCCTGTTGAAGTTACTATCATTACTTTTACCGACTTTTTGACTATCTAAGCTTGCGACAACGTTAAAAATCGCAACTTTTTATTGGTGGCATTCTGTAGGCACAGGCCCATGAAATGTTTGCGCATGTGGCTCGAGACCAGGGTAAGTTCCGCAGCGCCCTCATTTGTCATGAGCATTTTATTGGTCTAATATTTTGAACTGGGAATATGAAAAAGTTGGGGGACTAAAGTAATTTTTTTAGGACGCTTCGGCGAACTGGATACCGTGTAAGCACTTTACCCTTTAACTTCCTTAAAGCACCACCAATTAAGCACCGTAACCCAGAGTTGTAATGACTCGAGTCAATGACTCGACTCGAGTCCGACTCGAGTCACATTTTTTGGCGACTCGACTCGACTCGAGTCCCGACGGGTAAATGACTCGACTCGACTCGAGTCACTGCGAGCAAATGACTCGACTCGACTCGAGTCCCTCATCAGAATGACTCGACTCGACTCGAGGAAGGCTAATAAGACTCGAGTCCCAAAATAAAAGCAAAACTCACTTGCGAAAAATATTTGCAATGACTTATGCTGCGCCATTCGCGTTGCCAGTTTTTGTTCACGTCACGTTAATGTTCGCGAATAATGTACGTTTATATACAGCGGCAGTCTGTTTCCTTCCTCCATAATGAAACAACAAACATACACCGTGTCGCGGACTCCCACCTTGTGGTTCTATAGCATGTAATGCTAAACCCGGAACCAGACTTAAAATGCATTTCTCAATCCGTGGTTTCATCATTGGTTTCGGGCGATTTTGAAGTTCTTGGTGGAACGCTGGCTAAATTCATGTCCCGATTTCACACACAAAAATGGATACGGACGGGCCCACCTTTAAATAATCAGAAACAGTTTTGTATAATGCAATTAGGTTTTAACGTTGTCAGCGATCAGCGAACAACAAAATCTAGACCCGAAGCCAAACCAGTTATAAGACCGAAGTTTCACATCTTCTTATCTGTGACGTGAGCTAGCAATGGAAACTGTTGGTTGGGTACCATACAACATACTTTATGTCTTTGGATTTCCGTAATAGACTGGTGCCTTGTATTCTTTCTCTCTTGTGTTTGTGGTTTTTTATTGTAAGTAAGTGTTCAAATATTTGTGACTCGAATTGACTCGAGCTAAATACTTGACTCGACTCGACTCGACTCGACCACACTCTGTGACTCGACTCGACTCGACTCGACCTTGTTGACCTAATGACTCGACTTGACTCGAGTCACTTCTTTAAAATGACTCGACTCGACTCGAGTCACAAAAATCAGTGACTCGTTACAACTCTGCCGTAACCTGCACACGTCGCTTCTTAAAATTTCAGTTTTTCTCTTGATCTCCCTTGCACGAAGCAAAAGGTGTGGAAATTTGCCTTAAGAGGGCGCTATTTACCATACACGGTCCTTATCGCGCCGCGAGTTTGTTCACGTACTTGATACCGAGTTTACTTGAAACCTACATGTACACTACATGTTTTACATGCATAGGCCAATACAAGTCAAATGTTATGGCTTACTCTCATAGTTATCACTTCGTGCTCGCCCTTTCCATGTGATTTTGGAAATATGGAATTTTGGAAAAAAATATACCCGTTTGAAGTTGAGCTGAGATGTTAACTGGTCTTTCCAAGGAATTCAGAAGACCCGGGGGGGGGGGTACTTTTTAATTGTCGTTTTACAAATCGACCGCAAAGCATGTATATTTCTCAAGTAGGTTGCTCTAAAATATTAATAAATAGTTTTAAAAAGACCGAAATTTGAAAACGAGCTGTGGTTGGAGGCATACGAGTTATCGATCCCACGTATTTTAGAAAAAAATATTAATTGGTACGTAATCCGCCCTCCATGTTATAAACGCATAAACACAATATCCTGTTTTGCATTCATCAATGACAAAGCATTACAGAAGACCCAAATACAATCGCGCCCGAACCATCACACCGGATATTATTTTTTCTACCACTTAAACCCTGGACGGGTACTGCTGGTGGGGTACGGGGAGGGTGGATGGCCCCTCCCATTTCGCGCCATGATTATGATAAGCTTGTCCTATTAATCGACAAGTACGGGTAAAACGCCCGAACCGGAACAAAATGTACTCCAAAGTCTCTTAAAAAGCTAGTTCATATTCCGAATATGTTAATTTCGTCTTTATAATTAATTTATGGCCCTCGGATGGAAATAGACCTGAAATAATAATGTGCATATTTGATTATTTAAAAACCCGTAGCCCGTCCATTGATAACCCAGCGGCATCCTTCATCTTTGTACGCGATATTAGCATAATAAAGAGGTCATAATCATTTAAACAATATCACTCCGCCAGTCGCGCAAGCCATTATTTTAGACTTGTCTTTTGCACAAATGAGCGTGCATTAACTGCAGTGTCAATCTTCGAAATATTTAAATTATTCTTTTCATATTCCTAAAGCTTAAGAATACTTCTACGTGTTAAAAAAATAACCGCGCATACCAAGTAACTACTTTTTATTTATCAACATTTTGTCGAGGTCATTTAGAGTGAAGTGGTTCAAGATGGCGGCTGCTTAGGAATAAACGTATGCAAGAAAAGAAATTAACAACGCTTTGTTTCTGCGAACATTCCAGTTATGCCGGTTCAAAATGTACTGTGAACCAACCGCTGATGAGTAAATTATGATGTGGATGATTCCAAGTGTTGTATACAGAATAATTTGAGGTTAAATTGTGGTGTTTTTGTCACCGATTGTGCGGTTACGTTAATGTTCGTTCTGTGCTGAGGTCGACGTCGGCGGGTGGGTGCGTGTATACACAGCAGCAGACTGGGAGTTGTATACGACTCGACGTAAACGACGCTGCAGAAAGGTTCAACATCCTTGGCTAGTCGTTCGTTCGCTCGCATTATCTTTTTTCAAGCTCTTTTTACAAGGTCGCCTCGTTTCACATAATTGCTTCTCCTGGGTTTCATTTTGATCCACCTGAGCTGAGTCAGCCCCAACGCCCTAAAATTTTGATGCGCCGTTGGCTCAGTGTGATCGGCGAAAAAGGAGGCCAGTCCAACTTCGAAAATAGCCGGCATCAGAGTCCTTTAAAGCAAAATGCACCGTAAAATGAAGTGATTTCATCGGCCGTCCACTCTTAGACGGCAGATATGTCAGGTAAGATTCAAAACATGAAAAAGACATCATTTCTTTTTCTTTATTACAATGCTTGAACTTGCACAGTTGCAGTACCAGGCAAAGAGGACCATGTGGTCTATGCATGGCATTTCTAAACCATGTAAACGTGATAAAAATGTGAAACTGAAAGGCAGGTGCAGGTAGAAATACCTAGTAATGAACATATGTTATGTAAATTAAAATATAAAAAACGTCGAATTTATTTTGGCATTTAGGCCTAACAGAAATAGGCCAGCCTACCTTTCAAGCAGAGCAAAAAAAAACAAACTTGAAAACAAGTGCAGTGCTGTTCCTCATTTTGTTAATGAAATCAGTTTATGATTTTGAGATTTTTAAAATATTGTGATTTTGAATCGCACTTACTTTTTTAATAAAATTGTTCTATAAGGCCAAAAAAAAAAGTCTCTGGTTTCTGGTATGCGCGCGCGTCGCCGTAGCTATGCGCGTCGGCAAAATGAAAAAGTTTTTTTTTCAATGGAAGATGATGTCTCAAAACCGCCAAACTCACTGGTTTGACTGGAATTCTGCTGCTGCGCAATTTAAACGTGTTTTTAGATGGGGATATGATCGAGAATAAGCTTTATGTGGCCTCTCTGGACTCCCATATATTTGCACTAAGTTTAGTCGGGCACCATTTGCAGTCATCAGCCGACATTTGAAGCAAAAAAGTCGCTGCACCACTTTTTGGACAAGCTCCATACCAGAAACCGGAGACTTTTTTTTGGCCTAACAGCATGGATCAATTTTTTTATGTGTTGTTTTCACTTTTCACCCAATCACGTTGAATTTGTTCAACTATACTCAATTTCCTTTAATTAACCCTAACTCCCTAGGCATTTTTGCTAGGATGAACCTCAATCCTGTAAAATCCTCCAACTGCCTCCATGTAAAAATTGCATACAGCCTCGATCCTCCAAAATCCTCCACTATTTCTTGAGTGTGGTCCTTGGAGGGCTGACCACTGCCTCAGTCCTGATTCCCGCAACATCCTCGGGCAATCACTATCAATATGTTTAGGCAGAGCCAGTGACATCCTGGAGCAGTGCGGAGGATTTCAAGTATAATCTAGACCTAAATGTATGCACTGCTGAGCATAAACAACACAAGACCTTGACACAGTGCATCCTCCGAAATCAGCAACACACTTTTGTCATGTAGCCTCAATCCTGCAAAATCCTCCATTTTGCCAAGAGGATTTGGGAGGATTTGGGAAGATTAGGGTTGTGATGCTAATAGTCATTCTGTGCTTTGCAAGGTTATCTTGTAAAAATTAAACAAATTAATTGCGTTTCTGTGGTTCCAATTCTTCATTATTTAGTTTGCAAATGGCACAAAAATAAATCAAACTCTTGCATTCATCATTTGAAGCTGTTGTTGTAGTTGATACGTAAACATATACATTGATCCAAAAATTGTTAAACCATATAGAAAATTCTTTATAGAAAATGGAAAAGTCTTTTGTTATTAAAATGATTCCTCTATCCTCCGTCCATATTAGTTTTGGGGGTTTTTTTGCCACTCTAAAATTTGTGCAAATGATTTTAAAAAAAAAATTTAAAAAAATATGAAACAAAATATTGCACCCTAAGTTACATATAAATGTTGCGAGACCTCCGAAGTTGTATGAATAACAGTTTATGAGTGGGTACCTGGTTTGTGTAGCAGGAGACACGTGTCGTCAGTGCACGTGGGTCGTATTGCAAGCTGTAACTAAAACTATGAAGCCAAATGTTCCGAGTTTCTGGGAAACCTGTCATTGGAAACTGGAATTATTCTTGCCATGGTTAATATTATAAAACCAGTACTACATGTATGTACTGGAGTGTTAGACTTTCATGCAGGTATCGACCAATGCTCACTCGTGTTCCTGTGAATGTGCATTTAAAATACGAGTACATGTATATTTACTGCACTTGACATATTTCTAATCCTAGCCTCACCTAAAGCTATGAAATACTACTACTAGTAATCTGTAGTATGCTGTACTTCAGCAAATAAGTGGACACAGCACTCACAGTATTTTTTAGTATTTGGGTACTGCATACATAATTTTTGTAGTTCTTTGTAGTATGTGGTACTTTACCACAAAGTAAGCCATAGGGGTTAGGGTTAAAGAAATAGAAACATGTCAAACAAGTCTCATGTTTTTAGACTGCCCAGCACAGTAGCGATGGTGGAATATATAATATGTTTCATCGAATATGGTGGTTTCCTACCCAAAGGCGTTAAACTTTGCGTGCGGCAATCGATATGGGATGCTGGAATGTTTTGCAATAAGTATTTTATAACAGTAAAAGGGTTTTAACCTGCTGAAATCATGTGAACAATGTACCGCCGTCGACAACAAAGTTACCGTCGACAAAAAAGTGGCACCTGACAATAAAGCGCTGCAACTTTACGATAAAACAACATCACAGTCATGTGTGTATGTGCGTAGTTTTTTTGTTTTCGAATACTCATACTGGCAAAAATCTATTCGAATATTCCGTTGATGTTCAAATATTTGAGTATTCCGAATATTCAGGACAGTCCTACATGTACTTTAGTCCTACAGCCGGTCCCTGACAACCACAGTAAAGTTTACTACACCTAGTCGGGCTGGTCAAATCTGCTGCTAATTTTTTTCGTAATGTGCCGCTGTTTCATGTTTAGATCACATGTTTCTAAGCCCGGGGACTCTTTAAATTATGCCGTTTTTACTTTTCTTGGAGAGGTTGGGGGAGATTGCAAGGGGTCAGCTTGCACTCTTCCTTTATCATTTTTTTAACTTCAGACTTGCAAATGAAAGAAAAGTTCATGCACCTGAATAAAAATTTGGTTAATGTCATCTTTATTTTATGACGTTAACTCAGATTTGTATACATTGTACATGAAGGCATAACACAAGCACAGCACTAACCCAGGTGACATGACTCATCTAGGCATATAATAATAATCACGCCCATGTAGCATGTCTGGTGATGTTGTTAAGTTGCAATTTTATTTATTCATATCTTTCTACAAACATCTGACGTTCCTAGAGGACAACATGGCCTAAAGATTAAACTGTTAATTTGATGTGACTTACTGCATTAAAGGTCGTATGGAAATACTGCCAGGGGTCACTGTGCAGAGCTTTGCAGTAGTGCTATTGTGTCATTTTAAAACAGAAGCTGATGAATTGGTCAAGTTGATATATTTCCCACTTTTTTGAGTCTTTAAAAATTGTCACTACCGACATCAGAAGTAAAAATTGAAAATTAATAAGGACACCATTCATGAGAACTGCTGTAATTCTGACCAATTGATCACCTGTTTTGGTTTTTTTGATCTTCAAAGTGTTATTGAGAAAAACAAATGTCCGCCAACATCCTGAAAAAAAATATGACAGTTCAGTTATCTGTAGGATGTGTACAAATGGTTGATTGCTAAATTATTGATCGCAGATTCAATATATCAGATGTGTTCTCATTACATATGCCCTAAATGTTGTTTTATTTCCACTAGGGTCTACAATGTTATGTTTTCCTGTTTTCATGCATGTATACATGACTAGGTGTAATGCTAATACAGTGTACAATGTACAGTTGACTCTCGTTTATAATACAAACTCTGTTAATACAAAATTCTGGTTATAACAAACATAAAGCCTTGGTCCCGACTGTGCATTGATGTGCAAAATGAATGGGACTGATGTTCCTCTTAATACGCAATTCTGAAATAACAAACAATTTGGCTAGGTCCGAACGAGTTTGTTATAACGAGAGTCGACTGTACATGCATTGAGCATGTGCTGGATAGTCTTCTGATGTGAAGACCCCTAATCTGGGTGTGAGATGTCATTAGCACTACAAATCCCCCCCCCCCTCCCCCCCCCCCAAAAAAAAAGAAACGAAGAAGATAAATCAAAAGTGCATTCAGGTATGAAATTAGTGCAGCTCACTCATTTCACTGCTTGACGACTATTTGAGGATGTTTTAGTCAGAAGACCGGATCAAGTTTCTGTACATTTGCCCCATGTGGGTTTTAAATAAAGCAATTGACACAGTTCTATGTACATCTTCTCTGACAGGCCGAAAGAAGAAATTTTCCCGATTTAAAGGCGATCCTGAGGTAGGTGCAAGCACATGCCCTATACGAATTCAAATTTACTTTTATATAATATCTTACATCAGGTATCTTTACTTAAAAACAAATCACTTCAAAGTCCTTTTGCATAAAGTGGTGACCCAAAGCCCCAACCATGATGATCCAACAATTGGTATCTAACAGCATGGAAAGAACCTCTGGATTTTGTCCCAACAACATAGCAAAAGATTAGTGTTGCATTTGATTATTTTGTGACAGGCTTCACATTTATTGATCCTATCATCCAGGAGAGTGTCTAGAGAAAATTAAAAATGGCAAGGTTATGGTGAAGCAGTTTAGGCATTTTCCATGTATTCAACCTTTATATTGTTTGGTACACTGTATCTACAGTATACACTAGATGAAGGCACAATGCGTCGAGGCCGAGGCAGACCCCGTAAAGATGGATTATCGCCGGTTCCACGCAGAAGAAGGTACTTAGATTGTCAGTTCTATTGTGTCTTGAACAATGCAAAATGAGACCAAAATGCACAAGATTAAAAAGAAAAAATTCAACCAGCTTTGTGTATGAAATATGACTGAGTCAAGAAGCAAGAATCTCAGTTGCAAATAAGTAGAAATGGTGAAGCATTCATTTCAGGACCAACTAGTTACCCAACATATAACTATTTTTCCCACAAATTTTACAGTAAGGCAGATCTGTAAGGGGGAACCGCAAATGTCACAATGAAACAACAAATGTAAACATCATGAATTTCTCCTTGTCTTCTTGTTGGTGTCTTGAACTTTGTCTTGCATATTACAGATGCACAAATGATAAATTATATTTTTCAAAATTTCCCGTTCCATCCCAGACATCTGTGTGACGATGACGATGACAGTAGCAGTGTCACGTCCTCCCCGGCCCCCGACGCCATCCCAGTCTTGCACCTAAAGACCACGACAACCACAGACGGTGGCGGCACCGGCCTGGGAGAATTTGACAGCCAGGCCGGCCCCTGTGGCTCGGTGGATGGGACATCATCCGAGCTGCGATTGGAGCCGGACATGGAGTCAAGCTACGAGAGAATGATGACAGACTCGGAGCTGGGACCCAACCAGCTAGAGAATGAACCTCATGCTCAAGCTGGGTGAGCTTAAAAAGAAACTCAGTAATTCTGCCTCAGTACATTTCAATGTCAAGGTCGTATGAAAATTAAATAAATTAATAAAAATAAAGACATTCCTGTGTCAGTCAAGTTTGATTGGAAATGTACAATGTTAGGCCAACAAAAAAAAAATCGGTCTCTGGTCAGCGCGCGCGTCGATTTTAATCATGCGCGTTGATCTTTTTTTTTTTCCAAAATGTTTCCCGGTAGCTCCAACAGCGCCCTCTATTTCTGCACCTCCTCAATTTGTTTTACCAAAGAGCACCAAGGAATGGGAAATTGCACCAAGGCAAATGATCGAAAGCACCAAGGCAAATTATGGAGGACACCAATGTACATGAGGACACCAAAAAAGCAAAATAGTACCCCACCTTGTCTGTACAATTCAAGCTTGAAGAAAAGAAAAAAAAAAGCAAAAAAAAAAAAAAGCCGCGTGGCCGTGTCAATTCCGGAACTTTGGTCTGACCAGAGACCGAATATTTTTTTTTGTTGGCCTTAGTTTGAGGATGTGAATTTTTTTTTTTAATTTTCAAATAACATATTTGTGCAGTTTATATATGTATGTAATCTTGTCCAGGTTGGTAATCTACACTTGCTTGTGATTGTGAATTGGTTCCACTTTTGCTAAAGTAAAACCCCAACATCTTCAAAATCAGGAGTATCCTAACTTTTGCAATCTGCAATTTTTTTTCTTCAAAACAGTCAAGGCATGTTGTGCTCCCTCTGTTGTTGCGGCGAGAAAAGCCTTCTCGGTCAGGGTGACCTCCTGCGGTTTGACCCGACCCCCGGTTTCAACCCTTTCAGGAAAGTGATGCCACGACAGCGAAGAATGGCCGAGGACGATGCCCCCTATAACCCCAACGACAGGAGCCCTAAACATCTGACGTGGCGCAGGGCACGTGGACCTTCTAAAGGACAAAAGTAAGAGCTGAAATAGCACAATATTTCTCATTTCTCATGTAAAAAGACATGTAGAACATTTTCAATTACCCGGAAATGCACTTACTGATTTAACGAGAAGTGATTTAGCTCAAAGTGTAGATAAGACTGGTATCAAATACCCTGTGAAATAATTCCGAAAGAAATGGTACCATTCCTAAGTAAATATTCACTGAATGTGGTTTTTAGAAAGTGTGTCCGGGGCCACAGTTTTTATGTAATAAATAGTGTAATTCCTCTCCCCCCCCCCCAAAAAAAACACCCTCCCCCCCAAAAAAAAAAGAATGAAAAAATTACATGACTGAGCTGAAAATTTCCTGAAATATCTAGAGTATGAATCTTTTGTGAAGGTAATTCTTTTTTCAATTATAAATATGTTGTATTGCCTTATATCACTTATGAGTTGACATAGATACTGTCAGACTAATTATCCTCATCACACTTCTAGTTCATTCCCCTGAATGAAATTAATACCCTGCCAATAAATCTCCATAACAAAATTTCCTACCAATTTTGAAAACATTTCTCTGAAATACATCGTCCCCAATCTTGGTCAGAAAAAAAAAAATCACCGTTCCATGAAGGAAATAATTAATCAGGAAATGAAACGTTTCTCTGAAATAAGTCGTCAGCAAATTTGTGATTTACTGAAACAATTTTTGTTTTATTGGACATTCAGAGAGAAGAGTAAATCGCCTCGGCGGATTCCCCCAGACAACCTAGAGTCAGGCAGCCCTGGCGTGGATGAACTGGGCATGGTCGGCCACCCAGATGAACCAGATATGCATTCTATCTTTGAACAATCAGGTAAAACTTTTGCTTTAACTCTACCCATGTGATACATGCTACTATGCATAAGATGGAATTTTTTTGCGTCAGGGTTTATACGTCGGTGAGGACAAAACCTAATATTGATTTACATACAGCTAGGCATGTAACTTTCCCTTCAATCAGCTGATTCCCCCTTTCTTGTGTACTATTAAAAATTGAAAATATTTTGCAGGGAGTCTTGAAAACCAAATCCTAGGATCCTAGGAACTTTAGGATTTTTTTTCTGGGACGGATTACAATTAGCAGTGTTTGTTTTTAACGTCCCAGGTCATACCACAGCACACCATTGTTGCGCTGCCTGGTCGGACGGTGTGTGCCAGAATGAGAACTTCCAGCTACTCAACGTTGACAAGGCAGTCTTCTCTGGAGCCAACCAGGTTAGTCCACTTTTTAATTCCTCAACAGTTCTGTCCCAATGTTGAAGATTACTCTGTTTCTACTCATGGTTTTGCAAGTATAATTTTTGCTCCCGTTTCTACATTTGGCCTAAAACTCAAGTAATTGCGAAGATTTTAAATACAGACTGGATGCTGATATTCAACTTGAATTTTACAAACGGAGAGCCTTTGATAGGATTTTTAGTCTGTGTGTAAAACACAGAATGGATTTTCCAAGTAGAAGGTTTAGTCGTGACACTATGTGACACTTAATCCCTGTTGTGAGTAAAAGTGAACAGAACTTTCTGATCGTCGTGAGGACACTGAGCTTGCTGTTTGAAGCATCGGTTTACGTACATGTTTTTCAAAACCCCATTTAACTTGCTAAAGGCTTCACCTCAAACCTTTCCCTTCAAATCTTAAAATGTAATTTATTTGTTACTTTTTGTTTACAGCGGTGTTCTTACTGTCGGCGCTTTGGTGCCACCATCTTCTGCATGGAGGTGGGCTGCAAGCGAGTCTACCATTACCCCTGCGCTGCAAGCTCCGGCTCTTTCCAGGTACGTAAAAACCGTTCCCGACAGCAGACTGACCTTATGTTGGCACGGGGAAGCTAAAATCATCTTTACCTTTAACACATTTTTGAGAGTGGTTTTGTGCAGTGTTTTTTTTCCCTAAGTTCAGGCCTCTGGTGACAGTGGTTTGATTCCTGCCAGGGCCAGTATGGAAAACAAAAATTGTCCTTACAAGTTCGTTGTTACTGAAATTTATAAAACTTACAATATTTTTTTTTTCTCCAGGGCATCAAATCACTTGCCCTGCTGTGCCCTGATCATCTGGACCTCTGTGAAGAGAAAGGTAGGTCGGACAAAAAATCACAACTTTAACATTTTCTTTGCTTAGCCGTTGCCATTGCTGGCCAAATAATGGACTTGATCCTCATCTGCACTTCAGCATGCATAGATATGAAGGCATGCACTATGCATTCAATGTGTGGAGATTAGTCAATCTGGTGTTGTTTATGTTTGTGATTTCTCTTCTCCAGTGTTATTTACTTTGTTTGTTTGTGATTTCTCTTCTCCGGTGTTTATTTTATTTGTTTGTGATTTCTCTTCTCCAGTGTTGTTTATTTGGTTTGTTTGTGATTTTTCTCTTCTCCAGTGTTGTTTACTTAGTTTGAGATTTCTTTTTTCCAGTGTTGTTTATTTTGTTTGTGATTTCTCTTTTCCAGTGTTTATTCTATTTGTTTGTGATTTCTCTTCTCCAGTGGAGGAGGAGGAGCTAGAGTGTGTCATCTGTGAGGCGCCAGGCAGTCTCCAGGACCAGCTCTTCTGCACCAGCTGTGGCCAGCACTACCACAGCACCTGCCTGGATCCCCCGGTAGTCGTCACCCCTGGTGTCCGTGCTGGCTGGCAATGTCCCAACTGTAAGATCTGCCAGACCTGCAGGTAGGTTGACTTACTAAAGACCCCTCCACTCCCACCCTCATCATAGATACAGAAGTAGGGTTAGTTTGTCAAAGGTGGTTTGAATAGAGTAGAACTTCCCTATAATGATGACAATAGTATCCACAGAAGATTGTTCAGTACAGCAGTCGCAAATGTGGCCGCTAATGCTGGGTATAATTGTACATAAAAATTGGAGTCTCAGTTTTGCAGCATTTGTTACAGCTGAATTTTTCAGTATAGCGTTGTCCATATCAGAGCATTCTACTGTAGTTCTTTTTTAATCTTTTGGGGTTTTTTTTCAGTTATAACCGCCACATGATTTTTTAGACCCATCACAGCTGTGACTGTGTAACCAGATGGCTGTCAGATGTCTGACAGGTGTGAACTCATGCGTGACATTTGGGCTTGGAGCTTGCATTTGCACATTCGGCAATCACAGATGTTGTTGCCCAGGTGCATGTGGTTTTGGCTGGCTTATGGCCAAATCCGTAATGATCCATTGTTGGGCACGACCTCACGTTTTTGGGGCATTATTTATGCCTTAGGAATGGCTTCCTAAAATTTTGTTTTGATTCGTTTTGTGACCTACAGACAACCAGGGGATGACAACAAGATGTTAGTGTGTGATACATGTGACAAGGGATACCATACGTTCTGCCTGCGCCCTGCTATGACCACGATACCCAAACACGGCTGGAAATGCAAGGTAAACTGCATTATCAAGACAACGTGCCCAACAAAAATTGCTTAATGCAAAAAGACCGTGAATTTGATTGGAAGTCAATTTTATTTCAATTAGGTACCAGTCAAAGTGAAATTAATCACATTTTTAAAATGTAATCCATCCAGGAATGAAAGAAGACAATAAAGGAACTATAAACATTTGATGCCTTTGTGGAAATCCCAATGGAGTTAATTTAATTATTTCAAGGCTAAGTTAAAAGTAATGACATTTCAGATGTTTCTGTGGAATTTCTTGATATGTTTCTCTTCAGATAATTAACAGTTTTTCACCATTGTCCTTTCTTTTCAACACAATGATGTGAATGTTACAAGTTTTCTTGTTGTCTTTGTAATACTCAGAACTGCCGTGTTTGTGGTGACTGCGGGGCTCGTACCCCTGGCAGCGGGCCCAGCTCTCGCTGGCATCACAACTACACCGTGTGTGACTCGTGTTACCAGCAGCGTAACAAGGGCTACTTCTGCCCGATATGCGGCAAGGCGTACCGGCACCACACAACCCACAAGGTCATGGTGCAGTGTGACCTCTGCAAAAGGTTTGTAGTGATTGAATCCATCCCATTTAAGTGGCTTGCACACAAATTTTATTTTTGTCACCGATTGCTGTCAGCTAGACCATCACTGGAGAGACTGTTCACAGTCAAGGATTGTAGAAGCCTGGAGCCCAGACTTTCCTGAGGCCAAGCCTGATTTTGTCACCCTTGATAACAGTGTTTAATCTTTGGATTAGTAATCTGGAACTCACAAAAGGATTGAGATACAATAATTGGAATTGTAACTATATTGACTGAGTATTGTTACGCCTTCAGATCAAATATGAAAAAGCAACATTCATGGTCTGTTTTTCTTCTTTAATATTGGTTTTTATTTTAAAAATGTGAAGCTCATCAGACTCGGGTTGCTTTTGATGTGCAAAAACTACTGGGTAATATTTTACCCATGTCGTTTGATTATTCGTTGATAGATACATCCATGCTGACTGTGACAACAGTGATGTGGTGACGAACTACCAGCAGATGAGGGCAGCTGGACAACGCTGCACTTATGAGTGCCGAGACTGTAGGCACAGACAGGTGGGCACCCCCCCCCCCACCCACCCCCATTCATAATTCATTCTGTTGACATGTAGGTTTCATCATGAAACTTCATTGTAAAAAAATGTGTTTCTTTTACTTACATACACTATTACGCTATACGCTATTTTTGTTTACTGTCACTAACAGACGAACCTTGAGATCGGGACAAGGTTTTCTGAGACAAGATCGAGCTCCACAACGTTGTACAGCGACTCAAGTTGCACGGAGACCGGAGAGAGGGAAGGTAAGATTGGACCTGATTGGACAAACTTATGAAAAAATGTTGCAACCTGACGTCACTTCCGCAATTGTGTACAAAGTCTACGGAGAGTCGAGACAATTTTTAAAGTATTTCCTAACAAAATTGGAAATGTTTCTCAGCCCCAGATTCATGCCTTATCATCATTTTTGCAATGAATGACCTTCATTGGGATGATATATGAAGTAAAAAGTGGCGTCAGGTTGCAACATTTTTTCCCAAACTTCCATCAAGAGCACACAATGCAAATTCCAGAAACTTTTGCAATGCTGGGGCTACAATTGGATGTTAATTGCATTTTCGTTCCGTAACTTGTACTGTTCTTGTTCCAGTAGGTTACGCAACCAGGAAGAGCCCCGCTACCTCCCGGTCCTCACCTCGGCACATCGGTCTGACCGAAGACTCCCTGGCCCATTCCCATGAGTCGGTAGCCAGCATGTCCACTTACAATGAGGACAGTCTGAGTAGTATGGATACCGACTACACCGGAGGAGACGAGCCAAGGAAACTCACAGATGTAAGCTGTCAAAAGTCTTAGACAATCGGTAGCTGAGTCTCCTTACAAGCTAATGAGAGATGCTAATTTTCAATGTTTTCCCAAGTAGAGAACACAACTATAACCTTGTTATCTATTTACATTACAGAAAAGCTGCCATTGGTGGCTCAAGAAATGATTGATTCATGTATGAGATTTTTCTGACTTTTGTCTGAATTCAGACTTTTTGAATTTGAGAGAAAGACGTTATCAGTGTAGAAAGAAATGCATCTTTCTGTCCTTTCATCCTATTTTCACATTTTTCACAAGTCAACAACCGTCCAATGGATATTAATTTGTACTCAGCAATTTTAACCATTACTGGACATAATCAATTGAGGTCAAATTTTTTATTTTTTTGTGACTTTATGTTGCTCGGAACGTGCAGTTGTGAATGTGAAACTCTTTGCATAACAGTATAGCAAATATTTGCATTGTAATGCAGTACACAATAGAAGTAAAACGAAAACACCAAACCTTACAACCGCAGACATCTCCTAACTTCTTCTCTCTTTTTTTTGTCACAGCGGCCTACATCCTCGTCCTCAAGCCACGCCCACTGGCCCCACGCAGGGGGCGGCAAACCACTGGATAAACTCAGCCAGTTGGGACCGTTTGGAAGGAAGAAGTTTGGTGTGGGAAGACCAAGGGTAAGATTGGCGTGTCGTCTCATGGACTGATAAATTCAAAGTTTCTGTGATTGAACACTTAGATCCTGGCATAAGACTGCGTGTTGCTCTTCTCCTTGGCGAATTGCTCACCTTGATAAATTTCTCACAGAAACCCATATCAGAGTGTTGATTTTTAGCCCTGCTTGTTTCTTCTTTTGTTTCTAGGGAAGAGGTGGTTTTGTTGGCAGAAAGAGAGGTCGACACCACCATGCAGGAGCCAAGCGAGGCCCCAAACCCAAGAACAAACTCAGCGCACTCCTACCTTCAGCCTCACAGGTAAAGCCTGCATGTATTGAAACAGTGAAATGGAGGGTGAAAAGAAGAATTGTGAAGGTAAAGTCTAAAGAATCTGAGTTGCAAGTTCATTTACTGGTCAACTCGCAAGTCAATTATTAGGCAACTCACAAGTCAAGTCAGAAGACATTTACAAATCAAATCACTACTCACAATTGAGACTACATATAGGAGATAAATAAAGATAAAGGAATTCCGTAGTAACAGTTCAATTGTATACTTTATCACTCGACCTAAGACTTGACACGTGATATGACTAGTGATTGACTTGATTATTACTATTTTATAATTAGTTGCTGGCGATCAAATTATTTGATTTCTAGTTGATCAAAGAAAGTCAATGTTTTAATACATGTGTATGTGGGTTTTTTTATCACTCTCAGAGCAATCTGTCCTTCACGGTGGATAACAGTGTCGAGAAGAAGCACACTAAAGATGACGAGGAAGATACCACCATGCACACCACCGTGGTCCTCTTCTCAGCCAGCGATAAGTTCACCAGTACACAGGTACGGTTATAATGTTAACCCCTGTTATGCCCTGTTTGCATGGATATATCTTCAAATCCTTCAGGAAATCTATGGAAACAGTTGAGCAAACACGGTGGCAAGGCAGCTATTTATATCTTCCCTGTTGTCTTCATCCTGTAACCCTGAGCAGCTTCAACTTTTTTGGAGTGTTACCTCCATTACCAAAAGAAATCACAAACCTGATTTTTTTTGGTCAAATGAACGGAGAGTGGAATGCTATTTTCTTTCATCATGTGATACCAAACAAAGCTTTACGCTTCCTTGGAGTATTCAGTCCTGGTTTCTATCCTACCCCAACCCTTAACCACTTCGCGCCGGGAATATTTTTGCCGAATATTTCAATTTTCGCAAAAGGCAAAATATTTCTGCCAACTTCTGATATGCAGCCACACGCCACAAATACTGATTCGCAAGAATCATTTCAGCAGTATTTGTACGATATTTTTTGCCGAAACCTCATACGTTTTAATACTCTGAAGTGTGCACTGGAGCGTAAATTGTAGAATAGGCCGTGCACAGCGGCCAATTCAAGATCAACACACGGTCTGCCTCCACAGACTTCACAGACTTTGTGTGTGTGTACAAAAGGCACGAGGGATTAGCATGTTTAGACGTCACCCGGAGGCGAGGCGAGGCAATATTGACGTCTTAACCCGTCAGCCGTGCCTGCGTATAAAAACAGGGTGTTATCACATCCTCCGACGCGAACTGGATAAACTTTGTACCCAAGCACCAAAGTTATGTTAGTAACCAATTTTATGATGCCACTGTTTTGATTAGTTGTCACATTGTTGATTTGTTTTTCATTTCAGGATATGTGTGTCAGCTGTGGCAGCTTTGGTCTGGGTCCCGAGGGCAGACTCCTAACCTGCTCACAATGTGGCCAGTGCTATCATCCATACTGCGTCAATATCAAGGTAGGTTCAATATCAGGAGTGATGAGCCAGCGTTTGAATCTACCCACTTCCAACTGGTTGAAACCAGTTACAGGATATTCAGAACACAATGGGATAGGCATACATTTTTCCAAGTGGTTGAAACCAGTAACAGGATATTCAGAACACAATGGGATAGGCATACATTTTTTCTGATTTTCAGCCACCGTGTTTAAGTAGTAATTGTGCGTACAAAATTGGGAGCCAAAGCAGACGTGGATTAAAGCGGTTATAGCGATCGTCGCTGTACATGTGCTATAATATTTCAGCGGTAATCATAAAGGTAATTCTCTGATAAGCAACTGACAAATCTTCAACTCACTTCATTTTTGAGTTTTTGTTGAGCAATTCTTACATCCTCCTAATGTGCTCAACATGGAGAATATTCGCATGTTTGGCTGACTTAAAAATATTACAGTCAAAGACGGAAGATGAAAGGAATGTTTGACCAAGTACTGATGTTCACACACTATGGTCCCCTACCCCACCCCTCCCCCCACCCCCACCTACAGATCACCAAGGTGGTGTTATCCAAGGGATGGCGTTGCCTAGACTGCACTGTCTGTGAAGGCTGTGGTAAAGCCAGCGACGAGGCTCGACTCTTGCTGTGCGATGACTGCGACATCAGCTACCACACCTACTGCCTGGACCCGCCACTGCTCCATGTGCCCAAGGGAGGCTGGAAGTGCAAATGGTAAGGCAGATTGCAATCAGCATTCTGGTAATCAGCGATGTTAGCCTGGGTCCAAATTGCAGGGCTATGGCTAGCAATTACACATGCACCTATGGAAGCGGCTGTAGCCACTTCCATAGACGTGTGTGTTACTGCTAGCCATTGCAGTAGTAAATCGGACACGGCCTAAGTCTTCTGACAGTTAAAAGATTTCCTGCTTGTGTTTAAACTTATAGATAACATATTGGTACCATGTTCTTTACTTGTGTGTCTCACATGTCCTTTACAAGAAGTCAGATCTACTTACATCTAGGGTTGTGCATCGGAACCGGGTTCCCAAGTAACCGACTGTTAATGTCAGGAACCGGTTCTAGAGTAGAGAACTGGGTACTCGTAACCAACTTTACAAATTACAAAGTTACTTCTCAGACAATGAAAAAGAAAGGTTTTGAATGTCATTTGTGGAGGATTTTAAAAATGAAAATCAGGCTGCATGAGAAAACAAAACATATTTCATGTTCGTGACGCTCGCGAAAGTTGCAGTTTACACCGTCAAGCTATAAGCTCACTGTACACACTTGTATCTTGCTGTATTGACGCACCGATGTGGTAGTATTATCGTGCAGACCTTTATGAACAATCTGAACAGCAACTACCGAGATTTGAATTTTGAGTTTGGGTTTCTTTAACGGAATCTGGTACCCAGTTCTCATACTACCTGTAAATGCACACCCAAACTTACATCCTTAGTAATGTGGCAATTTTAATAAGTTGGATTGAAAGAATTGTGTAGGTCAAAATTGATTCATGCATTCAAAGTATGTTTTATTGTCATGCTTGCCTAATATTTTACCTCCACAAAACTTGTGCAGTTAAGGTTTAAATATCACACTCTATTCCCTACAAGTTGTATTTCTTGAATCGCTCTTTTCTTTTCCACCTTTGAAGTGTCTAAGCGAGGCAGTATTCAAAAACCCATGGCCGTTCTTTGAGTTTGAACCCACTGTCTCCCATTTCTTTCCCTGTGTAGGTGCGTCTGTTGCCTGCAGTGTGGCGCCACCACCCCCGGCACCCAGTGTGAATGGATGAACAATTACACCCAGTGCGGCCCGTGTGCCAGCCTCATCCAGTGCGCTGACTGTCTGATGCTCTACACAGACGGTGATCTCATCTGCCACTGCACGCACTGTGACAGGTACATCATGATGTGATTGTTGGTCGGCAGTGATCTCTCACTTTAATTTCATTGGCATTGTGCGAATTACTTGGTTATGGCTCACAACTGTGCATAGCCAATAAAGGATGAATGATTAAATGTAGGTCGGTATGAACTCCGTGAATGAATAGTAGATTGCGCTTTGTCACCACTTGGAGGAGAAAACGCATATGGACGCACTGGTTTGCGCTTGTATTGCGCAAAGTACGTTCAACTTATTTTGTTATTAGATCTTTGTATTAGCGTCAGGCGCTCGTTAGCAATGCGTTCAAGGGTCGCTCCTTATTGTCCCTTCCAACTTTCTCTTTGTAACTGGGCAATTCCACGGAATTACAAACCTCAGTGCCAAAACTTCAAAAAATCCAAATGTCACAAATGAAACAGCTTATTATCTGTATTTTTATTGAAATATAGTTTATTTCTCTAACAATGTTCAACCGTTCAGCTGTAACTTTTAACTGAAAATTAAATAATGAGTACACGAAAACATCAATTAGCTGATTCTGTTGAATCTCCTCCCGATAACAGGTGGTTACATTCTGAATGCGACGGCCTAACCACAGAGGACGAGGTGGAGAAGACCGTCGACAAGGGCTACGTCTGCCAGCTGTGCCGACCCCACGCCAAGCCACTGGAGGCTAGCCCGGCAACGGAGAACATCCAACCCATCGTTCCTGTCACCAAATCCACTGACATGGGTAAGAGACGTGCACATGAGTCCTGGAGTTTGTGTTCATTTCACCAAATGTTTGAAACGGAAGGGAGATGTGGATAGTCGGGGATTGTGTATGGGTTTGAGAAAACCTGCCAAACGTTGACAAAAATAAAATGAAAAGTAAATTTTGTCATACGATGTTAAGGTATGACAAAATCGCCAGAGGATTATAGTTTAACAAACATTTTTTTGGCACTAAAAGTGTTGTAGCTGTTTAACCTCACAGGTCCTTTTGCTTGACTTTGGCCTGTTTTTTTTTTGTCAAACATAGCCACAATACCTGTTCAACTCACTCTATCAAAGCATTTTGTGTGTTAGTATTTTATCTCACCGTGTGTACTGCATCAAATTGTATGTGATCATGCCTGAAGTTTCAGTGAGCTTTATCATATGTATCTGCCGTAGCTGATTTCATAAAACTCTACGCAATGGTGTAACTCACGTTTCAATGTGAAATTGCAAAAGTTTATGACACATTTCACAAAAGTCAAGCATTACATAAGTCTGTGACTTACACCCAAAAAAACGGCGTAACTTAATGAGACATTTCTTGGTAATGTAAGGAAATCGCAAGCATTTCAAACATGCTTCATTTCATTGTTTTATCGTTATCATTATAAAACCTGTCATTGCCTTAGTAAACGTGTACACAAGAAATTTACAGCATTTTTTTTGAAAGTAATGAAATGCTGTGTTTACTGTGAGAGAATTTGAAAGTTGCTGCCCGATTCCAAAAAAAAAAAGAACACAAAACTATTTTCCAAATTTTACAGAGAAAATTCAAAGACTGTTCTGTGACCAATATTGCACCTTACAAAAGCTGTCATGAAAATTGCAACTGTCAAAGATATTTAAAATATCTAAAAGTTACACAGACCCAGTGTGTTGAAATTGAGTGTAAGAATATGACGCAGTTGTGCAACAAATTTGTGGGGTAAATTCCTCTGCATGGCATAAGTTACTGTTTTGTGAAATTGGCTGCAGATGCAGAAATGTTTGTCATCACTGGAACTATCGGCTGAAAAGTGAACCTTTTAAGCTTGATCAGATAGAGAAGATCAAACTCAAGTCAGGCAGAAATTACATTACATTTGCTGAGAATCAAGTTTTAATATTCAGGTTATACTTGCGTCAAAGTTGGGGAATGATTTCATCTTCCAAACCAACCTTCATGTTAATACATCACCGAGGTTATGCACTGAGGGCGTTGTGGGACTTTAGTCTGGGGGGGGGGGGGGGGTTTAATGCTCTTTTATTCATTTTCTATCCTTTTATATCCATTACAGTTGATTTGCATGGTTTTTGAAATACTCCTTCTTTCATCTCATAATCGTCTTTTATACCTTGTTCCTGTCATTTTCCCACTGCATGGCAATCTTCATTCCAGCATATCACATTCATACATTCTGTATTCTGTAACTTGAATCATTTTTTAAGTCAAAGGATTATTTTTAATTATCCACTCTCAATGCCTATGCGCAACCTTTCTCAAATTTAAATCTCTATTGCACTTGTTACATAATTAACAAGCAAAAGTTTTGGCCCAAGCATGACATCTGTTGTTTTTTTTCCAGTTTTTATTGTCATTTCAAATTTCTGACACTGGTAGAAACTCAACTCAGACAAAAAGTCTTTCACAGGATAGAAATCTTTTAATCACGGCCCTCTCCGCGTTCTTTTTTGTTTGTTGGCAAATGCAGAGTCCGCCCCTACGCAGTTTTCGGTCGAAGGCGTGTCCCTAACCGAGTCAGGGTTCAGACATTTTACTAGTCTCTCCTCCAAGAAGTCACGCGGCCGGCGCCCCTCGCTTAAAGCCGGTAGCCTGGCCATCCTGCAAAGCCTGGCCGATCCCAACTCTGAGATTTCAGTCATGGCCGAGGAGTACAGTGGCCGCAACATTCACAAAGGTATCCACAGGTAGCCAGGCTACCAACATCTGGACTAAGCACACCAAAAATTATAGATCATTATCCAAACTCAAATATTTTCCTGTCAACAAAAAAAGCTTCAAATTTTCAAAGAGTTTCCTGAATTGAGTTTTGAATAAAAACAACTTAAATAATCCATTTGTCAGCTTTCCATATTACCCATCTTGTTTCATTGAATCACACTTTTATTTCTTCGCTTGTGATTGTTTTTTTTTCTCAGAATATCAGTGTGTGTTTTTGGTAATTTGTTTTTTTTCTGGACACTGCTTGTATTCAAAATTCTGTGGTGTGGTACCGTGTGGGTGGTGTTTAAGAAAATCACGATCATTACATGCGCACCATTTTGACTGATTCATGATGTGTAATGTTTCAGGTCTTGTTTGATCCAAACTTAAATCTGATAAGATTTAACCTAGGTTTTTCATCATTATTCCAATGTACATTTATCAAACGAAAACAAGAACACTAAGTAAAATAACTGGTACCCGTTTCTTTCCTTGGTGTTACAGAGTTGAAAGACAAGTATAAGGACCGGGAGAGGTCAGAGGGCAAAGAGGGGAAGCATCACCATCATCATCACCACCATCATCACCACGACAAAGAGAAGAAGAAAAAACACAGGGGAATCTACAAACTGGGTAGGTGGCCTCTCTCTTGACCAGAAGATTGTTTTGCCTTCCGTGGACATATATTTAAAAACTATTGGTTTTATTCTTCCAAGGTTGTAAAAGTTCCTCATAATCTAGGCTGATTTCTTCAGGCTAACACAGGATGAAATTGACAATGAAAAGTCTTGGATGAACGATCGAAGACACAGTGAGCGGTTAAATTGCAGTGTCAATTTTCTGCACTGACAGAGAATGTGTCGATTTTCTTTAAAACATATTTTATTTTTTCTTTGTGATACCATTGACACTGTAAAATTTATGAAATAAGGATTGGGCTTCTTTGGTCAGAAATTTCCAAGTTTTTAAAATAAAGTCCTTTAAAATAACTCAACTACATCAGACGTTTTTCATGCTCCAACCAGCCAGTTTTTCCCATTGTTTTCCCTTAAACAGGGGTGGGCGGCTTCACCGTGCGACCAGTCAAGTTTGGGTACGGATCCTCAAGTCGCGGTGCTTACAGTCGCAGCCTGTCAGAGGGCGCTATTGACAAGCATCACCAACATGAAATCTCCGAGCCGGGCACCGATGGTACTTTGTGCAGTTATCCTTTATTAACACATAATGCCGGTAACTTTATTCACTACTTCAATTCACAGAAGAATTTTCATTTGCATATGCTGCACTCTCTTTAAGTTAACCTTGAAAAATTAACATCGTTTCATAACATTATACACAGCCAGAACTATGGGTTTATGGCTTCTGACTAGCGTTCCTTGAACAAAGACATTGTCAAAATGGGGAAGCGATAACGTAGGGCTGGATAGCTCAGTCAGTAGAGCACCGGAACGGCATTCCAGCGGTCACAGGTTCAAACCCCGCAACAGTCAATTTCTTTGTTTAAAATTATTTTTATGCACCTAATCAGTTTCCCTTTGTTGTTTAAGTGCAAATTTCTTTCAATTCATAAAGCCTTTACTTAGAAAGAGTATTTTGTATGATGGGAAAACTTTTGAAAGTGGTTTTTATTCATAAGCGAAAAAGTATTATTTAAGAAAACCATTTGAAAAGGAAATGTTGATGTCTTAAATCTTGATTTATTAATTTGTAGGGGAGCGAACTGGTTTCACAAGCACCACAGACCTCTTTGGCGCTTCAGGAACCTTTGAAAAGAAGAAGAAACGAAGAAAGAAGAAAAGCAACCTGCAGAATAGCTTCCCTTCTTATCTTCAGGTAAAGAGAAGTCTTCTTTTAAGATCATTGAGTTTCATTCTTTTAGCATGACTCAAGAATATTTTTTAAAATTTTATTACATTGTTTTTGAAATTGGATATCTTCAATATGACGTGTTGAGAATTTAATATTTGGTATTGAATTTTGATGATTGATTAATTTTGTTGAGTATCGAGTTCCGAGTATTGAGAATCTTGAGTTGAGCATCTTGGATCGAGTATTGTCTATCTGATATTGAGTTAAGTCTTTGGTATTGGTATCATGTAAAGTATGGGTTGTGAATTTTTGATATTGAGTATCATATATTGAATTTGAGTGTTGACTATCGTGTATTAAATATTTGAGTATTGGTATCCGATTTGAGTTTGGTACTCTTATATTGAGCATCTTGTATTGTGGTTTTCAACAACTGACTAAATTTCAAAACGTTGGTCACTTCCTCTTTCTGTTGGAAAGAAAAAAAGAATAACAGCAGCTCACCCGACTCATATTGTCATTTGAAAAACCAGGAGGCATTTTTCGGCAAGAGCCTGCTGGACTCCAGCAAGAGCAAGGAAGGGCTTGAGATATCTGATGAGGAGAGCAGGCCGCCGGTCAGTAAAGGGCTGCGGAAGATTCACCCCAGCAAAGCCTCGCCGACCAAGGCTGCTCGTAGGGTCTCCGAAGGAACGCCACAGACCAGCCACCCAAGCCAACAGACTGCAAACTCAACCGCTGGCACAGTGGTCAGTCTTATAGCCTTTGCTTTCACTGACAGTTTTATCTAATATTTGGTGGTGGTCCGTGACAGACTTGTGAGGGACTTTCGATGGACTTGTGACAGACTTGTGAGGGACTTGTCATGGACTTTGTGATTGAATTTGTGATGGGACTTGTGATGGTCTTGTGACAGACGTGTGATTGAATTTGTGATGGAGTTGTGACAGACTTGTGACAGACTTGTGACAGACTTGTGATGGGCATGTGACAGACTTGTGATGGACATGTGACAGACTTGTGGGGGACTTGTGACAAACTTGTGATGACTCAATCCAGCACATGTACAATGCGTCGTTGGATTGATAATTTGACATTGATCCATAGTGCTGAAATCGTTAGGAAATCAGCCTGTATTTTACACCAGCTTAAACCTTGTCTTACTGTTGACCCTTTTCCTTCTCAGCAACACGTCGAGGGAGGGGACTTGGGCACAGGAGACGATCCGCTCAACTTCCTACCCCAGGAGGAGCTACTAGGCATCATCCTTGGAGATGGACTCGGGAAGAATGGAGAAAGTGAGTCTCAGCCACATTATTAGACTCTAAATCAAGTTTGCACTTTCTTAAAACCAATAAACTTCAGAACCTTCAAAGTTCAACGTGAGGTGTTGGAGGATTTTGCAGGATCGAGAAAGGTGGAGCCAATCCATATTTCATCTGTTTGGGCTTGATTCCCCTGGAGCATGCCGTTACTTTCCTACAACGGTCGAATTTAGGAGGATTCAGGAAGGCTTCTTTCGGAATTAACGTATCACTGTAGAATCGCGTCAACACAGCTTGTAAAATATTGTCCAATTACATGAAGTACAAATGGACACGGAATACGCAAAATCTGAGACAAATAAAACTTAATGTACAGAATTCATAGAGTTGTCGAAGGGGCATTGCTAACTCGCAAACGGCGATAGGTCAATTGCCTTTGGTGTTGAGTTTAACCCATTTGTCACTGTACTGTTAGACCCAAACCACTCTGCCTTTTTAGTCCCTGTACCACCTGTAACTGCCCCAGGGTGGTATGGTTTGTGGATCCGTCAGGGAATATATACAATGTAACACATTGTCATACAGGTGCTAATGGCTTAATTGAATTATTACTGTGTATATTGGTGTCTTAGACGTGGTGTTGGTTGTTGAAGAGTATTACACAGTGTCTTGCTGTCTTTTTTTGTCAGGTCTTGATATCGATTCTATCGGGGAGCCTGCCCAGCCGTCGGGAGACCACACAGAAGGAGCCCAACCCTCCAGCAGCAACGCTGAGCTGGACTCCATTCTCAGTTCCAACTTGGGCCACATGGTCCCCGATGGTAAGTGTATGAAGTTGAACTGTGGTCTGTGATTCCAACTTGGGCTGCATGATTTCACATGATAACTTGTAGCGGGGATTCATTCTCGGTTCCAAATTGCATAACATTGTCTCTTTGATAAGTACGTAGCTGGGCTCTTGTCAAAATGCCAATTTAGACCTTGATAAAAAGTGGAGAGTAAAAAAAAATGCTTTTAAAAGGCCACACAGCCAAAAAATATGTTCCATAGAAATATTCATTAGGATATGCCACTATTAAATATTAATTAGTGTATGAAAGCAACATTTCACTTATAGTTAATCAAATTTCAGTATCTCTGAATTATGTGAATTAAAGCTTGGGCTTCTTACAGGCATGAGATTTTTGAGACTTTAGCTGAAATCAGACTTTTTGAATCTGCATCTCTCAACTTGTCTTTTGCAATCCTCTTCGTACAACTCCTTTGCATCGGAGTAACATGCATGCCCCCGTCTTGACATCATTTTTTAGATCTTGCCCACATCGATGGTAAGGAGGTAGAGGATTTATTCTCTGGCGTTCTGAGTCCGACGGAACACGGCACAACCATGTCCACCCAGTCGGCCATGACAGCATCTATGGCTGGTAAGTCCTGCCCACAATGTGTCTTGGATGAAGCTCACTTTTCAGTACTACTGTACTTGTTTGTATGTTACCTTTGTGATTTTTTTTTGTATTTGTTTGTTGTTCTGTCCTCCTGGCTTCCAGTTGAAGATCTTCATTTTTGTTTCTGGTAGCCAGCATTTCATTTGATCATAATACTAAATTTCTACCTTACTTTTAAGCACAATATTCTGTATTTAAGCTCGGTGAAAAATTCACAAGCTTACCATGGGGAGTTGTTAGGGTTGGTTTGTTCATATAAGAGGGTCAGGGGTTCGAATCCAGCTGCTTGCCATAGTGTTGTGTCCTTGGGCAAGCCAATTTACCTCCGAGGTGTATAAATGTGTACTGGATAAGCTGGGGAGTAACGTGCCATGGACTGGCATCACATTGAGGGGAAATAGAAATATTCTCAGTTGTTTCATGCCACTGAAACCGGAGATAAATGCTGCCCAGATTGGTCACATATTGGCTTGTGACAGACTTTACTTACAATGGTTTAGCCCGTGACCTCCTGATAATAATGATGTGGTTGGGATTTTTCTGTGACATTCTATCGTCTGTTTTGGTCTATGTAAAAATAGGCATGGTACTAAATTTGTGGCAGGGCAACAGACTTCGATGGGACATCATAAATGTTTAACCCTGCCCTCTCAAACCCCTTTGTGGAGAACATTGTTTGCCATTATTTCAAATATCAAATGTGATGGTGATAAGCACATGTGGGGTCTTGTATTGTTCATTTCAGGTTCAGACGGAGTGATGGGCCCTCCAGCAGGCCACATGATGCCCCATCAATCCAGGCGTGTACCCACCAGCTTACCCATGCCCCTGCTCCAGACGCACCTGGCACATAACACCACGCAGCCTGGGATTGCCAGGTAAAAACTTGAACACTTCATTGAATCTGCACAGTAGAGCATACAGAATTGAATCAAGCAGACGTGAAGGCTGGTTGATGCTAGTGGCGAATGTGAAGGGAATGTGAATTTGCCATCACAAATATTCGCTGCGAAATTTGCCGGAGTTCCATTTTTTTGAGTTCCGTTTTTTTGCAACATTTTTTTTGCACAACCTTTCTTTTTTCATTGTCTGAGAAGTTACTAAGTAATTTGTAAAGTTGGTTACGGGTACCCGATCCCATAATCTGGAACCGGTTCCTGACATGAACAGTCGGGTACCCGGGCCCCCGGTTCTGATACAAAGCCCTACGAGAGGAACACTGTGAAATTAAAATGGTAGATCAGTAATGGTAATTCCTTTTTATAGTTGCCACTGGGTCGGAGATATGCTCAAGTAGAGTTTCAAATGAGGACAAGATGTTCGGTTGTAAGACAAACAGTGCCATAGTGTTTACAACTTGCATCATGTTGAATTTGTCCATTTTTCCATGATCCCAACAGCCCCCCGTTCAGTCCTGATTTTGCCGAGCCCCCAAGCCCCTGGCAGAGTGGTGCAGGAGGGGATGCGGAGGGGGAGACCCTCTCCTACAACCAGCGCAACATCAAGAAGTGGGAGAAGGACGAGCCCCTTGGACAGTTGGCCACCATCTCCCCGGTGCTGTATGCCAACCTCAACTTCCCAGATCTCAAGAAGGAATATCCAGGTAAGGACTTTGCTCGGCGGTCGTACCCATCACTTTCTCCGTTTTCTTGAAGCTCTCAAGAGATTGTATTCAACCGTTGAATTGGGGATCATTACCTCGCATGTGCATGGGTCATTCTATAAAATTTGGGGTCCACTTTTTTTCCAGTCCCTGTAACATCTGACGTCTTTGATTTTATTTAGAATGCCTGGCTACGGTGTTTGACTCATGTACGATGAAACGTGGGTTCGAACCCTGCCAGCAACATGCTGTTTGTGCCCTTGGGCAAGACACTTAACTACAAGTTTTTTGTGTGCAATAAAACATACAAGTTGAATTTTTTTTTTAAAAGTTGAAAATAGAGAACAAACTAATTTGCTGAAGAGCATCTTTAACAAACACTGTTGTCACACTTCCATATAAAGAAAAACTTATGATTTAGATTTTTCCCAAACACTATACATGTTGAATTATCCTCTTTTACAGACTGGCCTTCACGAGCCAAGCAGATTGCTAAACTCTGGAGGCGGGTATCGGCCACAGACCGTCAGCCATACTTGGTGAGTTTTCATCATTTATACACCTCTTGGATGATGTTTTTTTCCCACCACAGTGGCCTTGATGCAAGCACGCCCAAACTAACCGCTCGAGTACACTATCTTGAGGTCAAACAAATTGACATAGCCATTGTATTCAAATGTTTCTGCTCCCCCATTGTTGTGATATAACAAGCCTAATCAGCATTCATGTTTGATAAAAAGTATGGTTTGCTCATTGTGCCGCAAAAGTGAAAAAAATTATGTTGCATTGTTTTTTGCCGCACAATTGTACATTACAGTTTAACATGTCGCAACACGTTAAACATTTTGCACAAGTTGCTTTAAAACCACAGACCTGTTCGATTGTTTTCTTGTTTATTTATTTATTTTGTTTGATAGCACTGCATAAGTGATGTGACCCACGAAATGACTTCTTTTTTTTAAATTTAGTATCACACCTGTAGTTGAATTGATAACTCATAGCTTGTTTGCAGTGAGTGTGTGCACTGGCATAGACCAACTTTACATTGCAAGAAAGTGTCTGCTTGCGTAAATTGAAATTTTGGTCGAACAAAAGTGTGACTGTACAGATAAAAACAAAAACTTGGCAAGTTGCCAAAGGTTCTAGACATAGCCGACCTCCAAATTTGTGCTCGGTTTTGCAACAATAAAATGCAATCGCTTTTCCTCAAAAATAACTTCACTCCCCATTTTTGGTGTGTCCAATTCGACTTTAAAAATATACAAAACTTTTCGCATATCTTTATCCCTTATGATGAGCTCGAAGAAACAGCTCTATCCATAAAAAGGATATCAAAAGATGGTTCAGAAGACATGACACAACTCCTATGCTAGCGTGTATCTCTTTTTTTATTTTGACGTTGCACTTTCTTGCGTGAGATTTGTGGACCGCACTGCATGTCCATCTTGACAACGCTTTGCATGTTGCCTGTCTTGTTTTGTTACAGCAAAGAGCCAGGGAGAACCGGGCCACTCAGAGACTCAAGGACGCACAGAAGGTAGGTCTGATCACCTGCCTCCCCCTCCCCCGCAAAAAAAAAAAAATTAAAAATATTCAAAAGCTGGAGTCTTATAATTCTGTAGAATCAAAGAACATTCATTTGAAATTACCCTTGAAATTTGAGATTTAATAGTACTTAATTAGTTATGAAATATATAAAAACATTTATTTTGGGCGGAAAAAAAATCAAACTAAATTAATCCACAAAGACGGATCTTCATAATGATGAGGTGTTTTTTGTAAGCGGTCAACTTTCAGCTTGGGGCAAGTTCGATCAAGAACCAATGGTTAACCGGTGGTTTGGTTTGTGACGTACATACGCACTGAATATGAAGTGAATATTTCCATCTTTTGTTGTCGTGGTCATTGTTACGACGTTTCGAGATCTTGAACCATCAACTGAACTGCTGTAGTTTATGTGGTTTAATCACTCCACTAACTGACTGAATGCATTGTTTGTTACGAAGCAGCTCAGTGCATAGTGCATGTTGCATGTTGCATGCTGTATTCATTGTGTATTACTGAGTCAGTAACTGTGATGTGCTGTGGATGTGTTAAAATCAAAACAAAAAAGATACGGGAGTAACCAAGAAAATTCCTTTGTATATGCATGATATTTTCTGCCTTGTGACTTCAAGAGTGCGAAACTTATCTTACGTACAGCTGCAATTTCTTGCAAGTGCTCTTGTTCTGACGGCAGTTCAAACTAAAACATGTCCATTGAATTCCAGATTTTAAAGGGGAAAAAGGAAGCATTTTATGTTGTCATCCTTGCTGGTTTTAAACTGATTTTTCAAGAATAGGTATGAAAAATACTAGAGAAATTTTAAATTAATATGTAAAAAAAAAGAGTTGTTCAGGAGGTGTATTGGTTTTTGTCATTGTTAATTTAGATACCGAATAGTAACAAGGGGTGTTATAAAATAGACCTTTGAATTTTTTGAATGAAAACATTTAAAGATTACTCTAAAGAGTAAAGTATTCTTGTGTATATTAGGCTAGAAAACAACAATTTTAAACTTCAAAAATTTAAACAACTAACTTTGAACAAAGGAACGGCAATCTGTCTGCATTTATTTCACAGCTGAGTGAAGGCATTCAGAGGAAGCGAGCAGAGGCCGCCCTGCATGCAGGTCAAAGTTCAGACACTGGCACTATGGGCCCTCTAGAGGGCCGCAGTCCCCACCCAGGCAGCGCCAAGGAGCCAATGGAGACCAACACGCAGGCAATGCCAATCAGCTCTCCCAAAGGTAAGAGTTAGAAACCTAAGAGCTTTTGTCCATTCTTGAATCTTGAGGCATTATTTAAATGGTAGGGAAGAAAAGAGGCTAGTTTATAGCCGTTTACTCATATTTTTGCAAAATTTGTGAAACTAAGTTCCTTTCATACCTTGAATTTTTTTTCAACTGTGACAAATCTTTTTGGAAGGTTTTCAAATAACCCGTTTTTATTGTACTGCATACCTGCCAACTGTTCCGATTTAATCGGAATTGTCCTGATTTTTCATTTTACAGACCGCAAAAAAATCGGAACATTCTGATTTCTGACAAAATGAAACAAAATTTTTTTTTAAAAAGGTCCTGCAAAGAGGGTGCTTTTTGCCATGAAGATATCCGAACCTGATTAGGAAAAAAAGAGAGGGCTTTTTGCTATGTTTTTCACTGGGGATGTCAAAGGCATTGAGGATCTTTCTGAAATTCGTGCGATGTGCTTCACTGATTTTCTTGTGGAGCACAGTGATTTATGTTTAATAAGTTGTGAATCATATATTTCTAAAGCTCAGAATGGCAATTGTTGTTTCATGTACGTGAACATGAACATGTAATTAGTTTTCTCGCGCTACTGCTTGCTTCCCTATCTGCAGACTCGTAAAACAGGTGTTTCTTTTTCTGACTTTCCAATGGTGGCAGGTACGGTACTACTGTTGTTAATATTTATTTTAACTTAGTACTTTTTTTAGTACTATTTATTAAGATTAGTACTTTTTTGAATGGTTTTAATTAAATTGTGTTTGTTTGTTGCTTGTAGGAATGGCTCAGCATAGCCCCATGGCCAGCATGGATGTAAGGGGGCCGCCTACCCCAAGCCAACAGCAACCAGCCCACAGCAATCTGCATCTCCAGATGCCTTCTCCGATGAGTGTAGCAACCTCCATGGGACCTACAACTCCCATTGCTCCGGGCACCCCGCTGGGTCCCAGCACACCCTTGGGTCCAAGCACACCGCTGGGTCCTGGTACCCCTATGGGCCCCAGCACACCTCTAGGACCCAGCACACCTTTGGGGGGACCCACCACTCCCTTGGGTCACACACAGAATATGGAACCCACCATGGGACCGGGCACACCCATTGGACCCACCACCCCTGTTGGACTGACTGGACCACCTACACCCGTTGGCCCCTCCACGCCTATGGGCTTATCCCAGCCCATGGGTCCCGCGACGCCTCTCGGCCCAGCCAGTGACAGCAGCCTGCAGGGCAGTCAGGATGGCCGCTTCAGCGTGCCACATTCTCCACAGAGTGGCGGACCTCCAAACATGCCTCAGCAACGACAACCACTGAACAAGACAGGTCCGATTTCTCCAATGATCCAGAGTCCCAATCCAATGGGCGGGCCCATGGCATCTGCTACAGGAGGCCATGGTGATAGCATGGGAGCTAACCAAGGTCCTGCTTTTAGCATGGTCATGAACGTTCGACCAGGCACACCTGCTGACCACAACATGCAGAGAGGAAATTTCCCCATGCAACCAGCTCAGCCATTCTTCCCGTCGGGAGGACCACAGTTCCGTCACAGCAGCCCTGGTGGATCGGCGCAGATGCTTCCAGACCAGAACAGACCCTCGGAAGCAGAGAAGATGAATCATCGTCAGTATCTCAGAGAACTGCTGTTCAAGCAGCAAGAAAAACGGAAACGCAGAGAGGCCCAGCTTCAGCAGCAGCAGTGGTTTGGTGATGATTCCCAAAGACCTCCTCCACCTTACCCAGGGGGCAGCCAGTTCAATGTTGGACCCAACGCAAGTGATCAGCAGCAGTCTATGCCAGAAAATAATACCCACGGCAATTTCCATAGTCCAAGGGCTTCCATTTCAGGCAATATTAGAATGGGCATGGGTGAAGGTCCAAGGCCTAGATTTCCCTTTGGAACCTCTCAAGGCAACACAGAGGGACTCTCCAGCTCAGGCGAATTTATACCATCACCATCTTGGAGAGGCCCATCCCCTGTTTTGTCTCCCTCAGGCCCAAGAACACCAGGACAGTTTATTGAGCTCAAGCATCAGCATCATGAGCCAAGTGGCACGATGAGAGGTAACAGGGCACGTGCTATAAGCATTGCGCTCCTACAGGAAAAACTTCATCAACGTAGTGCTATGCATCAGCAGCAGCAGCAACAACAGCAGCAGCAACAGCAGCAACAGCAGCAACAGCAGCAACAGCAGCAACAGCAGCAACAGCAACAACAGCAGCAGCAGCAGCAACAGCAACAACAGCAGCAACAACAGCAGCAACAACAACAGCAGCAGCAACAACAACAGCAGCAGCAGCAAACAAGACCCTTTCCTCAAAGCATGGGCAGTCACCCTAACCCACTAGACCCTTATGATCACTTGGTACGGATGTCACAGTCTGGACAACCTGTCAGGCATATAAATCCAAGTCAGGTCAGTCCAGTTGCCATGGGTCCTGGTGGAACTTTGTCGGTTCCCTCCAGCATGGGTCTTCAATCACCTGGCCACTTCCCAGCAGAGCACCAGCCACAGGTACCCTTCTCTGACATGGGCAATCGCAGCTTATCCCATCCTGGGCAACAGCAGTCACTCACCGGTCAGCAGAATTTCCAAGAGATTCAAAACCAGCCAGGCTTCCACCCAGTCCCAGTCCCGGTCCCAGGAGGTCCCGGCTATCATGGTCCAGCCCAACAGGGTGTGACTGAGACACAGAGGGAAGAACATGACCAGCAACTAGAAGATCTGTTCAACGGAGATTTTAACATCCTGGAGTATGCAGACCCTGATCTTGACACAAACAAACACTCTGAAGAGAATCAGCAACTCTTCAAAGATCTTGGCTTGTATGACCATCAGGAGAGCAAGCAGTCATCTGAGGACAAATCAAGTGGCTCTGGTTCCTCAACAAGACACCAGGTTCCACAGCTAAACAGGTCAGACAGTAAGCCTGAGGAAACACCGAAGGAGACCTCAGGACCTGAAGGGAGTCTACCTTCAAGTGAAAGCACAACTCAACCCATCACTGAAATCGATGCCACTGAGAAGTACAAGTCAGTGCTCACAACAGATGACTCGCCCAAACAAAAAGGTGATGTTTCTCAAGAAAAGCCCACCCAGGATGAAATAACTCAAGAATCTCCTGTCCCTCCTGTTATTGCGAATGTCCAACCGCCTGAAAAGAACATTGTTTCAAATGAACAGGGTTCATCGCCAACTGTGACTATGGATACAAATAGTAGTAGCCAGAAGTCGCCAAAAGACAAACCTGTGCAAATTGAAGAACAGAATGTTGAAAACAAAAGTGAATGCACACCAGTCTCTGTAACAGTAGAGGACGCAGCTTCAGAAACAGTTGCCCAAGACACCATGCCACCAACAGGAATTAAAAATTCTGTTCAAATCAAGATTGAGCCAGGCCTTGAAGCAGCCAAGAAAGGACCAGGAGAACATTGTCCAGAGAAAACAGATGATACTAATGTGGAATCTACTGAGGAGGGCCAAGGCCAAACTGAAAACAAGCCAAAAGTTTCTGATCTGGATCACAAGGCCATAATAGAACACGATCCCAGTAAAAGCGCTAATCCCAAGGCTGCAAGCTGTACAGTGGAATCGTTACCTGACCAGAGAGCAACAATCGTTGCTGCTGATAAAAGTTTTGAGACTTGCCAACCTGCCAAAGTCCACAACTCAACTGTCACCTCAACTGAAATTGGTAATGTCCAGAATGTGTCAAGCAGTCCTGCTACCTCTACCAGTGTCACACTAACCCCAGGGTGCAGCCAGGTGCCTACAAGTCCGCCCTCAAGTGACACAACCCCATCATCTCAGTTACCATCAACACCACCTCTCTCAACAGAACCCCAAAACAGACATGCTGCATCTCGACCAACTGTTGCAAATCCAAAATCAACTCTGAGCACTGTTGTGTCAAGTAGTGGACAACCTGTCATTAGCTCACCATTGGCAGTCCAAGCTCCAGTTCATCCAGACCCTGTACCTTCAGCATCTGTGGCTTCAGCTTCTGTGGCTTCGACACCAACTACCTCAGACACTCTGACGGTTTCAGGGGTGTTTGATGAGGCTCCAGGAACTGGCAGCCAAGAGACAGCAAAGAGAAGGCCAGTGCTTCTCCAGGAACAGCCTCTTCTTCTCCAGGATCTTTTGGAGAAGGAGAAGATGGAGTTGAAGCAGCATGGTCCAGCTTCCAGTGCTCCAACAACCCCTGTGCCAACTTCCATTGATGGGGCAGCTCTGCCAAACAACAGATCGGTGACCGGACCGGCTGTGCTACCTGGGCCAAATGCAGGACCAGCTCCTGATGGAAAAGCTGTCCAACTCCCTACATCTATGGATCCATTCCCGGGCGACTTGGAGAAAATCCAAGAACAGGCCAAGATGTATGCTAAGGGTAAGATACAAAATTCAACAATTATTGTGATTTTTTTATGTAACAACAAAATATAATATGGAGTACAACAAAGGAAATAATTTGGGTCTGTAAAGGAAACCACAGGAGAACAAGAAACAGTTAATATTTTTTAGTTTTGTGGCTTGAGATGGGACAACTTTGTAAATTTTAAAGTTAACTTTAAGATTGGTTTCGCTTTTTGTTTTGTTTGGCTGTAGAAATTGAAGATTTTGCCAACAAGCCCCCTGGGCCACATGCACAACTGCTCCTAGCTATGAACAGACAACACCAAGAACAGATGCAGCTTCAGCAACGGCAACAACAGCAGGCTCAGCAACAGGCTCAGCAACAGGCTCAGCAACAAGCTCAACAGCAGGCTCAACAGCAGGCTTTGGCAGAGGGGTCTACCCAACAGCAAGTGGCCATACGACCCCAAGAATTTGGCAACATGGACCCCTTCCGCAGCCCCATGCGTCGCTCCCTCAGTATGGGGGATGCCCAACGGCCAGCCACCAGCATGTCAGGAATACCACATATGGGTGATGGTTTTATTCCTCAGCCCCAAGGATTCGGAGGGGTTCCCCCACGCTACAGCAACATGCATTCAGCTCAGTCCCCCTCTCCAGGAGTGCAGAGTCCAGTTGGTATCAGACCACCTCTCATGAGCCCAGACATGGGTCCCATCCCTAGCACCCAGATGGGCAACTCTGGCAACCAGATGTTTGGCATGTCACCACGGGGGCACATCCCAAGTCCAGGTCCCACCCCCAACCTTGCAGGGCTTGGTCCTCGGGGAATGGCCCCCAGCCCAGGAGTCAGCATACCAATGCACATGACTAGCCCCAGTTCCCGGATGCCCTCCCCTCTAGCTAGCCCAGTGTCTCGTATGCCAGGCCCAGTGATGAGTCCTGGACCCAGGATGCCTGGACCAATCATGAGTCCTGGCAACAGGATGCAAGGCCAGATGCCTGGACCCGGTGGAATGAGAATGCCCGTTAGGATGCCAGGAATGCAAGCATCTGTGTTTGGAATGCCTGGGGTTCACGGTATGCAAATGCAGCAAGGTCATGAGCAACCAATGCCTGGATTCGATCCATGGGAGTATCATGAGGAAACACCACCAGACACGCACAACATCCCTGAATATGAAGAGTGGATGATGCGACGGGAACAGTACCTCCAGATTCGTCTCAAGTTCTTTGAAGCGGAGGTTAGTAAAGAACGCAAGAAGAAGAAGGCTCTCTCTGCGAGGCAGAGGTCCTGCAAAAAGAGCAATAAGATCTTTCCTGAGAATGACCAGAGGGACCTAGACAGTGTGATTCAACGCCACACCACTGTGCAGAAGAAGCTTGAATCCATCAGGAAACAGCACCGGCAACACTCAATCCTGATGCAGGAACACCACATGAAACAACAGCAGGAGCACATGTCTTCCTCTCAGCAGTCACCCATGGGGCGCCAAAACCCCATGATGCAAGGCGGGCGCCAGAACCCTATGATGGGTCCGGGTGGTCACATGATCCCAGGTCAAGGGGGTCCTATGATGAGCCCAGGTGGTCCTATGATGGGACCTGGTGGGCCCATGATGGGACCAGGAGGTCCAATGATGGGCCAGGGTCACGGTGGCCGACCTAACACACCAGTCGGTAGCCACCCTGTTCCCATGATGGGCCGGGTAGGTTCCCAGATGATCCAGGCAGGCTTACGTAGCCCCATGCCCCATGTGGGGCCAATGATGCCTGGAAACCAGCAGCCCATGATGGGTGACCCCTTCATGCAGGATGCAAGTGCTATGCAACAAGGAGGACCCCGGCCACCTGGTATGGATGGAGCACCTCAAGGGATGTTTGCAGGAAATGGGATGCAAGGTACTCAGGTCCCTGTAGCATCCCCCGGTCAGCCCACAGCTATGATGCCTGGTCAGCCATCACCAATGGGTATGAATCAAATGATGCCTATGATGCAGCCTCAGCAGACACCGATGATGCCTGGCCAGTCGTCTCCCATGGTGCGCAGTCAATCTTCTCCCATGGTTCCAGGTCAGTCATCACCCATGATACCTGGGCAGTCGTCCCCCATGCTACCCGGCCAGTCATCTCCTATGATACCCGGCCAGTCATCACCCATGCTGCAGAGTCAACCCTCAACCTTGACACCCAACCAAACAACTGGATTGATGCATGGCCAGCCCTCTCCAATTGTGACTAGCCAGTCGCCACCTGTGATAAGCTCTCAACCATCTCCCATGATCAGCAGCCAGCCGGGGACCTTGGTACCACCGGGAAGCCAGTCCAGCGCCCAATCTCCCATAGTGAAAGTCAACCAGTCAGCACCATTCCCAATACCGAACCAGGGTCCGAGCACGCCAAGTGGTCCCAAGTCGCCGATGTCGATGCCTCCACCTGCCAAGCTGCCCCCAGGCTCAGGCCTCCAAGGACTGGTGGAACAGAGCTCAATGTTGTCACCCTTGCAGATCAATCTGGGACAGGATAACAATCCCTTCAGCGATGGCTTCATACAGCGGGAAAGAATGGAGAGGATACGAGCAGAGCATGAGCGGCAGCACAAACAATTGGCACAGGAGGTGGAACAGGTTCGGGCCATGCAGCGCATGGAGCAGGAACGCATGGCTTTGGAGCAGCTACCATTCTTGAATCAGGAAGAGGGCGGACCATTCCATATGCACCAACAGGGACAGCCAGCTACTGTTGTGGTGCCAGGTCTGCAGGAACCCATTCCTTCACCAAGTGGGAACCAACCCTCGTTTCATCCTCAGCAGTCACCCATCATCCCTCCGTTTGGCCCTGATGGTGTGCAAGGGTCTATGTCCCAACAAATGCCTCCGCCGGATGCATTCCCAATGCCTCCCAGCTACCCCATGTCTCAGGATGGTAAGTCTGCTGACAAGCCAAAGCGCAAGCGGTCTCGTCGCAAGAAGACAGAAGAAATGATGCCACCAGCCCCTCCTATGCAAGTCCCAGGTGATCTTGAGCAGATGCAAAATAATATGTCTTCCATGCACCCTGGTATGGGACCTACCAATCAAATGAACAATGGTTCAGCTGCCGAGCAAATGCAAAAAGATGTTTTGCAGAAGCTACATGCAGAGTTGTTGCGACGTAGCTCACTGGAAGGAGGGAAGAAGTTTGCTGACCAAGACGACAAAAATAACAGTGATCAGACTGCTGAGATGCTGGCAGGCAAGATCAATCAAAACCTTCTGCTGAAGCAACTATTACAAGGACCATCAATTTGTAATATAGGCCCCAAAACGACAGCTAATACTCCCACAGAGGAAGGCCTGTCAGTCCCTGCTCAACTTGAGGGAGATCAAAATGCTACTCCAACACAGGCAAACAGTGTTCCTACCTTGGATGATGAAGACACAGTGATACCAGAGCTGACCCCGGAACAACAGAGGCAGCTGGAGATGGTAGAAAAGCTGCCCTATGTCAAGAAAGATGGCAAGCCAGCTGAGAACGACCATGAGATCCTCCTAAAGATGCACCGGCAGGCCACAGAGGAAAAGAAAAAGGACTTTGAGGAAAGCCAGAAGCAACGCCGGAAGGAGTTGTTACTGAAAAGACAGCAAAGAGCCCTGGAAAAGGCCCTGGAGAAGGCCAACGGAGGAGGGAAGCGGCGCCGAAAATCCAAGGATTCTGACACTGATATGTTTGCTAGCACGGAGGAGCTCTTGAACGCCATCAAACAGATGCCTATGCTGAACCTAATTGAGCCAGAGGTGAACATTAATTATGGACTTTGCCCGGTGTTTGGGAGTTCCCTCCCAAATGGAGCGAAGCCCCTGAAAGGCAGTTTTGGCCATGCTGTCATTGATGGTGTGGCTGACTTCTATGCCAATTTTCCGAATGGAGCCCTGGACATCAATCCTCCAACGCCTCCATCATCCCTGCCCCCATCACCACCCATCAAGATGCCTGGTGGACTGTTGAACGGACCCAGTCAATCTGCTGATGCTCGGAGAGGAGTACTGGAGCAGAAAAGACAAGGTAATAACGGTCAAATTTTCCCATCAATACAATGCATAGCATCAATGCCACAGGCATCATTTCTGGGTCAACAGTGTAATTTGATTTAAGGTCCAGAATTATTCATAACTTCATTCCAAAGAGGGAAAGTGGCATGAAGAGCAAAAGCTAATTAAGCATTTAAGAAAGTGATTAGCGAGAGATAGTTATGGGCAATTCCATGAGAATATGGCGTTACCAATAAAAACTTATTGCCAAACCAACAGAACTTTGTTTTTGTTGGCGTTAGTGTTATTAATTAATTTCAAGAGATCTTCTGTGAGAAAAATCCACCCTAAATGCTTTGACTTTATTGAGTAACAGCACAGAGTTGACAGAAAACCCCCTCCAAATGTAAAGTGAGTGACCGTGGAATTTCCCTCATGTTCAATCATTTTAATTTATTTTGTGTGTTTTTGTATTTTTTTTTTCAGGCATCAGAGTCATGACTGGGGACGACATCATGCATGAAATCCACTCCCACCAGCGGACCATCACTCGCACCATGAACCACGCCTACCCCTTGGACCTTCCCCCCTCGCTACCCACACCACCCCCCTCTGGTGTCGCCGGACGGGATCAGCATGATGGCATTGTGCCGTCCTCCTCACCGGAGTGTGATGAAGAGAGTGGGTCCTACCGGCTGCGAGGACTGAAGCTCATCACCGAGTCTGCCATCGCCATGTGTATGGAGAGGTCTTCGTCACCGACGTTCCCCATCATCAGGCCTATGCCAAGAAAAGGTACGAACATGTCACTTCAAAAAGTTCATTGTCGACTCAGTTGACCCGACACACCCTTCCAGCGGTTAATGAGAACAATTATCTGGGACTTTCAATGAGCACATTCTTATCTGAGAATGTACAAGAAATAATCTGTTGTGTCCACGGATCACAAAAAGGTAAGTGATCTTTCAGAAAAACTAAAACAAATCACATAGGGATGTGTGTGAATTGTTTTCGTTTTGCTGAAAGAACGTACACCTTTTTTGTGATCTGTGGACAGAACTTTAAAACGGTGGTTTGTTTAAAATTCTGTTACTTGAAAAGTACATGAGTGATTTGAATGATTCTTGTACTAAAAAAAAAGTTTATGAATTGGGCTTTCATATGCTAGATTTTGAAAGTGCTACATGCAGAACTTCACTAAAACAATAGTCCCGATAGTTGGGTTTCTTCTTTTTTTACTCACCCTGTACTGGCAAATTTATTTTGAAGTTTCATCTACTGGGGTAAAAGTCATGGGGTAATCCATTACCAGCATTTTTTTTGGTGTGTTTTTGTCAACCCACGTTAGTCTAATGATGGTACTGGATGGAACTAATTTAACCCAAACTCCCTCAATATTTTTGCATTATTGAGAGAAAGACTCAGTGAGGGTCAGCATCATCATATCAAAACTCATTTTTCCCACCGCTCTCCAACAGCAAAAGCGATGCTCAGCGCAGACAGCGGCCGAAGTCTCCTGTCCCCGATGGCCGGCACGGTGGCCGTGACGCTGACCATGTCAGACTCGGCCTCTGAGAACATGAAGGGGGTGGTCAAGTCACTGTGTGGGCTGTTGTGTGTGTCGGAACCCATGTCATACCACGTTGGTGGGGAGTTGAGGAAGGAAGTGGCTGCGACAGACAGAAAGAGGGAGGCTAGACCCTCAACAGGTGAGAAATCTGGCAAGGTTAAACTTCTCAGTAGCATCAATTATTTTTCAGTTGGTTTTTAGAAATTTTTATTGATTTTACCTTAAGGCATGGACAAATTTGTGTTGAAACTAATGAGAATTTATTGAAATGATTTTGGTGTTTGCGTTTTGCAGACTCGAGTGTTTCAGATCGTCCACAGAGCACAGCGAGCAGCACCATGGACAGCCAGCAGCAGCAGTTGCAGGCCAGCAGCAAGCAGCGGTTCTGCAAACACTGCGATGTGGTCATCCTAGGCGAGGGTGTGCTCAAGTACACGGGCAACCCGGCCGAGCCCAAGGTCACCTTCTGCAGCAGCGCCTGCTACATGCAGTTCAGCATCTCCCAGAGATCTCAGCTGCCGTCGTTGACCAATCAAGAGACGGCTGCGGGAGCTGTGGTCAATCACCTCAGCTCGGAGCCGCCCAGCCCGAGCCCAGTCCCCAAGACTTCTTCCACTGCCACCTCAACCATCAACATCTCCTTACCGGCCATGCCCACTGCATCTACCTCAGCCACTGGCGATTTGGGCACCAGGTTGACCTCTATCACCTCCGTGACCTCGGCCAGCCAGCAAGTACCGGCACAGCCTCCTGCAGGGGTCAGTGCCAGGGTTGAGGTCAAGGGTGACGCGGAGGTCAGCAGTGGCAAGCCAAGCAAGTTGGTGATACGACGGAAGGCGAGTTCCTTTGATGATGGAGTAAGTCAACAACTAATTCTTAAACCTTTAATTCTTCAGGTTAAAATACATTCTTTAATACCACAATAAGCCACAGATAAATATAAAATTGTGAATTTAAAAATGTACCATCTAGTTTTGTGTATATTATTTAAGTCTAATGTCAAAGGGTATGTGGTATGCATATGCCTAAAGTATCACGATCAGCCAAATTAAGTGGTGTGTTTTTGTCATATCAGGATAAGGGATAATTTACTCCTTCCCAATTAAAAAAAACATGCAAAAGTTCCCCTCAAATAATTTCACTTGTCACTTCCTTTTTTTCCCACCAGCCACCAGCTCCTAAAAAATGGAGGAACCTTCGATGGAAGAAGTGGACAGTTTCCATAGTAACGCACAAGAAATACAAGCCTCCCAGTGATCTGGACATAGATGAGGTAACTCAGTACTAGTCTAAGGTCCACAAATGTAGGACAAACTTCATGAAAAAAAGCACACATTCCCTGCATGTTCGTAACCAGATGTAATTGAAAAGTTACTGTCTCAAACCTCAGACATTTGCTGCACTTGAAGGACTTCACAAATTCTAACAGCTAATTCGGTTTTACATCAAGCTTGGTCTTGGTGTATTCTAGATTGAATGGGGCATTCCTTAGTTTGCATCTAAAGTAAGTTTCTCCAGGATTATCCATATGGAAACACTTCAAACCTTGGCACAGACGCAGTAAGATGTTTGCATGTGATGTCAACATGCAAAGTACTTGTGCACATATAGAATTATTTATTATGTTCCTGCCGCTATCTCAAGCAAGTTGCGCCAGCCACAAGGCTCTGTGAAGAGGACAAAGGCCCAATCTGCAGAAAATCGTCAGGAAAATGAACCCTGCTGATCAGATGTTTCCTTTGTTTTTTGACAGCTGATGAAGAAACTGGGCACGTCCCTTCGACCAGACAGTCAGTACAGAGACAGCCGATCCTGCCTGCTGTGTGGGGTCCAGGGGGACGGGGAGACCGACGGGCCTGCCAGGTAAACCCTAGATTCTTCCAATTTGTCAAACTCTACCCCCTAGCTATTTCAGCTTGGATGCTTCCTGGAAACACTGCAACTGTGTGTCCACGGGATGGAACATTTTCAAGAGACATCAAACACTATGTTCAGTATTAATGGCCGGTCTCTCCTTAAATCGTGGAAAATCCTCCCATACGTCCTATTCGATTTTTTGAAGATATTGGAAAGTTAGGGTTGATTGTTCCCCATGCAGTGATCAAAATGTTCAACTCGATAAGAACAAAAACTAGTATTTTCCATGAGTGGAGAGTACGCAGGTGTGGATGCAAATCTTCAATATCACCGGGATGTAAGTTTCAAATCCTCTTGGAGGTGTCGTCAGGTATAAACCTCATAGACTGTGGACTTAACCTCGTTATATGACAGCAGAAAATCCCCTTAATTGTATGTAGTTTCACCCTTTGGTGTTGAGAGTTCATAACCAAAAGCTCAGTGTAAAGCAACAGATACTACTTTCCGACTTCATCAAAGCAAAATCTTGACCACGGTTTCCGATTTCTTTCAATTCGAAGGTTGCTGAACGTAGACGTGGACACCTGGGTACATCTAAACTGCGCCCTGTGGTCCTCGGAGGTCTACGAGACCGTAAACGGCGCCCTCATCAACGTAGACATTGCCATTCGGCGGGCCAAGAGCGTCAGCTGCTGCTACTGCAGCAAGTTTGGCGCCACCGTCTGTTGCCATAAGTTCCGCTGTGCCAATGTCTACCACTTTGGCTGTGCCATCCACGACCACTGCATGTTCTTCAAGGACAAGGTAATTTGTTCTTTGGGAAAAGGGAATTTTGTTATCGATCTGATTAAGAAATAATGTGATAGTACAACCTGTTGAGAAGAGATTTTTAAACATGCGTGATAGTTTTCCTATTTTAATAGGATTTCCTATTTTTTTTGCTGTAGACGATGCTGTGTCCCCTTCATGCCCCATCCAAGGCGGCCGACAATGCCCTCCAACGCTCCCACATTGTGTTCAGGAGAGTCTATGTCAGTAGGGATGAGAACAAGCAAGTAGCTAGGTAAGCAAGTCACCTAAAAATGATCGTAAACAAATCCATTCTGCAAGGACTTTCGATCGAGACATCCAGCCCAGTGTTGCCAGTCTCTGGATATTTCGTTAGTCATCTAGAGTCTACTCTTGGTCTAGATTCTGCTGCGTAAATTTGGATTGAATATTTGGTGTATGTTGTTCTCTCTTGACAGTATTATGCAGCAGTTGGATCGTAAGCACACTCTCCGCGTTGGCAGTCTAGTCTTCCATACCCTTGGCCAGCTGCTGCCCCATCAGATGCAGGCCTTCCACTCGGAGAACGCCATCCATCCTGTAAGTGTGTCTCTGTAGAATTGATGCTTAGCAGAAATAATCATGAGCAAATATTGCTTAGCAAGTTAGTCTTTTAAGCAGAATATAGCATGCCAGGCAGGAGATCCATAATTTGGATTGTTTTTTTTTTATGTAGCAGAGATTGTCAGTACAGTAGCGATAATGGCCAATGATTGTCCATCTCTTTCGCAGGTCGGCTTTGAGACAACAAGGCTTTACTGGAGCATGCGATTCACCAACAAACGCTGCAGCTACACCTGCAGTATCCACGACAACGGAGGCAAGCCGCTCTTCTCCATCCGGGTTGTGGAGCAAGGGCACGAGGACATCGTTCTCCACGATTCATCGCCCAAAGGTTAGAGAATCTTTAACCTCAATTAATTTTTTCTATTTTATCTATCGGAACTCTATATTTTGCTCATAAAACCATCACAAGTCCTCCAGTCCCAATTCAACTCTCAAGCTTTTCAAATGAACCTTTACAAAGCATTCCTTTGTTGATGTTCAACCCTAGTAAAACTTTGACCCCTGGTAATACTGAACGGACTGATAACATGTAATCAGGCTTGTGATGTACACAACAGCAACACCTTAGAGCAAGTGAACATTGTCCGAAATCACAATAACTATGTTCAATGCGTAAATGTATGTAAGACATGCTTTTCAAATTTCAAACTAGCTTTTATGTCCTTTACTCTTTCCGTGTCTGTAATCAATTATACGTTTGTCTGAACAGCTGTGTGGAGCAAAGTCTTGGAGCCCATCGCCAAGCTGCGTCGGGACGCTGACATGCTGAAACTCTTCCCCATGTTCCTGACAGGAGAGGAGCTGTACGGCCTGACTGAGCCTGCCATCCAACGAGTCATTGAATCGGTGAGCGTTGCCCAGCAAGTCTGAATTGGGGGAAACACGATTACAAGAAAAACAAACAAAACAAAGGAACGAAGAATGTGAATCATGGCTTCATGCAAAATAATTTAATGTTATTGGTACTTATTTAATAACTTGGACTGGATCAATAAAATGTGAAAATTTTTGTTTTGGCCCTCGATTGCAGCTGCCTGGCGTTGAGCTGATACAGAGCTACAGCTTCAGGTTTGGCAGGTCACCCTACATTGACCTCCCCTTAGCCATCAACCCCACGGGATGCGCCAGGACCGAGCCCAAGATGAGAACTCGACTCAAGAGGTAAAACAAGAAACACTCGTACTCAAAAGTGGTGTCGGGGTTAGAGATAAAACCAACACTGGAAGATTAAGCCTAGATTGAAGAAAATTGTAAAGGAATAATCAAATTGGATTTACCCAAACTCTTCAGGAAAATTTGGTAGCATCTTTCTAAATCCGCCATTGTGTACTAAATTGATGACACATTCATTGTACTCAAGTCTAAACTAACCAGGGGTTGGCTCTGCTTTCCTCTTTCCTACAGAATCCTCCAAAACCTTAGTAGGATCCGGTAAGGTAACAACTAAAGCAGGATTTAAACCCCAACTTAAGAACTTTTCCTCTTGTCACTCTTTCTTCGATACAGACCCCACACCCTGACCAGTAACACCACCTCCAGGGCCTTCCAGACCACCCTGAGCGGGGAGTTTGTCTCACCGTACAACAAGCAATTCTTCCATTCCAAGTCGTCTCAGTACCGACGTCTCAAGACGGAATGGAAGACCAACGTCTACCTGGCGCGCTCTGGCATCCAGGTGAGCCTTGGCCATCTGGCTCCTCTTTTACCTCATAATCTTCCATTCCTAGATTTCACTACTTGTTGGAGGACTATTGGTGTTAGTCAGAGATGCCACTTTTCCGGTTTTAACCGGAATTCCGGTTTTTAAAAAAAATCTCACAAAATTCCGGTTTTTCCGGCCGTCAAATTAACCAGAAAAAGAGAAGAAAAACTGTGGAAATGCGTTGATTTTTACCTCGATTTAGTACATTTAGGCGCACGCATGGCACAACGTTGTTCGTTGAAGTAGTCTTAAAAACAGTCTTTGTGTATGTTGTTGCCGAGCCTGCATGCGATACAAACGGCCAACGTACTTAATTGCACGCAGTATACAACGGCGCCTCACGCGTGCTTCACCGCGTGCGGGCGTGTTGTGTGCTAAGCACACGTAGCATTCAGCCTGGAAATCAAGTCTATCATTTCAGCTATCGGTGGTTTCCGATCGCAGTGATATATGTGAATACAAAAAATGCGGGTACCAACCATGTTTTCGTTGAGCGCATCGCGTAGTGCAAGGATCATGTACACCGACAGCAGTGTTGTGGAATCATGCATGTTTCGTGTCGAATATTACGTTGGAAATTCGGGTAGGCAGAATAAATATTAGGATGGAAAAAGTCAAAGTGATTGAACGAACCGACAGCTTTCAAGGCCATAGAAGCAAAATTAAAAAATAAACAGAACTTGGCTTGGCTACAAGATAAAGATGACAGCGGGGACTTTGTGTCGGACACGGAGTGGCTTTTTCACACACACAAAAGTCCGGTTTTTTCAAGCAGCCGTTCCGGTTTTTTTCAAGCAGACCCAGTTCCGTTTTTTTCAAGCCAACCTTGTGGCATCTCTGTGTTAGTACAAGCGGTACCTGTGTAACACATGGGCAATAAGGTCAATATCGATTTCAAACTTGCAGGAATAAACAACCAATATTTTAATGCTTGTAGAAATTGAGAAGTTAAATTAGCTCCATAGGTACATTTGACCCACATTTTCTACAGTCTTTACAGGACACACCTAAACCTCCCAAAATATCAGTGTTGGATCTGAAGATCCGAAGATTTGTGATGTAACCTGGTATATCCTGGGCCCAATGTCATGGCACTGCTAAGCACACGATTTTCTGATAACAGTGCCTCCGTCTGTTTCACAGAGACCGTAAGCAGTAAGCACATGCTTAACCCCAGAGGAAACAGTTGCTTAAATCAGTGATGTAACAACAGAAATCTTCACGTGCACAATTAGCACATCCACGACATGAAATAGTGCTGCATGAAACTGAGCCTTGTTTGTCGAAGACCAAGGAACCAATGTTGTTTTCTGTTTAATACTCACAGGGCCTGGGCCTGTTTGCGACCCGTGACATGGAGAAGCACACGATGGTCATCGAGTACATCGGCAAGCTGATCCGCAACGAGGTAGCCAACCGTCTGGAACGCGTCTACCAGAATGGAAACCATGGCATCTACATGTTCCGCATCGACAACGACACGGTGGTGGATGCCACCATGAGCGGCAATCCGGCCCGTTACATCAACCACTCCTGCAATCCCAACTGCGTAGCCGAGGTGGTCAACTTCGACAAGGAGCTGAAGATTATCATCATCTCCAACCGCCGGCTCAGCAAAGGGGAGGAGGTAAGGCTCAGAAACACTCAGCAATACATAGTTACCCTGGGCCTAAATCTCACAGCGCTGCTAAGTACATGATTTCTGCTTACAGAGCCTTTGTATATTTCACAGAGACCATAAAGCGGTTAGCACAACAAAAGGCAAGCTTACCTCAGAGGAAGAAGTTGCTTAAATCAGTGACATAAGAGTAGAAATGTCCATAGGCGCGCAAACATTAGTACATCCATGCCATGAAATAAAGCTTACGGTTAGGCCAAAAAAAATAATAAGTCGGTCTCTGGTCAGCGCGCGCGTCGATTTTAAGCATGCGCGTCGATCTTTTTTTTTTCCAAAATGTTCCGCGGTAGCTCCAACAGCGCCCTCCATCTCCGCACCTCCTCAATTTTTTTTACCAAAGAGCACCAAGGAATGGGAAATTGCACCAAGGCAAATGATCGAAAGCACCAAGGCAAATTATGGAGGACACCAATGTACATGAGGACACCAAAAAAGCAAAATAGTACCCACCTTGTCTGTACAATCCAAGCTTGAAGAAGAAAAAAAAAAGCAAAAAAAAAAAAAAAAAGCTGCGTGGCCGCGTCAATTCCGGAACTTTGGTCTGACCAGAGACCGAATATTTGGTTTTTTTTGGCCTTAGCTCAATTTTCTGTCATAGTTAACACACTGTTTCTGCAGCACAATTGAACTTGTGAAAGCAGCGCAACTAGCTTGGTCTCCAATCCTCCTATATCATTCATAAATCACAAAAATTCAAGGATTTTTGTTGTAGGATTGAGGAAGGATCACTATTTGTACATGTGCATTTGGATTTTTTCCCTTCAAATTTTAGGATACAATTGAAGATGCACGTACGCTATCCACCGTTTGCTGCCACACTTTATATGCTTCCTTGGAAGTCCTAAATCCTCGCCCGCCCCCCTTCAGTCTTTTGGATTGCTTCAAGCATTAAATGCTCCTTCTCAAATCAAGAATGAGGTTTGGAGGCGATACCGTTGGAATATTCATCTCTTCTGTGATGAAATGTTCGCTCTGAAAAAAACTTGTTTTGATGATTGTTTTTCGTTTGCGCTGCCATAAACGGACTTCTCTATCCATCCTCATAGAACGCTCACCAATTCTTACGAAATCGACATTTCTTGGAAGGGATGAACATTGCCCGTGCTCATGCTTGTATCAGTTCCACTACGGAAAGCTTCATTCATATTTTTCTTGTTCTAATAATTACTAATGGGAATCAAGTCTGTACGTCCTTTGTTATTTTCTTTAACCGCAGCTGACGTACGACTACAAGTTTGACATTGAAGACGAGAACAGAATCCCCTGTCTGTGTCAGGCCCCAAACTGCAAGAAATGGATGAACTGAGCCAAGTTGAAAAGTGGACAAAATATTGAAGAAGACGAAACACAACTCATGGACAGAAGTAAAGGTACTTGTGTGCAAATCTGTATTAAAAGAATTTGTAGAAAGTAATAAATTCCTTCAAAATGTTTATGGAATGACAAAGTGTCGGTGAGGGGTTTTTCATCCTGAATTTAGCTTGCCAAATAATACTTAATGCTAAGATCATGAAAATCAAGTACTCATTCAAGTTTCATTCATTCAAAATATGAAGAACAAAAATCTATCGTCAGTCCTGCTTAAAATATGTACGTAAAAAAGTAAATAGTCAGGTCACCTTGGTCTTGCCTCATAGAAAAATTAATATGGGGGTCAGGGAACTAGATTAGTTACCAATTAATGTAAAACCTAGTTGGAAGAAAACCTACTTCATTGATTCTGATATTGATGTTTCCAGTTTTAAGAAGTTCTAAATTTCCTCCTGAATCGGTGTTCGACGTTAGAAAATGGGGAGCTTCTAAAATACTGGCATAATTTGAATGAAAAAATGAAACGTGAAGCAAGGATGCTGGTATGCAGATTAAAAAAAAAATATTCAGCATGCAATATTCTCAGTTTGGAGAATTTTTGTTAGGTGAAATACAATCGTCTCTGTTCTATGACCATTCCCCAGTTCTTTTTTTAGTGTAAATACTATATTTTTAGCTAAAAAAGAGAAAAACTTAAAAGAAAAAATGAATGAAAATAGTTAATTTTTTGATGATTACCGCAGCTCCACCCTCTTGAACGGGGAGCGTATTTTTGTTATATTAGTGATAATCTCAGACATCTTTTGTGACGTTTGTTACTACAAAAGCTGCCAATTTTTTCAGAGAGGGAAAAAATAATAACCTGTTTTGGTCTTTGACTGGTTTTTAACCTGTATAGCCTAACACTCCTGTGAATTACTTTTGTCTGGGATTTCTACACGTAGCATCATGTGCTGTGGTTTCTCCTGTAGTATTGTATCATAATTTTAAGAAAGAAAATTAAAACCAGCGAATTGTTGACGTCGTAAAAATAGGGGGCAAAAGAGTAGCCTACAGAAATATTAAAGGTATGTTTATAATGCTAAAACTCGATGTGAAACGTGTACAAATAGAGGAATGAAATCGCAGATCCTGCTACGGATAGGCGAAAATTTGTTAAAATTCTCTCCGTTTTTGTGGAATGAAATTCAGCTATTTTGAATTATAGTAATGCATTTGCTTTTGGGGGCTGTACTGTAGTCGCATTTTTGCCACTTGTAGTAATATTTTTGGGAATGTGGGGAGAGAAGAGTGTACAGCGTGCAAAAAGAAAACCTTTTGGGGTTTGAGTTCATTTTGTAAATACCGAGTCAACAGAGTAAGATGTAATAAGTCTTTGGCAGTGTGTCATTTAAATTTCTCTACCTCCTTCTGGGTAGATTGTACCGAAAACATTTATTGCCAATTCCTACGGTGCTTTAATTGTAGTACATTTTTGAGCACCGATCCCTGTGAGAACCTAGTGTATATAAATTCACAACTAAAGTCTCCACGTAGTGAAAATGCCCCTCTGTGACGAGATGTACAATTCTAATAGCGGTATTTTTTCCAATGTTTTGTTTTTTGAAGTATTTATTGCAGCATAGTGGAGTAATTAGAATCATGAGCGAGTCTGAAGACAATATTAAAAAGAATCAAGCAGATTTTGTTGAATTAACTGTTGTAAAAAATTGCAGCCCTGAGAATAAAGAAATCAATTCACAAATGATTTCAGGGCGGTGGAAGACCTAGTCACTTGTTGCGGTTTGCTCTCCAGAAGGGTTAATTTTAATTTTAGCGTAGAAAAACATTATTTCTGCTTCTTAAAATGAGCTCCCAAAACTGAAATTAGAAGCAAAAGCAAACGGACAGTCAGCCCAGACTGGATAAGCTTTGCAATTTGAAAACTGCATGGATTTTAGTTCCTTAATTAAGTAGGAAAAAAAGAGCGAGCAAGGAATCTATTAATGACAATCGTAATAAAACAAAACCTTGTTATTTTTCTCGAGTAACAGGTAGCCTAACTGCAACTTTAATATGTAAGAATAAAGACTTAAAAATGTTACAAAAAACAAAACAAAAACAAATTATATATTTTACTGTTATATTAATATAAATGAAGTATGTGGCAGTTCTTGTATAAAATACTTTGATGTGATTTTGAGAAGTTTAATTTTAGAGTTGGATATCTTTAGTTTTCTGTGTTGTTGCTTTTATTTGGAGCCCCTACAATTACTTTTTGTATAATTATCTTGTACATAAGCCACGTGTTGGGATAACTAATTAATGACTCACCTAATAATACTAGTTTTTGTTTTGTTTCTTTCTTTTTTGTTCTTGACCTTATAAAGATTGTGTAGTTTATATCTTCTAGCTTGTGTGGTTTTTCCTATTTTATACATAGTGTACAAAGTAATGGCCCCTGTATGAACTGGGGTTGACGAAGTATTGTACTGGTTGTTTTTTACCCCTTCTCCCATTGTTTTCTTTTAGGTTTGTGTACGTGTGTGCGTGTTCATAAGTGGGTGTAGTGTGTTCCTATATTATGTCTGTCATTTTCCCCCTCAGCTGAATGTGGAATGCCAATAAAAATTCATTAACAGACACCACAGTATACCACTTTGTTGTTAGTCCATTTTTTTTATTTCATTGTGGAGATTGAAATGTATTGGAGTTGGTTTAAAATTTTGTTTAAATGGTTACACCTCTATGTTCCGACACCCCTATGTTCCGACTGCACATATTCCTATTCCTAACCCTAACCCTAACCGGGAGTAACACAATCTAGGTTGTCGGAACATAGGGGTGTCGGAACATAGAGCAGTCACCGTTTTAATAGGGTTTGGGAGACTTCGGATAAGATCACAGTAATTGATAAAATATAAAATTACTAGTAGCAAAAGTTACTTGGAAAATGTTGCAACCTGATGCTACTTTTGTTCTTCATATATCTCAATAAACCTGTCACTGCAAAAATGTTAAAAATACATGAATCTGAGACAGAAACATTTCCAATTTTGTCAGGAAATATGCTGGACAGATGTGCTATTAAAGGGGAAATTCCGTCGAAAAATTAAGGTAAAATCGCTCAAAAAATAACTCTTTTCTCTCCAAAAATTGATGAGTTTTGCCCAAAACTTCACAATTATGCGTGTTAGAGTATCGATTGATGTTCGTCTTGCATCCAGATGAATTTCTGCCTTGTTTTGAGAAAAGTCAATTTTTGGCCAATTTTGACTAAAAATATAAGGCTAACCCCTTGCATTTTTTTCAATTTTGGCCAAAAAATGAAATGTCTTGAAAGTTGCTAGAAAGATGCCTTAAGGGCCCAAGAAGGCATTCCCAATCGATTACTGGACAGATGTGCTGTTAAAGTATCGATTGATGTTCCTCTTGCATCCAGATGAATTTCTGCCTTGTTTTGAGAAAAGTCAATTTTTGACCAAATTTGACTAAAAATGTAAGGCTAACTAACCCCTTGCATTTTTTTCAATTTTGGCCAAAAAATGAAATTTCTTGAAAGTTGCTAAAAAGATGCCTTTAAGGGCCCTAGAACGCATTCCAAATCGATTACTGGACAGGTGTGCTATTAAAGGGGAAATTCCATTGAAAAATTAAGGTAAAATCGCTCAAAAATTAACTTTTTTTCTCCCAAAAATTGATGATTTTTGCCCAAATCTTCAAAATTATGCGTGTTAGAGTATCGATTGATGTTCCTCTTGCATCCAGATGAATTTCTGCATTGTTTTGAGAAAAGTCGATTTTTGGCCAAATTTGACTAAAAATGTAAGGCTAACCCCTTGCATTTTTTTCAATTTTGGCCAAAAAATGAAATTTCTTGAAAGTTGCTAGAAAGATGCCTTAAGGGCCCTAGAACGCATTCCCAATCGATTACTGGACAGATGTGCTATTTAAGGGGAAATTCCATCGAAAAATTAAGGTAAAATCGCTCAAAAAGTAACTTTTTTTTTCTCCAAAAAAATTGATGATTTTTGCCCAAATCTTCAAAATTATGCGTGTTTAGAGTATCGATTGATGTTCCTCTTGCATCCAGATGAATTTCTGCCTTGTTTTGAGAAAAGTCAATTTTTGGCCAAATTTGACTAAAAATGTAAGGCTAACCCCTTGCATTTTTTTCAATTTTGGCCAAAAAATGAAATTTCTTGAAAGTTGCTAGAAAGATGCCTTAAGGGCCATAGAACGCATTCCCAATCGATTACTGGACAGATGTGCTATTTAAGGGGAAATTCCATCGAAAAATTAAGGTAAAATCGCTCAAAAATTAACTTTTTTTCTCCCAAAAATTGATGATTTTTGCCCAAATCTTCAAAATTATGCGTGTTAGAGCATCGATTGATGTTCCTCTTGCATCCAGATGAATTTCTGCCTTGTTTTGAGAAAAGTCAATTTTTGGCCAAATTTGACTAAAAATGTAAGGCTAACCCCTTGCATTTTTTTCAATTTTGGCCAAAAAATGAAATTTCTTGAAAGTTGCTAGAAAGATGCCTTAAGGGCCATAGAACGCATTCCCAATCGATTACTGGACAGATGTGCTATTTAAGGGGAAATTCCATCGAAAAATTAAGGTAAAATCGCTCAAAAATTAACTTTTTTTCTCCCAAAAATTGATGATTTTTGCCCAAATCTTCAAAATTATGCGTGTTAGAGTATCGATTGATGTTCCTCTTGCATCCAGATGAATTTCTGCCTTGTTTTGAGAAAAGTCAATTTTTGGCCAATTTTGACTAAAAATGTAAGGCTAACCCCTTGCATTTTTTTCAATTTTGGCCAAAAAATGAAATTTCTTGAAAGTTGCTAGAAAGATGCCTTAAGGGCCCTAGAACGCATTCCGAATTGATTACTGACAGATGTGCTATTAAAGGGGAAATTCCATCAAAAAATTAAGGTAAAATCGCTCAAAAATTAACTTTTTTTCTCCCAAAAATTGATGATTTTTGCCCAAATCTTCAAAATTATGCGTGTTAGAGTATCGATTGATGTCCCTCTTGCATCCAGATGAATTTCTGCATTGTTTTGAGAAAAGTCAATTTTTGGCCAAATTTGACTAAAAATGTAAGGCTAACCCCTTGCATTTTTTTCAATTTTGGCCAAAAAATGAAATTTCTTGAAAGTTGCTAGAAAGATGCCTTAAGGGCCCTAGAATGCATTCTCAATCGATTACTGGACAGATGTGCTATTTAAGGGGAAATTCCATCGAAAAATTAAGGTAAAATCGCTCAAAAAGTAACTTTTTTTGCTACAAAAAAATTGATGATTTTTGCCCAAATCTTCAAAATTATGCGTGTTAGAGTATCGATTGATGTCCCTCTTGCATCCAGATGAATTTCTGCATTGTTTTGAGAAAAGTCAATTTTTGGCCAATTTTGACTAAAAATGTAAGGCTAACTAACCCCTTGCATTTTTTTCAATTTTGGCCAAAAAATGAAATTTCTTGAAAGTTGCTAGAAAGATGCCTTAAGGGCCATAGAACGCATTCCCAATCGATTACTGGACAGATGTGCTATTTAAGGGGAAATTCCATCGAAAAATTAAGGTAAAATCGCTCAAAAATTAACTTTTTTTCTCCCAAAAATTGATGATTTTTGCCCAAATCTTCAAAATTATGCGTGTTAGAGTATCGATTGATGTTCCTCTTGCATCCAGATGAATTTCTGCCTTGTTTTGAGGAAAGTCAATTTTTGGCCAATTTTGACTAAAAATGTAAGGCTAACCCCTTGCATTTTTTTCAATTTTGGCCAAAAAATGAAATTTCTTGAAAGTTGCTAGAAAGATGCCTTAAGGGCCCTAGAACGCATTCCGAATTGATTACTGACAGATGTGCTATTAAAGGGGAAATTCCATTGAAAAATTAAGGTAAAATCGCTCAAAAATTAACTTTTTTTCTCCCAAAAATTGATGATTTTTGCCCAAATCTTCAAAATTATGCGTGTTAGAGTATCGATTGATGTCCCTCTTGCATCCAGATGAATTTCTGCATTGTTTTGAGAAAAGTCAATTTTTGGCCAAATTTGACTAAAAATGTAAGGCTAACCCCTTGCATTTTTTTCAATTTTGGCCAAAAAATGAAATTTCTTGAAAGTTGCTAGAAAGATGCCTTAAGGGCCATAGAACGCATTCCCAATCGATTACTGGACAGATGTGCTATTTAAGGGGAAATTCCGTCGAAATATTAAGGTAAAATCGCTCAAAAATTAACTTTTTTTCTCCCAAAAATTGATGATTTTTGCCCAAATCTTCAACATAATGCGTGTTAGAGTATCGATTGATGTTCCTCTTGCATCCAGATGAATTTCTGCCTTGTTTTGAGAAAAGTCAATTTTTGGCCAAATTTGACTAAAAATGTAAGGCTAACCCCTTGCATTTTTTTCAATTTTGGCCAAAAAATGAAATTTCTTGAAAGTTGCTAGAAAGATGCCTTAAGGGCCATAGAACGCATTCCCAATCGATTACTGGACAGATGTGCTATTTAAGGGGAAATTCCATCGAAAAATTAAGGTAAAATCGCTCAAAAATTAACTTTTTTTCTCCCAAAAATTGATGATTTTTGCCCAAATCTTCAAAATTATGCGTGTTAGAGTATCGATTGATGTTCCTCTTGCATCCAGATGAATTTCTGCCTTGTTTTGAGGAAAGTCAATTTTTGGCCAATTTTGACTAAAAATGTAAGGCTAACCCCTTGCATTTTTTTCAATTTTGGCCAAAAAATGAAATTTCTTGAAAGTTGCTAGAAAGATGCCTTAAGGGCCCTAGAACGCATTCCGAATTGATTACTGACAGATGTGCTATTAAAGGGGAAATTCCATCGAAAAATTTAGGTAAAATCGCTCAAAAATTAACTTTTTTTCTCCCAAAAATTGATGATATTTGCCCAAATCTTCAAATTATGCATGTTACAGTATGGATTGATGTTCCTCTTGCATCCAGATGAATTTCTGCCTTGTTTTGAGAAAAGTCAATTTTTGGCCGATTTTGATTAAAAATGTAAGGCTAACCCCTTGCATTTTTTTCAATTTTGGCCCAAAAAATGAAATTTCTTGAAAGTTGCTAGAAAGATGCCTTAAGGGCCCTTGAACGCATTCCAAATCGATTACTGGACAGATTACCTTTCCCTTTACTTGGTTTATTTCCAAATGTACCCATTTTTTAAAACAAATTAATCATTTAGTAAGTCACTCATCTAACACTAGAAACTTACAAAAACAATGTCCGCCTTGCATAGTTAAGAAACAACGTAAAATTTCCAGGCCATTAGAAGTTTGGAATTATTGGTAAACAATCACAGTTTAGAATTGGCCGCAAAAATACTAGCTTACACAATTAGAAAACAATTTCATTAAAGTATGGATTAACAAATAAAACATAATTGCTCTTTCTACCCATTTTTAATAATATTCATAATCCATCATATTAATTGTTAGCCCCTAATCCAAAGTTTGACCACTAAAATGTTTGATTACATTGGTTATAAAGTTCTTGAGGGAAAAAACAAATTCTTCACATCATTTGGACAACCACTTTTGATGATTATGTATAGCACTTAAAAGAAGAAGGGAATACGTCGCATGTTTGCACGCAGTTGCTTGCCTCTTACGAATATGCAGACAGTTACACATTCGATTCGGAAAAATGAGTCTGACAATAATATCAGGAATTTTATAAAGCGATTTGCTACATGATACGCTGGTTTTATGGACTCTGTGCCAAATGTATTACCAAACCAGAAATGGGTCAAATATCATTGCTCTGCTCGCCACAAAATTCTGGCTTTAAGCTTCTATAAGCAATTCTGTGCTACTAAAATCCATAGTTATGCAGCAAATGCCTGCATGTGAACCAACCATTCCAAGTTAACCTGTGGAATATGTTACCCAATGGAGTACCGAAGTGTGACGTCATTTAGAACCCAAAAATACAGTGCAAACGAATGGAGTACGCGCACGTGTTGGTTCACGGGCTGAATCACGCGCTAATGTCTTTCACACACATTTTGTGCGTGTGACGTATTCACTTCGGTACTCCATAGCACATAGTTTTGTGCTTTTGCAGAGCAGCAGAGATGATTCGGCCATGAAATTTAGCCAGGCCGTGCTTTGCGTCTTTCCTTGACACTTGTGAGTTGCATAGTGCCAGTGTCACTCATGAAAACAAGAGTTACAACTGTCATTATACTTTCATTATATTATACAGTCATTAAAAACATTTTTTAAACTATTAATACATTTACACCTTTTAATAAGTACACGCAAAAATACCAAAATTATTCTCATACTTGACGTCATTGGACCATAAATATACAAAGTACCTCATACAGAGAACTATTTTACACACACAAACTTTATATAAATTGTTACATCTGTGTATACATTAAATTTGCTATGTGCGATCTTGATTATAAATAGCAATGTAATTGATCGTGCAAGTATAAATAGATAACACCTCTACTCTAATTCTAACAGATTCAACATCTGCTATGTTTATAAAATTTCAGTTATTGAACATAGAGCTTTTGCTTTCAACAGCAATACTAGGCTTGAAGTGAGCAAGGAGTAACTTTTAAAGCGATGGTTATCACATCTCACTTCAAAGATCGAAAAAATATTAATGTAGCAAGCTTGAAGTAAGTCATTCAATCACCAATTCCCAGTGAGTAAAAATATTTGTACAGTACTATTTTATTCTACAATACAAAAATAATGATTAATTTGGAAAAATTTTAACAGCATTTAAAATAGTATTAAGATATTTAGATATCATACATACTTTTGTGCATGTATATTTAGAAACAATAGATACATTTGTGCAAGTGTACTACCAAACATTTCAGAAGGAATTTGGTGCAAAACTTACGCCACACTATTGAAGTATTAAGAATACTGTACCCTGCGCCTTACTTTTTTCACTCACAATAACACAGTCATACTCTTAAGTACGGTACACATTTGAATAGGGTACAAGCAAAGTGTCACCATCTCTGTCTATCAAAATTAGGATGCAATGGAGGTCAGATTGTCGTCATTTGACAGTAGCTGACTTGTCTTTTCGACAGGATGATTGGTTATCCATGCCCTGCAGTGAGGTTGGCTAGAATACTTTTTAAGGATTTTTGTAATTACTAGACATAATTATGGTTCTTGTCGGAGGGCTGCTGTTTGGCATGGATTTTCAAGCTACTTTAAACGGCCAATCGTGATGGTATTGGGGCTACTGTCAATGTCGTATCAGATGCAACATTGACAGTAAAACAAGTAGCCCCAAATAATAGAATGACCCCTGTACAATTGATATGTGCTATATACAGGCAAGTAGATATAAAATATCTATATAATATTGTAAAAATACTGATGAGATGTTAACAAATACTAAATTCTAATCCAATTTTAGTAAAATGGAAGACTTTTCAGCAATAAGAACTTCTCAATTAGAACAAAACAGTTGAGAGTTGTTTTGTCAAGCTCCTAAAAATCTAAAAAAAACTCAACCGAAAAATTCGCAAGTACTACTTTTTGATTACAAGTCTGTTCTTGCTAAACACAATTATATTCATGCAAGGCAAACTTGTGCTACACAGCCCTTTGGAATTGGCCTCCCGGCTATGATGTAGTCGAGGTCCTTGTGACGGATCGCAAGTCATCATAAGCCCATCATAAGCCCATCACAAGCCCATCATAAGCCCATCACAAGCCCATCATAAGCCCATCACAAGCCCATTACTCAACTCACAGGGTATTCAAATGAACAGTAACCATAGGTTTCCCTTGTTATTGTTCATCCACTGTTACCTGTGACATGAATTGTGATATACTTACGACTGGAATTGTGAATTGAATTGATCCATCGCAACACTCCCCCCCCCCCCACCCCATTCCCTGGTTACTGTAAGGACATCTTCTTTGTTCTTGGTAGGGTACAAGTCATCAGTCCACCAAACACGAGTAGAGCCGCTACGAGCAGAATGTTGACGGTACAGTGAGTCTTGATGAGAATTCCAAAGATGAGATTACCTACAATAGACGCTAGCCGATTGACTATGCCTTGGACTCCGAGAGACGTGGATCTGAAACGAGGCCACAAGAACATGATGTTTTACTTCTTCTTATGAACTCAAAAATTTTACTTAAAGATAAAGTAGATCATTTCCTAACTTTTGTTTGTTTGAAGCAACAAAAGTGCTAAAACTCTAAAGACGGGTGCTCAACAACTTACCTGACGAACTTTCGGTGAATGCTGTGTATTCCAAGAAACAATATACTAGGACCTCGATTTCAATTCAAAGTTGCAGAGTCATGTTTTGAATTGCGCCCCAAATCAGCATCTGGGACACGTTCTGATTCAGCCGATTGTAGCTTCATTTACGCGATGTCACGCATTGATGAACTGATAAATAATAGCCATACCACAGTAAACTGCAGTAACTTCATGAACCACTCTATATTATGATGTCCAAAAACCTTCCACTTTTTTTCATCAAACACTTTGCGTCTTTTTAGAATATAGAAATAAAGAGTTTGAGTAAAAATTCAGCAAAAAAATCAGGTCCGGACAACAGTTCCATGGTTTCTTTTTCCTACTGGGACCCATAGTATATGTGTTAAAAAAAAAAGACGCCTGTTCTAAAAAAACATTCCGAAAAAAAAAAAAAACTGTGCATAAGACCGACCAAGTACCCAAAAAAGACACACACACTTGTTCCAACACGTTTGTTTTATGGTGTTAATCGAGAATTTTCTATTGTTCCTCTTCCCTTTTTGTTTGTTTATACTCTCAAACTTTTTTGCAACAGCTCTTATTGGTTTTGTACATGCTTTCTATCCAAGGAGTCCTCGATTTGGTTCCTGTCCTCAATTCATCGATGATGTTGCTTGTGTGGGTCCTCAATTTACACCATAAACAAATGCCATATTTGTGGGGACCACACACCTGTTGAGCAATAGTTATTGTGAGGACAGCTGTGGGGTAAGCAGAAAGTCCCCCCAACTCACTCCTACTTTCCCCAATAAAAATCGTCCCCACAACGCAGTCACCACCAATGCAAAGTATCATCGCCGTCTTTTTGTTTTTAATTATCACGAGATATCATTCCTAAATTCAAAAGGTCATACCTCATGTGAGTAGGGTAGATTTCAACAGCTAGTACGTTCAGAACATTCCAGGTGACGACCGACACAGCACCAAAGCAGCAGAACACAATAAGGACTTCAAGGCGTGTCTTGACAAACCAAATGAAGAAGACGATCACGCCAGACATAAGTAAACTTGTAGCTAAGAAAAGAAACAAATAAACAAATATCAGATGAAAATCTTTTTTGCATTGAGCAAAAATCAGAAAAAAATTTGAACTGGTCAAAAGCAATAAAATATCCTATGTTTCTTATTGGCATGTGTTCATTCTCAGGCTTCCAATTCAGAGACAACTTGTATTGATAACTCACACATCAGAATCTTTCGTCCCACGATGTCAATCAGGAAAATGGCGACCAAGTTGCCAGGAAGATTGGACAAGCTCGTGTAGAAGGAGTCCAAGTAGATACTGTGAAAAAAAAAATATGAAAAACCAAGAACAAGCTTGGTTATATAACTGGAGCATTCCGTAACCCTTTACTCTCTAAGCATTTTTGCTGGGATGCAACCTCAATCCTGCAAAATCCTCCAGCTGCCTCCATGCAAAAAATGCATACAGCCTCAATCCTCCAAAATCATCCGTTATTTCTTGAATGTGGTCCTTGGAGGGGTGACCACTGCGTTAATCCTGCAAAATCCTCCAGCAATCACCGTCAATATGTTAAGGCAGAGCCAGTGACATCCTGGAACAGTGCGGAGGATTTCAAGTATAATCTAGGCCTAAATTTATGCACGGCTGAACATAAACAACACAACGTCCCGCCCATGAACTTGGCACAGTGCATCCTCTAAAATCAGCCACACATTTTTGCCATATAGCCTCAATCCTGCAAAACCTCCAGTTTGCAAAGACCATTTTGGAGGATTTTTGGAAGGTTTATGGGGTTAAAGAAGGTATCTCTAAACTATGTGAAGACACATTACTTTAAACTCCAAACAAGGTATATCACTATTAAAACCTGTCAATTTGCAAATCAAAGTAGATCAGATCAGTCTTTACGTGTTATCGCCAGGTTTGGGCGCTGCAGACGTTGAATTGACGTCGTTGGGATCCACACTACACACAGATCCATTGCCGTTCTCAGACTGGAGGAACAATTGAGGCATCCACATCCAAATACCGTAATACCTTCAAAACAAAAAATAAACCATTATACAAACTTTAAAAGGGTGGTGTAATGGACCTTAAAAGAGTTTGGTCACATTACTAGCTACGAGGGGTGATTGATAAGTTCGTGGCCTGAGGTAGAAGAAGCTCCTTGAACCTGATCAGAAACAGACTCGGCACAACCTTCCAAGGGGCAATGTTGCCATTTTATAGTTCATTCGTTCAACTTTTTTGTTCGAACAAATTTTTCAATAATATTTCCATTTTCAAGTTTCAATTCTCAGGAACCGGTGACCGTCAAGGTTTAATTATAAAAAATTTCAAACATGACAAAACGTCTAACATCACTGTAAATGTAAATCATTTCCCTTGTAAAAAAGTGATAATAAAACAACCAGCAACTTAAGAGGTTTACTGCTACGCTGCTTCTCAACCTTCCTTTTGGGGTCTTAAATATTATGGGACAAAGAGCCAGCCCAAACAGCCATTACTGCACAGCACAATTTCGCCTTACCTGGAACCTAAACATGGATACCCCAAAGACAATTCAAATGAACAGGCACATTCGGACCACTGTGTCAATCACTTGCCCTACATTACAACCGAAATGGAAAGAGTCAAATTGGCGACTAGTTACCCGAATGAGATGGTCCAGATGATCAAGAGCAGCGGCACCGTTGCCCAGGTCAGTGGTTTCTTGAAGAGCTGGACGGTCATCTGGAGGGATATCCGGATATTTTTGCCAGCCTCGTTGAGCCTGTCGCTACAGGTCCGCCGGCCCCCATGATCGGTGGAGAGGACCCTGGCCCGCTCGGAGGGGATCAGGGTCTTCAGCTAGGGGGAACAAAGAATAATTAAGGTCAAACGGTCAAGGGTTACCTCAGGTCATGGCAGTGTAAAAATGGCGGTGTACTTTTAATATTAACCCTAACTCCCTAGGCATTTTCGCAAAATCAATCCTGCAAAGTCCTCCAACTGCCTCCATGTAAAAAGTGCATACAGCCTCAATCCTGCAAAATCATCTGTTATTTCTTGAATGTGGTCCTTGGAGGGGTGATCACTGCCTCGATACTGCAAAATCCACCAGCAATCACTGTCAATATGTTGAGGCAGAGCCAGTGACATCCCGGAGCAGTGCGGAGGATTTCAAGTATAATCTAGGCCTAAAGGTATGCACGGCTGAGCAAACTCAACACAAGCTCTGGCCCAAGACATTGTCATGGTGCATCCTTCAAAATCAGCCACACATTTTTGCCAAATAGCCTCAATCCTGCAAAATCCTCCATTTTGCAAACATCATCCAACAACTTGTTACATCATTATTACCCCTGTTCATCGGGCCAATGACGCATTCCTAAGCTCATTGTGAGTACAGAGCTTAATAGTGATATTTGGTGTAAAGAGAGAAAATAAATAACAACTAGATTATTCACTGCCTTTTCGGCAGACAGAGGCAATTACGAACAGCATGCCTGCCCCACTCACGCATTGCAACCCTACTGGTTCAGACTCAAACATAAAACAACTTAAGCTGAATATACTAACTTGATAACTTCAGAATCAGATACTTACTGGGTAGTTGGCTCTGTCGTCCCACTTATTCCAGGAATAGATGGTCTTCAAAACTTCCAGTGCTTTCTGACCCTGACCATTCTGGGGTTAAGAGGAGTAAAGTAAGAACAAAAAAACAAAAGAATATTGAGAGTGATCAAAAGGGAGGGGAAAATGGAGCTGGAAAAGTAAAAACAATTTGCAGAGTTGAAAGATTTATGCCTGGGTAAGAAGGTTGGTGACCGAGGTGATCTATACTCTACAAACACCACAATACACATGTCTGGATGTAACAACTCTTCATTCCAGCATAGCAAATGTTGTTTCTGCTATAAAATATAAAGGCTCAGGGGTGAGTAAGAGTTAATTAGACACAAAATTCATTGTGAATAACATTTTCCCCCCATTTTTTTTTACCTCTAGTAAAAACTTGGGGCTTTCTGGCATCAGGAAGAACGTGACAACGGAGGTGAGTGCTGGCAGTGTGCAGAGAGCGACAAAGACACGCCAGCTGTCGTAGCTAAACCCACCGGGATTGACATAACCAACACCTGCAGAAGGACATAATTAAAAGGGTCAAGTCTTGAGCCGCTGTGGCTTTTCCAGCCGGTTTTATCTCCAGTTTTCCTTGGCATGAAACGACCGAGACTATTTCTATTCCCCCTTGACGGGATGCCAGACCAGCACAGGTTACTCCCCAAGTAATGCCAGTTCCCAATTATATATGTATGCACTATCCAAGTCACTTGACCGTATGTGGTCTTACAGTAATTCCAATTTAAATTGCAATAAAAACAAAGAGTATATGTGAAGGAGCACCAGTCTGGTAACTTTCAACAGTTGCACACCTGGCTCTAGATGTGTATACAAAACGACCGAAATGCTTCAGGCCCAGAATTTCATAGCCTTCCTATCTTATACAATTTAAATTTTATCAATTTAAGATGCAAAGTGTGACTTTTTTTTCTGTTCCTAGTACCTCATATTATGTCATTTGTCACTGGATTCGGAGTATCACCAAAAATGACTTAAAACTATATTTTTCATATGTGAGGAAGGTCATTTGCACTTCGGATTGCTGTGGTCTGCTGCGGAATTTCGTCTGTGGGCAGCTGCCAGGAAAATAACCAGCAGTGCAATGCCGGCTACTGCGCAGAGGCTCTGTGCAGTGATGCGTGTAAGCCTGTGCAGTGAGGCGTAAAAACCCAGCGGAAAGGGGTTAAGGATTGCATCCAGAAAAATAAAATCATAGACGTCAGATGTAACAGGTACAGGGACAAAATGAACCCCAATTTTTTATGGAATGACCCGTATGGAAATTGGGTGGGTGTGATTTTCTTGAAACAAGTGGATTTCAGCATTTCCTTTAAAAAAATTCCTAGAACTGCCAGTGAAATGCAACCCAACAAGAAACAATTGTCGGACGTACCTGAGGGAATAACCAGAAGAGCTAAGCCGGCTGCGACTATGTTACCGGCCATCCAGAACGTGGCGACGACAGAGATCATCATACCACGTTTCTCCTTGGGTTGAAACTCCCCACAGTAGGAGAAAATGACCGGTATGGAGCCCCCAACCCTGTCAAGCATGGACAGCAAATACAGAAAATGGGCTTTGTGGATATTTGTCAATTGACTTGTTAGAGATGTAGTCAAGTCCCTCACAAGTCCATCACAAGTCCATCACAAGTCCATCACAAGTCCATCACAGGTCCATCACAAGTCCATCACAAGTCCATCACAAGTCACTCCCATGATAAGTCACAAGTCGGAGAGTCAGGTTGGCGTACCTCGCCTTCCATCGCTGTGACCCGGGTTCAAATCCAGCTTGGGCCACTATGTGGATTGGGTTTTCAGTCCCTGCCTGATTGCATGGTTTTTCCCCCAGAATATTCTTCTTGATTTTTCCTCCCACCTCTAAAACTGTAATTTCTTCTCATTCACTTCTCTCTACAGGTTTCTTCAGACTTTCAAGCTTACAGTGCCTAGGGCACTATTTGGGGAATCCTTGATTTCAGTGCCAGAAGTGATAAATAAATATATAAATAAATAAATAAGTCCATCACAAGTCCATCACAAGTCAATCACAAGTCCATCACAAGTCCATCACAAGTCCATCACATGTCAATCTCAAGTCCATCACAAGTCAATCATAAGTCAATCACAAGTCAATCACAAGTCAATCACAAGTCAATCACAAGTCAATCACAAGTCAATCACAAGTCAAATTATTATGTCCAATCCCTTCAGCTTCATGTTAAGGAAAGTCAAAAAATGATATTCGCCAACTTTCAACATGAATGCAAAGACCAGTATTTTTTATAACTTCTTTGGCGATGGATTTATCTATTACCCGACTCCGCTGAAGAAGCGCATGAGCAGAAAGAGCCAGTAGACCTGGGAGAGACTGGACATGAGGCCAAAGAAGGCGTTGGTTGTCAAGGACAACAGCAGCGTCCGGCGACGGCCGTTGATGTCAGCCAGCGCTCCCCATATGTAGCCACCTACTAGCATGCCTGAGGGAGACAAGGAACATGACCAGGAGAGTCATCAATTGAATAACAACAGGCACTCCTTGGGTTAACAAGTGTCAGCAAAGAATCGATGGAAACTGGATTTGAACCAGTAACCTCTAGAATGCTATTCAAGTGGTCAACCAACTCAGCTACCATTCCTTTAAAGTTGGGCATTTTTTTTTAATTTGACAATGTCCAAACATAAAGAACACTTAGATTAACTGATTGAATAAATCAAATAAATCATTCATATTTTATATAAAAATAAGATAAAGTGTCTGCTGAACTCTGTTGTACAGTTTGTCCAGCAGGTTTGGGTCTTGGAACAGGCTTATGAACAGATCTGTTTTGTTTTGGAACATGGTAGGTGGTTGAAGTTGGGGGAGAGGTGATGTTTGAGCCAAGGTAGGAGGGAGGTGTTACACTGGGGGAAGGGGACTTTTTGGGACAAGATAGGGAGGGGAGGGGAGGGGTTAAGTTTTTTTTTTTGGGGGGGGAGGTTCAACCCTGACACTCACCCACAAAGATGATAGCGCTGAGCACCCCTTTCTTGTAGCTGTCCAGGTCCAAGTCTTTCTCTGCCGCCGGTAGCAGGAAGGATACACTCAGGATCTCCACAGCATCGCTGGCGTTGGCCCAGCCGCACAGAATCACTAGTAAGACGTGAAACTTTCCAAAACCTGTCAGCCAGAAAAAAAAAACAATTTACTTGGTGACAAAGGGATTCACAACTAAATCAGAATTTACAAATTACAAATTAAATCATGCGTCCAAAAAAAAAAAATGTAACCTTTTCTCAAGTCATGTCCACTCCCCTTTTTTTTCAAGGGATCCTGGTCCCGCCCCCAAAAAACTACCCACCTGCTTTCTCCAAGGCTTCATCAAAGTTGCCGAGTTTGGCTGGATCTACATATTTAACAGAAAGAAAAAAGGAAATTAACAAAAAATTTGCAAGGCTGCAAACAGGCATTTCTGCAGAATTTAGCATTTTCTGTCTCTATAAATGCAAAATGCATAAATTTCATGATACATGTAATAATAATAATAATAATTTACACTTATAGAGCGCATTACATAAACATATCAATGCGCTTTACAACTAAGATAGTGTTAAATAATACTAAATAGCAATACTATAATACATTACATATGAAAAGTTACATTTTTATTACATTACATTTATATTACTTTACATTACAATTTCATTACACAAGGCACAAAAAATTAGGTACTATTTGATGTAATCCAGACTAATCTTGAGACTAATCAGGCAACCTACATCATACATGTAAGTTGGAATTGTACAATGTAGGCCTACATATACATCTTTTCTTTGTTTTTAATTATTTAAGTTTTGTTTTAAAAAGCAGGTTTTACAATGTAAAAAGTTTATCTGAAGAAACAATGTTGTGACAGCAACAATCCAAGAAATACGTAATAACAAAAATACATAAAGTTAAAACTTTTTTATATATAACTACATTTAATTTGTTCCAGCTCAAATGGTTGCTTTGGTCATCTGCTTTCTGAGAAAAATGGTAGGCAAAAAGTGAAGGAAGTCATAAGTCAAATACAATCTTAGTCACCTGACCTGCCTGATGGTCACAAGACCTTGGTCACCTGATAAGGATTCATACCAAAACATGCACAGTTTCAATAGCCTTCTGCATGTCCCTACACAAATCGATCAACTGACCCCTCAAGAGTGTGTGTACATAATGATTACTATATTTACTAAGACGCTCTGCAAAGGTCTAGGCATAACTTTGCAATTCTGTTTATCGGTTTCAGTTGTTTTAGGCCAAATAAAAAGAATGTCGTGTTACTACATGGTAACCCCACCAACCCTAACAATTTTGTTGTGCATAGAGTAGGCAGTTGAATTTTTTATCTTTTATATTTTAATTGTTTTTATTCAAATACAAGTTAATGTTTTTTGGAAGTGATAAGATTACCCCAAATACAAGTCTGAAATACTTGTACGTATACATTAAAGTACCTTCTATTGAGTGAAGTATGTCTACTTGTCCAGTTGTCCTCCACTATATAATGTATAGGCTACATTCTTACTGTATAATATATGTAAGTTACCGTACGTATGTAAAAAAAACTATTTATAAAAATGTATCCTGCCTACCGAATCTTCATTTTTTTTAGGGCAGTGTTACCCAGGTCCGTCGCCAAGGCCCCCCCCCCCCCCTCGGCAAAAACCACAAGCGTAAAAATTACACTTGTATAAGTGTGTTGTGTTTTGTGTGGTGTGCCCCCCACTCCTAATTTGTACTGTGCCCCCCCCCCCCCTCCCCCCTAATGCCCTGAGCTGGCGACGGTGCTGATGTTACCAGAAACACAACATTTAGTTTTTGTGGCCAAACCTAGATAATATCAATACACTTTATAATTTGGTTTCGGTTTTGAAATTGAATTTGCAGAGATTTATTACAATACTAGGCAACCTTTCTTCTGTAAGCAGGAAGTATGAAAATTAAGACGTGCACGTACACTGTACAGTGGTAGAATGACAATCAATCCAGAAATGTTGGTTGTAACTGGAAAAAAAATTACATAAGTAATGTTTTCATCTAAAAGTAGCTTATGAAATTGGCTTTCCAGTCATTCTTATTTTTGGTGCTACATATTTTTTTTAAATATGAAATATATTTTATGGGGTTTGGGTTCCGCTTTTTTTTTACCGACCCTGTAGTTAGATAAAGTGCAGCTTCTCTCTTTCAAGTTAGCTGTGCAAATGGCCCACTCTATAAATTCTGACCTCAGCATCCGCTGAAACAGAGACTCCTTGCAGATCTCTGTTCCGAAAAACTTGCCTCTATAACAATTTATTACAGGACATTTTGCCCTACCTGTTTCAATCAAGTGTTCCCTGCCTTCTGCATCCGAGACATCCTTGAGTAACCGACGGTTTTCGTCCGCTTCCATTCTCCCTCGTGGATCACGCACAGCCAGTTGGTAGCTGTCCTCGAGTTCCTCACTGTCGTCCGAGTCCTAACATGTGTGAGAGAAATAAAAAATAAAACCCTATACCGAGTAGTAACCTGCAGCATGCATTTCTTTCCATGCAAGTGTGCACAACACATGTAGTATTCTGTGGTATTTGGTACTTGGCCCCGAAAGAGCTCTCAGGGGGTTAGGGTTAAAGAGGATGTACACCCACAAAGACAACACAAACAAAAAGGAATTAGGTCAAGCACAAAATGACAGCGAGAACCCCATGGTTGATTTGAACAAAAAAACTACACAATAGCCCTAGACAAGCGATTCATATACGGCTGCACTGTGGAGGCAATCCCTGATACATGTATGTGCATGATATCATAACAATCTTTTTTTTTTAAAATACAAAAAAAAGGATACCAAAACAAACTAATGTCAATTCTATTCCTGGTATTACCATGGAGGTAGAATTAGACGCTATTGACTGGGGTCATTCTACAATTTTGGTCCAGTTTTTCCTGTCCCTGTTACATCTGATACTTGAATGGCAAATTATGACAAAGTACCAAGGTAACGGGGACAGGAAAAATGTCACACTCTGGGCCTTAGATTTATAGAATGATCCTAATTGACTAATTGTAGTAAGGAAAATGGTCCAAATGGTTGCATTTCACCTGCTATAACACATGACAACTTTTAAGAATATAAATCCACACTTACACACTTGGATAAGCCTGAACTTTTCTGTTTTTCAAAATCTTGCGTTTGGTGAGAAGTCGCAGCGATGCAGTTGTTTCAACCGATTCAAGTTCTCCACCGCAGTGTGTTTTTTTGGGGGGGGTTGTTTTGTTTTATAATGTAGCTGCAGACCCGCTAAACCAATCTTCTGTTATGAGCCATAAAGCAATATGTGCATAAATTACATGCTACCAAGACGAACAGCTGTGGAAAACCCATCTGGTGATCTGTCCAATAAAAACAATTCCCAGCCCGGTTTTATATCCCGAACGATGGACGTTTTCCCTTTATACTTACATGTGTACAATGTTGGGCAATCTAATTCCAAGCATAGGCTATAGGCAGTAATTAACAACAGAATAAATCCATAATTTAGTCTGCTTTGTCTGGGTGATAGTAGATCATTGTAGAGATATAGATCGTCATCGGGACATCAGACAACAACAAATGAATATACATACATGTACCGGTAAGTATGTTCGCATAGTCAGGAAAGGGTATAGTAAACAACAGATAATTGTTATATTTATTATTGCATGCCATGCATGCATTAACAAAATGCTGGTAGGCGGTACACGTATATATATATGTACATGTTCATGTATACAACAAGGACTTGGGTCATTCCCACCGGGTTGGGACACAGTGTGTGTTACATCCAAATATTTGGTTACATTATTAAAAGTATCAATGCATTCTAAACAATTGCTCAACATAATATTTGTCTTTGGGTGTTTCAATACTTGAGAAAGTTTGAAATCATTTGAATGTACTTTGACAAAAATAGGAGCGAAAATGTATTAATTCAGACATAGCATGGACACAGTGTCAATGATACATATCCAAATACATGTATTCTTTTTGTTACCATTTTTTTACCTAAAATAGTACCCAAACTGACTAAGTGGACACCTAATGCACCAAAAAAAGCTTTTGTTTTGGTATAGTCAGGGTTCAAATATAGCAGAAACAATGCCTTAATGTGGACGTAATGGTGTCAAAATCACTCAATGGAAGTGTGACATTTGGGGTTGACACGGTGTCAATGTTACGTCCACAACCAAGCTATCATTTCTGCTCCATTTGATACCTGACTACCATAACAAAAGCTTTTTTTAGTGTGTTACATGTACATTTATAGTAAGAAGTACATAAAGTGAATTTGGTTGATGTTTTACAAAAAGAAGAAAAAAGAAAAAATACAAATATACTATTTGGACATAACATTGACACAGTGTCAATGTTACGTCTGAATGACATTTTTGCTCATATTTTTGGCAAAATACATTCAAATGATTTAAAACTTCCAAACAAGGATGATTACAAGTTACAACAACTGCTTAGTTTCTTTTTGTACCAAGTGACCATAAAGTGTACATAAATTTGATTTCGTTTTAGTGATTAAAGAGCTGAGAAGTTAATGAATTTTACCTTCCCTTGCAAAAAAAAAAAATTGAAAATGACTGAAAATACCACCCAAAGAGATTGTTTGATGCTGGCCTGTAGCCTGGCCAAGACAACAATATGTGGGCTCACAATCTTTTGAATATGACTGGTAAAAGTGACTTGCTTTTGAGAAAACTTTCAACTTTTAAAAATGGTAAATTAAAAACTCAACAACTAGGCCTACACTGCAAAATAACTGTGGTGTCCCTTCATAAAAAGTCAGTATAGTACCTGTAAATCGACTTTTTGAAAAACATTATTCACATGCTCAAGGGCGTATGAAAATACTCCCCGGGCGTGGAATAGATAAAATAAATGTTTCTAATGGTACCACAGGGTACTCCTAGAACTATGAGGCTCCACGTAGTGGAGCCTCATAGAGTCAGAAGCCCGCAAAATTGTTGTCAACACAAAACACTAATTAAGTACAAAAACGTCCATTCCAAATAAGCTATTTCCCACAGAACCGCTGCACAGTTTGCCCCTAAACTCCGTACAATACCTCATGACATACTCACGTTATGTGCACCCAACAAACATTGGTGGATTCTGTCTGTTTTTAGGCCAAAATGATGAAAAATATGCCCTTTCCGCACTGAGCCAACCTAACACTTGAAGCGAGCACGCGCGCTGATATCGCAGTCATTTTCGGGTTCGATCGCTCGGAGCGCGCCGCGGGGGGTATGGTGTAGGAGCGGATTGATAGTATGTGCATGCGTACAAGTGCAAGTACGTACCCCCCGCGGCGCGCTCCGAGCGATCGAACCCGAAAATGACTGCGATATCAGCGCGCGTGCTCGCTTCAAGTGTTAGGTTGGCTCAGTGCGGAAAGGGCATATTTTTCATCATTTTGGCCTAAAAACAGACAGAATCCACCGATGTTTGTTGGGTGCACATAACGTGAGTATGTCATGAGGTATTGTATGGAGTTTAGGGGGAAAATGTGCAGCGGTTCTGTGGGAAATAGCTTATATGGAATGGACGTTTTTGTACTTAATTAGTGTTTTGTGTTGACAACAATTTTGCGGGCTTCTGACTCTATGAGGCTCCACTACGTGGAGCCTCATAGTTCTAGGAGTAACCACAGGGGACATCCTTTAAACTTGTGTCAACTGTAAAAATATACAACTTACCTTCTGAACAGAAAAGCTCATAGTCATATGGTTAGAAAAGAATATTCCCAGCGACAATGCGGCCAAACATCAGGAAAAACAGATTGAATTGCAGATGTGCTCAAAATACTCATCTGATATCAAGATACAAAGTCCTAAGTGATGCCTAGCCTAGTCCATTTTGGGCAGAGGGGTGCATGCATAATAAGCCAAAGTTAGGTGTCACTAACGCATGGTCATCTTTCCTTACCAATACAATTTTGTTTTTAGAAACAAGACTAGTTGGGCGCGCTCTTCTTTTCCCAGGGTTCCCACACAAATCTGGAAATGAAATTCCACGACTTTTCCATGCCGTTTCAAAGACAAAATTAGGGCTTTCCCTAACCAAACAATGGGAGCCCATTGATAAAATGCATGGCCTCAGTTTGTGATAGTATCAGTACATTATTGTACATTATGATTAGCTTACCTTGACTTTGTTTTCTTTTTGCATTTCATCAGATTATTTAGTTTGTTAATTTTTCTCTTTTGGATGGTTAAAGTAATAAAGAACTACCTACATGTACTCCAATGTTCCAATTGTGCAAAACAACCCAATCCACTTCACACACATGTACACAAAGTGCCAAGAATGTTAAAATTAATGGCACCACACACATAGTACCCCCAGTTGTAACAACTTTTTAAGTGCCATTTAAAAATAAGATAGCGTTTCTGATTTGTGAGGCGTTCTTGCAAAATGAGACAGAACTTGGACAAGCCATTGTGGAAAAAAATGCAAAAAACACAATGGGGGGGGTTGTATTATAAGACTCATTGATATTTGCAATCTTTGATATGTCTACTACAAATACTTTAAAGAAATAGCATAAAAATTCTGTACTAAAATTGCTTTTTAAGGAAAACAATTGGCATCTTTCATATACACGACTAGAACTAGCCGAAACTTTAAAGGCCTTTTTCGCAGTATTTTACTTTGTTGACATGTTGATAAATGCAAACTTTTAACAGCCATAACTTGTCAGTTTGTTTTGCAACAAACAGTATTGTAAGAATTTTGTTCTCTTTCCTAATACCCGCAAACCCTCATTGCGACCTCGGCCCAGTTCTGTTTCCCTTGGCAGAACGCCTCACATTTTTTTACAGAAACTCTTCAGACATTACAGTATCTTGTAACAAACACCAACTGTTTACACAGATATTTTAGCTCCATGTTAATTCAAAAATTGGAAAGTTCCAAAACTGGAGTTTTGTGACAGCATTACTTGAAGCAAACCCTTCTGAAGGTCTTCTCCCGACTTCCCTGTCCCCATATCTGACCCCATTATTCCGAATCAAAACCCGGTTCTTGAACATTGTGTACCTCTATTGTCATATTTTCTAAACACTTTGTAAAAACAAATTGTACTATTCAAAGTGCAAAACTGTGTACAATTGTCTGCAGCAATTGGGGAGGGGGGGGGGGCTGTTCAAAACTCTACAAAACCATTGGACCATATCACTACCGACAACAGTTGTGTTGTTGTAGCATGGTAGTACATGTATTTTGAAAAGAAAAGGAAGCATTACAATTTATATGGAAAATAGTGCAAATTGATGACTATAATAAAAATTAAAATTGTTTAATGTCGAGTTTCAAATGTACCTCGTGTATGCCCATGGTGCCGCTCTAGTGGTAGGCCCACTACTTCAGTTCTGATAAGTTATCCGCAAAATTCACGCAGGCAGTTTGTTCCGGAAGCTTGGATTTGCAGACAACCTCTGAAATCAATTGGCAATATTAACAGTCACTTCATTAAATACAAGTGCACACATCAGTCAAGTTTTTTTTTAGGATCTTTCTATTTTTTTACCTCCATATATTCTTATCCTTCCAAAATATGGTGAACAATGCTTGGGTTACTCCCATTAATTGGGTAGAGCTTTACATAAAATTATCAGTTCTCATATTTATGGATTGGTGACCAATCAAAGTGCCCTGTGATTGGTCAGGTGATCAATCAAAGTGCCCTGTGATTGGTCTGTCTGATACTTGCCAGGAAACAGTCTAGCCAGAGCCACGCACAAGTCTACTTTTCATGAATTCAAAGTGGCAGCCTCAAACAAGGCGTTTGTGACAAGGATGTTTCCCGAAACGAAGATGAAATTTCTCTTTTCTTCCCAAAGGTATGTAAACCTCACCACTATCATTTGTATTTCCAATTCCCACTGAAGCCTACATTTACAAGGGCGCATTAGACTGAAATAGACAGTCTGAAGACTGTTCTTGAGGTGAAATCTGAAGATTTGATTGGGGGTACGAGTGAAAATGGTCCAAAAACAAAATATTAGTAACGCAATACAGTAACCTAGGACTCTACTGAGTACTATCGCCTGACCATGTCCAAATGTTAAAAAAGGCGATTCGTAGAGTCCTACTTTATACTTTGACATGTCGGAGTAACATGCAACGTGGTCACTCCGAAGTGGCCTATTGTCTTTGTAAGACATGCAAGATATCCGTGGAGGTTGCCAAATTAAAACAAATGAACACCACTCTAACACCTCAGCTTCATCATAAAAGTGCACTGTATTCCCCTCCCCCCCCCGTCCCCCGCCACCCCCCCCCCCCCCTCCCCCCCCCCCCCCCCCCCCCCCCCCCCCCCCCGCAATATTCAACAGGTTCAATCTCACCGGTTCTCAAGCCCCAAGGAACTACAAACTACTTATGTCCTCATTTGTATTTCAACATTTGTAAGTACAATCCCAAATACAGGACCTTCTATTACAGTTTAAGTACCTTTTGAGTTTTGTTTCAAGTTCAAGGCGCCTGCTGATAACACAGTTCTCCGGAAGCTACTACAGTGCAATGACTAGTCTGGTGCCTAAACCACGCGCAATGAAATTTGATTGCTTTCAGATGGGTTTCAGACATGCGTCAACACCATTTACGCCTAATGGGGGCGCTGTTCACAATAACAGTAACTGCGTCATCGGCATAGATGGTCATCGGTTGCATGAAGTCGCCCCTGGTTGATTTGGGGGGGGGGGGGGGGGTACGACTCTATCCGGCTATATAAGAAAGTAAAATAAATACCAAGAAAATGGTCGAAAGCTTAACTTTAACAACTAAGGATCAATTTGACAACAGTATAATCGATCTCAAGCTAGATGAAGCATCCTTCGGCCTCCATGACATCAATGATGTGGTGATGAATATTTAATATCATAAAAGAAAAGAAAATGAATATTTAATATCATAAAAGAAAAGAAAAAAAAAGGCAATTAAGTGAGAGCAATACAACGTTCGCTGTAAGAGGTCTGATCACTTTGAAGTGTGGGCACGAACGACCAGAGTTGGAAGCGCGGGAATTTGCAGCTGCGCGCTGCTGCTTGTTGGATCACCTGTTTGAGGGTTGTTTGCATTCATATCTGACCCCCTAATGGTTTTTACAAAGTGCCGAGCTTTTAAAGGTAAAAGACACCATTTGCACAAAACAATCAAAAATGAAACTGTCAAAAAGCAGTATGAAATATCCTACTTGATTGTAAGTAAATAATAATAACCTGTGAAATTATTACATCTAATAAAGCTGTCATTTTCGAGGAAATAGGAATTACCATCATTTCCTTGCAATAATAAGGACCAAACCACTGCACTTTTAACGGTACTTTGCGCCGATAAAAAAAAAAAATGCCTTTTCACATTTTTCTCAAAAATATCTCCTGAGCTGATATTTCGACAGATAAGTTTTTTGATAACCTGCTTCAGATTTATTGTTGTTCCTGGAATCGGCAAAAACACTGTCCATTACTTAAACAAAACTCTAAAGTGTCATAATTTCGTGTGTGCAGATTACTGCCTGCCAATATTGACCTCGAGTATGACCTGTGACGTCATACCAGGAAACTAGAGCCGGCCAAAACAGATTTCTAAGATGAGTGTGTCGAGATGCCCTACATCCAACCCTTGTTTTGATGATGCAACCATTTTCCCCAACAATCGTACTTTTCATAAAGATCTCGTTATCTTTACAATGACTTTATTGAATTACACTTAGTTTCACGACGAATTATGCATGAAGATAATTTTAATTAAATAGGCCGCACTTGAATCCAACCATCCAATTTTAAAGCTGGAAGGCCATGTTCAGATCCAAGTGGAATCTTGAACCTAGAGGCATATTGCAATTAAGTTTGTCACGAGCATTATTACACGATCGTTCCTTAGTTCAACCCGAAACATAAATGGATTATGCCCCTCTACAACCTCGTCTACCCTACATTAAACAGACGATGCAATGTGAAACTTGGTTAATCATTGCGATAAAGCATAAAGTGTAACCTCGTTATAGCATTTCGCGAAGTGTCTGCGAGTCATCTGTATCCATTACAAAGCGATGTGAAATATCACATTCGGTTGGCAACGAACCAAAAACCGGTCGCCGTATCTTTAAACAGACGTAGGAAACGGACGTGGCGCGGTAACCTGGCGACCAAGAGGATGAATGAGACACGTACGGAGGACCATAAGACGGAAATGAAATTGCGTTTAAGAAACCGAGAAAGTGGATGACACCGTCCTGCCGAAGCAGGTCTGTCTAATAGGATTAATTTTTCTTTGCCAAAAGAGTCGTTTTATTGTGCCTGGGGGATAAAGCATTTTATTATAAAGCATTTTATTTTGTCTTGTCTCTTTATTTTGTTTTGCATGTTTGTTTAGGTATTGTAGGCCTTCGGTAATTTCAACACCTACGTAGAAATTAATTGTGTATGAAACAGAACTTGACCAAAAAACTCACTATTCTTACAGACGACATCGTGATGTGTCCTTCGTTTTGTATTCTCCCTGGTTGTATGCTACATTTGTGTTCTGGGATGCGGGGTATCCAAGTAACGAGGAAGGGTGTGTAGGAAGCCACTTTGTTATACGGGAGCGGACAGCGTATCTTCCCGTACTCCGCCTGGCTGGCAGGCAGCCTAGCTACCCCGGAAGCTCGGGCTCCAAGGACCTTCCCCCTCCCGAAGTTAAACACACTGTTAGTAGTCTATTAATCCACGGCATGGCGTTGCCAGGAGATCTCTTCCTGGTACTTAGTAGTTATTTAACCATTGATGGAATCAGCGCCTTGCTGGTGTGGTTTCCTATCGGTTTTCCTTAAAATAAAAATGAAACTCTGAGGCTAATTTCGTAGATCTGCTTCTGACATCGGCATAAAATGCTTAGCTCACAAAAAATGTAAGCTGAGCAAAAATGAGGTCACTTGTCCCGCACGACTGTTCTTCGTTTGTTAATTGGTAAGACAAAAATTCAGCTTAAATTCAGCTCAGATAAAAGAGTGTAAGCCCTATGAAGACAAGACACACACAGAAACGAGCTCGGCAAATCCAGGAATACATTAATTTTTGCCAACGCAACCTGCATGAGAGAACCCTATTTTTCAATCACGGCTATCAAACGCATGCGCAGACGATCGATATTATACCACTATTATTATTGCGTGGTGACTAAACGAAGAAAAACTGCTGAGGTTATACCATGATGCATACGGCTTCTCTCGAGGACCGGCATAAGTGTGATTTCTTTTATGAAGACAATTTATTTCCAGTGATGGTTTTGTACTTTATCCTAAATGCGCTATCCCGTGCCAACCATTGAAATAATGGGAGCTCAAGTTCACGTCATGCTGTTGATTGGCCTGTCCTTGGCCTTCACCGCGTCTGGCACGGATTCTGCCGCCGACGACACGTGCGTTTCTCCGGGGGTGAACACCACCCAGCCCCGCTCCGGTACCACACGTGACGATACCGTGCCCCGTCGGACTCCCATCTATGTCGGGGGAATGTTTCCCGTGGAGAATAACCAACTCTTCGGCTTGGTGGACGACTCAGTGCTGACTGCAGTCAGACACATCAATGACCTGGATGGTATTCTGGATGGATATGAGCTCCGGATGAGGTGGGATTGGACTGAGGTAAGTGTTGCTCTTTTGTAACTCCTAATCCTCAAAACTCATCTCCCTGAAAAGGGGTCCCCTTGGATCTGATACGAGTCGTTGAGGACATGCTGACGACATGCCAATACTTCGTGGCCTGCTTTAAAGGAATAAGATCCTTTGCATGTTGTGCATTTGTATATTAAAGTTTTGTAAGCAACAGAATTGCTCAAAATCTTATGAGTAGTGTGCATAACAAATCTGTTCAAGTTTCAACGCAGTGTATACTACAGATCCTAAGAAAACAGGGTAAACCTATGCACAAAGTTTTCGTCTTGTTAATAGTTTCCATTCCAGCGCCTCCAATTAAAAGAAAATGCTATCGCACCCTCTTGTATAATATGGTCCTGATTACTCAGCACTAAGAACATGATTCTCAATCAGCCGGTTGGTGTGTGACTTTGAGACCCTAGTGGTTGGTACTTCTCGCAGTATTTTACAAATATCGCCATTTAAAAAAATGTACATGCTGGCCACTTTCTTTCCAGTCGGACTAATTCACAGGCAATTTGGTACCAGTAATTCTTACCTTTTAGCAATGTTTTCCCTCATTAAATCAGAAGGTTCAATTTCCGGGTAATAACCAATGCCCCTACGTGCCTTGAAGCAAAACCGAGATTTCCAATTTAGTAATAATAAGTTTGTTCATTAACGATTCGTTAACAACTCGGTTTTCGGAAAACAATATTGCAACCCATCTATTTTGCACGATGATCCTTTTCCCTGTCTTTCAGGGCAGCGCGCACAGGGCCCTGCGGCTGTTGTATGACTTCGTCTACGTCGGCCCTCCAATCCTGATGGCCTGGGGACCAATGTTCTCCAGTGTAGCTGTCATCATCAATGAGGTTGCCGCCGAGTACAACATCATACAGGTAATGGCCGCCTACTCCGTAAGCAATAGTTGAAATTCTCGTTTCTGGTTCGATCGACATTGATGCATCGGTGTACATTCATGTAAAATAATCATAATAAGTGAAATATTTTTATTACTAAGAGTATTATTGGCATATAAAGCACGTCAGCTGTAAAGTGATTTAGGTATACGTTATTTCGAAGACAAAAAAAGGAGAGAATTGTTTTGGCAAATGTAACCACCCTTATTCTGAAACTCACTTCCGGTCTCGGAGTTGAAACAATGGAGCTATAATACCTCACCAAGTCATGATTGAGCGCCGGCTCGTTATTCCGCAGGTCGCCGGTTCAAATCCCGATCCGATCATTTTTTTCGTTCAACTTGTAGCCAACAGTGACTGATGGTGAGCCCTGTCAGTTTTCCCTTTGATCGGAACGCGTATATTAACCTTACCGAAGGGGTCATCTTAGGGTCATCTTGAGATCATCTTCTTCCAATCTTCCCACCTAGGTAACCCTTGCCAACTCGCCAACTTTACCGAACAAGACCCGGTTCCCTTTGACCGTACGGTGTGGCTTGCAGGAGGACGAGCTGAACCAGCCCCGCCTGGCCCTCATGAAGGAGATGGGCTGGACCCGGGCTGCTATCGTCTTCGAAGACATTGAGTACTTCCGATCGGTAAGACATTGCATCATCATACCTGCGCAAGCCAAAATGGCGTGCCTAAAATGATATAGACCTACAGAGGATAAAAATATCATTCACAAAATGACCGTTACAGGCCAAATCGCCTGCGTAGAATGGCCCACAGAATCGCAAATAGCATGCAAATGCAACATTGGCCACACAGGCCGAAATGACGATTTGAAGCCAAGACAAACAGCCTGTAAATTGGCATCGAAAGCCCAAAATGATATACACAGGTCATAACGTTAATATGGCCTGCATTCAGATTCAGCACGACCGTAATATGATCTGGCACGCATAAAGGCTATTTAAATCTTTGCGAGAGTCGCATATAAATCAGTTTTTGACGTCACTCCTTCATTTCAATTCAATTCTAGAGACATTAATTGCCTCATAATTATTGCAATTTCAGGTCACAGTAATCAACTCATAAGAAGATACTTTGTACATTATCATCTAACTACAGTGTATAGCACAAACTCGTGTCAACATCATTCCTTGAGTCACATTCAGACATTTTACTCGACTAGAAGACCTGAATATACCGTACAATTGACCTACACTTTTATCTCGGCATGTGATTAATATGCTTTCAAACGGAACCTATTTTGCCTCGTCATAGGCCCTACATGGGCTTTTTATCAGCCTTAGGCCTATTCCACGTACTTAAAATTCGCTTTCTTTATTCGTCCGGGATCATGGATTCAGTCCTTGCCGAATGTTCAGTTTCAAGACATTCTCAGCAAAACTGGTTGATGTTCAAAAGACCCCCCCCCCCTCCATATTTTTATCAACAGAACTCTCAAGACTTGGCAGAGACGCTGGCCGACGGAGGTGTAACCGTACTAACGATAGAAGCTATAAATGACAAAGACCAGCACCGCTCGCAAATCAACAATCTGGTGGTGAGTTCTGTCTGTAGGTTTTAACTCGATGTTAGCTCACTGATTACTTCACAGATATGTAGCCGAACCGTGACATATAGTAATCGTTCCAGGGGTATATTGTATGGAAATTGTATTGTTAAATCTTAACAGAAGTCATGTACTATTGTAAAGTTGAATTGCTAGCCAATCATTGATTCAAATCTCAGGTCTGTAGTTTAAAGTAGGAGGAGGATAAACGAAAGATAACCGAAGATAAAAATGGATTTTTGTTGTCTTTTGAAAAGCTTTGTCTCTTGACTTGAGACTTACTTGCGATTGTCTTATGATTGCCTTATGATCGACTTGTGATTGACTTAATATGATCGACTTGTGATTGTCTTATGATTGACTTAAGATTGACTTGTGAGGACCTGCCTCCAATGTTTGTGCCAATGGCTTTTACATAAAGAGTTGATAATGCTGTATTTGTTTGTAACAGAATCACGATGCCAGAATTATTTTTGCCAGCTTCTACGAGATTCCAGCATCCAAGTTCTTCTGTGAGGTACGTTCATCTTTTTTCCGAACAATCTCCTCCTCGAATTCAAAACAAACTAGTCTTGTAACACACCATCGTATTTGATCAAACTTTTTCAAGTCTATCAGCACCAGACTTTGAACACGCCATTAATAGTCTATCGTCGTTGATAGCTTGCTGTCCGCACAGTGGCGTGAAAATGACATTGATGCATTGAAACTGCAGTTGCGTGTTGTTTCAACTCGTTTAGCGTTTTTGAAAAAAGCTATTTCTCCGGGAGCTAATGGTTTCCCGTGACCCTACGTTAACCCGTTATACAGGAAAACAAAATCACTTACACCTTTGTCGCTGTTCGAACCTTTTTAATTGGCAAAATGCACCGCAATCACCGTTCTGGGTTGAGCGATCGGACTTTCAAACGACACACCACGTTCGCGCCATTTCAATCTGTCTCCATTTGCTCAGCGTGTTTGTGTTTCCGCGCCAAGCATATTTGCTAGATCGTGTCCTCCGTTACCAAAAGTCTTACAAGTCTTGTGCATTGAGGAGACAAAGGGTGAGAGCATTAAACTAAAAACACATAATTTCGAACCATATTCGTCTGTATGTATATTTGCGTGGCCCGTTGCGAAGGAAATATTAAAATGTACTCATCTAGACTAACGGTACAAGGCCACAGGTTCAATGGTGCATGTTCACAACATCTTGAGGGAGTGGAAATGTAATTACGGTTGAACCTCACTGAATGTAATTGGTTTTGAACGGATTACTCGCAGCGTGCTCTTCCGCTCGTACTTCACTTTCCAATTTAAAGGCGCATTTGAAAACTACGACCCCTTGTACAAACCACCAAAGGAAACGCAAAGCACGGTGGGTAGCGGGATACTTTCTTGACTGTATTTTCGGGATGCCTAATCTCTACATAAACGTGGCATCAAAGCCAGAATTTCTATCATTTGTAACTTGATCGTGATTAATTTGTATTCATTAAGAGAAGCAAATAAATGTACCATCTTTCTATAAATATACATAGTTTTGCTACGTGTAAATTTAAAAAAAATTCTGCTAAAGGTAGCAGTACGGCCCTGATTCATAATTTTTTTAAATCCCCCTTCGTATAGCGAGACTTCATTTCAATATTATAAAAACTGATTAGCTGAATCAACGTTCTAAATCGGTTGGCGCGAATTCCAGCCGCAGGAGTGACGAGTGTTCCCTCCCCTGGCGGGCAGATTGTATCGCCGTACTATGCACTGCTCCCGTTTCTATAGCCAGGGAACACCCGGGACCCGTAGCGGCCTTGTCTGGTCTTTGCAGCCGACACGGTGCCTGTAAAAACGCCGGAAATCCGCCGCGTAGGCTGGAGGTGTTTTCCTCAAGGAGTCTGAGTTTGACCTGACTGTACTTTATATGTTTGGACTGGTCTTGATAAATGAGTCGTTTCACGGGACGGAACCGCGAGGATGCGGCCGGGTGGTCTAGAAAAACACGGCTCTTTCTCACCGAGTCATTGGAACTTAATAACTGATTTCGCTTATAACTTTCCTGTTAAAATTCATCAAAGCGAAATATTTAGCTTGATTGAGATTGATTGGGTAGCTTTTAGCTTTTTGTTTAGGTCTGAGATGAAGCCTAAGAAAAAGGCAAATCCGAAGACAATTATATTTAAAATGGGTATATAAAAAAAAATTAGTGTTATTTACCACGACTAAATTTTAAAGTTGCAATTTTAAATCAAACCAGTATTTTGTTTTTAAATAGAAAAAAAAAACAATTGTGAGAGAGGGAATTTTATCCGTCGTTAAAAAAGCTGGTTCACTTTTTAACGTGTTTTTTGTTTGTTTAAAGACTAGCATTAATATTCAACATTCAAACGACAATAACTGAAATCTGCAAAGACCCGTACCTCAGGATTTTAACAGCTTTTAAAGTAAAATCCCGTTTTCCTCACACTGTCAACCTGCATGTCGTCATAAATGAATATAACGAAGTACAATTTATTACTTTATCTAAACAATCTACAAATTTAGTAAACTTCGTGATAATAATAATATCGAATAGCTGGAAAATATCAGCCCATAATGCAGTGAATGCTCTCAGCATCGGGCCGCCGTATTTTTCGAGCCTTTGAAGAAAACCGGAAAGATAGCATCATTCTCCATTCTTGTCTTCCTTTTAAGTTCGTGACTCCCAGCCGAATTTCAAGAGCAGTTCAAATAGACATGAAACCTGAGCGCTCGATATTTGCATCATTGTCCATTAACGCTGAAGGGGATGTGGCGGGAGGGAGTATGTAATACCAACGAATGACTAGAACACATCGGGAGAAAGTCTGTTTGTAAAAGGCAATCAAAGCTGGTTGAGAATCCCTCAAATTACCATTCGGCTGACATGCGCCGCAATTCAACACGGTGACGTGATTATTGGAAACGGCTTCAAAGTGTTGCTGATTGTGTGAGGTTCACGTCTGAGCAAAACAAAATATATCGAGAGAGAAAGGACATTTCACGTTTAGGCTCCAAACTTTTCTTTGAATTAGTTAAATATCAGTATTGACTTTCTAAATGTGTAAGTAAACTATTGGAAATTGCACGTCAACTGGAAAATGCCATATAGCTTTCGCTGTAAACATAATGCCTTCTCACTTATTTTAACGTGTGTGTGTGTGTGTGGGTGTTCACACACGTTTATTTATGGTGTAAATCGAGGATTTTCTATTGTCCCTCTTCCCTTTTCCTTTGTTTATACTCTTACTTTTTTGCAACAGCTCTCATTTGGGGTTTTTTTACACGTTTTTTAACCGAGGAGTCCTCGATTTGGTTCCTGTCCTCGATTCATCGAAGGTGTTGCACGTGTGTGTCCTCGATTTACACCATAAACAAACATATACATTCAAACCGTGAAAAAAAATGACGGAGAGCAAAAGAGAACAATATCGTCCGCGATTTCCAGCATACGTCCGCGATTGGGGTCGTGTACAAAACATATGGGAGCCTTCCTAAAAAGTTAGTGCGAACAAAAGATGGACAATAGGACGTCCACGGTTGGAGGTCGATACACGACTCTATACCCGTGTGTGCGTGTGTGCGATTTATTATATAATATCTCTAGAGGTAATTATTGTATCACACGTCGTTGGAGAATGGTATAAAAAATTGGTCATGCAAATATCGTTGCAATCAAAGACAGACGAAATAAATATGCGACACATCTAATATAGGGCACCCCTTTTTATTTCTTTGGCGCTCATTTCCGACCAACCCCATTTTGGGTTCCCCACTCAAGAAAACAAATCCACCTTTTTTATTGCCGCCGATCATGTCTGGAACCCCATTTACAAAATAAATAAGACATTTAAAAAAATGAATACAAAATTCAGGCAAGCAGGCGCGGTGCTTTGAAAAGCTATTGGAAAAAAACACGTGTTTTTTTTACGCGGCGGACGGCGTTTAGCAATGCTAGAAGATGCGAGGATGTGTCCTCTTAAGCTGTACATGAATGTATGTCATGGCCAGCTGCCACTACAGTCGAAACATTAGTAAGTTGCATGGTGCATGCAGATATAATGTAAGTCAGCTACATCTTGTCAAAAAGGGTTTTATACATTTTTGATATCAACTCATGGTAAACTTACTGCAATAAACAAAACTGGAGACATACGCACTTAGCATCATTTAATTTAGCCATCGGGTGCAACTGCACTTTTCTTTTCTGTATATATAGATTTTTTTGCCGACCGACCGACTCAGGTACATCAGAGGCAAACAAATATGAGAACCATAGATATAAAAAGGGACGCCAATATCGGCTTGCAACCAACTTTAAATAAGTAGGTCCTTCACATTCATCCATCATGTAAAAGTAGGTCGTAAAGAAAGTCGGAGTCAAAATTGGATAGAAATAATAATAAAAAAGGCTTTATAATAATGGTACATACTTTATTCACATTGGAATTTAATGGCGCTTGGAGCATTTCACGTTTACTATCACACTGAAATTTATGCTTATTGTTACCTAAATTGTACAACTGGTTGTGCTCTTTCAAAGTCTACCCTGCACTTGTATGTTCCCTATACCATACCGAGTCAGATCGTTCGAAATAATCGTGTGGAGACTTATGTACCTCTCCCTGAGGCAAGGCTACCAAGGGCAAACGTGCAATAACCATGGCAACACTTATCTGATCTTTAACATGTCATTGATTTTTGCAACTGAAGTAGAAAAATGAATTCACAACGCAACGCAGCATCTTGAGCGTGTTCGTGATTGCAATTCAGAGCGAACAAGTCTCGCGATTTCGCGTTCATTTTTAATGCGAACGCCTGGGCGCCAAACACTGACTAGTCTAGCAACAGACTCTTTTGTTTGTCTTCACCAAATAGCCGTATAATTATGCATGATTGTTGGATCAGTAGTCGAGATCAAAATTTCATTATTATTTGTTTCTTAAATGACCACGCAATCCAATATTATAAGGATGCTTCGTTTTTCCCCGCAACACTATGCATCGTACAAGCTAGTCAGAAACATTTTTATAAAAAAGTAAACCATCTTGTCAAGCTTACTTGCATTAAAGATCGTACTGGTACTAAACATCCTGTGAAATTATTCCGTCTGGCTTGCTGTCATTTAAAAGAAATCAACAAATGTAGGTGATCTCCAACGATTAGTGAACTGACTTAATTTTGGAATGAAGAGTTTTAATGACGAAATTGTGTTTCGTGATGAAAAGGTTGTGCATGGTTTGTCACTTTTTTCTCGAAAAGTGTGATATCCACTGAGCTGAAACTTCAACAGGTTGGGTATTGAACATTATTCCTTTGATTTTGTGTGGTGTTATTATTGTAAACGAACAAATGGAATGAACAGCAAATGAAATTATGCCCTGTTATATCTGGAATACTTCTCGTATGTTGCTTGTATGTACACTGTATATACCATTGATTGTAATCTCGAATATAATAAAGTTGAGCAATTAATTAGTGTCAGTTCTTTGTCAGTTCAAATATCATGTATTTCAATCAAACGCAAGCCTATGACCCAATAGTACAATATTAGTTATGCTATTAAATGTAAACATTATTACGCCATTTTTTTAAAAGGTATATCGGCTCAAGGCTTACGGTCCACACGTGATCTGGATCATGAATGGATGGATCAACGACGGCTGGTGGCGCTATAACTCCACCAACAATTCGACCTGCACCTCAGAGGAACTGGAAGAGGTTCTTCGATACCACCTTGCCTTCCATGGGTTCTACGAAGGGGCCGATGTCGACTTGGTCAATTTTGGTGGAATTGTAAGAAAACTGTAGGCCTCAAAATTTCACTGTAGACGCGAAACTACAAGTACATGTATATGCCTATGGGTTTGAGTAGATCGGGCAGCTTGATTCTCTACGAGTCATAAAGGTGGAATCTATGTCCCAAGGCATAAAAAAAAGAGAAAACCTGAAGTCAATAAAGAAAGACAAGACAAGACACTGAGTCTGAATCCCTGAAGAAAATTCAGGTATAGTTGAATGAAGCATGCTTGCTTCTATGCAGATTCCAACAGTTTCTTAAGTACACAAACTTGAAAGGAATTCACTATGACAACATGAAATGACATATTTTGCCCTGGATATCGAGAGTAAGTTCTGATTCCTCAGTGTTACAACGGCCGAAAAGTCGGTCAAAAGTGCATAGCTGTTGGAGAAATGGGAAATAGACCGAAGTTTTTTACAAACTGAATTACCAACATCTGAGATTTCGAACTTTGCCCATTGTTATTGATCAACGTTTATTCAGTGTATGAAAGTCTCCATAAAAGAGGACCAGTAGTTTACCAGTCGCTGCTACACCAAACTTTGAACAGCATTTCTTCAATGCCCCTACCAAATTACAATTCAACATGAACATCACTAACATTTATTTGCGATTTATTAACATTCATTTGCCTGAAATTACTTCTAAATGATCCTCATGCAGGAACCGACAGAAGAGCAGAAAGCCTACCTGGAGAAGTTAGTCACCTCAGACTTGAGCGTACGAGACGTCTTGTCCCAGTCTTACGACGGTATGATCGTGATCGCCTTGGCACTGAACGCATCGATTTCCGGGCTGGCCAAGCTGGACCCGCCTCGACGCCTGGAAGAGTTTCACTACGCCGATAGCGAGATGAGGGCAGTTTTCATGGGGGCAGTTGAACGAGTGGAATTCTACGGGGCCACGGTAAGTTTACCTTAATAATAGCTAGGTGGACATGGGTCAGTGATGTAGTGGACCACAAGTCCTAGATCCTCACAAGTCCTCATAAGTCATCCAATCCCAAGTAAAGTCACAAGCTATTCAAATGAACTATGACAAGGCACTTTCTTACTTTTTTAATTGTAAATCCCCCCTAGATATGTAACCTGACTTGTTTTAGTGGACTTGTGACTCCCGACAAACATTTTGATGGACTTTTGATAGATTTGACTTCACCCTTGGTATGGGTACAGGGTTGGAAGGAATGGTGCGGTTTGGACCTGCATAATATCTAAGACCGAGACCAACATTGAGAATTGTTGTACCCAAGACCGAGACATCCAGATATTTTGTGGATGTGTTTTAATCAGAGCAACATGTAAAAGTTTGCATTCCTGACCGAGAGGAAGAAGGCCTTACGTGTACATAATGCCATCATATCTAAATATTTCGTTAGTGCAAACATTCTTAATGATATCGGATTGAACCGGGAAAACAGTCTTACTTGACTCCCACCAAAATCTAGTGAGGATTGACTAAGTGAGCAAGCGAAAATCAGTCAAAAGGTAGAATTATTGACCTTTAAAATTTAAGGTCCAAAGTTTGACAATTTTCTTGTCCCCGCTACCTTGGTATTTTCCATTCAAGTTTTAATAAGAAGAACTTCAAACGACTTTTTACTATTTGTTGGGTAGGTAGTTTGCTATTCTTAATTACCCTTGGAGGACGACTGCAAGAGGAGTGCATCAGAATTATAAAATCATACATGTCAGATGTAGCAGCTATAACACAAGTGGACCCTAACTTTACAGAACGACCCTTACGTAGACTGTTTGAAGTCTGGCAGAATAATTGTTCCTTGCTAAAATTTGCAAACATTTTTTGATTAAACATCAACAACATATTCTTATCGGTGAGTGGTTATCTAAATTCAAATTAAAGCGATGGCTGCTGAGCAGATGTAGGCCTACGTATTGATTTCTTTCGAACTACCAATGATTGGTTAGCCGACAATTCGAGCCTGTGCAACAACAAAATTGGCCTCTCGATTGATTCTGCTTCCCTCGCACGTGTTTAACCAGATTGCACAATAAATTTCATGTGTCACACGACCTTGATAATGAAAAAAGACTTTCATCTCAATAATTGTATTTCATGGCTTTTAGGTACAGATGGGCGCGAAATTGGAACAATCGATTTTGTGATTTTACGGATACAAATGATGACCTTTACTGGATTGTTATGGAAATCACTTATTTTTTACAGTGCATGAGAGAGTCAAGGTACATTGAGCGGTCTTAAGTTTTAAAATATAAACAATATATATACTTTGAAATATAGGCTACATATAGTAATATAATGCTAACATTGGCTAACAATGTCACACATTCTTTCGTACATAACAACACGAATGATTGAATGGTTGGAACTTAATTGAGGCCCATTTTTACTTCAGTTTAAATATTCTTTTTTAGTTATCAGTTATATATGTCAAATCGCTGTTCTAGCTCCGTTACCCGGACGTCCCATTCGCGTCTTCAAGATTATCCGGTTGGTTTTTTTAGTTCCACTTGCTCTTCGTAATGCATGTCAGAGCATTCTCCTGACAACACAAAAGTACATCACAGAGCCACCGCCTCGACAAATTCATCTCATCGATCAGAAGGAAATGTTATCCTGCATGATAGGATCGAAAGTCTATATCAATATTATGTCCAACTGACGTATGTTTCTGTTAGGTGTACGTGTCTTTCCTACCGACTGGCGATGAGGCAAGATCTAAAGGTGTTGGCGTTTTGTTTTTATCGCTTCTGTCTATAGAGTCAATTTTCACTGGACGAAAACGCTGCGAGGACTGGGGAGTCTCTACGTGTTGTCGTCAAACAGTTTCAGAGCACGAAAGGTATTTATGTTTCCTCACACTGATTACTATGTACTCCTTGTTTCTCTGGACACGACCCCCCCCCCCCCCCCCCCCCCCGGCAGCGGTGTTAATTGCAAAAGAGGAAATCAAATTTGTATCTTATTTGATGACCACTCCACGAGCTAATGAAATGGTCGCCTGTCGGCATGTCGACGCCAGAGATACAACTCACCTCCACTGTGTCTACATTTTGAAACAGCACTTGAATCTATCCCCGATCAAACAGGAGGGCAAAGAAAAAAAGGAAAAACAATCGATGCCTATCTTTGTTGGAATGCAGTGTATAGGGTCCTCTCACTTGTGTTAGAGCAAACACTGACGTGTTGGACTTTATACTCCCGTTACCGACCGAGGCAGAGAGCATGGGAGGGGAGAGAAACGTGGGCGGGGAAGAAGTCTGGGTGGGGGGTATAAAGGGCGATAATGACAATCGGCAACAAGAGAAAAAATAATACGATATGAAGTGATGGTTCTGGACTTTGGCGGTTTTCGGACTTATCAAGGTAATTTTCGAGGCATGGTTTTCAGAAGATTTTGGAAAAGTTCATTGCCGAGAAAACAGTAAAAAAATGTCCAGGGAGTTTTGGTGAATTTACTTTGAAATTTGCGACAAAACTCAACGTATGGACATTTTCAGATAAAAAAGTGTGAAGTGTTGTCGGATGACAATCAGAAACCGAGTGGGGTAATTGGAGGCACATATTCAGGGGTAATATACTCTCTCGGAGTACAGAATATAACATTTTGTCAAAGGGTAGTAAGAAATTCTTTGTTTAGTATTAAGGCAGTCAAAACTAGCTAAGATACCTTCGGAACCATGCTGAAGATTGATAGATCTCAATATTATTTTATTGTGGCGTGTGATTTGCGTTTGTACAGCTCGTGACGCCGCGTACGCTATCCTGATCATGATCTGCAAATGCCGCCAAAGTGAGAGTTGTTTTTATGGCATATTCATTCGTACCGTGTATAGTCGCCTCGATATTGACATTTTCGGTAAATCTGCTCCCGGCGTAATCCTACCCTAATAACCTTTTTACTCCCGTCGTGATTGTGGGAAATCCGTGACACGATTTCACCTGTGTCCTATAATATGCTCTTACACTGCAGTGAGCAAAGGAACCGCACTTATCAAGCTAATGTAAGCAGGGATCACGCGCGCGTAAAACTTGTAAGTACCAAAAACCACCAACTTGAGAGTTCGGTCACGAAGGATTAGCGACTATTCACATAATGTTACATTTGGCAGTCGCGTGACAAACCTCCATTTCAAGGCTTCCCCTAATTTTGTGCCATAGCTACATTTATTTCACCACTAATCCCATTTTATGACCGTTCCTCGTACATTTTATGGTGATGCTGTTTCAAAGTATCATCCAGTTTCCTGTACACATTTTAAAATTCTCCATTAAATATTATACACCATTAGTAAACCCTCGACATTTCCACCACTTCCAATCTGTGTGAGTCAATACCAGTTTTATGTGTGCTTTTGTTTAATGATCATGGTCTTTCCCCTGCAATACGACCGTGATCGCAGACGACCCAATGAAGCGTGTTTTACTGCTGGAAAACCCGGGGCAGGAGACGCGCTTCACCCGTATCGCCAACAACACGTTCGTGTGGCCAGGTACGTTATTAGTCGCTGCAGAGTTCGTTTTACGACCGTTTTATTTGATGACACTCTGCCTTGTTGGATTAATTAAGTCTGCGGTTCCTTTTAGTTCAATAAAAGTCTCTTCTTTTGATATTAATTAAAGTACCTTCGTAGTTCAACAACACTGAGTGAATCAATATTTACTACTCGTTTGCTATTGGCCAAATACGTCTAATGACGTCAGACTGCTGACTTTAAAGTGTTAACAGGAAAGTACATTGTATAGATATTAAACAATATTTACATGGATATAAGCATTTGTTAATTATGTTCTTTCAATATTATACTTCAGCCTTTCTTGCAGAAAAATCTTTCAGCCAGAAAAACGTTTGATTTTCACAGGAGAAGGCCCTCCCGTTGACGGTAAAACGTTCCAGGAGCAAGTCATCGTGACGTCACTGAGTCTGCGCATTGCGGTGGCCGTGGTCGGTACAGTGGGCGTGGCCATCGCTGTCTGCTTCGTCTATATCAACGTGCGCTACCGGAATAGGAGGTATTCGCTGATTTCATTGGTTGGTAAAAAAAAAATCCTAATGTTCATATCGGAAGTCTACCATCTGCCGCAGCGGCAGAGAATTCATTGCTTTTAATGCTCAACCTGTGGTGTTTTGAGTGGACACCACGGAAGAAATTACTAAACTTTTACTGCTTGGAGACTCTTGATTCGGTGGACGAATAGTCCTGCCCCTTTGTGCTATCCTTAGCAACCAGATGGCGACTGTGCAATGCGATGAAGCCTGTGGCCACTACCAATAATGAAGACTAGTGAAATACGACTTGGCTTACGGTACCAATCGAGATGATCGTGGCGATAACTCGAAACGCACGTCATCATGTTGCATTCTGATTTCCCTGTGTTGCATAATGGCCAATATCCTTAGGCACGTCGTATAATCAAGAAGGGAAAATAAAATGTTGAAAAAACTTTGCGTGGCTATAGTGACAATAAGGCGATATCAAGTAATGCTTTCGAGTCTCAGTTTGGTCTAACTACAGGGAAAATGCGTGAAATTTTTTTACCCTGCACGTAAAGCGTATTTTAAATTAGCGTGTTTTCGATGGCCTAAATACCCAACTTGGGCGTACCTTTTTGCATAGTGCGTTACACCGTTCAGTCTGCTATTCGCTGAACTGAAGCTTTCTGCTTAATGTTTAGATGCAAATCTAGATGCAAATCCCAGACATGCTAAACGATGCTTTTTGGAATAAACCTTTATTTTAACCACATTAAGGCGAAGTTTTGAGGTACTTCCAAACTCATAATTTCAATTTCAGTTTACTAAAGTGTGCGTGTCAAGAGGATCCTTATGGAACTTAAACCTGTGGTAGCTGGTTCTGCTGTAAAACCATGTAAACTTTGACATTTTAGTCGGCAATTTGAAAATGTGTCCTTTGAAATCCAGGGCGATAAAGATATCCAGTCCCAAGATCAACAATTTAACAGCGGCGGGAGGACTGCTCCTCTACGGTTTCGTCTTCGTCTATAGTATCGATTCCCCGGATTTTTCGGATGCCACGATTATCGTTCTTTGTCACGTAAGTATTCAAAATGGCCTAAAAGGTTGCTAATTCAGTACCGATTCTTTCGGTGATCGTTCTTGTCGCGGTGAGTTTGCAAACTTCGTCAGCCTTGAATTAACGAGTTTAATGTGAAAACTAACTCACTGTGTTTCCACCCTTGTTTCCTCCTTAGGTTTCCACCTTTCTCCTCTGTGTGGGCTTCTCACTGGCCTTCGGAGCTCTCTTCATGAAGACATTTCGTATCCATCGCATCTTCACTAAGGCCGTCACGCAGCTGAAGAAAGTTGTATGTATGATATGGCGCCCTACTGCTTTTGTTTTCTTTAAATGTTGACCGCCATTTTGTTCACAATTGCGCATATACGCCTCCCGTAGTTAGAAAGAGGTGCTGATTTTAGATGTTGGTGATGTCTGTTAATTATTCACAGTTTTGAATAGTTGCACAAACAGTTTACGTCTTAACATTGAAAATTGCTGACTAAAATAACAAAACCTGACATTAAATGAAATCTTTATTGTAAAACAGGAGACCGTTGCTAGATTAGTCAGTGTTTGGTAACCAGACTTTTTAAAGCGAATGTGAAGTGTGGGCCTAGGTACATTTTTTCTGGTCTGGTGCCTTGCAGGAGCTTCCAGACAGACGACTGATCATGGGGACGTGCATTCCTGTGGCAGTAGACATCGCCATCATAGTCCTTCGACTCGCTGTCGATGACGTCACAGTCCAAACGATGTCTAAAGACGCAGAGGTAGGCATGTCTAGGGATGCAAGACCCAGTCAAGATTGGTATGCAGTCCTTGTCATTTTTATTGGTTATAATAACGATCTCATTTTTTTTGGTAACGCAGGAAGATACCAACCAGCCGGGGAAAGAAATCTTTTTCGTTCCCGTTCGGAAATTTTGCTGGTCCGAGAATCAGTTGTACTTCATGGGAGCCTTGTACGTGGCCAAGGGAGTCCTGCTCGCCTTTGGGATCTTCCTAGCCTGGGAGACTCGACCAATCACCGTCGCCGAACTAAATGACAGTAAGTCACTCCTTGAAAACTGTTGTTTGATTGGCCAGTTGGCGTACTTCGCACTTCAATTCAGCAAAGAACTGGAGATCCATGTTTTAGATCGCCACAATTTCTCCAGCTATAAGTGGCAAAATCTTTCACTTCTGTTTCAGGTAAATATCTTGCGATGTCAGTTTACATCGTGGCACTAACGGTCGCCATTACCGTCCCCGTGGTATCCTTAAAAAACGATGACGTCAACTTCAATTACGTCATTGTGAGCGGCGCTGTCATCGTTGCCACTACGGCTGTTTTGTGTCTGGTGTTTTTACCGAAGGTGGGTTTTTTTTGTAAATAGGACTACTGATTGACATTGGGAAAAGTATGATGTTGTAAACACAACTGGCTAAATGTCAGTAGACTTCTTTGTAAATCACAATCTCACAAAATCACTCTGTCCTTAGAACTCATGTTATTACAAAATGTATACGACATTTTTAGAACTTGATGACAAATTGCATTGAAATTATACATTGAAATAGGAAATTGCATTTTTGTGTCTTTCACTGATGTTTTCTCCATTCGTATTCGTATTTGTAAGGTGATTCTGTTTGTGCGCACCAAGGACAGGGACTTGTCAATCACCATGATGAAAGCAAACAAATTCTCGGGAAGCACCGTCCGATCGTTCCGGCAGGCCGATTCGCGAACGGACAGGCTGGCTACCTTATTACAGAATGTAAGTATGGGAAGTAGATGGGCCGCATTCCAAAGATTTCCGTTTAACTGTTATGGACGCTTTGTCATCTTATATTCAACTTGATGGTTGTGTTGGTGGTGATGGTGGTGATTGCAGTGACTGTGTTTCAAACTATATATTAAATCACTTTTTTAGCTTCAGGCTTCTCTCCTATTAATATTGGGTTTTTGCCCTCCATTTCACGTACTTTATTGCAAGCATTGTTTGCTGAGGTTTTGTCTCGGAGTTCATGCGAGTGCAACACCGAATATTCAGTAGTTGAAAAAGTTAAGTTGGTAAGAGGCGAAACCCACTAACAAATTTATATCTTCCCAACACAAAATTGTACCGTAATTCCTCTCTGTTTTGCAGAAACTGCAGCAACTGGAGCTGATGAAGCAAGACTTACACTCCATGGTGACGCAGGAGGAGTCCAGGACGATAAACACGGACGAAACAACGGGATAAGAGATACACCTCGAAAGAAAGAGCAAAGGCAACAACAACTTGAACAATCAATCACGGTCGTGTCTTGTTGAACACCCAAAACACGTTTGGTAGACGTTACAATGAAAGATTTTGACTGTTTGGATTGTTGGTGACGCCAGGATTTCAGGTTTCACGGACAGGTTTCCTTCGTACAGGTTACTTCATCAGATTTGTCTTCGTCGTCGGGTCCGCCTCCACTTCCGTGGCCTTTCTTTGTATCATCTGAAAGAGAAACATTTTCGAGTTGGATTAAGAACTTGAGTTATTGTACAGCACCCTCACGCGACTGTAGAAGTCAGATTGCACCGGGCTGGATAATATCAAATCGATGCATGTGGTTAACATACAGCCAGACGTTGAAATGGCGAGTTCGGTAGTTATAGCTCAAATACTCAAACAATAAAATAAGACCAAAGCTTATGCGAAGAAGACTGGTTACTTTTCTTTTACATTTTATTGCATTCGTAAGGGGGGGGGAACAAGGATATAAATGGGAAGATGTGTACTACTGACATTGCCGTAGAGATGTTTTGACTTGAGCACGAAGGTCATGCTTTGCGCTGTTCGGACAACTCTGAGAACTTTTACCGTGTCTAATAACTACTCTGTGGTTAATGTAGTACGAGCAGCGTTATAGACATTAAAAGGAAAAGTGCACAGCGTGCACTCGGGTGATATTGCTGCCAAATTCACTTGAAAATTAATTGTGTTGTAACCCCCCCCCCCCCCCATCCCGCAAGAACAAAAAATGTATTTTTCAGAACATGGGATTGGTACATGTACATGGACGCATGGGCTTCACAAAATAAAGTAAACAAATTGTCCACTTTGTACTTACTAACGAGTTTGACTCAGATTCTCTGAGATTGAGGACACAGATGATCCTTTATTCGGATTCTTGGAGATGAAATTGTTTCATTGTTAGGCCCTTAGCGTGCGGAATGAATGACATTTATGTCATAGTATCAATCGCGAACGTTTTGTTGTGAAGGAAGGGAAGAAAGTTAAGAACAAAATAATGGTAGCTTTTCTTCCGTTTGTAGCATAGCACATTGACTTCCTCAACGGGTGTTTTTCCATTTACTGTTGAGTTATGGTTCCATTTTTAAAATCATCTTGATTTTTCTTTTACCTATGAACCAGAAGAAAAAAAATGACAATAAAGCTAAGGCCAAATCTGCACAAGTCCAAAAGTGTGGTTTCAATTGTTAGTGCGAAATAAAATTTAGACGACAAGGAAAATAATCCTTTTACGGTAGGCCTATGTGACGTTGGTTCATGCAATGTTCAGTTGCAATAGCTGGCTGAAGTTGGAGGATGAATGAATGCGATCTTGTTATGGTTTTCACGACTACAAACTTACAACTGATTCTGGTACAAAGACATCAAGGTACAGGCAATCTTCGCTTATCCATTCGTCGATCGGCACGACAGCCAAGGTGCGATTCTGCGGACAACAGTCGCCTGCACGAATCGTGTTTTAGTTTAACTCCCCGAACGATGGACGGCCCAGCGGTGCAGGCAAAAACCGCTTTCGCCCGACCGGCGGCTGGGCGTACGGTATATACCCAAGGTAGGCGTCCACGGTCCCTCTCAGCCCGAGAACATCGCCGAGGAAAACTCCAGTTTCTTTCCAGTCAGCTTGCCGTACGCGGCGGTGATAGTGGGTGGGTCTGCAGTCGTATGGACAACAACTGCGCAAATTATGAAAAATGCGGTTCCCTTTAGGTTTGACATTATCTCAAAGTGGGTATCCAAAATGCAACCAAGAATAACTCACGGGAAGTCTATAATTATGCTCCAAAATAATGCACATGGACATAAACGGATATAAACACAAGCTTGAGTTTCCTACAAGGATATTGGGTTTTGAACTTTGCGACCTGTGTGGTTGGACTTCCTTTGTTTAAGTATATTGACGCTTTCTATCTACTAGTTCAGATTAGCTGCTGAAAAGGCCTTCTTCTTCTTGTTTTTTAAAGGAAATAGGCGACTTAAAATTATAATTCTATTCGACGGTGGTTTTCTTAGTGCAAATTTTCAACAGATCATGAGTTAATGCAGTGCTCAGAAAAGGCAATCAAAGAATGAACTTGGATATGCTGAAATTGTCATAAAGTACTTGTCGCTCCACATTCTAAATGCACGGGTCTCTGTTTAATATCTCAACAGATAAAAAAGCGCAGTGTTGTTTGTGAATATTGATTAAGCAGGAAAAGATTTCCATATAAGGTATTGCACAGGGTTTGGTGTATTATTTTCTCTAACCAGGTGAAGGTCAAAAGCATATTGTGCCGCTTGCGAATGCCATACAAAGCCAACTAAAGAACGGTGGAAAGGACTTTGCACCAGTGCTTCAATGCACCAGTTCATTGTTATCCGAAGTGTTGGAGGCATTTAGCACGCATATAGGCTCGGATTTACCTTGGATAGGTTTATAGGTACATTTGAAAGCGAAAACTTCACAATGTGGCTATTTCTTGTGGTCATGTTCAGTTTACCGCTGTCGTTAACAGCCAGTCCCTCTGTTGAAACCAGCCAGGGCAGAATCGTGGGCAAGACGGTAGAATTCGCTGCCGACTCTCTCGGGCTCCGCAGCAGCGTGGATGTCTACCTGGGCATACCATACGCCGAGCCGCCCGTCGGCCCGCTGCGTTTCAGCGCCCCGGTGGCCAAGTCACCGTGGGGCGGAGAGCTCCAGGCCACGGCGTACGGGGGTGTCTGTCACCAACCCCCTGATGAAGCTTTACCGGTGCCCAAGCCTGATGTTCCACAAAGTGAGGACTGTCTATATCTGAATGTATATGTTCCATCTAGATCCAATACAGTAAGTAGGCACTATAATTTTCCTCCGTTGGTTTTAAACATCTCTATATATTTTTTCCCCGGTAATTAAGAGGATCTTAATGGAGTCAGGCCCAATTATGTATTAATATTCAATAATTAAGGATAGTGGGTCCACATAGTTGTGTCGAACGGTTGACTACTCGACTCCTGCGTTACGTAAACTGATTGAAAGTTTTTACTCAGTCTTTTTTCCACAATCTAGTGAAAAGTTCAATAACACGGTTCCTTAAAAGTGGTGAGGTATTGCGCATGTTTACCTAGTGGGACATAATTTGTTAAAAGCTCCGTTTCATTTTGACAATCGACTCTCGCAGTTAATTCCATGTGAGTGAAATGTTCATTTCCCGCCCCTCAAAGGCATTCATCCCACTTTTTCCAATTTTAAAATCGCCTCTTGTTTTGTTTTACTCCCGAAGGAGGGCGAGCTTTCAGCTGTCATGGTTTTCATCCATGGGGGCGCCTTCATATTTGGAGCGACATGGCCAGACAATATCCCCGCAGCCTTGGCCAGTATCGGCGACGTCATTGTCGTGGACATCCAGTACCGATTGGGGGCGCTCGGATTCCTCTCAACAGGTTATATGATGTTCAGTTTAAAAAATAAAACCAAACTTTGAAGACAAATCAGACATCAAAATCAGTTTTGAGCCCCATCGTTGCTCAAAGATGCACTTTGCATTTTTAAGAGTGGAAGTGTGCCCTACTAGTTTCAATTAAGCCCACAATCTTTGTGTACTCCGGATTGATTTTTTTTATTTATGAATAGTCACGACAAGCAGCTCAGCACATCAGAAATTTACGGAATTTCGTATAATTCAAGTTTACTATTTACATTATCTTCGTTTTTGACCAAAGAAAAAAAATCTACCTGTTTTTCGCAGTCACCTGTTTGGCCTGATGCGTCCGCGTGAATTGACACTTTATCACAATTACGATTGAATTTGTGACTAATTGCCATATTTATGTAAACGATTATTGATCAATACGCCTATTGCTTTTCTTCAGGAGATGGGGAGCTTCCGGGTAACATGGCGCTTCTGGACCAGTTGGAGGCGATCAGATGGGTGCAACGCCACATCAAAGGTTAGTGTGCAATAATGGCCGCGTGCATCAACCACATTGACCCTCACAAACTGTCTTTTTTTTTTAACGATCGAGATGCAAAATTTCACTGCAAATACAAGTCTTGTTGCGTGACAAAAAGAACGTGTTCCCAGTGTAATCAAGCAAGTGAAGGATAATGCTGTCCTTTATGTATGGAAGGACCTCCCCGGATTCAGATTTCATTTTCTTATCAAAAATGTCTTTCGAACCTCAACTGGACGTAACATTGTGTACACAATTCAACATTTGGGTAATAAATTTAAGTGTCCTAGGATAAATTGAATCCCGTTCGCTGAAATTGACATCTGAAAGACAACTATCAAGTTATACATTTTGACCAAGAATACAAACGTATATTCCATGTGTGCTGATATTTTGATGTTTATCTTTTTTTGTGGGGGGAGCCTGATGTTGAATTATCTACTTTTTCTTTCTCAAGACAAAATCACAGCTATGAGTGTAAGTTATGTAACATCATTTTTAATGTTGGCGTTATTACTCACAATTCAATACTGCAGCGTTCGGAGGCGACCCAGATCACGTGACGATTTTTGGCCAGAGTGCAGGATCGTCGAGTGTTAGTTTCCACTTGTTGTCTCCAATGAGCCAAGGACTGTTTAAGAATGCCATCATGCAGGTAATAATAAGAATCTATACGGTTTGTCTGAGATGTATAAAAAAAAAAGTACCGTTCATAGTTTTGTTGGGGTATGTTTTCTGCCTACACAATAGATGGAAGAACGCTATACAGATAGAAGCTTGATTCCTCAAGACATTTCCCCTGAGTTTTGATGCAGAGAGAAACTATAGAGTTATGGCAGTGCTGAGAATGTTCGGTCACAAAATACTGAAGGGGAGAAAACTTGTGACGATTTCTTATACTTTTTAAAATACCGTTGCTTTCTTCGTACACGCGGTGTCATCAAACCAACAAAATTGAACCAATCAGATACACTATGTTTACTGGAGTTGATATCCCATTTTGGTGTTCGAAAAATGTAACTTCTAAAAGTTCACGTAAACGGTAAAGCTCACTTTTTGTAAAGCCTCACGGCTGTACAAGAAAGAAAACGAAACGGTTTGGTTCTGAGAAAAACGGAAGTAATGACTTGCCGTGTTGTTTTGTGTATATGATCTGGCCGTTTATCCTTACGGCTATTCGGTCCTACTACCAGAAACCATCATATTTTATCATCCAAATTCATTTGATGCATTCGCCAACTCTCCGCCAAACTCGCCACCAAGCAGAGCCTCAAACCTCTTTGTGTCTGCGTTTCAAACAGAGTGGGACGGCGAACACGGTGTGGTCTCACGTCAGTAGGACTGAAGCAAGGAGGAGAGCCTTTGCTCTCGGCCACATCTTAGGCTGTGACACCCCGGAGGATGACTCCAAAGCCCTAGCCCAATGTCTCCGAGGAGTCTCGGTACAAGACATCATTGCGAGCCAATCTGAAAAGGTAGGACGTTTGTGAGTTTCCAGGAAATCCAGGATTCAGTCGACCGAATCATTAAAGGGATATTGAAGTTTTTGAAGCTATTTGACGTTTCGGTTGCTGACATTTCCCTCAATCCGCTTTCTGTAAAAGCTGGAGAGAATTGTCGCAAAATGTGAAAATTATGGGCCTAGTTTTGTATCAAAACTGACTTGAATTTTTCTCTACTCTCACAAAGCTTTTTGGGTACCTGGGCGAACCGCCACAAATTGGGTTTGCGTCCGTCATCGACGACCGTTTCCTGCTCGACGACCCGGCGTCGTTGCTGAAGAAAGGCGCCCTCAACGAGGCCAACATCATGATAGGGCACACCAAAGACGAAGGCATGCTCATGATGAGTGCCGTGTTCCAAGGTTCCTTGGACGAGGCGCCGCACGTCGGTAAAGGGCTGTACGAACAGCTGCTGCCCATGACTATCGTAGGTAAAGAAATGGTGTCTAGAAAAAGGGTAGAGAACGTCATTTAAAACTACAATAATTCATATTGTTGACCAGTGCATGCTGTATGGGATATTGCCTTTGATTAAAACTCGAGGGACGTGTATACTCTCCGTGATAAACTGTGCGCCCTCAGTTAAATAGTCATGTCCATCTTTCCTGAAAGTTTGCTTTGTCAGTTGATAGCGGCACACATTTCTTTTCGTCTTCAGGCCTAGGTAGTATGGACCCAATACTTCTCCAGGCCGTCAAACTAGTCTACGTGAACGACAGCGGGTCCGAGTTACCAGACACGCAGTATCTGTACTCGCTGTCCGACGCCGTGGGGGATTCAGGCTTCACTTGCCCCACGGATCAGTTCGCCAGGGCCGCTGTTGAGGCCGGCCGCACCGTGTACCGGTTCCACTTCACGCACCAGCCCAGCGACTCGTCGTTCTTTGCGAGGAAGTGGACTGGGGCGTGTCACGCGGATGACCTGATCTACGTCTTTGGGCTTCCGTTCCTGCCGCCGCGTCAGGAGACAGCGTCGGAGGAGGAGCGCTTGTTTTCGGCTGCTGTGATCAAATACTGGTCCAATTTCGCCAAGACAGGGTAACAAAAATTATGTAATGAAGTTATATCAAAGAAACTAGTTCTGTGGATACAATGTCGCTGGAGGCTTTTGTGACGCTTGGTGGCAGCAAACAAATATCGTTTCGATTTTTAAGTTGTTCAGTAGTAGAATGGAACAGTAACGGTGCAATCTATATATTATTCTATCTGCAAGAGTTTCAAGCACTGAAAACTTAAAGGGTCCGATTCGAAACTGGCACATCGTGGAACAATGTTTTATTAAGTGTTGTACCGTTCTCTCAACAGAAACCCAAATTTGGGGCCCGATGAGGATACAACAGGAAGGAATCTTCAGTCTGACGAAGAATGGCCTCGATTCACTCTGCCAGAACTGGCTCATAGGGAGCTGTCACTGCGCATGAGAAACAGCGGGGCATTACGGGTGCGGGAATGTCAGTTCTGGAGCGAGTTTGCCCCAGAACTCGTCCGAGTTGCCGGTAGGTTTAACTTAATTCCAACCACCCTCTCATAAATGACAAAAAAGGCGATTGCATTCTAATTTACTTTGAGAGAAACAAAAATAGTCGCTAATTTTCTTACAGAAGTCCAAACGTAAACGCGTTTTCAGAGGGTTACAGACTCCAAAAACAGGGGAAAAGTATTCTGTCCTTGAACAAAAAACATACAAATTGAACATTTTTACAAAAGAGAACCAACTAGAATTTTGTTTGATAGTTTAGTCTTCTGTATCCTTGAATGCTCATCGAGATTATCGTTGTTGGTAACTTTAAATTGTGTAAATTCTGTGGTCCTGCAGGGGAAGCAGCGATGTATCGGTCCGGCTCCGCCCGCGAGGGAAAATGGACAGCGTCCAAGGCCGAAGAAGAGACGTGCACCAAAGAATCATGCCCTTGATGAGATAGATGGACCATTCCGAAAAAAATAACACTTCGGTGTAGGCCTACGTATCGCTGGCGATTGAAATATATTTTGCCCATTAACCTGGACTCGGTTTCGCCGAATTAGTAGACAGTAGACTACGAAGTTTGAGTGTAAGCTCAAGTATAGGTTCTTTTTTAGTGTGAATCGAAAGAAATAACAGAGGCGTGCGTGCATAGTGTCAGTTTGAGGCCACCGTGCACGTGGCTGTATCATTGTTTGAACTTTTTTTCGGGGGGGGGGCGGGTGGGGGTTGTTCTAAAAGAAAAAAAATATTCGAGCTAGTGTTAGAGAAGTGTAATGGCTATTACTTTTTAATTGTGTAAATACTGTTTCTTTTTAATTTGATTTCGAATAAACGAGACGTTCTCGATACATTTTGTTCTGGCGGCCCACTTGTGTTTTTCTCACTGAACTATTATTAATCTTTCAGATAGGCCTAAGTGTTTGTCTGTTTGAATAACCATTTCTCCATGGCATAACCCAGTCCTCCCTTCACTCCAAGAACTGAGAAGAAACTGCCGCTCATGTTAAAAACACCTGTCATATTACATGTATTTTGTTTTGATAACGGTTGGACCATGGAGAGGACTAATTTGCAGCTACACTCTAGTGTCGAAAATTCTCAAATAAGGCCCATCAGAAAAAGCGCACGCACCGCACGGTGGCGCTATATGCGTTCAGTGGCATGTTTTATGGTTCAATGACCCCAGAACCAACCTCGTCCCCAGTGCTTACTTTATTTCCAACCGCGTTTCCAATAGTAAACCCTGGATAGGAAACTTTCTTCCTGTATCCTGATTGGATACCGCAATTGGCTAGTAATGGATTTTTATCGTGTACTTGGTGCTATATATTCACAACGTGCAGTACGTGTTTTCGCGATCATTCGTCCACGCCTTCTCGAAAATACTAATTTCCTTTCCAATTTGCTCATATTAATATGAAATATGATACTGCATGTTGTCTTGATAAGATTATAACAGTTTGATTTCAAAAATCGTGTTTTCGTAACTCACTCCGTGCTCGCGCTGCTACGAATTGACTCTGTTTTTACCCCAGACACCGCATACAAAAACAAACGCTAATGTGTAACGCATATCCAGGCACCAGACTGTTCTCATTTGCATACGTGTGCAAAAATCTTGCACATGCAAATGATCCAATACCAGGGTGAGAGAGCAGGTAGTGGTGGGCGCGTACTGCTCGACACCCTGGGGACGAGGTTGCCCCAGAACGCATAGCAACACAATAGTCAGGTTACCGTGCAATAAGCAGTACAAAGAGTCAGGGTACCCGACTGAGCAACAAACTTTTTAGAAAACAACATGGCTGCCGCCGCGGGTGAACGAATTGGCGAAGACGGGGCATATTATTTGGAGCGTATCCTTGCTGATTTATCGCTTCTCTGCTTTGATTTTTTTTGTGGTTTTGTTTTATTAGATAATTCACAAGCTAAAAGGAATAATTGAAGTGTTGGTGCTGTGGTTTTATAGCGTGAAACAGACTTGGTTTTTTGCAAGCGGAATGTTGCTGTTGGTTTGTGCACAAATCAGTGCAGCTCAAGTAACGTTCATTTGTCGGAATTTAAAGTGGCAATAGGCCTACTTTTTATAGAAAATTCCTTTTCTAAATGATTTTTCAGGTTTTCAAGTTGATTTTAAAATTTAAGCAAGTCAACACAATTTTGTGTAAAATTCATGGTGCATGCATAGTGGGTGGTGATCGCCGCTGTTGTTACTGTTACTGTTGGTGTTAGGCCTACATTCGTGTTGCATTTTGTTGTCTTCATCATCGTTATTGTAATGTAGCCTAGGCCTACTTTATATTCCTCAAAATTTCCTCAAAATATTGAAACTTTGCCCTCTCTCCAGGACATTGATGTTGGTTCACAACATTTCTAACTGTGTGTTTGAGACCATATTGAATAATTATTAAAAAAAAAAAAAAGTTATGCCTAATATTAAAATTAAAAATTCCACCATTTATGGTTTATGAAAAATATATGAAACACGGATCTACAATAGCCTAACATTATGGTAAAATCCTTTGTCCAGACTTTTGTTTCCCTTAACTAAAGCAATTATAGAGGCCTCACTTCCTGGTGATTCTGACGATGAGTTTAATTATGAAGAGGTCCCCATCGATGATGACTTCGCATCAGGTAGGCTTTCTTTTATTGTATTTTCTGGAAAGGTTTGTAGTTATGTGCAACATTTTAGATTTGGGTCTTAATATTTTTCACCCAAATTGTTCCGTATTTTTTTGTGATTTCAGAACCAGATGAGGATCTACATGCAGCAGTCAGGACTATACAGGAAGCACAGGAGGATCAAGAAGCTTTGGTTGGTCTTGTCAATTTCTTTTTTGTGGCCTACATCACTGAATACTCTTTTACAATTCTGATTGGCCGTGCAACTATTCCACAAGCGCCTTAAACACTCTTTTTGATTTTTTTTATCAGATGAGAGGAGAAAGATTGGTTCCTCCACCAGTCAACCTGAGGCCAGAGTTGGTGGATGACTTTGTCCGTAACTTCCTGGTGAAGATGGGTATGACGCGAACCATGGACTGCTTCCAAACCGAATGGTAAAAAAACAAGTAATTTACTAGAATATTTAGTCGTAATTTAGTAGTGAGACATAACATTTTTTGACATAACGCTGGTTGTTCGATTTTTGGGACACTTACTCTGATTGATCTATTCAATCAACTTTGTTAGTAATATTCGTGTTATGTTCTCTTTTTTTCTAACTACACCAGGTATGAATTGCAGCAGCGTGGCCTACTGAATGAGGAGGACGTCAAGACAGTGCCTGACCTGTACACGCGCAACCAGCAAATGGACGACCAGGTCAAGACACTCAGGAGGGACTTGGACAAGTTTAAGAATGCAGCAAAGTAAGGCAGGCTCACAGCTTAGAGTAGAAGGTTTCCAGAGAAAATGGAAGATACCAATAATAATAATAATAATGGATATTTATGTAGCTCCAAAATCCACCTAAAAAGACGCTGAAAGCACTTTACAATTTTTTTTTTAAAAAATACATAAGCGAATGTAAACATTGTAATACCAAACAAAATGTAACAAATATATTTAAGAAAACAATTTGAGACAGACAATGGGAGAGAAATATGATTAATTGCATAACTTTGTTTTGTCGGTCTTCCCTTTGCAGTAAGGCCAAGGACACTTACGTCAAGCTACGCAAGGAGCGAGATTTCAACCGCATGCATCACAAGAGAGTGGTACAGGAGAAAAACAAACTGATTGATGACATTAAACGGTGAGGCCTAAAAAAGTCACTCAAATCAAGTCTTCAGCAGTGGTTTCCTCCTTTTTAGCTGGAGTTTTGGACACCTTCCAACCATTTACAATTTTTATTTGAACATATTCTGTACTGTTGCTGCAATCTAAGTGTGAAACAGCTCAAACTTGATTCTGTGTCTGTTTTTATCTAAGCAGTTTTGAAGTTTTGAATTTCACCCTCTGAAAAAGAATCATGTCTCCTGGATGGAAACCAAATAATTCCAACATATTTTTGGGTAGTCACCCAAGCCTTAATCTCTTTATCCCATGTTTTCTCTTTCAAGGCTGAAGAAGCACTATGCATCTTACGAGCCAACCTTGCAACAGCTGAAGCAGAAGTACGAGATGGCCATGAAGGAGAAGATGTTGGCCAAGCTGGAGCGAGACCGGGCCGTTAATCAGGTACACATTGAGAATTCGACTCCACACATGGACAATAGAGGGCACTCTGAATAGTTATAGCAAGTAGGTATTGTAAAGGACACACTGGTTCACAGACGCTGTTCATCATTACTCTGCAGTTGAAGATTTTATTTCTCTGCAGAGAAAGATTTTATTTCCAAAACACGATACATGTATATCCATTTGCAAAAAAGGGAAAAAGTTAGATGTTTACAAAACTTTATCGAACAAACACAGTATTACAGCTGTTTCTAGTGTTCGTTTTACACTTGGTTGTATTCTTAAATCGTGTTTAACTATATAACAGCCGTTGAAACTGATTTTGGGCAGGGATTTTAAAAGGTAACAACATTACGTTTATCGCGTTACTCTTCATATACCAAAGTGCATAATGCAATGGCACCCAATGGTTCTTCAGTCTGGTTCTTTCTTGGAGCTCAATTAACCCATTTTCAATAACCCCATCTTTGCCCCCTTTTGTTTAGGTGGCTGGCCTGCAAGCCACATTGCGCAACTTAGAATCAGGCAGTCGAGACAGTGGTTCCCTGGAATTTTCCAAAGCAGACCGTCGGCTGATGTTTGCCTCCGGGGTGGGACCCACGCAGAGCGCTGTGCGTCAGGCAAGGGAGATGTTCTCCAGACCCCGCCAGCCAGACCCAGAGAACATGGACGTCACAGCTCAGCCTCAGCCTAGACACCCAGATGTGAGTTCACTTGATACATCTCGATTATATCTGATCCAGTTTGGTAAAACTTGACCTAAGAAGAAAAATTCCATCCTACAATATACTGATTACAGTACCTGCTGCTATATCAGGTTCAAATTGTTCAGTCGACCCCAGTAAGCTTGGTGGTCGAATTGTAAAGACTAGTAAGCTGAAGGTTGTGGGTTCAAGTTCCTCCTTAGGGACTTGCACTGATTGAGTGTCTATGAAATTGCATTGTGCAGGGCAAAACCCAATGTTAAAATTTATATAAATCCAGAATTAAAATCTCCGCAACAACTAAAAAAGAGAAATCCATTGTACAATATGTTGACTAGAGTCCGTGCTTTTAATCTGGTTTATGCTGCAAGCACAACCCAAATAATTTTCCCGTTTATATTTTTAGGATTCGGAATTCCCAGTGGATACTGGTGTCAACCCACAGCTGACGAATATCAAAGGACCCTCGGCCCATCTGACTCGCACTGGAGGGTTTCGCCTGACCCACACCATCCAGGCACACAGTCTGGCTGTCAGTGGGTATGTTTCCAGAACTTGACATGGAAGTCAGAAGTTGATTTCAACCTTGAAGTGTTTCCTCCCAGCAAGAAACAGTATCACAAAACTTTCTCAGTCAAAAAATGAACTAGCACATTCAGTTTCGAGCCGGCTCATAAAATACTACAAACTTTAACAAAGTACATTTAAAATAGTTAGAAATTGTCCAATGTTCAACCGTCTTTTCAGCCTCTGAAGATTAATCCTAATTCTTTCTTTGTCCCATTTGTCCAGCATTGCCCTGCATCCGCGCAAGCAGATTCTGGCCACGGTCAGCGACGATCACACCTGGAAGATGTGGGCTATCCCCAGCGGTGACATCATCATGACAGGGGAAGGCCACACAGACTGGGTGGCAGACTGCGACTTCCATCCAAGGTATGGAGCCAAAAATCTTTTAGCCGCATCCGATTTACTGACTATGGCTAACAATTACACGTGTCTACGATAGTGGCTGAAGCGTCATCATCACTAGGGAAATTGACTTGGTGCATTTATATTAATTTCAAAGTTGAACAAAGAAATTGACTGCAACCTCTGCCAGGTTTGAATCTGCAACCTCTGGACTACCATACAAATGCTCTACCAACTGAGCTATCCAGCCCTAAGTTGGCGGTGCTCCGCTCTAGTCTGAAAACTTGTGGGGGGGGGGACACAAGCTTTTGTACTTGGGTGGGACTGGAACCCACGACCTGCTAACCAGCGCATATGTCGTAACCACTCGACCACCAAGCTTGCCGGGCCAGTTTCTTGTTTTTGTAGGTACCACATTCAGACTCTTTTCACAAAAAGATTAATTCCTTTTTGGTTTCTGCAGTGGGGCCCAGCTTGTTACAGCCAGCGGAGATGCTACGGTCAAGATATGGGATTTCTCCAAAGCAGAGTGTGTACACACCTTCACTGAACACCAACATGCAGGTCAGACAATCTTTCAAGTTTCTTCATTAAGACAGATAACTTGTCTGTTGTGTTATAATTGAAGTCCTTCCTTCTCCATTTATTCATCTATTTCTCATTTCTTATTTCCTCTATGCCTACAATAAATTTCTGCACCTTGCACCAGTTACGTCAGCTACTCGACATTACGGTCCTTTTTGCTATTTTCTTGCCTATTCCCTGATACCATCAAAACTGGAACACGGCATGGATGTACTCGAGTCCATCACAAGTCCCTGCAAATCCATCACAAGTCTCCAGTCCCAATTCAAATTACAAGCCATTCAAATGAGCTTTGACAAAGGCATTCCTTTTGTTATGATCAAATGTGAAATCTTCTGCATCTCTTTTGTCTTCAGTGTGGGGATGTTCTTGGCACACCGGTGGTGATTTCATAGCGAGCTGCTCCATGGATAACACCTCCAAGATCTGGGATCTCAACAGGTAAAAATGACAACAAGAATCACAGCGATATGTCAATTCTGCTGGTTGTGTCTGGTCTAACATTAAGTTTAGTTTAAAATTAGCATTGTTACACTAACTTCAGACCTACGATCCACAGTTGCACTGAGAGCAATAGTAAAAAGGGCAACTCAAGTTGACCCAGAAAGACATTAGTTTTAAACAGTTGAACTTCATTTTCTATTTACTAGACCCGGAAGGTTGTAACAAATGACTGCAACTGTCGGTCTTTCCATGATGCCACTCTAACTGGCAGTCTTTCAATGAATTGTGTGTTTAGGAGCAACTTAATACACAATTCATTTCTCCTAGGTCTTACCATGACTATAAAAAAGGAGTCTATAACATTTTCTCCTCTATTGACAATTTCAGTTTGCGATGTCGCTTTACCCTTCGAGGCCACACCGATTCCGTCAACAGTATCATATTCCTGCCCTACTCCAACACGCTTCTGACCTGTTCTGCCGATAAAACGGTTTCCCTCTGGGATGCACGAACAGTACGTATGTCCACACCACCCCACTGGCCATTATGGCAAATATTGAAGTCAAGTTACAATTGATGGATCACAAGTACATGTCCGTCAAAAGTCCAGTCACAAGTAAATCCCAAGTCAATTCACGAGTCCAGTCACAAGTAACAGGGGATGGACAATAAAGGTTATTAATCAAACAATTTGATTAATAACTAACTAAGGAATGCCTTTGTTACAGTTCATATGAATAGCTCAGAGTTGACTTGTGATGACTTGTGATGACTTGTGATGACTTGTGATTGACTTGTGATGACTTGTGATCCATCACAAGTCATCACAAGTATCACAAATGTATAACATCCTCCGGAAGTAAACGTTGGCTCCCCTGCATTTTTGTCGTTTTTCCTCAAACATTGACCCTTTTCATGATCAACAGGGTATATGCGGACAGACCTTCTATGGCCACTCCCACTCCGTCAACAACGCCACCTTCAACCTCAAGGGCGACACGGTGGCATCCTGCGACAGCTACGGTAACGTCAAGCTCTGGGATGTGCGCACCTGCGCTCCCATGGCATCTGTTGACGTGGGCCCGCATCCCGCCAACCGAGTTGCATTCGACGGATCGGGCTCGGTGCTGGCCATCGCGAGCAATGACGGCACGACAAAGATGTTCGAAGTTGCAAGTGGACAGGTAATTTAAAAAGAAAAAACTCAATTTGTTGTTTCAGCAAGATTTAATTAATCCTGCTGTCATCCATGTTATCTCTCATGCAACATTAATGTCCCGTCAATGTTCACGTTGACACCTATAATAATCATAAAAAGAATCATTATCCAGAAATAGAGTAATACTTTAGCAACCACACACGCTTGGTGTACTTTCTCACTTGTCAAGCCAGCAAAAGATATTTTACCATGACACAAAATATATATTGTACACGTTATATTTCATTTATGTGTATAAATATATTTGGTATCAGTCCCTAACTTTAACAGCTTTAGTTTTTGTTCAAGCTTTTAAACAGCCATTTTTGTTTTGTTTTTCTTTGTCCCTTTTGAAGGTGTCCAACCTGGCAGGTCATGAGGACGCTGTGCATTCCGTCTGCTTTGATAAATCTGGTGATTTCCTCGTCTCCGGCAGTAGTGACTGCACTGTCAGGATCTGGTCCTAGATTCAGACAAAAAAAAGGAGTTTGGAGCAAGATATTGTTTTTTTTCCTTTGGGAGTTTGAACTTGTACAGCAGATGTTTAATGAGTGTAACTTTAATCTTCATGAAAGATTTTTGGAAGGCAGTGAAGGAGACGATGGGGTATCAGTTTGAATAAGACAGAAATACATTCAGTGTTTCTCCATTTTCAGAAGAGTAAAAACAAGGGCGAGAATTAAAGTACTTCTTCAGAGTATGAAATTGTAATATTTCTGAGATTTTACTGGCACTCACATTGTTGTAACAATTAAGTTGAATGTTTAGAGATATTAAGCATTTGTGAGAAAAAAAAATGTCGGTGAAGATATTTGGAGCATTCGATTTGTAAAAAATATAAACAAATTAAAATAATACACTCAGTATGAAACACAAGTCCATTCAAGTATAATTCAACACTGTACTTGGCAAAACAAATAAGATGTTTGAGGCATTGCATCTGTATTGCACTTCTTAAACATATTATTCTTTCTCCGTCCAATTTTAAGATGCAATTCAAACAAATCCTATTTTTGTACCAATTGTAAAAGCGTTGTCAAGTATTCAGAGCAGAACATGACTGAAGATTAAGGATAAGGGTTTATAGGGCTTGACCTTGTGTTTAAAATGTTCCTATCTTTGTTTCCTAGTAACAAAGTTAGAAAGTCTTTCTTGCTAACAAAGTAGCAAGTCTTTACTTAAAAGATATAAATACCTCAATTTACTGTTACTTACGGCTCAATTGAACCCATTTGTATTAGAGATTTTCCATTTTTGAAATGTACATGTAATACTATAAATTTGCTTTGACTTGTTCTGATAATTGATTGGAAAATATAGCTGTTTACAGATGATAATGCTTGTTGTGTGGCGAATGCTTAATGAGTTTGAAGTAATGGATCAGATACATTATTGCTTTCGATACGTCTTGGTAATTCTTAAAAATGTAATACAATATCACATCAAGATAAACAGCACCCCCACCCCACCCCACCCCCCCCCCAAAAAATCTCGGTTGATCCACCGTTCCCTGTCGCACACAAACTCCATCCATCACACACATATTCATATACAACAATTCGAACTACTACATTTTAGAAGAAAATTGTAAGTTGCCCTTACAACAAAGAAAGTTATCTACTACGTTTTAGAGTTCAAGCTACATTATTAGCAAACTTGACAATTTAGGCAGTTGAGGTATAACAAGTCCAACAAGTTGGCATGAACTGCAATACAATCCGATTCATGCTGTATCCTCTAGTGGGATTCGCACCAAGGACACCAAAGTATGAAGTCAAGGGCGCCGAACCATTGCTCACACTTTTATTGCATTTTTTCCCATGCTGCTGCAATCCTCAGCAGCCGACATAAAAGAGCCGTTTTATGCATCAAAACACGAGGAAATAGACCCAGTAGAACACGTTGAACATGATAAAGACCGCGGGATAGCTCCAACGGGCCAAGCAGTCCAGCCGATGAGCCGTCCATAGCTGGGGTCGTTGACGGCAGCAATCGCCGCCTTCCACGCTCGTGATCGCCGGATCCCGCTCTCCCTCTTTACTCGGAGACTGTTCGATGTCGCGAGCCTTTTTCTTCTCTCGTCTTGTCTAAAAGTGAAACACGAAAAACAGCGAAACCAACATATTTATGACTTGTAGCCTGTGACATAGTTTTACAGACCCAATAGTTTATAATGTTAAGTCATTTTTAATTAATATAGGCTCCACTGAACAGTGTATCAGAAATGGAGTCCAAGCTTGTATTTGAGACCAATACTTGCCAACCCCACTGATTGCGGTGAGTCAAAACTGGGTTGTTGTTTTTTGTTCGATCTCATCGGCTGCCTATGCTACCGATCTTAATTGTCCGGTGCCACTTTTCTTGTCATTATTTTTAATTACTTTAAGAATCGCTCTGATTACCAAGAATGTCATTCAGTGATGATCCAAGGCTAATGTTATACTTCGTTTCAAATCGGCTGGCACTTCGCTAGCTCCAATCTGTTCCCAACTTCTGTGCAGATATCGAAGCAAGTATTTATTGAAACAACACTTTTTTGAAGTTTTTACTGTGATGAAGATAAATGTACATACCTGCACGACGAGGAGGTAGTTGGCCATTCCATACTCCAGCAAAGAGAAGAACACGAAAAGGAGACACACGGCCAGCCAAATGTCGATTGCCTGGGGGGAAAAAGGTTAAAAAATATTTGAAAAAAAAAACATTGTGATTGAGGATACTCAGAATCTGGTTTCAATTTCTTCGCGTATCGTTGCAAGTTGAAGTTCACTTTTATAGTAACACCATGTGACATTTGTTTACAAAACTGGATGTTGTGGTCACGTGGTACCAACTCATTCAGCAATTGGTTCTCTTCTGCACTTCATATTGAAACCAATTAGGCGAAGCTGTACTTGAAATTGAAAATATTCTTTGGCGTTGCAAGTACATGTATATCGGTTTGTATAGACATATAGGGAACCTTTCTTTTTCAACGTTGCGAGCATGTGAAGCCTGCAATGTCAATTATTTGGAATTCCTCAGTTATGATGTGACGTCATGATAATGTACTACCAATGGTAATGCATACCTTTGCGTAGGTAACAACCGGTAGGGTGTCCTGTATGCCAGCCGTCATGGTAGTCACAGTCAGAACCGTGGTTATCCCCAGAGCGACGCGCGCGGGCGCTGCTTTGGCGTCGATCCAGAACGACAGCCATGCGATGCTAACCAGCAACACGGTGGGAATGTACACGGTTAGGAAGAACGACTCCATCTGACGCATGAAGTAAAAGTGACACTTGGGTGTGCTGTAGTTACCTGAAAATAGTTGAAAAATAAAATAGCTGACACTCTATGCTTTCAAGCGCAAAGCAGTTGACTTTTAAATTGATAACTTTGTGGTAGCGACCATCTTGGTCGTGTTCCTACCCTAATGTCTTGCGAGGGATCTTCACGGTCACGTTAAGCCTAATAGTAACCTGTGTTCGGAATACGAGGTTTCTATGTTTAAAATAAGGACGAAATTATAATAAACAAATGATGAAACAATTTTGTTCAGTATTACAATGTCAGCGTCACGATCCGGCATTTTGTACCAAAAATGTAACCATTTGCGATACATTTTTGTCGGTGAATTTCAATATAATGCTTGGAACTTATGGTTATATTATTTATTTATTATATCATTATGGTTCTTTTGGAGATTAGTGTAAAGCCTTATAGCACGAAATAGACATACCAAGTAAGTAAGGTACTTCTGCATTTGCAATATCCGAACCAGTCAGAGAGAATTTGGATATGGTGATACCAGGCTCGATCTGAATGGAGTCCTCCTCAAGATACAGCATCACATCTCGGGTGCTGTAAGCGTCTGGGAACGAAAAGAAGATGACAGTTTATAAAACTGGAGATTGGCTCTAAATGGTGTGATGTAGCAGGACAAAAGGGAATGGAACACACACGTGTTTCCATAATTCTTATCCCCACCGGGTATAAAGTTTGCACATTAAACTCATGTCTGCAAAACTTGGGATGTGCAAACTGGAGAGAACAGAAATACGCAAACTGGGGAGAACAGAAATACTCAATTGCGCCATACGCAGACAAATGGGCACCTTTATACGCGATTAGAATTAACACTATTGTATTTTACATGGAAAAGCTATTGAAATTTTACTAACTAGGCCTATTTGATGAAAAACTAACAATAAACAGGCAGGAACTTACAGCTGCTCATGACAATCGTGCACTTTTGGGAATCCATTGGAAACCGCTGTAGCATCATGTTGCACGCAAGCGTAGCGCTGACCCTATGAACGAAAACCAAAAAAAAAAACTGCTTTGCCCAAGTCGTACAAATTGAATGTTGGCAAATCAAAGTTCAGTGCATCTCATCTTGAAATAAACACGTAAAATAATGTTTCCAAAAACCCTTAAATGCCGCATACTCGTTTTGGACTTATAGCTAGTGCGTTGACCAAGGAGCCATTGCTCCATGCGTCAACTTAAACGATCATATGTGTTTGGTGTCTCCTTCATCACTTATCTAACACTGTAACCTATAATAAGCACCGTGTGTAGGGATACCTGGAGCTATAGGCCACGCTACCGTCGGGGTCCACGCGGAGCAGCCTGTTCATCTGGGTGACGGAGTGGACCTTTGATTGCTTCTCGTACAAGAAGACGACGTCTGGGATCCATACATTGTCCATGTCCCCGCTCTTGAAGATGATCGTCTGGTCCCCCTCGAAGGAGAGTCGGGGGTCTCGCCAAAACATGCGGAGATACATGGTGACCGAAAAATCCTGCATGAAGTATCCAGGAATTTGTGATGGCAAATTACAGACTGACACAACAACAAGATATTGGGACAGAAAGAGGGCATTGGATTTTAAAGCGGACGGGATTGTGTTAAGAAATATTTCCCATTCAAATTTCTTTTGATTTTCATTTCAAACAATACAATCTGGGAAGTATTAATATTATTAACAACGGTATTCCACAATTGAACTTTTAGAAATTGCTAAAAACCGTTTAAAATAACAAAATTTGCGAACACCATAAGCCAAAACCAAACTTGTTTCAAAACTCATCAAAATAAGCCTGACTGTTTAACGGAGAACAATCTTATAAGAAGTAAAACACAGTTTTTTTTTAACCTACCATGGTGGATTCTCGAATGCCTTCCATGCTTTCGATGTAAACAACGATCTTGATTCTAACAGGTGGACCTGTACAGTAACATGCAGACAACCAAGGTGTTCATTAGAAATAGAAACTAGCCCAACCTCGGACGATCTCGTGGGAAATATTAAAACATTCGGAGATTACGAGGACAACATGTTGTGGTGCATTTACTTGCCATTAGATCCACGGGGCTTTTAATAATCGATGCGTTTCATTTCGTATTTGTACACTCTTGAATTTCGGTGTCTGTTTCTTTATTTATTAACTGTTTTATTTTTTTATGGAATCTCGCAAAAACAAATAACCAAGTAGTGTATACTTCTTTATTTTATTATATTTTTTATCTCTAATGAATGTTTAATTTGAATGCCATTTGGACCTCATTTATGCCATTAGTGGAGATCCTCAAGTCAACTCTTCAAACACTACATGTATATGCTACAGAACTAAGTCTAAAAATTAAAGTGACCAAGGACCCAAGGTCAACAGAAGGATCGATGGTTCGCTAATTAATGCGGTCGTTGAGCTGTGGTAAACCATCGAAACGATCGATACGCCCCAGTTTTTCATCTATTCTTAATTAGTCTTTAATTAAGTCCTGCGCATCGATAATGAAAGTGCAAGTTGAGCATAGGCCTAAGGTTGTATCACATTTCGTGGAGTGCTGCTGTAAATATCACTCAGCAGCAACTGTTTCATTTATTAAGCAAAACGGTTGCTGCTGAGCGTAGCCACTAATCCTGTTACTCCCAAATTATACAGATCCGACCACAAAAATGCACCAAAGCGCCCCATCCAACCTGCGTTCTTTTGTTCGCAATAACTAGGATGGACTGAGCTGAACTTGACCCCGCGCTGGAGGAGAATATTCATGGATGCATGGACCCCGCGCTGCAACTAAGGAAATCTCCTGCCATAAATCTTTTGCACAATGATCAGGTGCCGATTTATTACATATGGACGAGCATTACTAATTCTCTAATCCCTATTATTGTACAGTGGGGACTATATACAAAGTGTTCCATTCAACCTGCTTCTTTATTATTTTGTTCGCAATAACCTGGATGGACTGAGCTGAATTTGGCCCCGCACTGGAGGAGAATATTCATGAATGCATTGCTTTTTATGCATGGCGTCCAATTAACCCCGAAAACACCGGAGGTTTACCGCGCGGTACCGCCCCGTACCGCGAGGATTATTGAGGTTAACCTCGCGGTACTGCCCCGTTTAATTATGAATTAACACCTAAAACAGAAAACAGGGAACCCATCACTATACTATAACGTTTTTGTTTGTAACCTATTTTGGCTAAGCAAATTATTTTCTGAGCTTAGTAAATTTGCTTGCTTTAATGCAATTAGCCGTAAAGTTATCTCGGACTACTGATGGAGCAGTCACGCAGTGAATTTAAAATAATGTAGCGGAACACACGATGTAATTAAACTAACGAGCCTCCACTTGGTCTATTTGTTGGACCGGCCGTGCTGCACGGACCAACTTCTGATTGTGCATGACTTGTTGTAGATTTCCCTGACAAAAACTTTAATGAAAGCAGTAAATTCAAGGTGCGGTTCATGGTACATGCACATTAATATACAATGGGAAAACTGTGGTATAGATACCACATGCGTTAGTTTTAAAACCGAATTTTTGCGGTGTACACATTAAACGCTTTGTGATGAATGTTTCGTCACTTGAAGTGAAACCTTTTCTTGTTCACTTCAACCACATTCGATTTAAGTGTTTTTTTAGTGTTTGAAATCAAGTTCATCTAATCGATACCGTTTACTTTTTACTTGTATCCTACCTGTGTCATTTGGTCGTAGTCGCTTGTCATATCCATTTAGGATGTTGTTCAATACGGCCGTTGTGTTTGTTCCTTCTACAGTGTACCTGTATGTGAAAGTTTGGATTCGGAGAAGAAGAGAAGAACATCATGATGTGTGGTAATAATTGTCATAATCTCATTGGGGTTATTTTCTTTACCCAATTTTTTTTTCGGGGGGGGGGGGGGTAAGGTACTTTTGGTTTGAATAAGGTAAGTTAAGTCAGGTTCATCAAAGCCATCGTTTGATTGATTGGTTGGGTTAAGTTTAGGTTTAGGTTTTGATCGGTTGGAAAGGGTTGGAATTAGCTTGAGCTGCATTGGTTGGGTTGGGCTGGGCTTGGCTAGTTGGACTGGGTTTGGCTGGCTGGCTGTGCTGGGTTGGCTAAGCTGGATTGGGCTGGACTCGGCTGGGCTAAGCATGGTTGGGCTGGGTTTGGCTGGCAAGGCAAGGACGGGGCAGGGGTGTGTAAGGTTGGGCTAGTGGGTTGAGCTTCAGGCCCTCATTGGGCTGGGTTGGGTTGGGCTAGTCTGTGTTCCGTAATTGGGCTATATTATATACAGGCTGGGCTGGGCTGGGCGGGGCTCGGTTGAAGTGGATAAGATTGGGTAGGGTTCAATTCGGGTATAAGGCATATACTTTGCTACAGTTTATAGCCGCGGATACAATTTATTTGTTCTTTATAATTTGTAGCTGCATTACATTCCGAGCCCTACGGTTATGGAACGCCACATGTAACCTTCTCTCGCCAAAGCAATTTACATTCCTGTAGGGTTAATGTTAAAAGTCAATATACATGTACTAATGTCAATGGAATTGCAACACTTGTACAAAATCTCGACACACTAAAATGTATGCGGAGAATCGTGTGATGCAGACGACATTGGGGAATTTAGGCGGGAACGCGTCTCGGCAGCTGTAGATTAGCTTCGGATGGCAAGCTTGCTTCCCCGCTGTGGGAGACTAAACGATCATGTTGCAAATCGTATAAAGTTTGGTATGGAGGCTAACCGGGAGAGGCCGCAAAGTAGTTCATCACTTCAACAACCATTATCTGAATGTCACGAACCGTCACGCACATGCATTCATGAAATCATTAGGCCTACGTTCTCGAAGATGTCAACATGAGGAGCCATGAGCCCTTTTCCCCTCGGCAGCACTCCGCAGTACGCATTAATAGTATACACTGTATTTCTCATTGTATGATATCACTGACGTAAGTTATGAGTTTGCACGATTAGTTCCAGACGAGATTGTCGTGGGAAACTAATTAACAATACGCATTCTTAAGATATTCGAATTATCAGCGGAGATTTTGTTTTGTCGATCGTGAAAACAAACATTAAGACAGCTTGTTAATTAATAGCCAAAGGTCGATACAATTATTCTCTGTCGACGTTCCAGAAATTCCTATGTCCATGCCCATACCATAAGAAAGAACATAAAATTGCATATGTAAATGAATTCGAAGGCTGTAAGGCAAAGACTGATATAAATTCGACGGCATGTGTTAATATCAACACAAATTCATATCTTATATTGGAGCATGGTATAATGAAAATGTGTATTAAAGTTATCGGTTATCATTAATTTCGACTGACTATTCTTGACGTACAGCCTTCACATTTTATTGTACGCGGTTTTGCGTCTTATGCAACGTTTTATGAAAAGTTTAAAAGTGTATCGGACTTGGCGCCAGCCCAAACCTCACCGGCTTAACTTATTACCGATCAAAAAGCGCGCACAGTTTTCCCCGAATGACACGTTACACCATAAAAACAGATTGGTTGAATGGCAAGATTACCATATGCGAAGTTCACTAATTTTCCTCTGTATTGACTAACAAGCCCCCAGATAGCAATTTCATGTCATCAAAGTCAATTTGAGCAGTGAAAAAAATACAAGCATTTTCTTAGAAAACACTTAGAATTTTTCAGTCCACTCTCATAGGGTTTGTACACAGAGTGTTGAGTGAACTTCGTATATGGAAATCTTTCCGGTTGAATAACCAATATACAGGATTGGTAGATACTATGTGTCAAACCAAACCGAGATTGGTTGGACACATATCTACCAATATATTCGTTATTTCAACCAATCTGTTTTAGGGTGTTTTCATGTGCACGCGAAATCCAACCATCGTTATTATTATGCGTATATAAGACGGCACAAAACGTGAAATTTCGGCAGCTACAGTAAGCAAGTGATATAATTGAATTCAATTCGAACATGTCCCGGCAGTTGTTTTTTCATCTGCTTTGTCCATCGATTGATGTTTTTCCCATTCGACTATCCCCACGTATCTGTGTGAGCTTCTGCAGAAGGCTGCTGCAAAACTGGTATTGTGAATTATAGCCGTATAACGATGAAATCATAATGAGGTCATAACTCAAATCCATTAATTTCTACAGAACCTTTATTCATTTTTTATTATATAATAATAATACCGGAGTCTTATATAGCGCACGTATCTACCAACAATTAGGTACTCAAGGCGCTGGAAATTATGTCAATTATTTAATATGAGACCCATTATGTAGCACCTTTTAAGAGTTTACAAGGTGCTGCGGCGCATATTGCAGCCACTGCCAGAAACACCGGGGCAAACCCCTTCTCTTAGCGATAAGTGTTACTGGGTTCTGTAACGTACATTACACTACTCACGGGACCTACGTCTTTACGTCCCATCCGAAAGCCACGAAGCAATAATGGTAAAATGCCTTGCTCAAGAGCATAAGCACCATGATGTTCCCACGGTCATGATTCGAACCCATGTACCACGACACACGAGTCGAACACCGTAACCATTGGACCACAGCACCCCACTTTATCGCCATTTTTGTACAATCATAAATTTTACTGTGCTAAAAAAAACACCGTCTCTGCTTTTTACAAATAAAATAACACTTCTTACAATTTTCACATTTACTATAAAACCAGGCTTTCTATACCACTAGAGTCACGACATTATGCAAGGGGTTGCGAGAAATACACTGCACTATAATACGTCAAAATTGTATTTATTGCTTCCTAAGTTTGTTTAATTTCTGACATGCATGAAAGTGGGTAATTTATTTATCCAATGTCTGGATGGAGTAATTTCCGAAGAACGAGCAATTCTCAGGGGTAATGTCTCATCTTGTTGAAACTGCCTAGACATCAGTCATTAGATTCAAAATACCAGCAAACAGTCACCCGGGGAAATTGGTAAAGCAGTTATGTTTGAAGACTGAAATTAGTCGTGGATGTTCTAAATGACTGGAAACGAGGCCTTGTAATGGCAGAACGAACATGGAGGAGCACACCTGCCCGTTGGCGGTTTCAGGGTTCGCTCACTTCGACTGCCTTGGAACACTGAGCGCTATTTTACGGGCTGCGACCAGAGCATAAATTCAAGCCATGGTTGGCGACAGATTTTACCCAAAAAATGCAAACAATATTTAGGAAAGAGACTTTTTATTAAGTAGTTCATAGCGTTTGTTTGTTACCTTGTATTTTCAACAATGAAATTGTGTGTTTGGAAACATCAAAAAATATATGATTTATTTTTGCAACGTTGGCCTTGCTTAGTTTGCCAATCTGTGGTTGGCAAATAATGCCAACCACTGATTGGCAAAGAAAAGGTCTATATCTGTCAAAACTATTGCCCGCATCTATTAAATCTGCCCACCTCATATTATTTGCACCTGCAAAACAGCACAAGTCGCAACCAAGTGTGAAGACACGTCAACATGAATCAATCGTGTTTTATGCACACGGACAGAGCAAATGTCCTTACCATGACATAATGAAACAAACTATAAAGTGACAGTCGTAGAAATTAAAGGATATAGTTTTTCATGCGATGTTGGCTCCCCGGTGTCTATTCCCATTATCCAAACATGCCGGCATGTAGGGGTTCCATGATATTATTTTACACCCTTTAGAATTAATCTAGCATGACAACCCATGGTGATGACATAATTATCTTTCTGCAAGGTCGCTGGATATCAATAATGTGACATTGTGTAGTACTCCGGATTTTCACGACCCCAGATTACCACGACCACTGCACATGTAAAACAAAAAAACAGCTGTCGTGAATTTCATTTGCTTGCGCCGCAGATATACACTATATGTGTTCATATATATTGTATTTTCCCTTGCACCAAAGTGTAGTTGGAATGTTACATCCCAAATAAACAAACTAAAAACACTCCACTTACGCTTCATTTTGACAAAAAAAAAACCGTCAAAGTTGCACCCAGGTGATCTATAACTGTAACTAAGTTTGACTGTTTACTAGTCAAATTTAACTATATGTTATTACAGTGCAGCCTGTGTTTCAATGGGGAAGTCCTAAATACAAATATATCATTGGCATGGGCAGCCATACAGTTTTCATAAATTTGAAAAATTTCAATCATGGTTGACAACAACTTTGCTATCAAAACTGCGCATTAACGCCTTTTTTTGTGAAGGTTACGACCCAATTATAGCAATGGCCCCAACTATAGCAATGGTCCCAACTATAGCAATGGCCCCAAGTAAAGCAAAGGTCCCAACTATAGCAAAGGTCCCAACTATAGTTGGCAAAATCCCAACTATGGTTAGGAGAGTCCTCACTATAGTTAAGGTCATTCCAAACTCTTATTTAGGACGATGCTATAGTTGGGGGTAACATTAATAATGCTGGTTAATAATTAAATTGGCGCCTTCCGATCGCACATGTAAGTCAGAATATGGTAATAATTTCTCGGTCTGGAAACCAGACTATTTAGATATACTACTGTATAGCCTCCCCTTGATCCCAAAATGCGTGAGGCGCAGCGCCTCTGAATTGATACATATTTCACGGCGATCGAAGGTGAGATCGTTATTGTGTGGCATTGATGGAGCGGCTGTCGTGAGATAATGACCTATCAGGTGTCGAAATTGCATTCGGTCCGGAATGAAATTAATCGTGCTGTTTGCATCGAGGGTAATTATGCTAAAATAAAATAAGGCAATAGCTTTTTGTACTTCCTGAAAGCTAATCATACATATTAAAGTTGAGGACCTGATAGTAGATTGTTAAAAACAATACCAAATTCTGGTATTAGGTTGTAATATAATTGGTTTTCTTCAGAAACATGCACTCTTGCATTGTGACGTTGCAATGAATGGCGACAATGCATTGACCCTAAATAACATGTACATGTGCACGCATGGTCAAATCAGTCTGAACATTGATTTAATCGAAGACCTGGACATCAAAACTCGCTGGTATAAGCTACCCAGCGTTCCCTTCCCCGTGGAGCCGAATGTTTACCATGAGGTACGTATTTGGACCAAATCCGGTCGACCAATTTGTTTTCGCACAGATGAACTTAATTAATTAATTTTGAAACGACCGAGATTCTGCAACTCGTTCCGAATGACTGCAACAGTCAATCGTCCGACGACTTGCGCCTGTAATGTGGTTCAGCGCGGCCCAGGAACGCTGAATTGAAAAGAGTGAAAGCCGGCATCGCCCCCTTCATACAGTGGTGAGTCACCCTAAAAATGACAAATTTCTTTTTCTTGGCCAAAATGGCATCTGTGTCAAGTTTTCCGGGTTCAAATGGCCCGGAAAATGAACCAGAGGATGTCGTGTTGATCCAGTGTCATTTTGACCGGTTTTTTTTAGAATGTAAATAATATGTGATTTGCTACATGACGTTTTGTACTGTATAGGGCAAGTCCAAAACTTCGCGCACGTAACGAAAGTTTAACCTTCTAAAATATTATGGATTTCATGTATTTTATTCTACTGGTGGGCATCTGAATGGATGATCCGAAGAGAATACTGATCACCATGGTTGTTATGTTCTTTGTGATGAAAACATGACGGTACGTATGTGGCTCATAAAAGGGGAGCCAGAGCATAATGATACAAAATACAGATGTTACTCAAGGTCGTACGAACTCACCTGACAGCCGACAGCACACACAGAAAGGCCGTACATATCTGCGTCGCTCTACACGGGTTTCTCATACTGCCGTATCTGGAAAAAGAAAAATATTTCCGAGTTATGATTGTGCAGATTGTAACTTTCTAAACATATCCTTTTTTTCCTAAGTAAATTTTCAATAAGTAAATTTGTATCCGTAGTTTGGTACAACTTGAGTACTGTTCATTTAGAAATGCGGAAATCAAATTATTTCCTTATAGGCCTAAACCTATCCTTATCATACGCAAAATTTAAATCATGATAGAGAGAAGTCATCTTAAATCGAATGATTAGCGCCAGTTACATATTTCGCAGAACAGTAAACCTAGTATAATCCAAGTCTAAAGTGGTTTGAAAAAACATCCATGTACAGGGTTCAGGGCAGCACCGTCGCCAGCTCCGGGTATTGGTGGGGCGCATGGGGGAGAGGGAGGACAGAACCAGCTAGGTGGGTACACCACAAAAAAATCACAATTGTAGATAATTTTACGATTATCTTTCTTTGCTCACCGGGGCCCCCCCTTGACGACGGGTTTGGTTCAGGGCATAGAGAAAGAACACTTTTCTCTATGCTTATATTCATAGCAAATGCCTCCAAGTGCAATGCACTTCTACCATTTTGATACAAGTTCACTTTGGAAGCATAATGTTTTACCAGTGCTTTGTTCATATATTATGCATAACCTTTAATTGCTATTATACGACTCAATATTTAACCAAGGTCCTTTTGTTTAGAGCTAAAAATAAATACACAATCAACAAAGACGCACCAATTATGTCTTTTTCTGAATGCTACAGGGAAAGAAGGCTTATTTCAAATGCACTTTTTAATCATTACTGAATATCTTTTTGTACCGCTGAATTATTAAACATGCATATCTTCTAACTTTGACCCGACTACCTTGAAACGTTCAGCATACTCACAGAATTTTTCAGGATTTTTTCAAACTTGTGGGTGCACAAGTTTTCTCTTAATTATCGTTCCATTAGGAAAACAAATGACATGGAAGGTTTTCCTCGTCCAGTTCTACTTCTGTTAAGAGCTAATCACACTTTTCTGGCAATAATTTCTGATAATTAAGTTATCATGAGAATATCTTGTCGGCAACGAGAGTTTTGAAGTCAAATATCCGAATGGCGAGAAGCAGGAAAATGGTGGGAATGTTATTAATTTGTCGTGAAAAAAAACCTACTGACGGCAATGAACGGCATTGAAAATTGAAAACAGACGTTCATGATTACAAACTACATTGTGTATGACAAGCTCACCGTTAGTAGAATTGAATGCTGTAATGTTGCACAGTTGCTTCTCGTATCCGTAGCGCAGATGCCCATACCGCGAATGATGGCATTGATTTGAACCACAGCGCCAGTCGGCATGATGCGGCGTGCACTGTCACTGGCACGCTTGTTGCTAACCTTGTTTCGCTGTTTCGTTGCGTTCTCATTGGATACGTGGGAAGTTGCACTTCTGTAGGTGCGCGTGACCTCAACTGCACATGAAAAGCACATGCATCGTTTTATGGCTATAGTTACCTATACTATAGGGCCTACTACAAATCTTTACCACACCTGCGTTTCCTGAGATTAGTCTGTGACATTAATCTGATTAATCTATGAAACAGAATACTCGCTCAGTTTCTAACATTATGCTTGCATATTAATTCGTTGACGTATGACCAATAATACAAGGCAGCATCCTCTGAACTCCGGAATTGAAGTTGGCGAGCGTCATTTGGCAAACCGTGTCCTTTCTCTGTGGGCAAACCGAGTGAGGAAAAGATGTCGATACTTTCCCCTAACCGCCAGTCTTGAAAATGAACAAAATGTAGCTTGCTTTTGTTTTTTAACATACTTCAAACTGACCCCTTTCCGGATCAGAATCTTTAGAAAACCGCTCCGTGTAGGCTACGTAGACCGGTATGTCAAACTATCAACCAATCAACATCTTTGGACGCTTTTCTGTACAAGATTGCGTCACTCGTTACTAAAATAAAGTCGGTCCCGATTTGCTTTCGCTAGAACCGTATACCACGTAGGGCAATGAGCGTACGTGCAACATGTCAAGTTGCATTCGTGTTGTAGAGCGCCCTCGCTAGCTCATCATCCTCCAATGATTCTAACAGATTCTTGGGCGCTTTTGTTTAATTGCCGTTGCGATTTCTGACTCAAATTCTGACTCAATCAAACGTGGAAACTTGTCAAGCTGAAAACAACGCCGGAGCAAAATAACTCGCTTTATTTTTGACAACAGACCAAACCAATGTCCTTGAAATAAGCCTGAAAAAAATATTACAAAATATTTGGCGGCTGTGCATGTAAATAAATCTCGGGTTAAAATTTAATGAATAATGTGCAGGCTTATATTCCTACTTTAAAATTGATTTACTTCTGTATTTTGGAATTTTTTAATGTTTTAAAATTACATTTTTTATGTGCATCAAACGCTTGATGATGGACCTCCATAAGACACATGAACACATGAAACACATAAGTCGCGTGATTGCATACGTTTTATTATCACTAACGAAATACAAATTCAAAGTAATGTACAAACCATTTAAAGTGGGCTAATTTGGCAGACCTGTTTTGATAAAAAAAAATACCATTTGAAGGTGTATCTTGTTTTTTTAACTGGGGATGTAGCAAAGAAACCTGCCATAACATTTTGCCTCAATGTTTGCCCAAAAGGGAGCCCTACGATTCACCCAATGAACCCCCTAGCACAGGGCTGCCTCACTGAGGAAACTCTTGTTTATCTGTGATAGTATGAGCAGACTCTTTTTACTTTTGTCACTGAATTTAAATAACAAAACCTGTCATTAGGAAGGGAACTCTATGCAAGAATCTATAGGTTCCGATCGTAAAACATCAAAGTACCAAATGACCATAAGGTTTTCCCGTGATCGACCACCATTGCAGTAGGCGAGCGTTTGGTGAGCAATCACGCCGCGCATTGTAAATACACAGTAAGTTTTTTTTTCCACATAAAATAACCGTGAATTCTTTATCAAATGGCATAATGGTCACTAACTGTGCCGTGTACAGTTGTCATAATCATGTCAACCCGGCACTGGGTAACTGCATTTCTCTCTCAGGTTTTTTTGGTCATCCATCACAGCTTTGAAGGCTTGCCTACTACCTCTGCGCACGGCACTATAAGATCTTTGTCTACAATCGCAACACTGAATTTCCGGTACCCGGCTTTAGGCCAGGTCATATGCATCGGTGAGAGACCCCTATACAACTTCCTTGTTTTTCTATAATATTTTGGGTTTAGAAGGGTGAATATTGAAATAAAGTACATACAAACATATCCGGGCATAAATTGGTCAACATACTCCTAGTGGTTCCAGCAATAGGAGAAGCACTTTGCTGAACAAGACAACCACTACATGACAGTTACTCTGACCAATAGCTTGCACAATGCTACCGCCATAACTGGGGGCCACTGTGAGCGCGCCAGAATTGGTCTAGCGTCTCATCGATTTCACACACAAAAAAACAAAGACCTCCAGACAATCCGGTGCTCACAAACATCAAAATGCAAAGTAGAGTAAGTACAGCGAAAGCGAAGGTTGCTACGACTTGACCCCTTGACCTTGTGTTGCGGACATCTGAGCTTGAATCTTCATGTTCATAACCTCTGTCACAACTGCGTCAAGAAAATAAAGGGCATAAGAATTACTGTTGTGGAGTAAGAAAAGGTTTGGCAGCTAAGGTCTTGGCCCACAATTATAAACTGATTTTGTTCAATCAATTAAAAGATGCCTTTCCGATCACAGTCTAGACAAATTTTAATGTGGATTGATCTTGTGAAAATAGGAGTTTAATAATCAATTTCTTTCATAATTTTTATAAATACCATCTGTCTTTGTGTTGGTATCACCTCTTTGTGAAAGAGCTTGTGTACACAATTTAGGAGCTTTTTTGTCTCGCAAATTTTTGGGAGCATGTTCGTGTCTTTTGAAAGGAAGCATTAATTTTCATCAAGACGTTTTCCATTTATCAACTTATCAAAATAAAACATGAAACAAATAATCTTGTAATCACATAAGTGAATAACTTGATGCAGGCCTACCAGGGTGTATACTCTCTGTTGTGCCAAACCCTTTTTGATAAAGACATTTTTACCTTGTCTCATCTTTGATTTCTCTATCAATACCGGCTGAACCCTCTCCATCTGCTTAGTGACAAAGTCAACCTTTCTCTTGAAGTACCCTTGGGCTTGGGGTAACGTCTACAAAACAAGTTATCATAGCATTCATATAAATATAATATAAAATATTAAACTACAAGGTTTTCCAATCAAGAAATTCGCCATGCAGTTCTACAAATACCTAGATAGTTTGATATTATATGACAACATAAAACAAATAACCTGATTTCAATGATTTACAAAAGTATCAAATACAAAGACAATGAATGTCAATACAGTTAATAAAACATCTTCACAATTTAATTATTTTTGAAAATGTGGATAAAAAGAAAACGCATTTCGAGAAAAAAATTAACACATTTGAAATAACAATCTTGGAATATCCAAAATAGACACCAAAATGAGTTAGACACTACCAGGTCACAGTGGGCAGTTCATAATCTTGGCAATGCAACTCAGCAATACAGTAGCAATTTGTGCAATGACTATAACATATGAAGTTGAAAATATGAAAATCTTGGGGTGCACAGACATGATCTTCACTGTCAGTTCTTACCTTCTCTATGTAGAAACCTGTGCCTATATCTATAAGAACGTTATTGATGTCTTTCAACTTGCCCGGAACGTATAGCTGAGATTCAAACTCAAGGTTATAATACGAATGGCAGCAATTTACAAATGGGGTTGTTTTGCACATGTGGTACTCCCATATCCACGGACTACACCTAACTGCAGAGTATCTGCTCAAAGTAGAATACCTAAGACAGTCCCAAGACAAACATTTGGGACTCTAAATACTGTGTATGAGAGTCCCAAAAAGTAAGATGGTGAAAACATGCAACACAAGAAAAAAAACTAGCACATGAAACAACCAGTCCAACACCCCTTTAGTACTGCATCGATCAACTGTGTCAAAGAAATATCTGGTAGGCCTACCTAGTCTCTATTTCTACACATTCTCTCCATAGTCTTCAGGTACTGCCACCGGACTACTCAAGGGTAACAAAGTTTGTACCAGTCTAGTCTTAGGCTATAAATTTAACCCTTATCCCCTAAGGGCTCTTTGGGGGTCAAGTACCAAACACCACACTTGTGCACACTTGTATGGAAAGAAATGCATACTACAGGTTACTACTCAGTAGTATTTTGTAGCTTTTAAGCCTTTAGGTGAGGTTAGGGTTAAAAATCGATTGAGACCTCAACTTGGGGGGTGAAATACTAGGCCTACTATTTTTCTGCACTCAAGGTCCCAGTCTTATTAAACCCTAATTACTCCGTTTTTATCAAAATCAAAACCTGGCCTTTTTATTACGATAGTTTATGGTGCTTAACAACCATGTCACCATAACTTTTCACAGAGCTCAGTAGCCAAACTTTGCATAGGCCTACATGTAGTCTGAAGAAACAGAACATTTAGTTTATATAGTGCTGTGCTGGATTTTTTCAAAGGATACAGAAGATGTCAAGGGGACAAGAATTTCTTTTCCTGAAATAATAAATCCAGAAAAAAAATGCGGGTAAATGACTGTACACCTGCAAACTGGGCAAGATAAAAGTGAAAATGAAGAACACACTTATACTGCAGTCATGGATGTCGAAAAAAAAAGTCAACATGGTCAAGAGACATGTGTATTGTAATTTGTAACAAATTGTAGCAGAATTAGCCTACCTTCAGATTCTGGTTTTTTGAACTTATTCAGACTGTCGGTAGATTCAATGAAGCGTCCTTGGGCTATCTTCAGTTGCTGAAGAGATCCCTGTAACACCTCAACTTCCTACCAGAAAGAATAAGGAGCAGACAAATCGACGCTTAAGTAAAACTTAAAGGCAAATCAAGACAAACGTGACCAACCATGGCAATGTCATTCCTGTCCGGAAACTGGACAACATTCCCGGGCACCAATAAATAGCAAAATAAGCTAAATTCTGAACACATTTTCCACTCAAAAGGGTTCCTTAATATTGCTCATTCGAATCGGTTTACCTGTTCGATCTCTTCCTTCAGCATATTCAGCTGAGGGAGAGCCAACTGCATCAAATCAATAGCTTGAGGTTCGCCGCTTCCACCCGCCATCTTGTCAAAGAATTTGAGCTTCATAAAATTGAACAGCGCCACCACTCGATGAAAATGAACAAAAAAGAGGCGGGGTTAACTTGCTTCTGTGGGGTGCGATTTAACTGATGGAATGTGTGCGAATTGACAGAGCCTGAATTTGGAACAAATTATATCACTGGAGAACTGGACCTCTTCCCTCAGTCACAAACTAAACCACGACTCTCTAATTCGCCGTACTTCCAATCGGATATCAAGAAAAGATTTATCGTCTTTTATTTTGGGGGGCTGGAATTGAAAGTGGATTCAATTCTTATTATACAGCATCCCCGCACACAACGATCTTTATCGAGTGCATGATTTTATGAACTTTGTTAGCCGCCTTGCCTTGTTAATGCGCGTAAAATTTGCACCGTAACTAAAATTAGAAAAACAAGTTTTTTAATACGATTCCTTTTTAAGTTCTTCAAATTTAATTGTTGAAGGTTCACTCCATCCCCGGGATTCACATGACAAGCTCATTGGATTGTAATGAAAATCTTTTTCCTCCCCTTTTTTTCTTTTTGATATGGCTTGAAAAATCATGATTTATTGCAACGACCTCAGTGTGTGAAGCACAACTTTACTTCGGTATCAGTATTCACGACCCGCCGAACTGAAGTTGACGGCGCAAACAACACGAAATTTAAAACCTTAACGACCAGTTTTGATCACCTCACGGCCGACTGTTTGTAATATTTCACGCTTTCACACCACCAGCATAAACAAAACTGTGATTTATTCGATCCAGGGTTCCGTCAGTGGCAGAAAGTCACAGGGAAGGAGTGATTGTACATATATCTGTACTGTCTGTACCGATACAGATATATGTCGACTGGCCTGTATAATTCCCCAATTATGTAAAGTACTTATCTGAATATAATTGGAATTATATAAGACAATGGAGGAGAGACTAATATAATACAGAATACTCTTCCTTCATAAGTTTGATCCAAACCATCATAATATTTATTTATGTCATACAAAATGACACAACGGGTGCGCATCGATCTTGTAGAAATTACCACTAAGTTGATTTCCAACCATTTTTTGGCAGGCGTATAAAACTCATGTCAGTCATACGTCACATTTTCAGAGTGCTCCTCTGCAATTTGCGAAATTTGATATTCCAACTCTCTCGGCGTTGTTTTTCTTGTGAAAATTGTAAAAGTTTTTAAGTTGTTTTCAAATTCCGGCCTGATAGTATTTTTGGGTACAAACCAGTCAAACGTTTTTCGAAAACCATGCAGAACAATCTGCACAATACCCAGTATTATTCAGTAACCGCTGAGGAAAATAAAACAGTGGATTTTTTGAGCAAAAACCCAAAATCATCATCACGTGAGTACTGAAAATAAAAAGGCCTAGGCCTACAGTCAGAAAACACAAGATTGTCAGAAAAGATTGCAACTCAGCTGCCACAACACACAATATATACTGAACTGAAGAAAAAACACGGCAATTATTACGAGAAAATCATGTCATGCGTGGTTAAAATTTCTGCAAATTGAATAATTTCCCGCCGCGCCGTGGTTGTAGCGGGGCAATTCCGGAGCAATGACGTCATTCGTCATACTGACCAAGATAACATTATATTATACCCGGTGGACTAGTAGCCAGTCTATCCGGATTTCTGAAAAAAAGAAACCATAGACTAGTTTCCAGTCCTCTTCAAACTTGGAACGTGATTATAGGACTGGGGATGAACGAAATTTTTCTTGTGTCAACAAAGCGACATCATGCAGAAAATAAATACATGAAAATGTTCGTCTCCTCCGAGTCTTAAAACATCAGTGAAGCGGTACGGCGAAGTAGACCAAGGTCATTATAATAATGCCCGTGCGGGGGTGCCCACTCAAAACACACGCCTGCATTGTTGTGCTCTATTTTTACCCTATATCGACGCTTCCTCGTAACATATAGTTTCATAAACAATCAGCCTTTCAGTGTCGATGATAAATAATCGAAAACTTTGGCTTGACCGCAGGCCTACGTGCAGTTCTGCACGTACCTAGTTTATAATTAACACAGTGGAGCTTCCCTTAAATCAGGAAACGCCGGGTTGTGACGTAGTCAATTTCGCCGGTAAACACAGATGCCGGCCGGCGTACAAAAACTCATCGACACGCGCTTTCGGTCTTCAAACTGAACAGGATCAGCGTTGGCGACGAAGCGTTTCTAGAGGCTCCGAAATATTTCGTACTACTGAGAGACTTAGCAGCAAAAACTTGTGCTCGCTTTTTGAGAATTTATTTCCAAGAGAACTTTAAAGTAAGTTAACTTCTTCTTTTTTAGTTTATAAAACAACTTTATTTCGTTTTCAGGGTATTTTATCGATGCATCGAAAAACATTTTTTACGATAAACGATAAAATTACGCATTTATTTTCATTCTTGTTTTCGCATTCGAGTTTAAAAATTAATCCTCAAAAGATGATGCGTTGCATTTAAGAGCCTTGTGGTCTCCTGGCCTTCTTAATTTCAGGGGTTTTTTGTGCCCTCGTATATCATTTATCAATTTGAATTGGATAGAAATCAGTTTAATCAGTTTCAGTCAATAGATTGAATCAGATTGAACTTACTAACATCGAGTTGCAATTTATCCATTGCAGGCCCGCATTTTTGAACTCACTTTTGGGCAGTTGTTTTTAGGAAAAGTGTTTTTTTTTTCACAAAATGTGATTTTTCGATAGGCCTAAATATACCTGAAAAGCATAGTTAAATAATATTCCACGAATTAAAAGTGGAGCTTCTCAAACTGTGAAAAGTGCTACATGCAGAAATTATACCCCTTCAAATATAAAATATTATTGCAGAATCCTACTGTCACATAAAAATTCACGCATGGATGGAGCCACTTTAACCCGATTTAACGATCGTTATTACGGCCTTTCATGCAGTGTCAATAGTGGGACCTGTCTTGCACACATACTTATGATATCTGATTATAATACTGAATTGCTGTAGTGGAGCGGAGTCTTCAATAAACATTGCAGAGCATTCGCTACCACCGCCACGGATTGTTATGTACATTTTTGGTAAGAAATAAAACTGGAGCATTCAATTGAAATGGAAAATAAAACTTTTATCGGAAAAAAAATGCATACGGACGAATATAACTTACTGCAGTTGCAAAATGCGTTTGCATACTTAGTGTAGAAAATTTTGGTTATTGAATTATGTGTCAACATGGAAAACAAACATTTTTAATTACGAGTTTGAAGTAAATTTGGGTGTCTTGAAATTAAAGCTAGTCCAAGCACAATGTCTTTCTTTTTTACTGGGTGCGCAAAATTTAATATGCCCAAAATAGTCTGTATTTTATTGGGTTCGAATTTTGCTTTACAACTTCGGCAATATTATATGAAAGCTCTGCTAATGCTTTTATTAACACTAAAGGTTACCCAGAAATAATTTGCCCAGTTGTGTATGTCCCTTTAAAACATTTTACTGGAACATTCATTTCCTTGTAATTCGAATGTTTACGTGAAATTGACACCGAGAGTCAGGATTTTAATGTGTTTTCCATTCTGAAAGGTCATAAAAAAAAGGAAACACTACCGTGGCTGCAATATGTAATCTGAGATTTTTGTTTCACAGAAGATATATAGGAAAATAGGCCAGTGGATATGGCGGTTCAGGGGAATAATATTAAGGTTATAACAGACTTTTATTTTAATTAAAAAGAGCATGCTCGTGCCATTTGCTTTTGGGTATATTTTTCACAGTCTGACGTTCAGCTTAAAAGTAGTTATTTTTGTCTCATATATTTTGGTGTTCAACAAGAGTATTGCATGCAAAGTCTACATTTGAAGGAAAAAAGTTATTTATTTGTTACCTATTTCCGGGTATGCTGGAATACTGTTTCTTTTGTAATCCCGTTTATTGTTGCTTGAGTGGAACCTGTTTTTGGAAAATCAGCTTTTTGACCAACGGGCTATAAAAATGTGACGTGTGTATCTTTCAAGACAACATCTGAATAAAAAAAAAAACCTCAAGAAAGAACAAAAAACGAAATCACAAAAACATTCTCAAATTGATCACTATGCGTTCAGCGCAATTTTTATTTTTTACTTCACCGCCGCAGCGCCGTTTAATCCACATACAAGAGCATTCATGATATTTTCTTTGTTAAGATGTAAAGAGCACATCGTGCATCACTTAGCATGTGTGTGCGTGTGTTTGTGCATGGTTGGTGTCTTTCTGATATGAGCATCTCGACAAGGTCGATGATAAATCAGCTGGCTCGGATATCAAAACAAACGAAAAATGTTGGGGAAACAATGTCGATAACTGGTAAGTATTTAGAGGTAAATTGTGATGGCAAAGTACATTGAAACCCAAGACTCCGATGTACTTTTTTTAAATAGCCGCAACTTGACCGGATGATAATATGATACATTTCTCAAGGATTACGATGAATTCACCAGAGACGTCGGTCTTTCTCAAGAATTGCCCTTTCCACACGGTGGCATTCTGTCAGATTCCTCGATCATTATCATGAGAACAATTTCTCAATCTCAAGCCTCGCGAATTTATTTTGCGTCGTTAGAAAGCTACGGCTTCATCATATAGTAGGCCTGCCTCTTCCAACCATCAGTCGATACCCAATTTGACCCCAAGTATTCTTGACATTCCCTGGATTCTTGATTGGGGCGTTTGTCATGATATGAATGTGACAGTTATTCATTAATGTTGTATGAGCATGGGATTGCATATTGTCATTGCAACTGGATCTCTGGCTGAGTTGTGGGAGGAGGTTAATTGGTGGGCGGGGGGGGGGGTTAAGCCACTTGAAGAGGAGGGTGCCTACAAGTAGCTGCTGACTCGTGCTGAGGTCGGGGAATACAGTATCAAGCATGAAAACATTTGGGTATACATTGTAATTTTGTTTACATGTCGGGTGTTCAAAGGTGTGCAACGTGGCACCTTTTCACTACATTGAACTATATTGACAACATAGGAAATTTCAAATGAATTATTTCAGGCATGTTGAGATAAGGAAACGCACCTGCATGACCCATTAACTTCAATGACCTGTCCTACTCGCGGCTTGGCCTTTCTCCAGATCCAGTTACCCAAACTTGACCGCTGCTGCGCATTTCAAAGATAATTGGCATGCCACGATGTTATTTTGCTGATTGGGTGTTGAATTCATTCTCGCCGCGGGGCGTTTTCCTTTTATAAGATTGCTATTATTACTGTAAATGATCATAGGGAGATCATGTCGGTCAAATTACCGCCCATTCGGATTGCATATTTGTAGAGTGTTGACTTTCTGATGCGACGCACTCATGTTACCGTTCAGCAGCGCCGTTGTATGTGATTAGCACCGTGGCACGTCAGCGATCCGCCTGGATTTTCCCCTAACGGCCCCGTTCCCTCAGCGGACGGCGCGCGCTTCGTTAAAGCGGAAGTCCGAAATTGATGTACGTGCAGTCTTTGATCGCTGAAACAGTATATGCATGTATCTCCTCTCGGGAGGAACATGCGAAGATCAAGTGAGGGGTTTTCCTAATGGCTTCAGTGCCATGGAATTATGTGCATAGTTTTCCATATTGATTAGGTTGTGGGTCCTTTTACCGTTGATTCGTTTAAGTGCAAAATGGATAGGCCTAAGTGCTTGTAGGCCTCTCAGCGACACAAAATCGTCCGTTCTAGCAGGGCACTTCATTAAACGCGGCAATATTCCACTTTTATTTCAACGTCTCAGAAATTACTGGGAAACAAATGAACTACAATACTTTATGACGCATCTCAGGATTGCTTGGTCTGTGGGCAGCATGAGGAGTGTATCCCTAAAGAAATTGTAAAAATGCGAATGAATAATAAATTTATATGACTGATGAAACCATGGACACCACCTTGTTATCCTACGACTGTTCAAATAAATAAAGCTTGCACTTGCTCTTGCCGTAAGCTATAATTATACTCATGGGACATTTACTTGACTAGCTACGGCCAAGTTCATTGAGTCATCACTCCGCTAACCACGAACGTAAACAGCCGCGGGTACCTCTCTTTGTCTCGGGTGTAATAACGAGTAAAATGTTTTATCTTCAGCTCTGACCAGATTTCGAACTCGTGTAATAATTCTTGGGTATAGGAACCAATAAGTTCCTGTCAGAAGCGAAAGTTATACATCTCCCACGATCTGCACGTATTGCTGTTTGTGTTTTTATACTGTCAAATAAAAATAACTGGATACGAAAGGGAAAATATAGAGTGGACCACCGCGAACACGATAACAATACGCATGCCCGGTCAAAATCAGAAAACATCAATAGTTGTCATGGCAACCGCGTCCCCGCGCACGATCGCCATTGAAAGTCAGTGCACCGGACAAATAGTTTTTCTAATCGGTCAGTTCTCCCCAATTGCACCTCAACTTTTGTCAGCCGATAGCCTCCGGCATTTCCTTTGTGAAAAGTACGAAAAGGATGAAAATCAAGGTTAAATAATTATCAGGACCACCCATTTGGAGCGAAAAATATTTATATGTTGAATCATCAATATTTGTTAGCTGATAATTGCACGTACGCATCGATTTAAAGTCCACTATTTTGCGGGTGACCGATTTTGTGGGAATTTTTTTAAACCATTTTTTTGGGGGGGGGGGAGGAGGGGGGGGGTTAAATTAGAACCACTTCCGGTAATGTCAAAATGCCTCATGTCAATTTGAAGAACCTTTTATTAGGGCCTATACATCAACTAGGCCTTGTGGTGAAATAATATCGTAGTTATAGGAATGTGACAAAATGGCGACTATTCTTGTAAAGAATAACCCACAGGAAAAATATCAAAGTAAGAACTTCAGTTAAATGCACCTTCAGTGTTTTTAACTAGTCTGCTATTGTAAAGATGTCCGCAAACATTCAGTATTATGTCTTCGTGACCTGTTTCTCAGTAATCATAAGAGCGAGGCGAGTGGTTATTTTCGAGGGAGAAGCGCAGGTGAAGACGGACACGCGGGGATCCGAGACAGTGCCTTTTATATTAACCCAGATTTAATAATGGAAGCCTCACACCGTGTCACATTCTCAGTCTAGTTCATCCATCATTCAGATGCAGTTTCAATTCGGTAATGGACTCGCCGAAGGTCTACAAGAAGAGATCACACTATAGGCCTACGTAGACTCGGACGACACACAAAATTAACACGCAATAAGACATAGGCCACAATGTGCCGGGTATATATATAGAACAGAATCGTAAAATCGTACAGGGCAATATATAGGCCACTGTACAAGAACGAGGATGAAAGTATATAATTTATGATTATATGAACACAACAGCTTAAATCTTTTACCTGCATGTCTTTCGCATAACATAATAAGTCTCTGTGAATTAAAAAAAATCCTCATCGTTTTTGAGAAAAACATGGCCCTATGTTGTCTGAAAAAGCATAGGATGTTAGTATTTACTATTTCACAACGGAGTACTCGAACAAGTTAAGTTGCCAAAGCCAAACAAATATGGCTTTTGGCCTTTAGCCAGACTGTGTGTGATGACTCGTTATTGTCTACATGAGATCGATAAATAGGTTACCTTATATAGAATAACCTGAATTCGTTGTAAAATGAGAAATGAAATTTCATTGTAAACGCGAGAGGAGTGGAATGATGCATGACGTCAACAATCATCATATACTAGTCAAAAGCCAACCTGTCAGCTCGACCTTTTATTCGTCAGTCACGTAGGCCGTACATTCAAAGCCCACAATATTGAACAGTAACAATACGAATACTGTGACACATTGGCTCCACACAGTCCAAGTTTTCATATCTATATAATTATTGCAGGTGTTCCCACAATGAGTATATTGCCGGCGGGCTGAATTGCCCGTACGGCCCAACTGTACGGTATTTAAATTAGAAAGCCCCGGGGTTAGGAGAATCCCGATAAACACACTACATAGCGCGGGGGAACCTCCAAACTGCAATTACGCGAACCGTAGATCAATATTCCAATCTCCAATCCCAGGTAACATTCCTGCCGCATCCCGGTTCATCCGCGGTTCAGCTTGATTTTCACCGTTTTTTTAACCATCAAGGATCTGTAGCCTGATTTGATTTCCCACCGTCTGCCGGGACCGTGCAGCAGTTGCCCCGAGGCACTGTAGGTTTTACTGTACCACCGCTCGATCGTCAACGAGGCGAACGAAGTGACATTGATATGTTTTATTCTGATCCTATGCGTTCAAGAGCACAGATGCGCATTTACGTACGGAAATTATAGACTCACTTGTATGCACTACGATATATGCGACCCATGTTATTTTCTCAATCCACGCTGCGTCAAGAGAACGAGGGATGATTATACGGTCTATACGATTTGATTTGTTTGCTTGAATTAACAACAGAGGATAAACTGACCTTGAATTAGATTAGGGGCGGTCAATGTCAACAGATTTGACCAAGGGATGCACAGACAATCTAAGCACTTATAAATATTATGAATAGGCCTACTCCTTTCTTAAATGAACATTTTCTCTTTTCACAGATAAAGATGGGTCACGGAGTTGGAGGCAGAGGGATTTTGGCAAGATTGGGAAAAGCTAATTACGAGGTATTTTAACAAAATCCAAAATAATTTATTTATTTTCACTGAAAATAAATACATTTTCAGTGATTATTTTGTGAAGTCAAGGTATTTCGTACATTCTTACTTTTTTACAAAACATACCTCAAACTGACATCCATGCTTTGTTGATGTTTGTCTGTATTTTGTTTTGCAAACCAGTGACGAATTATCATAGCGTGTAATTAGACCCAAACAAATACAATATCATTGAATATCACTGAATATTTTTATTGGTAAATCGTGCACGATCAAGATGCAGATTTCCTCCGAGGCACTTCCACTGTATAACAAATTTCAGAAACATTTGTAAACAAGACTAAGAAATGATCGGCCGAATCATCGCTTCCAAGAATCACGACAAATTCCTCATAATTCTACCGGAATATTTTAAAAGAATGTTCAAATTTAAATAAACATGAGTGTCTTGGGCAAAATATCAAATGGATGTTTGTACTTGTGTCTATATACACTCTGCAGAGTGCTATTTGGAAAAGTCATTAAATTTGGAACATGTCATCAAATGTAGGTTTGAATAGAAAACGAATCAACATTCCGCATGAATGGCCTTGAACATGGCTTCCAGCTGCGCCGCATTTTATCAGATATTGCCGACGATTATAATGAAATTAAAGAACTTGCATCCAAGCCTGATGCATTTTGACGAATTTGTCAGCCATCTGCAGGTTTGAGAGACTTCTCACTCAATGTTAAAATTAGAAATTGTGGGCTGATTGCTGCTGGCGCGAAATGTAAGTTGGTTAGGCTGAATGAAACAACTCGTGAGATGAACACAGTAATACAGCCTTTACATGTTGACTTTCACAGCTGCTTTTATATCCATTCATAACACAATGTTCCCAAAGTATAAAACAAATACACCTGTCATCTCTCCATGCATTTCATTCAAGCCCTTCTATGGATAATCAAATTGGTTTTCATTTTTTTGGGAATTTCTTGCCTTTTATTTCTTCACTAGCTGTCACCGCTTGTTGTCATCACCGGGACAGTCTTGGTCCTTGCGACAGGCTTCGGCACCTTCAGTATCTTAAAGAAGACCGATGTCGCGTAAGTCTGAAAATTCTATGAAAAAGTACTGTTAATATTATATCAAACAATAATTGAGAAATTGATTGTGTGTACAATTTTATCAAACTGAAATAATTATCCAGACCCATGTGGACTACTGGAAAATTAGATTATTGGATCAACTAACCGTTGGATTTCTGGCAAAGCTTTCACCGGTCTCACTAACGAAAATGTGGTCGGTTCAGTAAAGACACAGTTATCCTGTCTTTTTCAGTTTTGAAAAACAAAGATATTTATTTAATCATTTCATAGTCGTTCATTTTGTCCTTTCGAAATGACTACGTGTTTTACAGATGTCGTTTGAAACATTATCAGTAGGGTTTACCATAGCACTAAAATCGTACAGTGTGGGGTGTGCAGTGAATATAAGCATACATATAGCTTTATAGGAGAGAGGATGATTTTGAAATTGCATAATATCCGATTTTGGTGCGATTCTTTTCAGGTTGTTCAAGGGGTCGAACCCAAGACCGTGGGAGAGGGTAAACCCAGCCCAGCCACAGAAGGTAAAAACCCCTCATCTTCCTTGAAGAGCGACTTTTTTACACCCTTGTCTGGCCTTTCGCCTGTGGATAATTGATTTGCTTATATATTTATGGGTTACAGACAAAATTCAATCTCCACGTGACTGCCATACTTGCAATACAAATGCATCGCTTAATCCCAAATCTACGATCTCATAATGTCAAATTGACAACCGCATCGTCTTCAGTCTCTGAACATCCGATTGAAAGGAAAACCTCGACTGTTTAATGCATAGCCTTTAATTCTTTGGTGACAAAATCTCCCACAAAATTTCGAATTGAGAACTTCCACTGAAACAGTCGTTGCTTTTGCTGGAAATGTGTAAGGGATGGGCAAGATATCTCACCAGTATATCTTGATTTATAACTAGTACCATGGAGATCCTTTCTAACCAATAAGCACGGTGAATTTATTTTGACAGTTTGATTGAGTTAGACACTGAGTCCGATATCACCCCGTGGTTATAAATTAAGTGATACGCGAACCGTCTTCGTTTCCCATGCTTTTCAAGTCTATTTGAAATTATCATAATAGCTTTCTTGTGTTATTGTATTTCCAGAGGATATGTAAACATTTTAATCACACAAAATTGCATAAAGCATTAATTCTTGATTTTTTTTGATGAACCTTGTTTTTCGTGCTGAATAGCCGGTCGACTGAATATTGCATTTACCGGTTTAAAAAAAATCCACCACACAAGGTCTTCATTATGCAGAAGCATTATATATATTCACCTTCATCGTACGTTTGTCCCTATAAATACATGCAAATTTGGCGCGAACTTTGGCCATAACAACCCTTACACCACCAAAACGCTGCAACCAACCCAAACAACCACGCGTAAATATAGACTACCTGATAACATTTACGCAAAGTGCTCGACATCACAATGGCGGAGGACCTTTCCACCCTAGCTGACAATGTGCCAATATTTCATGTTAATAATTGACTAAAAGTTCACAAACCAAAGTGACATTTTGAACCGCCTCCTTTTGTGTAAACAATCTTTATGATATAATAGGCAGACTCGGACTCGAAAATGTCGAGATTGCAATTTTGCAGGTCCATTTTACACACTTGTGATATATTGCTTGGAGAGTATTTTCATGATACATTTTCCCTTGAATTCCCCATGTGATACATTGTTCCTTCCGTTAAAACTAAGCCAGGAAACACATATAGGCCCACAGCCTTCATGATGATTATACAGTCTCCGCTCCAAATAAAAAAAAACTGGATCATGTTCAAATGTCCTGCTGGCAGAGAAGCATCCTGTATTTGAATTGTCTTTATCTGTTTTTTTTTCTTTCTATTTCAGCTCCTGACGTTAAATCAGGAATACAAAGTCAACCCAGCGATCGAGAAACTCAAGAAAGAAATTGGATCCGCCAAGTAGATTTTAGGTCCCAGACTACATGCACCCACATTTCTTTCAAAGTCTATTATTTTTTCCCGTCGTTTCCTTTCAAAGGTACACAATCATTTCTGCTATAAAATAGCGAGGAATTATGTATTTTATGTGAGCAGCTATAGGAGCATCAGTATTGGAAAGTGGCGAATACGTATAGGATAGGAGATCATTAAACTGTGACGTCACGCGACAATGTCTGTGTTTGACGCCTGATTCCAGTTATAAAACAAAAATTCGTTATAGTTTGTATTGAAAAAAGGTTGGCCCTGGTTGGAATGGCTGGTAACCTGTGAATGTTACGTTTACACATGGCAGAGGACCAGTGTGTTGTCATGCATAATGCGTGTTGGCGTCTACCGAGTCTAGTACCTGATGTCCGCCCTCATTATATATGCATATTCGGATGGCGAATGGTCGTTAAATTCTGACTATACCAATTAGTAGTCATATGGATGTGTACCTTGCAACCACACAGTGTAAACACAATGCCAGACAGCAAAATAATGCCGGGAACTGAAGAATAATTTACTAATTAAACGCCAAGGTTACAGGCTTCATCAATACAGTGTAGGTTATGGTGGAAATATACAGTATATAGTGGAGGCTATAGCGGAGCTGAAATACGCAAGGTATATGGATTTGGGATAAATGATGTTAAAAGGGAGGCAAAGCATGTTGTTAGTTTTTAAAAAAGACAACTATAGTGAAATTTGATGAAAACATCGAACGCGTGAAAATGTATCACAATCCTTGTTGCTTATAATCACTGAAATGTATTGGATTACTTTGCACATTAATGTTTCGAGTTAAATGTAATGTGATAATTCTAATGATGATGATTACACTCGTATGCAATATATTCTTCTGGGAAATATAGGTTTATTTTTAATCTACAAAAGGTCTACGAGTATAATGTCGATCAGTGTGTTAAAAGTTATGTATATGTTAAAAGTGTATCACTGAAATAGTAGTTCACATGCAAATTCTTATAGCTATACATGCCACGATTGAATAACGCGTCGCTGGTGCACATACAGGGAGAGTGATGCCTATAAACATAGTGCCTGGTTCGCGTGTTGCATCACGTGACTTTAGTGAGGCAAATTCAGAATGGTGCTATGGGGTTAAATTTTGAACACTGTCACAAACATTCGTTTCATTGATTTTACGAAAAATAAGACACAATTTCCTTACCAGAGTCGCAGAGATTTGACAACTTCATCCAGATGAGTAAAACTCCAAAGGGTAGTCTTTATTATTTCGGCAATAATTGCAGGACTAGATCGCAAAGTAATGAGATAATATTTAAGATGAAAATATATAGGCTCGTCCTATTACACCTTTGCATCAGATAAAACACCACGTAAATGTACGCATGCATTTTTACGTTACATTTCCCAAAGAGATACATATTTCGGACAATTTGTTCCCACGATGACTTGGAGGGGCCATTCTACAAAAATAATAAATTTAATAGATTTTCCGAGGCGGAAGACCTATTAATTTAGCTTAATCCGCTAACAGAATGGATGTTCCCCATATTGATAGCCTAAAACTAATTGTTCGTCAGTTTGAGTGTTTTGTGTTGCTGTGATTATAACTTTGTTGGATTTATGAGTGTAATGAAAATGCAATATGCATAAAAACAATATATACAGTGTATTGTATACAATGCATAAAGACAATAGTGTGATAATTATTCAGATAATATATTTCCAATGAAAATGTACCTTGGTATTTAAGTGTGGATATACATGAGTGTAAAGTATAACATAAAATGTATGCGTCGTTTGATTTGGTTTATAAAATAAAAAGAAGTAATGAATTCCTGGTTGTTGTTTGATCAGTTTGCCTTACTTTTCCGAGACAATCTAGTCAATTTTAACACAAGAGGTAAAACCGGTATTATACCGACTTTCTATGGCCATACCACCGTATGGTCCAGTAGGCCTATAGGTATATCAGACTTCAGTCCTATATCAATCTCACAGTTACAGGCAAGGTGTATTCAACAACAAACACTGAGTTAAACGGAAATCTCACTATAGCAATGAGCATTGGCTGCACAGTCATTAACGAATTTTGGGTGTCGTTTCATTGGAAAGATATCCAATACTTTTGAACTACTGTGGCCGCTTTACAGCCCATGCAACACATATCCTTATTATAGTGTCACCTGACACGACAACAAAAAAGTGCGGCATTCACCTCTGGAAACGAAATCTTTGACAGTACCACGTGTCTCATGAGCGGTCTTTGACCGTTCAGCGGACACCAGAACTTGAATTAAGGTTTAAATTTCACCTTGCAATCCCCAAGACGAAGATTAGCAGAAAACCACTTACAGGGAAGCGTCTTAGGGTGCGACAAGAGCATTCATTGTGGCTTTTTTTTTTTTATCGCAGCGCGTAAATTGTACGGAGTAATACCACTAATGGAAGGTCAGTGGTACGGGATAGCGCTGCCGTGAGACTGAGAGTAACGTACCTATAGAGAAGGCGTGACTGAATAAGAACTGGGCTTACCCCAGGGTGAACGAAGCCGCAGCTTTAATCTTGATGAATCACTGAATGTTGGCCCTACGCCTGTAGATTCGCAGAGGGTGAGCCAAGATACTGGAGCCGAGCCAGCATGACTAAACATAATAATTATATCCCTTTTCAAAGACTGCTAACTCGCCTTCCAGACCCTCCTTCAGGTTTTTTTGAAAATTTTCTTTTTAAAATATTCTAGGAAAAAAATAACAAAAGGTCCCCAACGTTACAGGATGACGTTTCCGTATTTACAAGTTCTTTCAAAAATTGGTTACTCCTTCCACGATGGCTACATTGGTACATCATTCGAGAGCAGAAATCTCGAGAAACATGGAGGAAAATTATATGGGAAAGACTATCGTTGCACACTAAACTGAGCCTGCGTAACTAATCTGTCAGTCCATGATACGCGTTCCTACTCGGCATGTTCGAAGCCTTGGGACACTAGAAATTTGACCGTTCGACGAAGGCGCATTCCGTTCACACTCGACCCAATCTCAGACCACTTACCGGAGTATCTCAAGTGCGTCCACAGTGTAAATGAAAGCGACTCATGTTTTGGCAGGAGTCGAGTGATAATGCTAAAAATAGACCAGACGGGCCCACGAATGTTTTGAATTTAAAAGTTGTAACGCCGTGCTTCATAATGGCGTGACCTTTGCTTATTTGCATTTGACCTATGCAGAACGTCATGGTTGATCAATTGGCAATTGAACGTGTAAACCAACATAAACCGTGAGTTTTATTCGGCACCTGAGAGATGTATACTTATCTATTTATTTATTTCAACTATACACGGTAACCCATTCAACCAAGGTTGTTTTTCAAGGGGCCGTGTTGCGTAAAAATTGGACAATACACAAAATATAGTCAGTAGGCCTACTTCAAAACATATACATTGTATAAAACAAAATGAAACATTGAAATTAGCCCGGCTTTCAATTTCTGAAGTTATATCTGGTTTCTCTGCAAATCGCATAAATCTTTCGCCTTTTACTAAAGATGTACGTGCCGCTTAGAAGAACGTTTGTACGAGACTTTTCCAATTTTTCGTCGGCCTTTCGAGGCCTTTAGTGACCTTTAGTGACCAAAGACAGAATCTGAGGGAAGCGTGATTAATCCTAAATGTTACTAACTGGGAATTGAGGACTAAACAAAACACATTGATTTTGGAAGACCGTTTAAGAACAATGTCATTATTCTATATTAATAGAAAAATGACATAGTAAGGAATCTGAACTTCTTTTTCTGTTTTGCCTTTCTGAGAAAGATAGGGCGTAAAGACTAGGCCTATATCTACTCAGTTTGAAGTGTCCTTTGTTTTGTACCTGAAGTTTGAAAATCTGCATAGGGGCCTATAGAGCGATGCTACTTCATTTACCATGCCATGACGCCAAGTGTAACATCCATCCTTGGATTGGAATTCCTGAACTTAAAGAGTGTAGATGAAGGACGACACTATACAGTCCGTTTTCTTCAGAGAAAGGTTTTATAAAGTTGTGCGGATAATGGTACATGCTAGGGGCGACAAGGAGAGAAAGCTCGATCACTGGGTGTGATTGATTTTAATACAGCACGATTACATAACTGTGTCTGGTATAAAGCTAAAAACTCTCGCGAAGAGTGATAGCGTATTATTAGACCGTGGATGTCACTATATGTTGATGTATTCGGTTGAGTCCAGAATGAATTAGAATGCATCGAATTTATCATTGATATGCTAATGATTGTATGGTTCGATGGTCAGAGCGGGAATTTTGAATAGGTAGTGGTATGTGATGCTAGCGGAGAAACGCGTCACTTCACGCTTGCTAGCAGCAACGCAACACACGTTATTTTTTAGAGCTGTCGCCATTTTCAACACTTTAAACATGTCATCAACTCCAGCTACGAAAGAGGACATTCAGGAGCTATTGGCTCAATTCTCATCTAGTCAAGCTAAGATACTGGAAGACAAGATAGCTGAAGCTTCTGCCAATTTTGATACAAAGCTCAAATCCGCCACTAGCGTCAAATTAACCTGGAAAAGGGAAGGCCATAAACGACAATATAACTTTAATCAGTCTGTATTGGATCACGTCGTAGAAGCTGAACGCAAAAACCAGTCAACTGAAGTGCAGCAAGAGCTAACCAGTATTAAAGCTCTGCTCGAGCATCGTCAAAAGCTAATCCGACTAGCCGATACCAGCCCCTCTGGCTGGGCAACAGTCGAAGAATACGAGAATAACGAGTTGGCCAACGACTCCGGAGATGACAAGAAGATCACAAGGGCAGAAGACAGGGCGGCCAGAAAGCTTAAAGCGGCGTCCGGTAAGAAGTCCGCCGGGGCCAAGAGATTCAAGACCGGTGACTACCACTACCAGACTCCTGCTCCCGCTACTACTTCTGTCGCTCCTGCTTCTCAATTCCAGTTTTTTCGTGGCCAACGATTCCCAACCAGCAAAGACATCTGCTACGCTTGCGGAAGCCAAGGTCACTGGAGAAAATCCTGTCCAAACATCAGTAGAAGGCAAGACAAGAGCAACACCCCAAGTTTCTCCACCTAGCAAGGACACCGCAGCAAGCAAGTCTAACACGATCAATGAAGTTGAGTTATGTTACTTTACCGATAATTTCTTTGAGTATGAAGAAAGGTGTTCCACAGGTTGCAAAATTCAAGTGGCTGGTCGTTTACATCATCATTATGATTTTTGGAGAGCAATTAATGCCAATTCCTATGTATTAGACATAATTAGCAACGGATACATGATTCCGTTTTATGAAACACCACCACACACGCCGAATGTTGAGAAATCCAAACAAGGGTTGAATAATCGCTCAGCCATCAATAATAGCGAATTTGTCACAAATGCAATTTCAGATTTATTAGAGACGCACTGCGTCTTGCCTTGCACAGAACAACCATACATAGTGAATCCTTTGTCAGTTTCAGTACAAAAATCAGGCAAGAGGAGATTAATACTAGATTTGAGAGAAGTGAACAGGTTTTTATGGAAGCTATCTGTCAAGTACGAAGATATGCGTACAGCGATGTTATATCTTCAAAAGGGGGGTTTTATGTTCCAGTTTGACCTAAAATCGGGATACCACCATATTAGCATTCGTACAGAACATCAACAGTACTTGGGATTTTCCTGGTTTTACAAAGGTGCCTTTACATTCTTCAAGTTTACTGTATTACCATTTGGTTTATCCACTGCCCCATACGTTTTCACCAAAGTGGTGAGACCACTTGTACAGAAGTGGAGAAGTGAAGGTAAACAAATAGTTGTGTTCCTAGACGATGGTTTGTGTTATGCAGAGAGCTTTCAGAAAGCCAGAGAGCACAGTGCTCAAGTTAAAGTTGACCTGGTCAATGCGGGGTTCGTACCTAATGTACAAAAGAGTACTTGGGACCCGGTTTCAGAGACCGAGTGGTTAGGTCTGATAATTGACCTAAAGAATGGTTCTCTTGTTTTGCCAAACAGACGAATAAACAGCATCAAGGAACGAATTCAAGAACTGTTAATAACTCCCAAGTCAGCAGGTTCGTCAACATGCGTCAAAGTCAAAGATCTAGCCAGTGTGGCAGGATGTATTGTTTCATCCTATTTAGTTGTGGGATCAATGAGTAGGGTAATGACCAAAGCTATGCATTGTGTAATTGAATCTAGAAATTCGTGGAATTCCAAAGTTGTCATCTCAGAACAAGCCAACGAAGAACTCCTCTTCTGGTTACACAACATAGATAATCTGAAGGAAATTCCAATAAAATTAACACCCATGTGTTCAACTATGGTGTTTTCAGATGCAAGCAAAAATGGTTTCGGAGGCTACATAGTAAATGTCAATGATTCGATCAGTCATGGTCAGTGGTCGGAAAATGAAAGGAAACATAGTTCAACCTGGAGAGAATTAAAAGCAATAGACATGGTGTTAGCATCCCAAATAAACATGTTCAAAAACACCAGAGTAAAATGGTTTTCTGATAATCAAGCTGTTACAAGAATAGTTTGCAAAGGCAGTATGAAGTCAGATTTACAGTCTATTGTGTTAAACATATGTCGTAATTGTGTACGCAATGGAGTGTTCCTTGAATTAGAATGGGTGCCGAGATCGAAGAACGAAAAGGCAGATTTCATAAGTAAGCTGGTCGATTATGACGATTGGCAGACCTCAGATGAGATGTTCTCCCTACTTGATCATATGTGGGGTCCTCACACAATCGATCGGTTTGCCAGTTATTATAATTCCAAATTAACTCGTTTTAATTCTAGATTTTGGAATCCAGGTGCTCAGGCAACCGATGCGTTCACCCAAGATTGGGCAGGGGAAAATAACTGGTTGGTTCCCCCGATACATTTGATTCCAAGAGTCATACATCAGTTAATAGCCAACAGAGCTGAGGGGACATTGATATGCCCCGCCTGGAGATCATCCCCTTACTGGGTGTTATTATTCCCAGATGGTTACAATGAAAGATCAGAAATCACAAGTATCCATGAATTTGTGAGTCCTTTCCCACTTTTTGAGAATGGTCGAAGTAATAACTCTAAGTTCATTCATGATATTGTGCGCAGTACAGTACTAGCGGTCAGGTTCAGCAGTTATCAATGAGTTTCTGTACAAGCGTTCAGAACGCTTGGGCTTGGTGCCTTACTAGTGTAGAGACCCAGGGGGTCAATTCTGAAATGGAGAAAATTAGGAATTAAAACAGTGTATATTGTAAAGTAATAACATATATGTTGTAACAAAGTTCTTTGTCTCTTTGTTAAGCTAATCTTCAACAGTGATAACTGGAGACACCGTTTCGAGAGGAGCGCCAACAATCAAGACCTGAGTTCTCTCGCCAACCAACTGCCCTCCATATTGGTGAGCTCAAGAGCTTCAAGCACGGTAACTCAATACAACTCATCCTTTACCAGATGGCATCAATGGGCACTGTCACATGACGAGTCTCCCCTTCCTGGTGATCCATATATAATATCATTATATCTGGTTCACATCAGCAACTCAGCAGCGTCACCATCGCCAATTATCAGTGCTTCATCAGCAATTTCCTGGGCACATCGCATGGCCAGTTTGGACGACCCCATGAAGGATCCATTGACTGTTCAAGTCATAGAGGGACTCAAACGAACACTCGCTAAACCAAGGGCAAGAAAAGAGCCAATAACACCCCAGATCCTAGTACAGATGGTACAATTGCAAGGAGCTGACAGATCAGTACATAACCTAATGAACATTAGAACTTTGGCTATGGCTTTAATATCTTTTGCAGGTTTCTTAAGATTTAATGAGTTAGCCTCGCTTAAGATGCAAGATTTAATGTTCCATCATGACCATTTGTCAATCCGGATTCAGTCAAGTAAGACAGACGTGTACAGACAGGGCAGTGAAGTTATTATTGCTAGATCATTTTCTCAGACTTGTCCAGTAGCCATGTTAGAGCTTTATATTAATCTTGCAGAGATTTCCAGTGGTGATAAAGAGGCTTTTGTGTTCAGGAACTTAACAAAAGTTAAAAATGGTTATTCCCTGCGCAAAAACAATCAGCCCATGTCATATTCCAGAGTTAGAGAGCTAGTTTTGAAAGCAATTTCTCCAGTAGTTGCAGATGTTTCCAAATTTTCTTTACATAGTTTAAGATCAGGTGGAGCCTCAGAGGCTGCCAAGGCTGGTGTAGCCGACAGACTGTTTAAACGCCATGGGCGTTGGAAGTCGGAGACGGCTAAAGATGGTTATGTCCAAGAGAGCTTTTCTAACTTATTATCTGTTTCTCAGCGGTTAGGTATCTAACATCCACCCGTTCTTTATTTATTCAAGCCGATTGCTGCAGCTCGCACAATCCCAAATTAATGAGTATAGTGTGTTTTGTTTGTGTATGATGATTTAAATGATAAATGTTGATGTATTCGGTTGAGTCCAGAATGAATTAGAATGCATCGAATTTATCATTGATATGCTAATGATTGTATGGTTCGATGGTCAGAGCGGGAATTTTGAATAGGTAGTGGTATGTGATGCTAGCGGAGAAACGCGTCACTTCACGCTTGCTAGCAGCAACGCAACACACGTTATTTATTTAATTATATGCTATTGTAATGGCTAAAGTAATTCTATCTTAAAATACGTTGTTTTAAGAACGTCCCATTATCATTGCTAGCTAGCCTGAGAGCGGTGGTCAGCATAGGTCAGGGCATACGTTTCCACTTTTTCCAAAAAGGTTTGTGGTTTTTCGTATCTGGCGATCACCAAAAGCAATGGGTCGAATTCACAGTTTGTGATTAATACTTAATATGTTGATATATATCTCGATGTATATCGTGCAAAGTTATCATTAATAATGATGTGTAATTTGAGAAGTCGATGAAACAGTGTAAGCTAATTAAAAGTATTGGTTGCTGCAGCTCGCACAATCCCAAATTAATGAGTATAGTGTGTTTTGTTTGTGTATGATGATTTAAATGATAACAAGCGTTGTTCACGTGTACCACTCATTGACGTAAATGTCGTCAATTCGAGATTAAAACATACCTCAAATATTTTTTCTCGGGCTTAAAAATGTGACAAAATATGATTACACATATTAATTGTGTATCAAAGAAGGAAATACACGTTTTTCAAATTAATGAAAAAGTGGTCGATGCAAACAAAAGTGTAATTTTCTGCTGGATTGCCAGATGAAGGATAATCTATTTGCCTTTGAACAAATGTGAAGGATTTTCTACTTTTCAAATTAACTTAAGATTTGAATTAAATATGGATATTTCGGTGTAAATGCATTGTATAAGATCTGTTAATTATCACCGACACTCCATTGAAAGGATTATCTTGCAACTTGCACGTAGGCCAGGTCAAGATGAATATAGGCAGTGATGACGTGCGATATAAGAGGGGTCGAATTGCAAAGGCACGGTTCTCCCTCAAGCTTGAAATCTCTAGACATACCGGCTGACCACAAATGAGGCGAGGAATGGGGATGTGGTCAGCCGGGCCGCGCTGGGCTGGACCGCGGGCCGGGCAAGCACGGCTCCAGGCCCCGTGGGGAGATGGATCGGAGTACATTGCTAGCTGGCCAACTGCTTGAAAAAGATGCTCAAATAACATATTATGAATTCTCTCCAGGTCAAGTTGGTTGTAATGCAAAACATCAAAGGAATTTTATTGAAAGTGTATTTCGTATTGTTTTCCTCTTTCATTATTTCGAAAAGTATCCATGTCCAAGCTAAAGGTGGCGAGGAACAAAATGAAAAATTGAAATGGAATTAATGAAAGTAAAAATCTCACACAGTCGGTATTTAGTGCAAAGGTTTTTATTTACATTTGCTAAATTAAAAAAAAAGCAAAAACAGAACCCAAAATAAATAACTTGATGGTATGGAATTGACTATGATTGAAACAGAAAGCGTGCACATGTACATGAATTTATACGTTATCAAAATTCACACAAATCAATAATGACATCAACTTTAATCTCTTAGGGTTTTTTTTTTGGTGTCGAAAGTGGAACAGAATATACTTGATATTCACAGAAAAAGGCAACTTTTTATACATAGAAAAAAAACTTACAGTTCTGTTTTCTTTAGCTTAAAGATACAATGTAAATGGGCTACTATATAAAAAATCTACATCTGCAAGTCTCCGTCCAGATCAATGTGTTGTTCAGCGATTGTGCTGTACTTGACACATGCACACACTGTCGATCCTTTTACGGCGGAAATCTGAAGCATTTTATTCTTTACAAACATTATGTACATTCATATTTATTTTCAAAAACACAGAAAGATGTGAGATATTTGTTTGTAATCCCAGATAGCTACACTTTCTACAACATTGATAGAGGACTAAAAACGCCCAGCCACATGATGTCCTACTGGGAGGGATTCGAACCTGAGTCACAGAAGATGACAACAGGGAAAGTACCATTATGTCACAACCTGACTCCACAAGTCCGGACCACGCATGCGTTCCCATTGTTAGGCAGGGTTGATATGTTTCATAAATATTTCAAAAATACCCCAAAACAGGGTACTGGCACCCTCGAGTTAAAATAAACTACAGAACTGTAATTTTTGTACATAGTAAAACTGGCTGAGGCTACACAAAGTTTTGCTATTCTATTGGGGAACCTCTTTAGTGGAACAGAGATAAGCCCTGACTGCTTCAGCTTTTTGGCATGGAACCTTCATCAGGACTCCCAAATCTTCCATTGAACAGGACATCAACTTTACATTCATTGGACTTAAACTTGGAAGGGGCTATAGACAGCCCCATGTAGAGAGATACTAACGCGGTGCCTTGTTAGACTTTGCATAATTTGGGATGGTTGGTGCGAACAGGTGTTTTGTTTTTCACTGGGTGGCACATTGTTGAGGGTCGTCATCAGCACCTCTGCCTGTCTCACTAGCGTCTCTCTCTGCAACCGCCTTGGTCAGCCAGTTCCTGTCTTCTCGCTGCTGCTGCTTCTGCTGCTGCTGCTGCTGGGAAGCCTTTGTTGCTACTGCTGGTCGCTGCAGGCCAGGGATCTTCTCGACGTACTTGGATCTGGGCGGTTCACCGGCCCGGGTTCTCTTGGGGAGGGCTTGATGGCTGGTTGGGTCATTGGCATCTAGCTCTGTTGTCGTAGGTGGAAGCGGGGAAATTAGAGGTTAGAGAAAGACGGGTAGACAAAAGTATATTGACATAGGTTTTAAGTTCAAAATAGTGTTCTTATTATAAAAAAAAAAGGCTGTGAGAAATAATTCAGTTGCTGCAAACTGTTTACTGACTGGAATAAGCTGAAAGACAGATTCTGTTTGGATTGAATTGCAGGCCCTCAAATTTTCAAGATTTCATTTTTGTGCCACTGCTAATCAACCACTGCATCTTTTAATACACACATTAATTATAACCAAGACATTCCCAGTGTTTACAATGCATTAACCCTAATCCATTCTAAACATGCTTCAAACTCATGGCATAATCAAGCAAAACCATCAATAACAAAGTTTGAAGCCCCTTTACTGCCCAGAATGTGTTATTATATTAACCTTGAACGCCAGATCTGCTTTTGTCAAAACAGACAAACAAGATCTTTAGGAATTAGTGCCACCCAATTTAGTGTGTTTTTTTTTCAATAGGCAATTTTTTTTCCACAAATTATATACAGAGAAAATTGTGTGGATCTGATTTAATTTCTAATTAAACCAAGTACATTTCAGCGTACCTTTTAGCGGTGATGAAACACTCGAGTCGGTCACGTGGCTTGGCGGTGCCCTCTTGAGATGACTAGCCATGGATCGGGCTTTGTCCTTCCAGTAGCGGGCTTCTTGCTCAGCCTCCGTTTTCTTGGAACTGTGACATGAAAGACAAAAGCTGTGTGACTACACAGATTGCAAGTAACAAAACTACTTTGAGCAGAAAAGACATAATAGGATCTCAGTTTTGCCAAATAAAAAGAGGATTGTGATCACGTGATCACTGTACACTCACAAGGCCCCCTTCAAAGGAGAAACCATTGGGAAAGCTAGTTTATAAAGCAACTGCCCCGTAACAAATTATTTGAACAATAGCTAGCACAATGCTTCCGCCATTGAAGGGGGCCTTCGTGATAGGAATCATACAGTACCGGATTGGTCTACAGCAAAAGTGAAGAAGTTCCGACTTCATTTCGTTTTTCAAATATTTTAATTTTTTTTTGAAAAGGCGTTGTTCAAATATTTGAATAAATGAATATTCAGCACCCAGTACTTACACCTGGTCATGGTACTTCATGTCCTTGTGTTCCAGCTCCCTCTTAGCCTTCTCCAGGGACTTGGTCAGTTTGTGGTTCTCTGCCTTCATGGCAAAGATGGCGCAGCTCTCGATGATGCCGGAGCCCCCTGTGGCTTCCGGCGCTCGCTCTGGAACCGTCGCTGATGCACTGTTTGATGTCTCATGAGCTGTCATGGAAATTTTCGAAGGAAATTTCATTTGGTTTATTGTATTCCTTAAAGTGCAACAGCTGAAATGAAAGAATCTTTGTATTGGGCGTATTTGCTACCTTTAAAGGGAAAAATATAATACATTACTTGTTAAAACTAAATGCGGGGAAGGAACATTATGGCGTTCTAAGACCAAAACTTGTTGACTCCTCCATACTTCAAAATGCTCAACAAATCTACTGTTTAGAAAAGTCCACCTCACATTTGTTTGAGAAGCACATGCAACGTTTTCAAGAAATAGTAACTGCTGTACACGCATAAACGCCCCCTGAATTGTGATGGGGAAGGAATGGGGTAGGGATGGGGGAGGATTGATAGACATCATCTGATCCAAGGGGAAACTGTTCGCACTACTCTCTTTTGACAATAATAATAATTTCCAATGAATGATTTTCCATCCCCCCACACCTTACTCTAGCTACGCCCCTGCCGGAGACAAAGTAAACCAGACAAAATAGAAGGATAAGAGAAGGCAGACTTGGGCAACTGACCTTGCTGGGACTGTTCGCTGCGGAGTTTCTCCAGTTCCTTCTTGTACTGCTGTACTTTGCGCTCCTGGTATTGTACCTCCGATCTCAGAGATCTTATCCTGGTCAAAAGAAAATTGACATTACAAAATTATACGAAGTATGACAAAAAAGCCAATACAACAATTCTGGCAAAACAACAATTATTTTGGAAGCAATTATCAAACTGTAGAGCGCCATGATCCATTGCTTATGGTGTTCGACTCGTGTGCCATGGTACATGGGTTCGAACCCTGACAGGGAACATGGTGCTTATGTTCTTGGGCAAGATACTTTACTACAATATCCTCTCTCCGCCCAGGTCTCTACCTGTGAAGGTAGAGACCAGATTGCGCTGATCTCGAGCTGCTGCAGAAAAAAATGGTCTCGTGGCCTGATGAACAGGGGTAATAATTGTGAAGCGCTTTGAGACCTTCCACGGTATAAAGCACTAAATAGGGAGTCACCCAAAACGGTAACCCCAAAACAAAGGGAAAATATGAACAAATTATTAACTTAATGAACGTTATTACGGTTTTGTCATAAACTAGGGACAGTAAGCTTTTATTTGATAATTTGGATGCATTTCTCTGGTCATGCATCACTGAGTTCCATTGTTTTGAAAATGGTACATGAAAACCTCTTGGGACAGTTTGGGGTAAAACAATGTACACATTTTTTCTGTAGCAGAGGATGAAGTGATGCTGAGCCGGAGGGTCTCAACTCAGTGGCCTAAACTCATGAACCTGAAACTGAAGACGAGAGACTGAGTCGAGGTTTAGAAAGAAAAACAAAACTCACTTATCCTCCAGCGGATCGGTACCCCTCAGGAGGTCCGTCTCTAGCTCATTGATGCGCAGATTCTTCGTGGCGATCTCCTGCCTGTGGCTTTTCACTAGCTCCTCCACGCTCAGGCTCTGCTTCTCCAGTTCCTCAAGCCTAGCTAGCCGGGCCTGTCAAAAGAAAGATTCAGGATTTTAACATTATAATTGGTTGAAAATGTAATTAATAGAAAAAATATAAAAATAGATGAATTTGACACGCTAGATTATCCTGGAAGTGACGCCTCAAAATTGACCGCCTTAGTTTTTTTTTGTCAAAGCAGTTGTCTATGCCTACTTTTATCCTCAGTCGGTTGTTAAAAATAACACCCCAACATACCTGGGCTTCTTCCATCTTGACTTTGGTTTGCTCATGCTGAGCCTTCTCTTCTTCGAACTCATCTTCCAACTCGCAGCAGGTCAGCTTCAGGCCGTCGTACGTGTCGGCCAAGTTGGTCAAGTCTGTGGCCTTCCTTTGCAGCTTGCGGCTGATTTTGTCAAGTTGGGACTGGATTTCGTTCTGAGACAGAGTGAAAAGTAGGAAAGAAGAGTGCGAATGCCTGTGTAATTTTCCATTTGGAATGGAAGACTACGGAATTCTATTTTGCTTTTCCAATGTTGCCAAAATTTTAGCTAACAATTTTTTTTTTCTTTAAAAGACTTTCAGCAGCCACACCGATAAAGACAGTGATGAAGGATTTTGTAAAGTTTTAAAATTTCCATGGAAGGAATATTTTTTTTGGCAATTACCTTTTCCTTCTGGAGTCTTTCTACCTCTTCGGGTTCATTTGTGGAAGCCTTCGCTGTTTCCAACTCTTCTGTCAGTTGGTGCACCTGGACTTCAAGGGCCTTGATCTCTTGGGCCGAGCTCTGGTCTCGACTCTGATAGTCCTGAAGGGCCCTCTGCATGCTGCGGAACTCTTCCTCTTTCTTAGAAACATCTGTGAGAAACCCGTTCTTCTGTTGGCAAAATTCATCCAACTGGCGCTGCAAGGATGAGATTTCTTGGCCTCTCTGGTTTACCATTTCTTGTAGCTGCTTCATTTGCTGTTCCTTGGTACTGAGAGAATTTCTCCCAGTCTTGAGCTGCTCTTTAAGCTCTGAGCAGTGAGCTTGAAGCTCTTTTTCTTGATCTGAGAGAGCGGTGTAAACTTGCTGGAGCTCTCCGTTTAGACGCTGGACTCTATCTTCCAGTTGTAAGATGGTCTGCTCCTTGACTGACTGGGCACTTTCTAGATTTTGGACCTGGGTGAACATCTCGTAGTACCTATCTTCGTGATTCAGGACCTTCTGGTTGCGCTCGTCAAGCAGGGCTCGGAAGACCTTGATCTCCTCATTCTGTTTTGTGATGACAGCTTCCAGTTCCTTGATCCTAGCTTGCTGGTCTCTGGAAGCTCTCTGCAGGGCAGCATAAGTGTTCTTGTGTTGGCTGTATTCCTCACCCATGTCATCAAGCTCACGCTCCAACATTTGGATCTCTTCTCCATGTTTCAATTTTGCCGCTTCCCATTCGGCACTCTTGGAGTCCATGGCTGCCATAACCCTCTCCAGGTCTTGTAGCTTTGCCCCAAGCTCTGCGCACGTTTCATTCCTGCTTCTAAGCTCACGCTCAAACATCTGTACCTCTTCCTCCTGCTGGGAGCTCTCGGAGTGCATAGCCGACACAACCCTTTCCAGGTCTTGCACTTTTGCTGACAGCTCAGCGCACGTTTCCTGTTTGCTCCTCAGCTCACATTGCAACATTTCAATTTCTTCCTCCTGTTTCAATTTTACTGCTTCCCAGTCAGGGCTCTCAGAATGCATGGCTGACACAACCCTTTCCACATCTTGCAGTTTTGCCGTCAGCTCGGCACACATCTCATCTTTACTCCTCAGCTCAAGCTCCAACATCTGAATCTTTTCCTCCTGCTTCAATTTTACTGCTTCCCATTCAGGGCTCTCAGAGTGCATAGCTGACACGACCCTCTCCACGTCTAGCAGTTTTGCTGACAGCTCAGTGCACAGTTCATCTTTGCTCCTCAGCTCCTGCTCCAACACCTGAATCTCTTCCTCCTGCTTTAATTTTATTGCTTCCCATTCAGTGCCTTTAGAGTTCTTGGCTGCCAAAACTCTCTCCAGATCTCGTAGTTTTTCCCCAAGCTTGCTGCACATTTCATCTTTGCACCTCAGCTGGTCAGCCTGCTCATCCAAACAATTTTGCAGCCTTTGAATTTTGTCAAGCTGCTCAGCTTCCACTTGTGAGTTTTCTTGTATCTTTGTACTCTTAGCAGCCAGGGCAGATTCCAAGTACTCTATCCTAGAGAGCGACTCAACATTTTGGTTGTCCTTGGTTCGCAACAGTTCTTCTTGGTCCTCCAGAATACCGCGAAGCCTGCAAATTTCACCGTCTTCCTCGTTTTTCTCCACTGTTCGGTAAGAAATCTTCTGGTGCATGGTTTCAATCCTACATTCAAGGTCTTTTATCCTTGAAACTGATACCTTGTTATCATTTCTGGTGGCCTCCAGTTGCTCCTCTTGTTCCCCAAGGACTTGGCGCAGCATCTCAATTTCATCATCTCGATTCTTGATGGTTTCAGCTGACTCTCTGGATTGGCTGCCCATCAAAGCCACTGCTGCCTCCAGCTCTCTCACTTTGTTTGAGCTCTCCTTCAAGAATTGCCTGAGGACTCTTTGCTCTTCAAGTAAGGCTTCCTTCTCACTTGCAACTTCACTGTTGACCTGCTTAGACTCTCCAGACTTTAACTCTAACAAGTCTTGATTTTCTTGGCTGAGTTTCTCAGCACGCTCCTCCAAGTGCTTTATCCTGTCCTTGAGCTCGTCTTCAATCTGGACCCATTCTGCCTTCTGCGAGACCAACTGCTCTTGTAACTGCTGCTCTAGAGCCTCAGTTGCAAGATGAATCTCTTGATTGTAGTCCTTTTGCTCACTGCCATTCACCACAAGAATCTTTGCCTCCAGCTCACTGCAGTAGGCTTGAACTGCCGTTATTTTCTCAGACTGAGACAAATTATTCTCTGTCAAGACTTCAAGCTCCTTCTGCAGATGCGATAGCTCAGTACTGGCACCGACTTCTTTTTCTTCTAACGTTTCCTCCAAACTTTGTACTTTTATGTGGAGCTCTTCACGGAGAGTTTCACTCCTGGAGAGGGCATCTGCAAGACTTTTATTCTCATCTGTTGAAGCCTGATCAATAACAGGCTGTTCTATGGTATCTGTGAGTGGCACAATTTGGGGGTTGGAAGTGGAACCCTTGAGCTTTTCTTCTAGTTCCTCAATGCGCTGAACAAAGGCTGCAATTTTGGCTGTGTCGTCTGTCTCACCATCCTTCTCCTGTCCGTAATCCTGTAGGATCTCATTGAGAACCTCAATCTCCTGATCTCGGCTGCTGATGGTCATCGTCAGGGAATCACATTCCCGCCTAAGGGCTGCCTCCCTAGCTTCAAGCTCTACTAGCTTCAGTTGAAGGACCTCTGGCTGGACGGCTGCCTCTGCAGACTCTGTCATCTTTTCTTGGACAGCTTCTGTCTGAGATGATGTTTCAATAGCATGGAATCCAAAATCTTCCAACGTCACTTGAGTGGCCTCTTCTGAGCTTCCAACAATCTTTTGCACGGTACATACCCTTTCGCCTAGCTCTGTTTGAGTTCCTTCATCTATATCTACTCCAGCTGCCGGAACTTCTTCAGCCAACTTCTGCATCACAGCACTTTCATCCACAGCATCCAAGGGGCGTATCAAGTCGCTGAGCCGCCTTCGAAGACTTTCAGCTAGCTGCTCCTTTTGGCCGATAGCTTGGGCCAGACCTGCGTTTTGTTCTTGCAGAGAATCCACCTTCTGGTTCTTTTCCCGGAGCTTGTGAAGGAGTTCGTCAATGTCCTGTTGGTACTGAGCCTCCAAAACTTTGTCTTTGGTGCTGAGCTTCTTCTGCAGGTCTTGTATCTCTTGACGAAACTGTGCTGCCAGTGTCTTCCCTTGATCTGCAAGCTCTTTCTTGAGCTCTTCGATGTTGTTCTGATACTCCATCTGTAGATTAAAAAAAAAAACATCTTGGTCAGTATAAATGAGCCTACGTACAAATGTCCAACTTCATTTCAGAAGGCATTTTATATTCATTCATAGTACTTAACTTTCTAAAGTATCTGCAGGTAATAAACATATTAAACATTTCTACGGAAAAACGTATAAAAATACTTTCTGCAGCTGAGAGGTATGTTTTTTTTAATTCTTAGCAAAGTTCAAACTAAAACCCAATTTGCTTCGATGAACAAACAAAGTCGTATTCAGCTTTGTGAAGACTATGGTTCTAATAAAAAGTACTACATGCACTACTAACAATCTTAAAGATGACGTCAGGAACACTTTTTTTGGAGGGGGGGGGGGGGCTTTGTGTCTATCTTACTTTGGCTCAGAATTATATTGGCATAAGAGGTTAGTTGTAGTGGTGGGAATTAAATCCGGAATTTTAAAAATTCAGTTCGAATCCCAATATTCAGTTACTATTTTGGACACCGTATATTCGAAACAAACCTGAAAAAAAATTAAGCCTTTGATTTTTCTGACACGAGAAGCAAGCAACAGGAACATCCCTGAATTTGCTCCATGGTCTCTGATTGTTCATGTAACTTGCTATTGGGCTTCTTGGTGTATGAATAGCTTGCCTGTTTGAATTATCAAAGAGTTCCCATCCATTTTTTCAACATTACAGCTCTGAATTGCTTTTTTATGAAGGCCCAATGGTCATTGAATCCTGCAAACTATACCCAATCATTTGGAGGGCATTGCATGCAGCACCTTACTCGTCACTTTTTGTTGGCATGACTGTGAGCTGAATAGGAACTTCCGGTGAAAATTGGAAACCGTTATTCAGTTTGAAAAAAAAATCTCCGATTTCTCTCACCACTAGTTAATTCTGGTGATCAACCCTCATACTCAGATGTCACTTACCTCCTGTTCCTTGGTCACTGTAGCTTCCATCTTGATGAATTCATGGAGTTCTTGTAGTGACTGTAAGTCTGCCACCTTGACCCTGAGTGATTCCTTAAGGCTGCTGCACTCCTCTTGCCTGCATTGTTACAGTGCACATGGGGGAAACCGTGTGTTATTCAAGACTGTCCTTACATGCTTGGTATCATAGTTTACGGCTGTGCAGTGTTTTAACAGGTCGGAGGCAAAGTAGAAAAACAATTCAGAAGCCAGAAAAAATGCTATACAAACCAAAATCAGAATGTTGTTGCACTGTGTTTGGAAGGGCCGGGGGGGGGGGGGGATTTTTCAAATAACAGCATTTACAACGATCCTATCAGATTTTTATGTGCAATGGCATTTTAATCCTTGTTGTTACCTTACTATCACTCAACTAGGTTTTCTACAATTTCTGTAAACTTACAGTTCATTCATTTGGAGGGCGATTTTACTCTTCTCTTCCATGATGTCTTCACAAAGTTGGACGGACCCAAGAAGGTCGGACTCAGTCCGTCTTGCCTAAGACAGGATTAAGAATAAAAAGGTTATAAATTTTGGAAATTCCTATTGAATTAGATGTTAAATGTGAGGTCAAAAAGTGATTTCTTGGTGCGCAACAGACACAACCTCCTTGAGAAATGCATTGATAGGAAGTGTGAGCTTCGTTTGCAAACCCCTGAAACAAAAGTACTGTAAAAAGCTGTTCATGAGACAACATATGAGATTAGAAGATTACAATGAAAGATCTGCAGCGGATTTCACGAAACAGTGCGTGACTTACGCCTTGCGGGACTTACGCAACAAGTTGCGCAGCTGCGCAATAAATTCACAATCAATTTCACGAAACTTGGCGTAGCTGCACAACGTTTTAATTAATCTAAACATCTTTGACGAGGATAATAACAGCATTTACGACGGCTGTTTGTGTATCTCATGAGGGCAGAAGCATTTCTTTGATGGGAAACAGAGTGCAACGTCAAGCTAATATCATTAGTTCTTCAAAGAACCAAACACAGATCGTGCATCTGCATACTTCTTTTTTTTAAACTTTACCTTTGCTTTCCATTCCTGAGTCCCCAGCTCATCGGCCAGTGATGACCCCACTCCGCTGTCCAAGCAGCCTTGCGAGGCTGCCTCAGACATCGCCAGCTGGCCCTGCTGTTCCTCCAAGAGCGCTGTCAGCTCAGCAATCCTTGCCACATGGTGGCTTCTCATCTCTTCAGCATCCTTGGCCTGTTCATGTAGGAAGGTGTTGAGGGTGTCAATCTCCTCTTGTCGGACTTGAAGTAACATGGTCAGCTCTGGTCGGATTATAAAAAAAAATGTTCAAGGTATGTATTAATTAACTTGTATCTTGTACATTAATTAAAATAGTATGAAATGAACTTGAAACTCAAACATTTGAAACTTGAATTTGAAAACAGCTTACGTAAGCAGTGCTGTAATCTTTTATAAGGCCAAAAAAACAAAATAGTTCTGCTTCCGATTACATGGCATTTGAAAATACAGTAGGTAGGTAGGGTATTTTGGGGGGTTTGGGGACATTTTTTTTGGGTGTACGATCATATGGAGGTGTCTGGGTGTAGTCAAGGGTAAATGGTAGTACTTGATGATTTTCGGGGTTTTTTTTCTCATTTCCCCCCCCCCCCCCAAAAAAAAAAATTAAGGCAGGGACTGTCAAAATAGGGTAGGTAAAAAGGTAACCGGAAGCAGAACTATTTTTTTTTGGCCTAAGCCAATTAAAAAGGAAAATTATGGCTTATTTTAAATAGAAATAATAGCCAACCAGATCAGGATATTACAAAATACTGAAACGTAACCAAATTACAGTCTATTCAAACTATGTATGATAGACTACTAGATTGGGATGTTGTAGCCTGTTCAAAGAAAATCGCAGTCTGTTAAAAAAACACAGTCTGTTCAAAAATCACAGTCTGTTAAAAAAGAATCCGGTTCAAAGGCGTCTCAGGCTCCTGAAAACGGGCACTGGATAGCGGATATGCATACAACATTCACACAGTAGACTTTGCATATTGACCAATTCGCCCCCGGTCTCACGAAGATGGCCGCGTATAATACGAACGTTCTACGCGTAAATACGCGCGCGTTGTATCAACAGTTGACGCGCATTTTGGTCACGTACACATATTATGATGTTCTAAAAGGAACACATTTCCGTAGTGATTATTATTTCAAAAACGCCGAAAAAGTGATTTGCGGCATTATAAAAGTAACCACTACGTTAGAAAAATTGTAGTAAACCTTGGTCAGTTGGTCAGTGGTGGTGGCCAAAATATAAGTCAAGTGAGCTGCGACGTTACAAAAGAAATCAAGCTGTCTATAAAGACGGCAACTTGTCCTTTGTAGATCACCAGCCGGTCTCACCAATATGGCGTCAAATTCGTACATTGTGCGGCTCTTTATTAGCTATCCAGTCTTTATATAGAGATCAGTGACTCCTATCTGTCTTGGAAATACTTTCCAACCCCAGCTTGTTTACCTTTTACTTTTTCGTCAGCCTGCTCCAAGTCATTCTCTGAAGGCACAGCAAACTCTCTCGTGCGCTCCTCAGCTGAGGCCGCCTGGCCATCGTCAGCCAGAGCTCCCTGCTTCCTTTCAAGAGCTTGAAGCTGCCGTGTCAGGGCAGCAATGGTGGCAGCAGAATCCTGCATCCGACTTGAAGCCTCCGAGCCCTGGTCCTGCAGGCCATGTTTAAGGGTCTCCACTTCCTGGCGCTGCTCCTCCAAGAGCTTTCCCAGCTCTGCTATCCTTTGGGCAGCCTCTTGCTCCTGTTTCTCGGCCTCTTCCCGCTGCCTTTCTAGGTTCTGGTTGATCGTCTCCAGCTCCTGTCGTTGCTCCTCGAGGAGTTGGTTCACAACCTCCTGCTCTTCATCCCGCAACTGGATTGTTTCTTCCAGTTCTGACAAGATGATTGGGTTACAAAATAAAAAAAATAAAATATTTTAAACTTAGGCCTTGACTTCATTACAAAAAAGACTCTTAGCAAAGACATCTCACAATTATAACCAGAGCTGTAAATCAGACCATGAGAAATCCGTAAGTCAGTCACAAATCGTCCAGTGCCAAGTCCAGTGACAAGCTATGTACAATGAACTGTGTGCTATGACGTGCTCGTTTGTCATTATTACATGTGACCAGACTAGTGACTTAAATTTCAATACGAGATTATAAATCTGTAAGTCGCAAATCTAGATGAATGCATGTCAACCAGAAAAAAAATTGAGATTGACTGAATATGGTAAGGGGGACAATGGAATTCTTTATAATGACTGCTAGCGATGTTAAATTTGGTAAAGAAACCTTACCTTTCACTTTTGCTATATTCTCACTGGTATCTTTTGTGCTCTGGTCAATTGTGTCATTTTGTTGGTCGAACTCCTGTCTCATTGCTGCCTTCTCCTGCTTCAATGATGCAATGGTCTCCTCAGCCTGTTGGTACATCTGGCAGAGCTCCTCCAGCTGCATCTCCTTTGCTTTGAGACTCTGCGGGAGAGCCGACAATTCCTCCCGTTCTGTCCTCAGACTGGAGATAGCTGCCTCCAGCTCCCCAATGGTCTCCCGCAAACCGGCTACCTCAGCCTCCGATTGCTGTGAGGATGCTGAGAGGGCATCACCATGCTCCTGCAACTGCGACTTCAGGGCCAGGATTTCCAGCTCGGATTCATGGGCGGCGCTAACTGAGGAACCTTGTTGTTCCTCGAGTTGAGCCTTTAACTCGGAGATGTCTTTGGTCAGCGCAGCCACTCTGCAGTCTGCATCTTTCACTTGCCCCTCCAGTTCAGCCACTTTCTCCTCCGACAGGCACAAAGCATCTGACAGCTGATTCACCATCAAGTTTTCCTCTTCAAGACTTTTGATCTCATTCTCCATCTCTTCGCCCTTCTCCCTCAACTCCTTGCATTCCTGTTCCAAGGCCTCTTGGTTCTTCAGCAAGTGGAACACTGTGGCTTTTTCTTCCTCGAAGCTGGCTAGTTTTCCTTCAAGGCAGGCCACTTGTTGCTTCAGCTCGCTGCATTGGTCATTTGATGCTTGAAGAGCCTCTGACAGATTTGCTGTAGCTTCTGCTGTTTCTTCCCTGGCTGTAGCAGTGCTTTCCAGCTCTACGATTCTGTTCTGCAGATCCTCAGCATATTTCTTTGATTGATCAATCTCCTGTTGCAGTTGTAAGGTACTCCTTTTCTCATCTTCCAAGGTGACGATGGTGGATTCCAGAGCACAGACCTTGTCTTTCAGCTCGGAGATGACTGTCTGCTCTTCACGGATGATTCCACTGACTGTTCCTTCACTGTCAGTCTGTGCCTCTGATGGCTGAGAAGGAAAAAAACCCAGTGGGTTTAGACACACACAAAAATCTGATTAAGGACAAGAAATAATACTATGAGTCAAATCAACAACTGCCAACCTCAGTTTGACACTCTGCATCCACTGTGTCCGAGTCAAGAGGCATGGAGAAGTGGACGTGTGCCCTGCGCCTTTTCTTCTTGATTCTCTGCGGGCTAAGGGGCAGTGGGGCCAGGAAGCTATCTTCTTCCGTGTTCTGATTTTGCTCAATGTCCTCCAAGAACTCCAGCTGTTTGGTTTGGGAGAAATCTACGACAGGTGTAAAGCAGAGATACACAAAAATTAGCCTTTAAATATTCTTCAGCTTCTTTATATTGAATAATTTTATACCACTGCAGGAGATACTTACCATCACTGCAGATGGAGGCAACTGGACTAACGGGGGGTGAAGATGACAAATCGCCTCCGTCAGAGGAATCATGGGTCCTCTTGAGTGCCGAGGAGGGTGGGAGCGATATGAAGGACACCTCCTCTACCGCCGCTGGGCCGGCCGGCTTGGAAAGTGGCAGGAGGGGCAGGCGGTTCATACCAGGGCACCATGTCTGACGGCGCTGGAAGGAGCAAAAAGGGTGTTCTGTCATAGACAGGTTTCACGGATACCGCCATCTTTGTGGTCATGTGGTAATTTCAGAGGGCATTACAGTAGGAATACATCCCATCATGCCACTGTAACCCGAGCACGATGGACCAAAGTCCATTCTAATGCCCCCTGAGATTACCATGTGACCACAAAGTGGCGGTATCTGTGAAACAGTCTATGGGTTTTCCCTAAAATGTTTTGATTACATTTGAGGGATGAACAGCTTATGGCAATGTAACCAAGGCCGTAGCGTTTCAGGTGGTAGATTAAAACCCCAGAATGATATTAATGAGAAACCCAAGGAATCAGGCAGGGACTGAAAAACCCAATCTACTCGCTTGCCTTGATGGGATTGGAACCTGGGTCACGCCAAGGTGAATGAGTGGGAAGTACCACTGCGTGACTCTCCCTGGTTAAGAACAATTAGTGTGCCATATACCTTGTATTTGGCTTTCTTCGTTTCCGAGCCTGGCATGACGGAGGGGATGCCGGCCCCGCCCGAGACCAGAATCATCTTCTCCAGCAACTTGATCTTCTGTTCTTGCTGCTCATGCAGGCTGGCCTTCTCCTCCAACAATTCCCCTTGTTGCTCCAACTGCCAAGAAAGATGAAAATATCATCATGACAGAGGCCTTCTGAAATGGTTGCTGTCATTTCGGAAGGCAACCTTAAAAAATGTCTTGAGGTAAACTGCTTTTGAAATTGATTACACTTGATGGTTGCTCCTTGAATGCCACTAGTGAAACCAAAGTTTACCTAACAGTAAAGTTTAGATGGTTACCTTTTTTACCACTGTACATGGTTCTTAAGATGGCTTCAGGAGAAAAAGGAATGAGATTACCTCACAATTTCTCATAAGGTGGCCTTTTTTTAAGTTCAAAATACTGCATCTATGTAAGTTGTCCTGCAAACTTCAAGTGCTCAGTAACAAGTATGTCAAAAAAATTTCAAGTCCTCAGGGTTAGGGGAGGTGTCCCTACACAAATGGTTCAGCAACCGCTGAACGTTTGCCCCGAACGATTGGCCAAATCATTTGGGACTCTTCTTTCTACCGTTTGGGTCATCTAAAAAAATAGACCTTGGCCAACCAGTCCAGCGGTGGAACAAGGGAGAGCATTTGTCACCCTGGTTTCCTATACTGTTCCCAACTGTTCGGTGGTTGGCGAACCATTTGTACAGGGACGCAGCCCCTTACATCTTTAGGATTTCCCTTGCCCAATTCAAGCTCTCTGTCATAGGATATCTTTCTTTACCTCCAGGACCTTCCTCTTGAGTTCTTGGATCTCCTTCTTCTGCCGCTGCATCATGGCCTCGTCAGACACGACCTCATTGATTTGAGGTTTGTTCTTGATTGTTTTGGCCCGGCTAGCAAACTGTGTGGAAAAAACAACAACAAATTGGGTTGAAAAACTGGAGCAAATCTGATGTAGACAAAGAAAGTGAAAATACCAACTTGCACAAGGGATTTGGAATAATCAGGAAAGCATGCGAGTAACCCTTTAAGCCTTAACACACACGGACCTCTCTTTAAATATATAAATAAACTGAAATGCTCATACATGTATAGCGCTTTCCATCATATATCAACAATTTCGAAGCATTTTACATTTATTCCCCCATTCATAAGGCCATGAGACCACGCGGCAGCCGATATCAGCACACATTTGGTCCTCTACCCTCACTTGTACCCATCCATACTCCTGGGTGGAGAGGGGTAATTGTAGTTAAGTGTCTTGCCCAAGGGCACAAACACCATTTTGGTGATCAACTGCCTGACATTCACTCATTACAGTCTCATTCATTGGCGGGTTTGATAGACTACAGACCCCTGTGCAAATTTCACATATTTTGTCCCACCCCCTTAAAAATGTCAGATATTTTGGGGTTCGTTGTGTACCTGAAGAGTGCTGTGTGTCTGTTCAATGGAGGCCGGCGTGATGGTACAGATGATAGCCGTCTTGGCGTTACCCCCAAGAGACATCTGGAGTATCCTGGTCAGCTTGGAGTCCCTGAAGGGGATGAACTCGGCTCCCTGACTCAGTTTATTGATGACCATGGCCAGTTGGTGAAGGCTCTGATTGATGCGGCAGGCTTCCTTCAGTCGGGCGCCTTCCGCTTTGGTCTCGTTGGCACGTTCAGAGCCTGCTAGGTCCACCAGATTCTGAAAAAGTAACCAGGTAATGAATTTCTTTGTGTTTTAAAGTTAAAAACGAAGGGCTTTGAAATTGGGTTTTCCATACGCTCAAGAGCCCACAAGGTCGCCAGAGTTAATAACCAGGAAATGAGTCCTTTTATTTTAAACTGAAAAAAACCGAAAGGTTTTGAAATTGAATTTTCCATTCATTGACATATGCTAAGAGCCTGCTACATGTAGGTCCACCAAATTCTCCTTAAGAAAGCAGGCCATGATATTTATGTTTTAACGTATATTTATGTTTTAACGTGGAAAAAAGAAAGGTTTTGAAATGAGTTTACTGTTCACTGGTGTATGCTTAAAGCCTGCTAGGACTACAAGATTCTTAACAAAAAAAATGGGCAGTAAACTTTTTAGGTTGGGGAAGAAGAGAGTTAAGACATTTAGTTTTATTTGCACTGTACTGCGTTCTTGTGAGGTCTTATCTCCTCTGATGTCCTCAACCTCAGAGATGTCTTGGATAATAACTTACCAGATGGGATACTTTTACAGCTAGCTCCATGGATCGTTTCCTGTCTGCTCTTTCCCTTGACTCAATGATCTGTACACATTTAAAAAATAAGAGAACAATTTTCTGATGGATTCATTTAGGTTTTTGACATTTTGTGATACCTTGGTTTCAACTCACAATTTCTCCCTTCTAGTCCAGCATCACAACTAGGTATTACAACTCATCCACAGAAGTCTTAGAATAAAGATCGTCAGGAGTCAGGTTGGGGTGGTGTAATTTCCTCGCCTTCCACCTCTATGACCCGGGTTCGATTCCTGCCCTGGTCCACATGTGGATTGGGTTTTCAGTCCCTACCTGATTTTGTGGGTTTCCCCCAGAATATTCTTCTGGGGTTTTCCTCCCACCTCTAAAACTGTAATTTCTTCTCATTGTCTTCTCTCTACAGGTTTCTTCAGGCTTTTGAGCTACAATGCCTAGGTCACTTTTGAGAAATCCTTGGTTTCATTACCAGAAAGAAATAAAATAAATATTGTCTTTCTGGTTCAGAGAACGAAAGAAACATACAGTTATTAACTATTTTCAGGTGAAATGTAACTTCTTAAAGAAAATGTGCGGTTCCATATTATACTTAGACAGGCTGTAACTTACCATACAGAATATTGTGTGTGAGCGACTACTCCGTTCATTCATGTCTGTCTGACCATAATGACGTTGAGCTGCAAAAAATAAAAATTCAAAAGTATAAAACCTGAAAAAACACGTATCTGGTTGATTATGAATAAACACTATTCCCAGCAGTAATTTAATGTGTATTCTAATTTTTCATCGGGATTTAAATTTTGTAAGCCGTTGGTAGAGACCACCGTTTATTAATTGTCATTATTTCAAAATGCCCATCATTTGAAGAAAAAAAAAAGATCTTGAAGAATCCTGGAATTGGCAATTCGGTCAATCACAGGTCACTACAAGTCTTCACAAGTCATTCAGACTCGAGTCCAGTCATAAGCTATTCAACTGAGCTGTGACGAAGGCCTTCTACTGTCACTGTTCGCCCCTTGTTGCTTGTGATCTGACTTGTGATTGACAAGTAAACGACTCAATTACAACTCCGGAAGATGCAAGCAAAAAGGCTTCAAATATTTTACCCTCTCCTTTCTTGAGAAGTTGAAGCACATCTTCAGGCTGAGTGACAACTTGTTCAGTCAAGTCATGGACGAACACACGTTTCTGCAAATTTTACGTGAAATAATTCTGGTTACTATTGGTTACTGTGGATAGAGGAGGGGTGATGAAATGCCAAGGAAGGGCAGAGTTGAGTTTGTGACAGAGGTAGTTTGTGGAGGATAGATGGGTAGGAATTCTGAACAATAACTGTTTCTTTGCACTCACATCAACCTCTCTGATCTGGAGTGGTTTCTTTTCGCTGCTGAGAAGATCACAAAGGCCCTCGTTGTACAGCTCCATGTAGCTCACTCTTAGCAGAAACTCACGGTTTTGGGTCTAAGGGAAAAAATATTACCGAAAAGCTTCATTATATACCTCACAAAGTGTAACCTTCCAAATCATTTCTCGAACAAAGCTCGCTGTGAATTTTTGCCAGGAATATTTCTGAAACCTCTGTAAATTAACCACAATGTAGGAACTGATAACCCATTCTTTGCTTCATTTTTCACAAGGAAACAAGCCCCATTAAAAAAAAAAGCAGCTGGGTTTTACAGATATTTTTTTCCAATCCAGCAAAATTTTCCACAACAGCCTGGGCAAGTTAAGATAGGTAGGCGCCTCCAGTTGGTTGGGTTTAGCCTTTCATTTGAAAGATTAAAGATAGTTAGAGTAAAGTTCTGACAAAAATTGATTTAAAAAAATTGAAATAAACTGTGCAAGTCCCAAGCAGCTTGCCATGTTAATTTTTTAAAAAAATATTTAAGTTTTAATAAAAAGTTTTTTTATAACGTGTCTCAGGTACATTTCTGGGTTTCTTTGTTCCAAGAACTTACATTTTCAATGCTGTCAAAGATATCCTGTATAGCGCAGGGGATGATGCCAGGTGCACGACTGTCACCCATCATGGTATGCGTCTTACCACTGGAGGTTTGTCCATAGGCAAAGATGGTGCCTGCAAACAAATTGGGGAAAAGAAATTATTAATCCTAGGGTACTTTTTTATTTCAGACTAAAGCCCTTTTAAGAAAATTGCTAGACGAATGCATCCATTATCCATACACTACACTCTTGCTAAAGAAAAATCACTGCTAAATACCATTAATGCCATCCATGGCTTCAACCACAATAGGCTGCGCGATTTCTTCATAGACATCGTTGGTTGTCTCGCTAGAGTCAAATACACGATCTGGGATGGGATAGCAAGAGAAGAAAACATTCAAGATAAGCCACAACAATTCTGTATTTGAAAAAAAGGCGGCAGTATTTGAGAAATTCCACTTTTCTTGAAAATGACAGCACACCAGGTGCCAAGATTTAACAGGATGCTTGAGACTATTATTCACTTACAGTCAAGTAAGGTATTTCAAAATAATTTTGCAGTTTCGTTTTTGATGTTAGCAAATGTTGTATATTACTTTTAAAGGACTACAGCAGGTTGATTTCTTGACACAAAAAAAATCCCCTAAACTATTTTCCGGATGCCCACATCTTGAGATCACTCTGGCTTAAAAACATTGCTTTGAAATGATACACTGGGAAATCCAATGAGACCAAGAAGGTCCTGAATCGCTAACGGTACGCCTTCTCTTTCAAGATCAAAGTTTGAATTTGAGGACAAAGAAAAAGGAAGTTAGAACTGCTTCAGCCTCTAATCCCAACAAAGAATGGATTGTCTCACACATTTCTCACTTACCAAACACATATTCCTTCCTACAGGCCTTCCCTCTTTGATCCAACTGGACGACTGTGTGAGTGTCTGCCTTCCAGTGTGTCGCTGCCTCTACTTGCTTCTCCCTGTGAGAGCGAATGCATTAGCAATAGGATGAGAAACAACTTAGATGATAAAATACAAAACTTGTTAAAGGCTTGAAAGGTTCACATAGGCCTAGTTGGAAAAATGGCATTCAATTAATGAGAACATACCTTTGAATTAAGGGACGCACACGAATAGCGACATGCACGTTATCCATGTCTGCGGTCGATCACCTATGTCATGTGTTTGTGTAGCATGTAACCTATAATTAAAGAATATTAAAACACAAACACTTAGTAACAAATCCGACAAGTATCGTCTTGAAATTACCTTTTTACTCCCAAAGGGTGCAAAACAAAGTTATGCTAAATTGTAATCGGGTCCAAGTCATTTCAACTTGCAGTAGCCATTTTTACAGAAGCCTTAACACATTTTACAACGGCTCTTCTATACATGTAGGCTACATGTAGTTACTGAATTGCAACATAATAATATTGTGAATATATAAGGTTTTGTATTTCTACAGCGATTGAACTTGCATGAAGCGCTTCGGTAGCTCAATATAATAAGACATTTAATGATAGGATAGGTGTGCATTGTTTTAATTTTAGTGCCAAAGGTGCAATGTTCAATTCTCGATGAGACCTCTTTTAGTTTTAGTTTCCAAAAACGTATATATTTTCTTACTTTTATTAATTATTGTTTGAAATTACATCTTATTTTCATTGAACTCATTTGAAGTACAAAAACATAGATTGAATTTTCTTTCAGATACCTGGCTCTGTCATTTTGTCTGTGACTTAGGCCCCTATTTATAGTTTTTTGAAAGGGACATAAACTCTGAGAACCATTCGCTTGACAATTGACGCAGGCACAAATTACTGTTGACTTCTGTAAAAATAGCAACAGCAAAAAACTGGAAATAAACGTGATAAACAAAGTTTAAAATGAGCTAGATAAACAACTACGCAGTGGCTATCGTTACGGCAGCCGTAACGCATTTCCCATTTTCTATCGTTACGGTAGACTGCAACTTTTATAAAAACATGAGAAGAAAATATCAAATTAGAAGAAAAAAAGTGAATTTGAACGTTATGAAATTCGGACTTTATTTCCCTTTTAAAAAAAATCCTCCAAAGCCTCAGGTTAACTTAGAAAAGGAAAAAAATTCGAGTGCAAAAATGCGAACCCGCAACCTCGCGGTGCAAAATCCTACCCTCTATCGACTGAGCTGTCGCACTGCTCGCTAAAACGTGGGGAAACAAATAATTATATACCTGCGTGCGTATCAAAAAAGTATCGTAGAGGGCGCTAAGCAACGGCTGCCGTAACGATAGCCACTTCGAAACATTATTATTGATGGTACAAATCTGCAAGTGAAAACACAGCAATACATGACAAGTTTCGCATTACAAGGGGAAAGAAAGAGGAACACGTAAACAGAAAGGGATAACTAACGTTAAATATTAAAAAAAAAAAAAACCCAGACATTTCTCTTGACATTTCGAAAGTGTTGACTGTTTGTCATGTTTGTCATGTTTGTTGTGGTCTGAAATTTTAAGTGAAAAAGGCACTTCCACTTTCACCACCATGCACATGCTGTGTTGTGCAATAACTTCGACGATTTAGTTAGTGAGTTCACTCACATCATGCAACAACGGTGTTAGCTTTTGATAAAACGTTAAATTTATAAAACACGAAACGAAAATTTACTCGCCTTCCAACCAAACGCTGAAGACAACCGCTACCTCAAACTTCAAAGCACACTCGCTTCGTTTAAATCCACCATCATGTCTGCAACGTTTAAATCAACCGCTGTGTACCAGCTGACATAGTTCCGGGTTATTACTCCGCTACGAAACAGATATCATTATTTTGCTTCCAAAAGATTTCCAATCCGCTTAAATAATGAAGAATAACATTCAATTTCGAAAAAGTAATAGGTAATTTCATCATATTAAAAGTTCTCAACTTGTTAATTTCGATAATTAAATTGTAACTACTTGAGCTCAGCGTACCAATATTAATATTTACCAGCAGTGGAGTGGTAGTCTGGTTCCTTTGTATTGGTCGTATTATTAATGGTAAACCAGGCGGAGGAGTCCAGAACTCCGTTCGGCCATTCCCTGTGTACAAAACCTCCGACTTCCATAACTCAACTCGACTCGATCGCAAAAAATGGCTTCAAAAGATATAAAGTTAGCAATAAATCTCCTCCAAACCTATGGTGGGAGGGATAAAGTCATGAGAGTAATAGGCTACGGGTCATTGTTTCTGTCAGGTCTCGTGAAATCATCGGCAAAATCAAAGAAACTGCTGACCATTTCTACGGAACTCAGTGCCTGCCGCACGATCCTACGGCTGTTTGATGATTTGCCGATGTTGGGGTACTCGTTATCATATGGATTGGGAACACAGGTACTAGGCACTAGCCCATAAAAAATAAATGAGGGGTGCCGCAAGAAAATACAACACTTTATTTTTAAGTCATTACGGCATTCCCACTAATCACTATTGTGGGGTTTTGGGGTGTTTTTTTTTTTGCCGTTGCTACATGTACTTTTTCGGAAGCTCACTGTTCGATCTGCATGCATCAGGTTACTTTGCTTTATAAAATGAAATTCAGAACCAGTATCGTTGCCAAATCCGGACATTAAGGAGGGGTCGTAGTACAAACTACATGTGGGGGGGGGGGGGGCACACCACAACAAAAAAACACACATATAATTTTTACGTTTATGGTTTTTGCCGATTGGGGAACAGTTACTCATAATTAAAGCTTACAACATCAATTTCGAACAACAGTTTTTCATCACTCTCTTGATATCTCAGCCCCCCCCCCCCATAATAAAACCAAACTTACTGTATCTTTCCAACGCCAGTTTAAGAATTGAAAGTATTAAAATATTGAAAAATATTTATTCTTGTACTTTGTAGGAAAAGAGCTTATGGCTACGAGTGTTAGGCCTTGCCAACAACCTGATGGATCAGCTCTTCTTTCCCCTGGAGCACATAGCCTGGGCGGCCGACAAGAAGCTCATTAATGTATCATCCTCACCATGGTGGGTGCTGTGCATAGCAGCCTGGGGACTGTCATTGAGTTTCAGCATCTTGAGGTGAGTTTAAGTTGAGTCGGTGAAGCCAAACGGTGGGGGAGGTGGACCCTTCTGCTCAGGGCCTGTGGCACATCCACCCCCCCCCCCCTTTTCTCTTTATAGCCTAAAAGCTTTATGAAATTGCGCATATTATAAGCACACTCAGCAGGAAACATGCTAAGTGTTGTTGTTGAAGGACAAGCACCTACATGAGTGGAATATCTTGACATTCAATTGTTTTACTCTCAAATAAAACTTGTTTTGTTCTGTAGGAGTGTAACAATGATCATGGGACTGAGAAGAACACGGAAGAAACTAGAACAGGAGATCCAAATGGAGGACCCTACGGGTACAGCCAGCAGGTGAGATAGCCTTAGTCTGTCCAGTGATGTGTTTTATCTACATGTAATTCAGACATTTAGACTAGTGAGTGGTGTGACATCCATAGTTCCGACTGGGGAAGTATTACAGGCAGCTCTGGTGTCAAATTTTAAGCGAGTAATTTGGACTTGAAAAAGGAAAAGAATGGAAGCCTTGTTGAGTGCCTGAATTAGGTCTCGGCACTGCCGTAATCTTGGTGCAATACACAGATGCACTTGATTGATTCTTGTCATTTAGCCAGCGACAGGAACTGCAGTTAATTGTTTTTCTCACTAATGACTGCTTAAAGTAGTAAATTTTCACTCAAAAGGATCACTTTTGTTGAAACAGTCAATATTTGTTTTGATTAAACCCCAAACATAGATTCTTTACAGTTATTGGATCAAACCAAACTGGCACTAATGTACTTCTGTTTTCAGTTTGAAATTCATTTAAAACATTTGCTCTTCTGCAAACCACCCCTGATGAAGTGCCTCCATCTTGTTATGGCAGTCACTCAAGACAGAGAATATTTTGCTAAGGCGTCATAACGGAACTTATTTGTGTTCTAAACACAGGCAAGAATCCACACAAATGGAGGGACAGCAAATAACCCGTCTCAAACAAGCTGAGCGCGCCCACTTCCTGGAGATCCTTAAACACGCCACGGATCTCTGCAACGCCATCCACTGGATGCCTCCAGGCTTCCTCTGGGGAGGTAAGCTCTCCAACACCACCGTGGGTTTCATGGGTACCATCTCCTCCATCCTGTACCTCCGCTCCGTGGTTCAGCAAACGCAAGCCACGCTTGCTGTGTAACAAAATTTCATTGCTTCCTGCGAAGGGAAATTTATGCGAACTGTGTTCAATTTTATGCAAGAATGCTGTTGTGAAATGTAGTGTCATGGGTTGAAATTTAAGAGGACAGAATTTTATAGCTTTTAACAAAGTTGTTGGGGCTTTGTTTGCCTGTAATTTTATGAAAGTTTTTTTTATTTAAAGAAATTCAACTCATGTTTTAACATAGTTGTAGTCTTGCCATGATGACTGCGATAAGTCTTTAAAGCTAGACTTTATTTTTTTCTAATGGAAACTTTAAAAAAAGTCAAAATCAGAGGTTGTCTTCCATTTTTAATAAAGTTGTGGAAGAAAAATTAAGTTAACCAATAATGGTTTGATCAAGTAGCCTTTAAATTGCCTTTGAAATCTGTCTCAGAAACACCAATAAATCTGTAATGATTAGCATGTAAAACATTGATTTAACAAATGTTAATTTTATTTTTTTCTATTACAGTATACGCAGGTGACCATTCATGATGCTTAAGTTGTAGTAATGTTTAATCACTAAACACAATTTCAAAACACAGCCACTTTTATTCATTCTATCTATATATAGATCTCTCTCATAGAACGCCATCTTTATAGAAAAATTACAACTGCGTGTTTAATATCAGGTGCGTGTGCACGTGCGCAGTGTGCAAAATGTTCACGCACGCGTGATGCTCAAATTTCTGTGAAATACAGCGCAGCCAATGCACGTCACAAAATTTGACGCCCAACATGCCGATGCACGTGGCAATCTGTCGGAAGTGACATCATTTGAGAGAGACCTATTATGTTTGCTCTTACAAGCATCTCCAGCTTAAGACTGTGCTTAAATTTGTTCATTTGACCACCATTAGAGCACAAATTCCCAAAAAAAACATGTAAATGCCTATTACACTAATCAAAGTCACATAATTTTGACCTTTTAACTATGCATACAAGTACATACTCTCTATCATCTGAAAATTGTAAATAAATGCATGTATTTAAAGCAAATGGTAAAAAAATGGTGGATGTAGAAGGGAAGTACAAGTTTGGTCACAAACGTTTTATGTACATTTTAAAGCTAAATATTCTGTACAAATATTAAAAAGAGAAAAATTGATAAAATGTTTATATTATTTGGTTGTATTTGGAAGCATGATAATGCACCATTTAAGGGAAGCTGTTGGTATAATATAAAATTGCATATAATAAACAATTTGTTGAACACCACAAACACTGATTTATAATTGTTCACAAATATGACAAAGTAGAATATGACATACGATTAAAATGTTGCACAAATACTGTTAAGATCAGTCCTAACTACAAGTTCAATATATGCACTAGACACTGATATGCATAGCAACAGTTAAAGATTTGTTGTGCTGCTTTAACAATGAACAGACATTTATACAATAGTAACAACCACAGATGTATTAAGAAAAGCTAGAAAATCTACCAACATCAATTTTTTTTGGAAGAATCAAGAAAGTGTTGTGAACATTCCATGGAGTATAGTTACACATACTGAAGACTGCGAACCCAATCTGCTAAGAGGTCTTGGTTGGGTTCAACTCCCAGTGGTAAAAGACATCAAATGGACCAACAAGGCAGCCTGATAACTGATACGCATCTCTGGAGAGAGTTATGCGCTAGTTCAATGGAATGTAGAAATCAAAGACTCGACATTTCTGACATGAAATTGATGACTCAACACTGAATCATGCCATGTACGACACTGATCTTTCTTTACTTTCCAAACAGTCATCAAATGTCGTTCACTGGTGGTATAGAGTCATGCCTAAGCAATTCCCTTGCTACATCAAACCAATGGACTTTGGTTGGTCTCACAAATACTGGGAAGAAAAACACAATTGCTCACCACAGAAAATCAAAGAGGTCCGTTATCTTTTTTGGCTAAGGAAGCTTGTGATTTCGGCAGCTTAAGTGGAAGTTGTAATAAGCCTACAATACCCTTATAATTTACAATTTCTTCTTCTGAGTAAAATTTTCAAAATACCATAATATATAAATAACCTTAAAGAGGTTGTGGAATGCTCGAAGACATTTCCGTCATTTTTCGGGTATATGTAGCCTAAGGTGTGAGGAAATAAAAACGACTATTGTTTCTGTCATAAAATGAGTACAAAAGGTACATTTGAGAGCTGTTTTTCAAGTCCTGTCATGCCTGTTTCGACCCAATCGTGCAATTTGTGTAAAAGTCGTCGTTGCGGGCAGCAAACAAAACACAGTAAATCGTGACGTAATAAACAGGACTCCCGATGCAGAGTAGCATAAACGAGTCCTGTTTATTACGTCACGATTTACTGCGTTTTGTTTGCTGCCCGCAACGACGACTTTTACACAAATTGCACGTTCGGGTCAAAACAGGACCTAAAAAATAGCTCTCAAAAGTAACCTTTGTACTCATTTCATGACAGAAACAGTCGTTTTTATTTCATCACACCTTAGGCTACATATACCCAAAAAATGACGGAAATGTCTTCGAGCATTCCACAACCTCTTTAAACCTCATATCTTAAAAGAGTACAGACAGTTTTAGTAGCACACATGAAGTAAACATATTTTTGTTTGAGGGTTACTTATTTTGATATAAAAGTATTCTGTGACTAAAATTATTTAAAAAAAAAAATCAATTAGCATATATTAGTGATTTGTTAAATAAATAAAGTATGACTGAAATAAAGCTACTGTACTTCATTGCATGTATGTGTTATGCATTACTCGAGTTACTTGCTTTTTACGTACTGTTGGGATATATGGTATTAAGTATTGAAAGCACCTTTTTTTTTAAATATCAAAAAAATTGCAAACTGTTGCCCATATACTAATAGCCAAAAAAAATAACATACTTCAAAATAAGAGTGGCAAGAGGGGGTTATACTGTATATTTACAAATTGATAAGCACCAATTCAACAAATTTGGTCCAAATACCATTTTTTTTAAATTAAAATTGTGAGTTCTTGTTAATACAGAAATGTACCTCAAGAAAAGTATGGCAGTTGAATGAAAATACAAAATATAAAATAACTTTGTTTTAAAAAGCAGCACATTGCAAAGTTTTGTGGTTAAAAAGTTTTTAAAAAATCTTAACGGCCAGCCATTTCATGCAGAATCTACTAAATACTTTGAAAGACATAATTTCTAATTACATAGAGTTACGGAAAGCTTACAAGTCAGAGTTCAATTTACTGTTTAGTTGTTCAGTTTAAAAATAATAAAAAAGTATTGCATATTGCATTTAACTGTCCTGCCACTCTTCACTATAATTAATACTTTCTTAATATTTTTGGCAGTCTTAAATGCATTTTCTCTTGTTTTAGGACAGGAAAAGTGTATTAGTTTTTATTTTGTTTTTTCATGGGGGGGGGGGAGGAGGGGTCAACAATTGTTTCTCCCTCTTTTAAATGGGCAGGATGTTTCTAGGGGAATGTTTTTCCCTTAGACGTTTTTTCATAGTGGCATATCTGAAAAAACTTACCTTGAATAACTTCTTTCAACATTGATATCTTGCATCTTATTCATCTTAAGATATCTTAAGATGTGCAGAGATGTGAGATATGTTTCATCTGGATGAATGGGAACATGTCTTAAAATTGCCACAATTTCTCAAGGTTGAGGAGGTTAATCCCATTTGCTGTTATCTGGTTCAGGGCTTTCTGCGTGCATCAAATGGGCGTAGCCTGCTGCCACCTTGCTCGGTACCTCATTTCCCTCCAGAGGGCGCTCTAATCGGACTTGAAAATCAGCAGGACTGCTCTTACTGGCTCCAGAGGAGGAGCGCTTGTTTGGTTTGGCATACTGGGGGATTTCGCTCTTTGGCTTGTTGGGTTTGGCGTAGTGTGGAATCTCCTGCTGGTCTGCCTGCTGTTGGCTCTTGCGTTTCATGGGTTTGGCATACTGCGGGATCTCACTCTTTGCTTTCTTACCCGACGAGGCATCCGTCTCCGGCTTCTGCTGATGAGAACCTTGATCTGGCGGAGGAGGAGGAGGGACATTCATCCTGGGACTCCCGCTTGCATCTTTGGACGACCTCTTTGGATCAAATCCCACATACGCATTTTCGTACGCCTGCTTGTCGCCCGCGGATTCCTTCCTTGGAAGTTTCAAGGAAGCGCCCTTGCGCTGGGTTTCGGACAGGAGGAGTTCCTTTCGCGGGCTCTTGAGTGAAGATGCCTTGCGATTGCCGAGTGGAGATGGGCTCATCCTGGCGTAACCAGAGGACTCACTGTTTGTGCCTTGGTGGTCCCCAACCGGAGGGCCAGTGAGGGGATAGCTACTAGCGTCCTCGTAGCTTCCATCATCCTGGAGAGAGCTGTATACCCCATCTGCGTCAACCGGTCTACGGATGGACCTCTCGCGGGGCAAGAAATCAAGCCTGTCATAGGATTCTTCTACTGCAGCCTCCCCCTCGCCTTTCAGTACTTTCAGTTCGTCGACACTGACATACGAATATTCCGATGGTCCATTCTCGGCATGGACAGTGACATTACCAGTGGTGGCATAGGGTGAGATGTCATTTGCTTCAGCATGCTTTTGGAGTAAATCTGGCATATTTTGGTGAAGTTCTTTTACGTCTTCGTACCCACTTGTGGGCCTAAAAGGAGCAGATGAGTGCTGAGCTGGGGGGACTGGTAGACTGCTTGCATCATCGTAAGGATTACCTACAAAATAAATTCGTGAAATTCATGAATGAATTCAAAATAATAATCTGGAAGGTTATCTCGAAACACTAATGTTTTTAAAATTCCCTATGATCTCAATGGCAAGTTCTGTTCCATTTCCTTTTTAAACAAACTTAAGAAAATTCCTGAAAATACAATAAAGGCAAAATTCACAAACATATTTCATATGAGTAGGGACATGTTTCAAATTTCACAAGACATTTTAACAAATTTTGCAAGATGGCCTTCACAAACTTCAAACTACCTATAGAAACACACCCTTTAATTTGTGGGTCAGTTGGGCATTTGTGTTGGAGGTCACCGCATCTTTAATACAGCATGCTGAGTACTTGATATACGTGCAGTACCGGTACATTAAACCCTAATGGTCTTACAGGAAGACAGCAAATCCTGTTCGTTACCTGCGACCGCATCTGTCATAGGTACTCTCTCAGCCGCTTCCTGATTTCGGCCCGGCTTCCTGTTTAGACAATAGACAATCAGGCCAAGGGAAAGGTGTTATCAGGGCCAACGGAAACAAAAGGCATGCCTAAGTAAATAAACCATGCAATGGTTTCTATGGAATCTTTGAGTTGACAAAATTTCAACTTCCGGCAAAGAAGAGCAAACAAGGATGACATGCTAATATTTGTTCACGAAATGAGGAAACTGCAGTTCTACCCAGAAATAACCAATTTTTTTTGTTCGGATTTGATTATAGTATTCACAGTGTCCACAGCAAAAAATTTGTTTTTAATTTAATTTTATAATTGCATAATAAAACTTTTCCCAGGTTCATATATTGTTTACTTAAGCATGTGAACTTACAAGATTAGGGAAATTCTCAGGTATGCTCAACTACTGTGATTTTCAGCTTCAAAGGCATTTTCATTAAAGGAAATAAAATCCAAAAAGGAAATCTCCTGATCCGATGAAAAGTTGAATGACTGAAACATCCTTAAACTTAGGAAATGTCAGTTCAACAACCCTACGCAGACCCGTTTTTAAGAATTATGCCTGATTCTGTTGTACATGTATGTTTTCAAGATCCTTCATTTTTTTTTTCTTTAGTTTTCAGAAGTAAACTATTTAAGAGGTCACAATCGGTCAAAATGCTCTTCCTCACCTCCTGGCATACTGTGTACAAACCAATGGGGGTCTTGACCAATATTGACCCCAGTAACAACAAGGCTGACAATGCATGTTTCCATAGGAGGGTTAGCCTCCAACATTATCAACTGTATACAGTTCGTGTATGCCAAGTTTTCAGGGATGCCTACGTCGCTTATTATACACTGGCTGTGCATGTTAGCTTCTATTGTTTTCAAGCCATAATTTACTTAAATGCAAGCTTAGACATCTGGTTTTTATCATACAGAGTCTGGCAGGAAATCGGAGACAACAACATGTGTCTGCAACTCATCTAACAAATGAGTATTGTGTAATGGATTTCCCATAAGGAAATAGGGATAAAGTGACTGATAATAAAATATTACATCACTTGCGTGACAAACAGGACTGTTTGTTTGGAGGCGTGGAAGGTTATTTTGTCTAAATTCTCTTTTGCTTAAAGATGATACCCCATGCTCTTAAAAAAAAACGTTTTTGTTTTTTGTTTTGTTTTTTTGTTTTTTTCTTTCTTTTTTTTCTTTTCTGCTAACGAAATTTCAAATTTTCAATTTTCAATTGTTTTGTTTGACTGATTAAAGTATTTCATTCCGATTTTGGGCGTCTGTAACCCTCTGAAAAAGGAATTTCATTTTGTGCTCATCCTGTAAATTCCTCCATTATTTCTTGAAGATGGTCCGTGGAGGGGTGACCACTGCCTGAATCCTGCAAAATCCTGCGGCAGTGACTGTCAATATGTTGAGGCTTGGCCAGTGACATCCTGGAGCAGTACAGAGGATTTCAAGTATAGTCCAGGCCTATATTTATGCATGGCTGAGCAAAAACAACACAAGGTCCGGCCCAACACCTTGACAAAGTGCATCCTATGAAATCAGTAACGCACTTTTGCCATGTAACCTCCATCCTCCAAATTTCTCCACTTTGGCAAAGAGGATTTTTGAAAGATTCAGGGCGGTTGGGGTTAAAAAATGTGTTCAAATTTCTTGTAATTGTCTACCCTTCCTAAACCCTCTTTGGAACAACACAAAAATAACCTGGCATTTACACTGTGTGAAAAAAAAATCTGAACTATCCAGAAAGAATTGAAATAAAGAACTAACTAAACACATGAGACTCACCTTGCATTCTCTCGCCTCGTTCTCACCAGGCACACGATCAGTATTACCACGACGATAAGGAGAAAGGCAGCCCCGGCTGCCGTGGCAACCACTAAGGTCATCATGGGCTTCCCTTGGCCAGACGGGGTCAGTTTCGATCCCTGCAGATGTTTGGCAGTTGTGTTCGGGAAAACGGTCTGAGCCGTGGGAGGAAGCCTGTTTGGAATATTCCCTGTCAAAAAAAGGAAATCAACAGAATAGAAGTTTAATGGTTCAATCTAAGGATGTGACTTAGCAAATATTTTAAATACCGTTTAAACAGTTAGCGATTCCACTAAGTAGAAAATTAGACAAAACATTTAAAATCCATCAGGCTATTGGGGACGTTTGTAGAGGATTATAAAATACAGGATTTAAAGAAAGGTAGAGTCTGGTCACTATTGATTTCAGATTCACAGATTTCCCCTCTCTAGAGTTGGGTAGCCTGGGGGATTTGATTAAAAATATCGGTTGGTTTGTGCCCCCTTCCTCTCCTCCTATACAAATCTTTTTCTTTCTTTGAACCTTAGTTGAATACAGTACCTGTTGGACAGTCTGCTGGTGAGTAGCACACACCATCAACTAGGCAGTCGCACGGGGCCGTGCAATCTGGGCTGCCCTGTGATTCGGCACCACAGAGGCAGCGTCCTGTTATCGGATCGCAGGAGCCTATAGGGCACTGGCATCGCTGTAGGCAGTTCAGTCCATACGTCCCCCACGGACACGCCTGGCTGCACGCCTCGCCCATCCAGCCCCTCGCACACTCGCACTTGTGCGTGGCGGCGTTGCACGTGGCGCCGTTGACGCACATCGGAGAGCACAAGTTGGTGCAGTTCATGTAGGCCTTGGCAGGAACACACAGGTTACAATCCTCGCCAGTATAATCTGGAAATATAAGAATCTGTTTATAGCCTAGGTTCTAACGAAAGACTTATACCAACAGGGGCAGACCGCACCAAAATTTATCCTAAAAATAGGTTTTGCCAAAAAAACATGCGTTAACCCTTGCATGGTTACTTTATGCAGAGTCCAAACAACAATCAACAGACTCTTTTTCAAGCTAATATACATACACCATACACGTAGTAGGGTCTGGTAGACCAATGAGTATGAAAAGGTATATATGTTTAAGGGCGACTTATTCATTGCAATCCTGACAACATTTGGTTCTTACCCACAGAGCAGTGGCATCTCTTATGCACAGTCAGACAATCTCCGTTTTTACACTCCAAGCTGCAATGGTCCAGGCACTTCCGGGCATGCCATCGAGGCACGCATAGACTGCAATCCGGAAGGTCGTAGCCAGTCTGGCAGATACACTGCCCATCCTCGCACCGTCCACCATTCAGGCACTGGCGTCCTCTGCAAGGGCTCGGGGGAACATCGGGATCGGGGTCCGGGACAGGAGAATTGGTTGTGGTTACTTCCGGAGAGCCAGGTACCGGCGTTTTCCTCCTTGAGCTGCAGTCCACTCCCCAGAACTCCGGCGGACACTCGCAGCTGCCCGTCTCCCAGACGCAGTGGCCACCGTTGTGGCACGGGTACTGGCAGGGAGAGGTGCAGTCAGCTGTGGTAGTTTGGCAGACTTCGCAGGTATGCGACGTGGTACTGCAGTAGGTGCCATTCACACAGGGGCATTCAAGACCTGACAACAAATAGACCAGGTTAGGAGGTTTAAAGAAGCCAGCGTTTAACAGGAATTACGGTGGAAAAGTCTCAAAGTCAAAGACATACATCAATATTTTTGTTGTTTTCACTCAAAAGTTGTGAAGGTCTAGTACCTGACCATCTGCATACATGGTTGACTTGTGACGGGGGGCCACCACATGTAGCACGTTGCAATCTAAGTCTGAAAAAGAAACAAAGATGAACAGCGGATCAGATTGAGTGGCTAACCACCCCTTTTGTCTTCTGAATGAAGATTATGTACAACTTACTGGAAAAAATTCTTTTTCTAGAAGGCTTTTAATTGGTCTCTCTATAAAAAGGACATGTAAAAAAATTAAATAGTTTCTCGCCCAGGCTTTTTAAACAAAGGAGGCAGCCCCATTTCTTTCTTTTTTGTGTGTGAAGATGGCAGATTTTTCAAGATGGATTTTTCCATTTTTTCAATTCTCCTGCTGATACTTTTTAAGTCCAAATGAGCTGTAACCCTTTCTGACAGATTCTAAATTTTAAAACATAGCTGCAATTTTGCTGGAAGCACATAAAAGACAAAATACACTGCAAAGTATGATTTAAAAAGTTTTAAAGAGGCGGTGATGAAAAAAAGGAAGCAGGCGTAGACAAGAATTAAGAAACTGATTTAGTTTTTTACTTGGTCTAAATTCCAACATTTCAGTCACTCCTCTTTGAAAAATGCCAGATAAACAACTGAAATGACAACAAAAACTCGACCAAATTTACTCACACAGTCACACATGAAACTGTGTAGGTTAACACTGTCAAATCTTCAGAAGTTCAGTGCTTAATCTACGTGGCCTAATTATATAATTTTTGTAATTAACAGTCTTCTCTGGAGACTCGACGTGGGACACTTAATGATTTTGCTGGACACTTTTTGCATGTGATTTGCACAACTCACCTCCTCACATGAAAGCTCTCCGGCTCAGCAAATCCCACGGAAAGAAACATCACAATCCCGAAAGCAATCAGCCAAGCATCTGACCTCAAGACCCCGAAGACGGCCATGCCTAATCAAAGAGCTCCCACCAATCTCATCAAGCTCCATGAACAGCGCGTACCGCACACGGTCGGCCCGCGACCGAGCAGATATACGGGTCAAGCGATTGACGGGAGAACGGGCGGCGAGCGCGAGGACGGGGATGATGGAAGGCGGATATGGAACGCCAAAGAGGCATTTAATGTGATCATCGAATCGGTGATGGACTTTTGCAATCGGTGATGCATATTCACGATCGGTGATGGACTTTCGCGATCGGTGATGGACTTTTACTGGTGATGCATATTCATGATCGGTGATGGACTTTCGCGATCGGTGATGGACTTTTACTGGTGATGCATATTCACGATCGGTGATGGACTTTCGCAATCGGTGATGGACTTTTACTGGTGATGCATATTCACGATCGGTGATGGACTTTCGCAATCGGTGATGGACTTTTACTGGTGATGCATATTCACGATCGGTGATGGACTTTCGCAATCGGTGATGGACTTTTACTGGTGATGCATATTCACGATCGGTGATGGACTTTCGCGATAGGTGATATACTTTTACTGGTGATGCATATTCACGATCGGTGATGGACTTTCGCAGTCGGTGATGGACTTTTACTGGTGATGCATATTCACGATCGGTGATGGACTTTCGCAATCGGTGATGGACTTTTACTCAACGACTGGTCATCGCAGCTTTGATCACCGATCGCGAAAGACCATCACCGATTAAATGCCGCTTTTGCAATCGGTGATGCATATTCACGATCGGTGATGGACTTTCGCGATCGGTGATGGACTTTTACTGGTGATGCATATTCATGATCGGTGATGGACTTTCGCAATCGGTGATGGACTTTTACTGGTGATGCATATTCACGATCGGTGATGGACTTTCGCAATCGGTGATGGACTTTTACTGGTGATGCATATTCACGATCGGTGATGGACTTTCGCAATCGGTGATGGACTTTTACTGGTGATGCATATTCACGATCGGTGATGGACTTTCGCAATCGGTGATGGACTTTTACTGGTGATGCATATTCACGATCGGTGATGGACTTTCGCGATAGGTGATATACTTTTACTGGTGATGCATATTCACGATCGGTGATGGACTTTCGCAGTCGGTGATGGACTTTTACTGGTGATGCATATTCACGATCGGTGATGGACTTTCGCAATCGGTGATGGACTTTTACTCAACGACTGGTCATCGCAGCTTTGATCACCGATCGCGAAAGACCATCACCGATTAAATGCCGCTTTTGGCGAAACAGGAACGCCAAAGAGGCATTTAATGTGATCACCGAAATGGACTTTCGCGACCGTCGCATCTGTGTGTTGCGTCGTAATCATTTGCACGTATTATACTTATCTATGTTCCTTGCTCTGGAGCAAGTTTAATTTAATTGCAAATGCGCAGAGCCTTTATTTTGCTCTTCTGGTTTTTTTTTAATACCTTTCGCGAAAATCTGATAAATTTTACTTCCACGTAACCGATGTAATTTTCGAGCCACGGTGTGTGTGTTTGATAAGAGTTAAATTTAGATTAATAATTTTTAAGATTAGAAAATATTATCATTGTTTTTCCAAAGAGCAATGATTCGATGTGTACATTTTTGTAATGCAGTATGGTACTCAATCTGCTAAGACCACTGTGGGAAATAGAGCTAGCTCTATGGTTTGTGCCAGCCATGTCTTCTTTGGCAATCAATCACCTTGTCCCTTTAGCCCTCGCAACAACACGTGCTTCAGGTCTCCACTTACCAGTTACCATTTTTTTTTTTTTGCAGTCGTGGAATTGGGGCACGATCGAGGTCAATCATTTTCACATGGGGGCTCACAAATTGGGTGTTCCACATGCAAACGCTTCCATGCACCAACTGACGTTCAGCAAAATAATGGAATCCTATTCAATTTTAAGAACATACCTTTACATCATGTACATGATGTATAGGCTACAACGGTCTACAATCGAGCCGCAACTTCCGAGATCTTTTCGAGCTTGTCTTAAGTGGCCTTGTCAATTGTATAGTGCACATACAGAACAGACATTCGCTTATATTTAACCCAATTGGTTACATTATTCTTTAACTAATGAATAATAAATTATTCACCGGTGTGCACAGTCTTTTTAAAATCTTTTTGGGTACTTAAACATCGGAGTTATCAAAGGAAAATATTGAATAATGTATAAATAAAAACACACTAAAATTTTCCAATAGGAGTACAACCGCAACAGTTACCTATGTACCGACAACCCAAACAAAGCTTAGTCTGCCCATGACGCCGGCAGCCTCCGTCGCCCAGAAATCACAGCATATTTAAGTTGAAGAAAGTGGGTTTTTTTGGGGGGTGGGGGTGGCTGGGATATTTTCACCCACTTACTTTGATAATATAAAAAAAACTCTGCACCGATAGCAAAAGTCCATGCAAGGTTGATCACCGATCGTGAAAGACCATCACCCATGGGCGTCACAAGGGGGGGGGGGGGGAGAGAGCACGGGGGCGCTTCCCCCCCCGGAAAAGTCCACCCCCCCCCCCAAAAAAAAAAAAAGATGGTGGAAGAAGACAGAAAAAGGGGCGCGAAGTAATATTGTTTGAAAAATGCCCACCCTCGAAAAATGATAAATCGTGAATAAATCCAGGTATTTCGGGGAGAAAAATGTTTTGCCCCTCTGCAAAAAATTTCTGGCGACGCACAAATCGTTGTGTTTTATAGCCACATTACCAATGATAGGGAAAACCGGTCGACTTATCAATTGTTTATGGTTATATTAATAACGGCAACACCAAACCGAAGTGGGCAACAGCGGAGACTCAAAGCCACGACATACACAATATGCTTGACAATAAATGAAATACATGAACATGAGATATGTGACAATAATAACAACAAATGAAAATTATACTTGAATTACAAAATAACAAATAACTTCCCACATCATAGCCTCGTGACACTTGAGAGCGCTACGGCAAGTATCAAATTAGCCTAACAAAATAGAAAAACAAGGGATTGAATGGTTGAAATAACAAATAACTTCCCACATCATAGCCTCGTGACACTTGAGAGCGCTACGGCAAGTATCAAATTAGCCTAACAAAATAGAAAAACAAGGGATTGAATGGTTTCATTTGCACCATAAATATGAGGAACAGGCTGTCTGTATCCTAAAAATTGCGAACATTTTAATCCTTGTAATGGATATAGTCTCTTGAAACCTTGGAGCACTATAACTGGCGGATGTAAGGGGTGGTGGTGGAAAAACATTTGCAAGGAAAGTTCCTCTGTGTACTGTCCATCATGTGCTCGCTTAAGTGTGCTTAAGTGACCAGAGGCCCCACATATCTATACCAAGATTGGCTATTAGATGGATTTATGATGATGATGATGATGTGATTGCATTCCTGTGCCCCCTGGATGTCTGCTCAGACCCCTCAATAACCCCGGCATATATGCTGTCTCCAATGACCCACACATCAATCATCATATTATTCAAAAACCTTTTATCACGTGTTGGTAAAAAAATACTCGGACTCAAATTTAAGGACATGAGAAACACATTGCTGAGATGATTGGTAAAGCTAATAGAAAATTATTCATGTTCAGGAAACTGAAAGAAACTGGTTTTACTCAAAGAACTTGTTACCCTATGTTAGACCAGTCCTAGCAAACGCATCGCCGGTTTGGCACTCAAGCATACACTCAAACAGACCAATCTAATTTAGTCGATACAAAAGAGTTTGCCGTATTACTCTATCTCTGGATCACCTTTATGATAGAAGAATCACTATGTGTACAAACTTTGCTCTAGGTGCTTTTAAATCAGGCAAATTTAATGAGTGGTTCCCTCAATCAAAAAGTTGGCACACTATGAATCTTAGATCGAGTAGAACACTCAAGGAGTATCCCAGTTCATCCAAGAGATTTCGAAATAGCCCAGACTCATCAATAGTTCAACATAGGATTTTCAAATGTGTACAATTTTAATTGCTATTATCCGAGTGTATATGTTTTTGAGAATAATGGATTGTTGTGCATTTTGTATGTGTTTCGATTTCTCGTGAAATATGTTTATTTTTAATTCATTTCAATTTTTACTGTAAATCACTGTGCAATTCAGCTTCTGAGCTGCTTGATGGTGATAATCAACCCAAATAATAATAATGTTAATAATAATGATAAAAAATAATAACTTATAATAATAACCCATAATTGGCTATTTAGGGCACATTCCCATAAACTAGTGCACACATTTTCCCCCCAACTTTAATGACCCGTAACTCCAATTTTACCTTAATTCGCCGGGTTATTTTTACTAATTCGACCACGAGCAATCGAGTCTATTTGCGACGATAATATTTTGCCTCCAAGTGTGTGACGCTAAAGTGTCTCTCGAAGGGTATAGGCCTATTATAAAACAAATCATTCTGTTCATGCCACATCCACAGAGGAGTATTTTATTCCGGATACCTGTGATATGGCATATACCGTTTGAATTGTTAATTGTTATAGTTATGTTAATATGGGCAACACCAAAGGCCCAAATCCACAGCGGCATACACTAACTGCAAACATTTCACGGACATTACAAAAAATAGAGTTCGCAAGTGAGAACGGACATATTATAAAACATATAACGGTATTAACACAATTTAGGGGTAACACCAGGCCCGACCAGTAGTGGGCAACACAAGAAACTCAAAGCCACGGCATACACAATATGCTTGACAATAAATGAAATACATGTAGGCCTATATGAAAATGAGATATATGTGGCAATAAATGACAACATATGCAAATTAAACTTGAATAACAAAAAATAGCTTCCCACAGATGTACATTCAGTCAGGAAAACATCATAGCCTCGTGACACAGTGAGATCGCTACGGCAAGTATCAAATCAGCCTAACAAAATAGAAAAACAAGGGATTGAATGGTTTCATTTGCCCCATAAATATGAGGAACAGGCTGTCTGTATCCTAAAAATTGCGAACATTTTAATCCTTGTAATTTATATAGTCTCTTGAAACCTTGGAGCACTATAACTGGCGGATGTAAGGGGTGGTGGTGGAAAAACATTTGCAAGGAAAGTTCCTCTGTGTACTGTCCATCATGTGCTCGCTTAAGTGTGCTTAAGTGACCAGAGGCCC